CATTGAGATCGGCCCAGACTGAGTCCCTGACCGGTCTGTTGCATCGCCATGGCCTCAAGTCATAGAAGAAGTCGGATGCCCATGGGGAAATCCCATGGGAAATCCCATGGAGCTTGGGTTTTTTTGAATCTGTTAGAATCGATGAAAATTACATCCAATATATTCCAATATCATCATATCATATCATATCATCCAATTGCCAATTAACCTCTAGTAACCCGCTCTTTCTAGCAGTGAAATACCATGTCAAGATAGGATTTTTTAATATTAATTTAATATGGCGTAATCAATATGGCTCCCCATTCAACACCCTCATCTCTGGAATCCTCCCCAATTCGGTTTTGAAACGATGGAGGGTCTGGGATGTGTCGGGGTGCGGCTGAGTTGTGAAGGTGTGCTGTGACAGTTCCATAGGTTTTGACCCATGGAAAAAGACCATAGATTCCATGGCAAATTCCCATGGAATTCCACAGGCGAATTATGTGGAGCAATGTTATTTACATGATTTTACATGATTCATGGGCCACTTGAAAGAAAAAGAGACCATTTTTGATGTTGCTGTTTTGACCTTGTTGACCTTCTGGACCTTGTGGGAGGGTATTAAGCTGGCCTTACTATAATGATACATAGGATGAGTTCATAAAGAATTATACAAATTCAAATAATTTCCAGAATCTATTAATGTTCCTTCACTCTCCCACGTGTTCTTCTGTGTTCCCATGAAACACTGGGCTTTCGCTTCCCAATCTTCCCATCATCGCAGCCCCATCTTCGGCTTCCAACCCGTGCCAGTCGTGCAGTGCTCTGACTCGGATCCAGTTCTAAGGCCTGATGCCCGGAGTCCCAAGGTCACTGCTGAATTGGGAAAACTGCCAGAAAACTGCCAGAAACTGGGAAAACATTGGACCTCTTGACCTCTTGGTAATTTATCATGATTTGTGGATGGGATTCGAGTTAATTCTACAACGCTGATTTCACGGAAGAATTTGATGAGGAAACCCATCTTCTTCAGGGCATGTGTCAAGGAGACTTTCGAAAGTGGAGACATCTTGGGGATGGAGAGTAGCCAAGGACACTTGTCTGCAGGACATGGGAAAGGATCAGGGCTAACCTGAGATGAGGCCAATTTAAGATACAAAAAAAGGTGGCTCGAACAAGCCAAGGTTGACCTTGCCTCAGCATTAGGGGGTCTGCTAGTGGTCCAACTGGTTTGATCTCAAAAGTCAAGTCACTATATCGCCCAAATCGTGGTTAGGAATGTATGCCCCATGGTTCTTTTATATCATTTAAATTCGTGTCCCAGATCCCAGAAAGCATAGCATGTCTCTCCAGCGCCATGGTTCGAAAAATTGGATCCGCTCGTTTTGGCTTCCAATACAGGGAACGTCTTCAAGGAGGTATCATATTCCTCGTTAAGCTGACCGTAAATTGGTGGTAAATCCACCATTTCTGGACAACACCATCCAATACAATATTGATTTTAAGAACCAATTTATCGGTTCTATACGTGCATCACACTTGTACTTAGAGCTTTGGTCTATTGTTGAGCATGTGCCATTATATATTTGGCCGCATGATATCAAGATATATCAAGTATAGAAATTCACCAGCCTGAAATAAGTCCATTTTGGTTAACCTTACTCACCGTATCTAACCATCACTTATTATGATGTTGCCGTAAGGTCTTTATAATTCATCCAAATTTATCTAAACAATTAATTATAATATATACCCTCTGGTAAACATAGCTATTGAAAATGACCATTTATAGTGGATTTTCCCATTAAAAATTGTGATTTTCAATAGCTACGTTAAATTACCAGAGGGTAAATCTGTTTGAATATTTTATCATCCCCCAAACTAACATAGATCCTGCCGTGAGCTGGGAGTTGCCGAATTTCCACCTCCAAAATGGCCATTTTGTCTCAAACTCTTCATTTTGCTGAGGATCAATGGATATTTTATGATAAATGGTTGGTTGTCCGCCACCCATCCCATCCACCGGAAATTTTCAGCACCAGCGACTCGACGTGCTTCCTCCAAGGCTTCCGGAAAGCGCCGAAGCCTCGTATATAGTTTTTTTTTCCGATTTCGAGTCATTTTTAAGGGGTTCCAACGGTTGTTCCAACGGTTGTTCCAACGGTTGTTCCAACGGTTGTTCCAACGGTTGTTCCAACGGTTGTTCCAACGGTTGTTCCAACGGTTGTTCCAACGGTTCCGATGCAACAAACGCCATTTTGTGTTGGATTTTTTTTTGTCATTTTCATGGCTCTTGGAAAACCGCCTAGTCTTGCTATGTCTTGTATGTTGCTGGGATTTTACTATTCCCAAGTTCATGGCTGCCAAAGCTGCCCAAGGTTTCCAGCAGTTTGCTATATATTTCGGGATGGCCTGGGAAAACTCCACAATATGAATTGTAGCGGGATCATAAAGAGGCTGCTTTAAAGGGCCCAATTAAACTTACCGTACCTATATCCTATAATCGTATAGATTCCGATATGTATAGATGATGCATATTCCGTGGCCAAAGGACAATGTTAAGTTCATATTAATAAGCAGCCTGAATTGATCAACACCCATATTCCAAAAAACGATGCTACTTTTGGTTGGTCCTTCCCTATTCATAAACATGTGCGACCACCCCTATTGAACAACACCCTGCTCAGAAATCCTAATTTGGTGGTAGTCAGGATATATACTATAACATACTATAACATACTATAACTATATCTTTACTGGTTTTCATTGCTTTTTAATGGTTGAAAAGTACTGTCTTGAAGGGATGTCCGATGCCCAATCTCACCATCTCACCCCATTTGGAGGGAGGCCGCTGAAAAGAGAAATCTCGACCCATTGGCAGGTTGGTTGTTTCTTTAATGTATGACCAGCCCTAGTTTTCTACTTGGGGGGGTTATTAATACGAACTTGGCATTATATACAGTGATGGACAAAAACAGCCTACACTCAGTATGGGGGTATCGTCTCTATAGGATCTTTTTTCATGGCCTACGGTTCCAAATGGTTCCAAACCATCCCCATGGGCTGCTATCCTCCCGCGCATCATTTTCCAGGAGCTGCAGGGTTTCCACGTGGTCTCGACTGATAAACTACACGAGAGTTGCCTGGAATCAATCTATCTGACTTCCACAGGAATCCACAGAATGTCCTGAAATCCAACATGTTTCAAGAATTTTATGGGCAAAATGATTAAATGTATCAACATGCACAGGCACTGAGGAACTCTCGGTCTGGGAACTTTTTAAGAGGTTTATATGATGCGCACTGATATACCTGGCGCACTTTCCAACTTGGACCTTGCTTCGCTGGAAAAAGTTCACACTGGCCTATGCTTTGAATGCTTTGTCCACCTCCGGCCATCTGAAAAACAATGGCAATTACCCATGTTCATTGTGGATCATTGTGGTAGATAGCTGTAGTGACAATGATGACATGAACTCCAACCGAAAAGAAATCATGGTTGGTGCCTCCTCCATGATAAATCCCGTATCACAGTCACATCACATTGGGGGTGTAGGGCTGGCATGGCCATATCCCAAATCAGCTGAATGTGTTCAATATCAATTTGGACATAATTGGACATTCCTCCAGATTTATGGGAAAGCGAAATCAAGCATTGACCAACCGAACACCCAGGTTTATCATGGTTTATCTGCACGAACATGGCCTCGGTGTGACTTTGCCATGTGTCTCATGTTATGCTCGCGAGGAGACCTGACACCCCGTGGCTCCCTAGCCTGAGTTTTCATGTTGTGGATCTTTTTGGAACGTGGTCTAAAAATGTCTAAAAATCATCCCGCTTGCGGGGTTCACCAGGGTTCACCACCACAAAATGCCTTCCATCGCATATCTTCAGAAGCATTCTTACTCCCAAATGCTGAATCTATTAACAATATTTAACAATTATAGTTTCTTACAATTGCATGTGCATGCATTTGATCACTATGGAAGTGACTTAAGTCCGGCAGTCCGGCATGTCATATGCAATATACAATACTCATTGACTTATTGGTGATGCTGCATGCTGGTAGTTTCAACCGCCCTGAAACGTTGCTGGTCAGTGACGATCATCATCCTAGCTATGGGTGAAACAATATATGCAAGCACCAATTGTAGCAAACATTAGTATAACGAAGATACATAGATGAAGTATTCCGGGCAAAAAACATGAAATCGTATCAAATTAGTTTGTCCGCTGCCGGTTCGGCAACCAGCAAATCAATGCAACATGGGTAGCAACATGGAGCCTCTCCCAAACTGTAAGAAAACAAAGTTGGAGAACATGTCACACCTGGTGTTGTAGCCCAGCTGGCAAGAAACGACTTGTTTGTTATATGAGCATGTTGGAACCGGAGCACTTTTTGGGTTTTCAACTGCAACCCCTTCCCTGATCCAAACCCAGGCTGCAATGGGTATGCTCTGAGGTGCCAGGCAGGTCATGGCATATGGCGACATCGACATCAACCACAACATTGATTTTTGTGTTCCAGTCGCCAATTTTTGTCGGACTCCCAAATCATCAATTCCAAGTTTCTCAGGGTTTCATGTCATTGTGTGGCATAAACTGTTGCTAACATGGTCTGAAGTATTGGGAGGCCCAGCGCCACAATTTTTGGGACCTTGTTAAGGCATCCCAGGCTCCACCGCGCACCAGTTTCGTCAGGGGTCTCACCACGAGGGATGGGTCGCTGGAGGAGAGAGCACACAGCGAAACCTTTGGAGAGAATTTTTGCCCGCCTCAAAACCCAGCCATGTGCATACGTTCAGAATCTTACTGTCTATATATATATATATATTGACCATTCATGAATTGAACCATGGGTTTTGAAATGAATCTACATGTTTCAATCATTCCATGCCACCAAAGTCACCAGAGCTAGGCAGGATCACCCAAGCTTTCGGTGTTGCCCTGCCTATTTCTCCTAGACCAAGCAGACCTTTCAAGGTCTTGAAAGGCGCTGTACATATTGCTGGAGCCTGTCTCAAAGGACCATTGGCCCTCCTTGGATCACAATACCTTCCTGCTCAGGTACGGTGTCATCCAACTTTACCTCAGCTGCACCAAACTGAGTCAAGACTAAGCCATCTGTTTCAGTGCCGTGGGGGATGGATAATCGTTTTATACCCTTTCATTGTTTTCGGATGTACTGTACTGGAAGCATGTGCGCGAGAAGGCAGTGGCAGAAATCGGTTTTGTGCAGCATGACAATAAGAATGGGATGACGATAGCGGTGGTAGTGATGGTAGTGGTTGTGGGAATGGTGGTGGTGGTGGCGGTGGTGGTGGTGGTGGTGGATGACGACGACGAGGCTGATGAGGAATAGAAGGGGGAGGAGCAGGAGGGGGATGGTGATGAGAATGGTGCGGATGGTAATGAGAATGATGCAGATGATGAGGATGACGGCGGTGATGGTGATGGTGATGGTGATGGTGATGGTGGTGGTGATGATGATGATGGTGATGATGTTGTTGATGTTGATGATGATTGGGATAATGCGGATGAAGATATGCGACTGCTGGTTTTGACAATGAACATCAGAAACCGGGCAAATAGCGACTGAACATATTCAACACGCCCCTGCGGTCTTGCCACATGAAATTGCAAATTCAATAGGAGTAACTATCTATATCTATATATACTCTATATTTGTGTCATTGCATTATTTGTCTGCAAATACTTGGCGGAATATCCCAACTGGTGAGGTTCCCAGTTTTTTCACAGTGGCGCCTTGACAAAGAGTGACTGTGATCGTCCATGATCGTCCCTCGCCCCGTGATTCCACGCGTCTCAACGCCAAGAGTCTGTAAGAATGCTTCCTTTGAAATCCACCTGTGGCGCCATGTCATCATGTGCCACATATTTTGAGATCTTGTCACGACTGGCGATCAAAATGAACATGTCCACACTTTAAAAATCACAAGGCTTATCATCCCAACAGTTCCCGAGGGGTGACGACTCGCCAAATCTAAAACACTTCAGATCAGTTCTGCTTTTCGCTTCATTATCATTACCTGGAGTGGCCTGATAGCTTTCGGGCTGTTCCATCCTTTTGGCTTCCTGCAGGCAGCCATGCAAACACCATTACGAAACCTGGGCTTCATTGGATTGTCCGGTCCTTGGCTTTGCTCACGCGGAAGAGGGTAAGCCATCCGTCACCACGCCTGGGGCGTGTCAAATCCCCAAGAGAGGTTAATAGGAATTCCCGCGCCATCCCACGTCATGGCTTATGATATTGCACACGGCTTGGGAGTTTGTCGGCCTTTCCCCATCTTTCCCCTCTAAATCTTTGCCTCAACTGCGAATCTTCAAGCGGCCACAGCAACCTCAGTTTGAGAGGTTCAGCCCACAGCACCAAATGCCTGAGGGCTTAGCATGGCTTAGCGAGTTAATCCCTAAGCCATGGGCTCTTCCATTTTTTGTTGAAGTGTAGGTCCATTTGCAGTCCATGGATCGGCCTTGGCCAGGCCATTGGCGAAGGGGTTTGGAATTCTGGAATTTCATCCTGGCCTGGCTAGTCATGGCTATCCACCTTCCAGGTATAGATTTGCATGATTTTGCGGTGCCGATGTTTTGGCCAAGACACTTGTAAACTGACGTGTTCGTCATCCCCTTTACGCCTGTCAGAACCTGAGTTACAATTCTCACGGGCAATTGCCACGACTTCACGAGAAGCATCACTTTGGACAACTCTAACATTCTGCCAATAAGAAACATCACGTGCGCGATATATGAAGTCAACTGTCTCTGAAAATAGGGTACCTTTCCTCTTCTATCAATTGAATTTCAGAATGTTGGAATATATGAATATGGCATAATTTCATCATCCCCCCCTTTTGTTTTTGCGACCATACATCGCGAGCATGTATCCCTCCAAAACGGGAGGCCCAGGCGTTCAGAATAGCACCTTCCCTTTGCTGGGTTTGTGCGTGGCTATGTTTCAAGTGTTGGTGATGAGTCATGATGGATCCATAACATTGGTCTGCCACCTGCTGGCAAAACACTGCTGTGGGTCACCATAAGTTCCGGATGCTTGAGCCATACCCACCATATCCCACGATGCTCTTGGAAGACAAGTGACTGACCTCCAATATGCCTCTGTTATACTTCTCCACTGCATGGAGAGCGTGCTCAGCATGCGCGAAGTGCAACGTTCCCACGCAGTCCTTGGGATTGGGACTCTTGGAACCGTTCACCAACCAACAAAAAAAATGAAGGCTTTGATTGGCCCTTGAATGCATGGAACTTATGCCAATTGCTGTAGATGCTAGACGATCTACATGCAACCAACATGGCCGACTCCAATTAGATCAGTTGGCATGACCAGTCTTGCATACCCTGCCACCAAAAAAAAAACTGCACCGTTTATGCATTCTACACAAATATATGTGTAATATATAAAGTAAATGTAATGTATATATATATATATATTATGCATAATATAACATATAATTACATATAAAATATAACAACATATATATATATATACAAACTAAATATAACACATACAATAAAAATATACTAATATAACATATAATATATACAACGTAAAATGTAACATGTACTTAATGCATTTATGTAACATATAAAATTACCAAAAAAAACATTTTATAAGTAAAAATGCAATACGTATATGTAATATAAAAATTATAATCTAGATAGTTTGAAAAACAATTTTAAAATAGAACGTAATATAAAACACAAAATGCACAATGCAATGAACCATAGTCATGTATATATACATATACAACAACATACTACAATCATACATAATCATACAATTTCATCACACAAAACACAACCAAATATAATACAAACAAATATTGTATGCTATATTTTTCTTATATACACATGCATATATCATTGGATAGCGATACAGATCCCAACTGGCAACATATTTGAAAAACTAGTGGTCAAGTGGGTTTCTTCAAAAGGCCAATTTTGAAAACATGTTTTCCGGGGCGAAGTTCGTGCTCGTTCCTCACTCAGTCAAGGGGCATTGATAGTACACTCTCCATCGATCGGGCCGACATGCTTTTCAAAAACGGACCTCAGCTGAAAAACAGCCACAGCGGGGTGAACCAAACCACACTTTCACCTGGGCAAGGTCACATGTTTGCAGTTGCAAGGTGCTGCGTTCCTGTCAATTTCCTGCAAGCAAAGGCTATATAGTTGTTATCATTATATTACTGTATATATTAGTATACAACTGTATAGAATAAAATGTCAGGTCTACAATGGCAGGTCCTGGAATGCAACGCGCAAAACGATATTAAACTTATCTGACAAAAATACACGTGATCTACAGCATGTATTTTGGCCACAAGTTCAACGTCCAATCTGCACTGCGAAAAACTAGGTTTTCCTAGAAATATTCTGGTCTTGGCCATATATACACCATTTGACCATTTACAGCCAAAACATTTTCTTGCCCAACAGAATCAACCAACAAGCTTTTTCCAGTTTCAGCAAATTTTGGAACTCTTTGACCCTCACCCTTTCTCTGGTTGTTCCTTGCAGCAAGGACACTTCACGTCACGTGGCCTCACACTCTTCATCAGGTTGTATACCTCATCTTCTCTGGCAGGGCACCGTGGCTAAGCTACACCAAGCTGAGGTTCCTAAAAGGAATCTTCAGTGGGAGCCCCACAGCCCGTTGTAATGCTTACTGTGCCATGCTGTGGACGTGTCTCATCGTGACTCCAGGCTTCCCCACTTTCACACGACGGCATCCCACATTTCGGAGGGTGGGTAAAGTTTCCCACGCAGCCACGCTGGGTCCCATGGGTGCTGGATGTGGTTGAGACTCCTGAGCTGGGCCGAGACTTCGGTCCTCAAGTGGAAGGTTTCTGGCATTTTCTGGCACTCATTTGTGTTGATCTGAGCATATCTGAGCCACCTTTCAACCCAAGATTGACTTCAAATCTATGAAATCCCAAATTGATTCACAACGAAGAAAGTGGTTGCCACGCATTCATGGTAAAACTCCAATTGATGAGAAATCCCCACTTTACACCATGCTTCGACGACTCGAGGCTCGCCGCGCGGTTGCAAAGCCTCCTGGGTCGCAGCAAGGTGGGCATGGAACACGGGGGCGTAGGGGCTCAAGCTTACTGTATTTTTCATTTTTTTTTCAATGGTATCATCTTTAAGAAGCCGAAAAGTTAGAGCTACAGCATTTATGGTTTAATGGCTGTGACAACTTTCATCCATGACCTGAAATGCTGTTGAGAGATGTTTAAAACAGCAAATTGAGCGCCCTAAGGCTGGAATAGTCTGTGAAAGCTTCCAAAATAAATAATCCGGAGTACCGAGTACCCTCGGGTAATTGAACATACCTATGGAAAATCACCATATATCATCGTTTTTCATAAGTGAATCATCTATGGCTTCCATAGCTGTGTTAAATTTCCGTGTGCAAAAACCTCCCGGTCCTCGCCTGGGCTTGCCGCTTAGGTGACTGGGCAGGCTTCCTCGGCAACGGGAATCACTGGGAGCTCAAAAACAGATGTTGCATCCGCAAAAATGGGATTTGACATAGAACATCATGGATTTTTCAATTGGCTTTAATACGGTTTATATAATCAAATTCAATCCAACAAATCTGCACGGACTGACCCGAAAAAACGCGGAGTGCGGACAGCTCAAGCCCCTCTGTCCCCAAAAACATCCAAAAACTAGCACGCATTTCATTCACTTGTGGCTTTTTGGCACGGAAGAACATCATGGTTTGGTAGGCAATGGGATGCAATGGGTCAGCACTGAATATCCAGTGGGATGTGAAGACCAAGGATCTGCACACCCTTAAAGTTCGGAGTAGGCCTCAGCAAAACTGCATTTGACCATGGAACAACACGAAGAGGGCACCTTTTTCCCAACATTTTCGGGTTAGTTCCGAGTTTGAGGTCACATGGGGTCACCCGTTTGGTGTCAGACTGCTGGCTGGCCATTCCCGGAGATCATCGCGCTACTCACTGTTACTCGTGCATGACCTTGTTCTAGAAGGTGATGATGGGTCTTACACCACATGTGCTACAAGACGTGCAAACCCGAGTTGGGGCATGATGACTCATCGCTGGCAGTTGTCCTGATTATGACCAAAACCATCCAAAACCTTTACAGCCCGATGCAGTTGGCAGCAATGAAAACAGGAATCTGAAGCGTGCAAAACATATCACATCATGGCTTCGCAATCCCAAGCCCACCCAAACCCAGCCAAGCAGCATGTTTGCCTCAGGAGATTGCGAAGATTGCCTTGGTGAAGTCAGCATTTTCCCTGGTAAAGCAACCGCTTTACAAAACAGGGTCGGATTTTTCAAAATCGAAAGATCTACAGGAATCATTCTCTTCAAAATAACCCTGGGATTTTACCAATGAAATTTCACCCTGAAAAAAAATCACCTCGGCACTTCCCCATCAAATTTCACCCAACTTCCCACCTGCCGGGACACTGGTACTGTGTCAGTGCCGCCAGGAGATTTCCGATTGGGATCTCGAGGTCCAACCCGACCGAGATCGTGGGTGAGGACACCCCTCAGGTCGACAACGATGGACCCCGATCAGTTGCTGGTTGCTGAACCCAAACCCCATTAACAATGGTTATAACCCCCATAAACCGGAAATTAACCAAGTTATAAAATGTGATAAACCAACTTACCTGTCTAGGGGGGCCCGCCTACGCATTTATCTATCTATCTATCTATTTATGTATGTATGTATGTATGTATGTATTTATTTATTATATCATCTATATAGAGCACCCACTCACACATAGCCACACCGATAGTATATATAATATCTAATATCTAATCATATCAATCATATACAACATTATAATACATTATACTATCAATACTTTGCAAATGTTTGGAAAGTCATTCAACTGGAATGACAAATTTTCCATCACTAAATCTGGCTAAGTTGGCTTGGAGTGAAGAAGTGCCCAAAGATTGGATCGTTTGGTTTAAAAACCTGCCCGGAGAATAATGCACCAATCATTAAACATAAATATACCAAGTCATAAATGTAACGCACCTTCTGCCTTAGTAGTGCTTGATTTCTCACTGAGCTTCCGGCCAGGCGTTCCCTCCTGCAAATCGACCAGGATTTGATAGGTAGATGATCAACAGGGCTATCGATAATTCTAGGATATTCTAGGTTTGTCTGAAGGGGGAACCCCCGAAAAATGATGGGTTGATCATAGTTTATAATTGTTTATCATCATTTTCATCCTTTTGTTAGAAAAATGCCCCTGGAATGGAACATGGGTCAAGCCATTTCATAGTGGACATGTACACAGGGATTCATTTTCCGTATTGCTCCATTTTCAGACAAACCCAGGTGACTTTAGGTCTGCTACAAACAACGAGATTTCGTGGCATGTGAGCCCAAGGACCCGACTATCATGGGATTTTCCTGGGTTCCGGAGCATCTTCCGAAGGCCTCTGAGAATTTTATGTGTGAAGTCTCATCCAACAGGTACAGTAAGTTTGGAAATACTGAGGAAACAATTAGTTTGTTGAGCTCAAGTCGAAATCCATCAGAAAACATTGAAGTCAGGTAATTAGTGATTGAAACAACCACCAAGTCATGGGATGTCTAAGTCATGGTCTAATTGGCAGTCAGTGGCAATCCCTCCGGTCCTTTGAATTTGACCGAATTGTGCTTCTCACACAAGAGACATGAATCGGAAGCGAGAATTGGCCCATGATGGCAACTCGCAAGTCGCACTGCCCAGGGCTGCCGAAGGCAGCACTACAGCTGTGGCTTTCAGGTTTCGAGGGTTCAAATCCAAGCAGAAGCGGAATGAATATGGCAGGTCCACACGGACGGTCATATCCCATGAGTCATGGGGGTCCGAAACAGCCCTGTATCACATCATCTGAACATCATATCAGATCCAACGTTCGTAAGACTTCCTGAAACCGTTGGAAACCTGACACTGCTGCGCAAGGAGCCAGCTGGACTGCGGTCAAGAAAAAATCCAACAGTTCGACCCATTCAATAAACAACACCAGGAACTTGGCTTTTGTCTGCGCATTTTCGTTTTGGAGAAACTGGGAATTACCTCAATTTATGGACATTATATATAATACATTAATACATTGTATATATATATATATGGCAGTTTCATTGGAACAGTCTGGTAATTCTTTGGGTTTGGGGACATCATCAAACAAAGCTATCATCCAAAACTATTGGTTCGACTGCGCATGGAGCCTTTGTCTAGTCTACAGTACGTTGACGGGAAGATGGGGGAATATTCTCTACCTAGGAGCCTAGGACCTAGATCTTTCTTTTGATTCATCTTCGCGAAGAAATGCAATGATGCTTTCTTACCAAACTTAATAATCCAACATATCTACACATATCTAAACATCTAAGCTATTTTGACTCAATGTTTTCGTTTAAACCTTGAACACACACACACATAAGCATTGAAACCGATGAAACAAAACACAAGCTCTGAATCATGGTCTTGTCTCAAGACACAGGACTGTAGCAGCTACGAACTCGAGGCCCCCTGCCGTTCCTGTGCCTTTGCAGCAAGGCTATGCGCTTGCGCCTTACAATGCTTCTAGATCTGGGTTTGTCACAAATCTCTCTCTCTAGGTCGCTTTTTCCAAGGCCCTGTCCAGTAAGGGTCGAGCAACAGCGCGCTGCTCCTGGCCATGCGGATCATCCGATTCACCGATTCACCGTGATTCCTGGAGAAGGGACCCCAAAACATTAGATCCAATACTCAACCAGACTTTCGATGGGTGTGTTCAATATTGGGGGAAGGGATTACACCAGTTGCTGGCTTCAGCTTTTAAAGATGAAAACCATTGGACGCAACATATGTGTGTGAAATTGAGTGGCCCATGAACACCTAAAGTGGAAGTCGAAGCTTTGCGCCCTCTGAAACTTTGGCACCTTGCGCAAAGCTTGCTCAGCAGAGGAAAGAGCGCGGAGCGCGGCTTCCTTCGGAAGTCGGTTCTGATTACATCAGTGGGATATCAGTGGGTTTAGGGCCCGCTTCCACACGGAACGAAGGGATGGTGATGCATTTCAGCAGGCACATACTTAGAACATGTTGCATGAAGTGCTGAATGACGCAGTGCGATGCATGACGTCATGAACATGGCGTCATCATGGCGTCTCATGCGCTCACTTTGCATGGTGTCTGCAGTAGTCGTTCGCCATCTCGGTTTCTTTCTCCGCCCGTCGTTGCCGATTCATTGCATGGGCCCACAGGTCGTGTCATCTTTTGACGCATCACTTCCATCATTTGGAATCCAGCAGAGGTTCTGCATTGATATGTTAAACAAACGCCTGCAGCCAAACATCCAGCCACATCCAGCCGCGAACAGGTGAGCTGCACATCTGCATGTACGTGCACAAATATGCGCAAATGCATGAATAAGCATATACACACGCGACATCACACATATGTATTATATACATATGTCACATATTTGACTGCAGTACTGCAATGTACTGCATAAACATAAATAAATAAATAAACATATACAGTAATATAAATAAATAAATGCTATACTATAAATAAATATATATATATATATCATAATATAAATATATACGTATAGTCTATCTCTCTCTTGTCATCGTCAGTATTGCCCCCTCTTGGTGCCACACGTAGTCTGCGAACTGGATCCGAACCTCTGCCAAGACCAGCATGGCCTGGCGGATGCCCGGGGGGTTGGATCCGATGGTTCCCCCATTTTGTTCACCCATTTTTCATGGGAAGAACCAGGGTTTCAATATAGCTATGGCATATTATGTATTATATGGCTATAGTTCAATATAGGCGTTATATATAACCATAGTAAATATAGCCATATATTAATTATATATATAACCCAATATACTTTCATTTGGCAAGTCGAACTAATGGTTGATATGGTTGGCCGCTTGAACGACAAGCATGAAACAACCAACAGTTCATTGCTCAGCTTAGTTACCTTAGTTGCAACTCATGCTCAAAATCTCACTGCCAGCCACATCACTTGCATCCAAACCTCTAAGAATCTCATCCCCCAAGTGAAGGTTGAACATCTGGTGGTTTCCTAAAATAGGGGTGCCCCATGGTACCCCTAAATCATCCATCATAAACCATCTATTGGGGTAGCCCCATTTTAGGAAACCCTCCATATCCCTTGAAACAGCCATGAAATCCAACCAGAAAGCGCCTTGACATCACCGCCCTCATTGGTTTCCATCCGCACAGCCTCCAAAGCCAGGTTCAGGGCCTGGAAGACAACCGATGTGAAATTTTGGACCCCCAAAAACGATCGAAACATAGGATTTCTAGGACTTATATCAACAATGACAATATGTATGTGTTTTTTTCATGATCATAGTTCCCAACAACATCACAACAAACTATACATCAATGACATCAATCCACCTCATTCATTTTCTACCATAATTCATCATCAAACAGCAAACCACTGTTGCTCCAGTCCTTTCTGGTTAAACATTGGGGCATCTCTGGTGACTACCGTTTGGTTTGTTGCTTGAATCAACCCATGGCGCTCCACATCCCCCAACTATCTCCAACAAATCCCCCAAATGTACCGTTTCAGCGGCCTTTCACCGGGGCCGGCTGGGGAAACAAGATCTCAATGATTTTAGGATTAAAAATTAAAAGAACAAATACAAAGCCATCATTTTTTCATAACAACATCACAACAAACTATACATCCATTTACATGTCTACCATATTCAGTTAAAACCGGTGATGCATTTCATGACGTGTTTGTTATTATTATTTTTTTAAAGACATCTGGTTAAAATATTGATCATCGATAAGAATTATGACGCAATAAAAAATCGGGAACGCACTACCAAACATAGGGATAGAATTTAGCAAGCCTGACAGCTCTGGCTTACTGGCAATACCTAGTAGTCTATCAATGCAACTGCTTTTAGCGGTCTTGAGATCCCAAGCTTTTTTGAAGTCCTCCTCAACTAATGCCACCTGCAGGTGATCAGCTGTGATCATGGCTGAATTTGACACTCGAATAGCGTCCAAAGCCTGAATAAACATACTCATCGATACTCATGGGAGGTGTCCCACCTTCACGCCCAGGGACATGGATCGAATGGATCGAATTGCCAGCATCTGAAAACAACAAATCCACGGAACTTGCTGGCAAGTCCCTTCACAATTCAGAAAAATGGTGTGAATGAAGCACATGGCATGTTTGGTTCTTCAAAAATGTATGCCAACGTAGCCAACGTATGTGAAAAAGATGCCTTTGGGGGCAATGATCTGGTGCAAATTATTTTTCTGAACATGATTTGGTGTAAAATGGTATAAACAACCCGAATATGACTGTTACTTTGAGTTTGTTTTTTTTTAATTTAAATGCTAAATTCCATGCATTTGTTTTCGAGTTTTTGTCCCATGGTGCGCCCAACTTCCTGTTATGCCGTCCCCTCAACGGCATCAGTATTTGCAGCCCTCCGTAATGTGTGGTTTTGTTGGCAATTTCGGCCATGCGATAAATATACTGGGCAACTGCTGGCCCATCCCCTCGAAGAAGGTAAGCAACTAGCAAACAGCACCATCATTTTTTAGCCCAATCATTCTTGATGCCCAAGGTTTCTTGGGATCTAAATTCCATGAATATTCACTAGCTTTTATTTGAACCTTGAAACACAGTCATGTCCACAACATCCCATAAACATCCATAATTTCTCTGAATGAAGATCCATAACCATACTATGCATTTTTACCCATATTCCATACTTGAGAAAGACCTGTACACACATATATATATGTATATATATATGTATATATATAAACATGTATATATATATGTATATATATATAAATATGTATATACTGTATATATATATACACATCACCTTCGGATCACACCTTCACTTTCCGGTCCGTTTCGTGGCCTTGGCCTGCGCCATCATCAAGCGACTTCGCCTCGGGAATTGGCGATGTGTGTTGTCAAAATTTGTCAAATGACATCGATTCTTAAGCTTCTGTCAACTATCACATGATAGCTCTGGTAACTGTTAACTATCATGTATTGTATATATATACAGACATATATATATAATTATACATATACACGCATGTTCAGCATATTCAAAAATTGACCATCTAGTCAATGTCAACCCCGAATCATTGACGCCATTTTGGACACATGTCGTCAATCGACTGGCTCCAAAGACAACACTCTTCACATTCCACCATTTCTGGCATACCTGGTTTGATTGCTTCCCATTTTCTGCCACAACCAATATTCTAATCACGTTTCTAGCTCTTGGGTCATCATCCCCCACATTTTTTCTGGTAGCTCCAGCACATCCCAAAAGCTTTGGGACCATTGTTTTAGGCATGGAAACTCTGAAAACAAGAATAGTATGATCTAGCATGCCTCCCAAAGATAGACAATTTATAATTTAAATTAATTTAAGCATTCGTTTGATATCAGTTAGTAGCATCTTATAGCATCTTACTATCTTTCCCTAGCTTTTTCCAGGCTTGTACAGTTTTCACCATTGAAAACTGGGAGCCCAGGCAGCCGAGGGTTGGAAGGTACCGCCTTCAAACACTCCGGAGGTGGAGCTTGACCTCGGTGGAGGGCTGGTTTCTCTATGTCTGTTCATGTATATTATATTCTTCATGTAGATTTACATATATCATCATGTATATATAATGATATATGATTATATATATATAATTATATATATAATTATATATATATATGTGATTATATTTGTATATATGTTTCTCTGTGTAATTATTTTGCTTTGCATGACTGGATGCCCCCAAGTCTCAGCAAATTTATGGATTCCTCCAGCATTGTACAAGTCCCACCTCCTGCTAGCATAGCTTCGGCCAGCAGCAGGTTCGCCTGGCACTCCGCAGGATCCAAAAAAAAGCCATCCCCTCGGCCTACAGAAAAGTATGACGACAAGTTCCAGACGAAAAAGTGCGGAGTTCTGTCCAGTTCATCCATTTCAAAACCAATCATGCATCTTTTACTTTTTTGAAAACAGAATCACAAGGAAAAGTGGAACCATTCACCAGCTATACACACATGTAACAATGTATATATATATGTATATATATATATATGGGTTTGTCTGAAAATAGTGTACCCCTACACCCAATGGTTAATGATCATTATCCCTACTAAATGGCTATAATTGGGGGTATACCCCATTTTCAGACATACCCATATATATATATATAACACATAGTTCCTTTCCTTTTCCACAGATCCAGCTCCCCGGCTCCGCCTCAGCATCAGATTGTTTGAGTGCCTTAGCTCTGCTGCTTTTTGCTTTTCATAGCTGGAAATTGCAGGAGCTAAGTCTCCCACATGTAAGCGTTTGGCGGCCTGGCGAGCATCAAAGTATATCAACTTTATCACACTCTGGCCATGAGGGTCAACACATGTCTTTCAGACATTCTGATCTGGGATTCCCGAATGAATTGGGGATGAAAATCCACAACATGGGTAAATTATGGTATAATTTACACATATTTATAATGGTATACCATATCCAATCCAACTTTTGAGCATGGCACATTTCAAGACTGCAGCGTGCCTCAATTGCAGTGCGGCCGTGGCCTGTATCCAGCAAGCAAAGCACCACGCCACGCAACGCCTGGTGGTTCGGCTCCCCACTGTTGGTGAAATCATGGCCCCCCTTGGTGGTTCAATGGTCAGAAATGGTCAGAAGGCCCGGTGGATCTACTGCATCAACATGAATGATGTTTTTTCTTTAAGGGACATTTTCACAGAAACCCTGGTAACTGATGGTAACTGTTCCAGTGATTCCAATACCTTTCTTCTTTCATCCACTTCTGAGACAATATGTAGGGTTTTCAGCTTCCAGGTTGGCTACTTTACAGTGCAATTTATCATCAGTGAAGCAACGGTGACACCATCGGCATGGAAGCAGCACGGTGACGGTCTTGGGAAACTCCGTTTCTTTCTTTGGAAAATCATTTCGTTCGCAATATTGATTGGATAATGTGATACTGTATATCTTTATCATTGCCAGTTCGTCATAGATAAATGATGATAAATGTCCATTATCATGTACAATTTGGAGAAACTTCACTTGCCAATGGCAAGTCACCAGCCCATCTGCCTCCGTGTTTGAGCCGTCACTGTCCAGGATCTTCCTTCCAAATTTGGTGTCCCACTGCCCCCATTTCGGTTGGAATTGCTGGTGGGGTATCCATCCGCAAACATGTGGACTCTCTGGATTTATGTTCACAACATTGTTAAGTTTTGTTGCAGAAATGAATGCACGTAGTATGTACTGTATATCAATATGAACTGAGTTGTAGTCATAAATCATACATTATAAAACACTTATAAAACTATGTGCATGTGTGTGTGTGTGTTTGCATGTCTGAAAAATCTAATTTAATATACTAGTAATTTAATATATCTAACCTATCTAATCAATCTAATCAATCTAATATATCCAATCTATCTAATCTATCCAATCTATCCAACCTATCCCATCTATCCCATCTATCCAGTGTAACTAATCTATCTAACACATCTATCCATCTATCTATCTAATATATATATATATATCTCTCTCTCTCTCTCCATCGCCATCTCCACTGGTGAGACTGACCTATCTAATTCATCTAACCTATCCAATCTATCTAATTAATGTATCTAATCTATCTAATCTATTTTAATCTAATCTATTCTAATCTGATCTAACTATCTCTGCCGAAATCTCACACGATATATCAACATGCTCAAGGATGATTTAGGGAAACTTCCAGCGCATACGAAGACATATTACGACACGCAGTCCTGTACATGGTGTACGCGTGCTGCAAGTTTCCATTGGCTCGTTCATCATCTGCCTGTCACATCTGCAGTTGCACTGTCCATGATCCAACCTTTGAAGCCCCAAAATGGCCAGTTCATCCATCTTGCATGCTTGAATCATATTCCAAAACCATTCGCTGATTGATTTTCAAACTATAGTAACTATAGTTATATGATGCTATATGGTTATTCGCAACGTATCTATACAGGTAAGACCGTAAGACCATGGTCGTGGTCAACTTTTCCAAGGTCATCGACACCAGGATCCCCCCCAATAGGGGGCCTGTTTCAAGGCGCCCCCATCAGATCTGCCTGGGAAGGACGTGGCTGGAAAAGCCCAGAAGTTGCACATGCCTAGTGCCTAGTGAAGGGGCCTTGAAAAAATTGGGGTGGTTTTTGTCAGTTTTGAAGTGCCACCGAAGATTTTTCCAGGTGAGCCATCGGGTTAGGTTTAACCAGCCTAAGTTGTTTGCAGCACTTGGGAATCTGATTTGAAGACAGGATAGGGACAAGAAGGTGTGTTTGTTGGTGTTCCCCAGATCAATCAGGGATGACCTTAATATCTTTATATACTATGTGGGCATTCACGTTGCATGATGCATATATGAGTATATATGAGTTGATGCGTCTACGAAATTCTGAATGAGTAGAGGCCCCGAACTCAATACTAAAATGGCCTTGCCAGCTAGTCAAACGACCAAGCCTGACGAATCCAAAGCGATATCAGGCGATGCTGTACGCTTTTTTTTCGCCTGTTTTCGTTAACACTTTGGACCAAGGAGCAGTAGAAGGTTTGCCTCAGCCCTGATGGGATCTTAGCGAAAAGATGCGAAAAGCCGTCTCGAGGTGCTTCATCTTGCACTATGTCTGATGTCAACTTTTCTCTACCCAGATTTTGATCCGAACTATCATTTTGTTATATTTTGTTGGGAATATTCATGTTTGATCTACATCACTAACATCTCTTCAAAACATGTTCAAACTAAGGCCAGGGGATGGAAGGAAATCTTGCTGGACCTCTAGACAAAACTCAGAATGGGACAAAATGCACGGATGTTTCATTTAATATAAAAATACAAATATAAAGTAGCTTGTTCACTTCTCCTCATCTATCTCCGCAATGCCTTCCGTTCCTGTCCGTCATCCATATACTTGAGAAACCATGGGCGAAACGTGTCTTGAGACAACTTTATTCTTACCCACACCAGCTTACACCAGCTTACGCATTGCTTGGCCATGGAAAGACTCTGCTCCGTGCGAGTTTTTCATCAGAAGGGCTTAGACAGCTTGTTTGTCGTCTCCTTCTTTGCTGACCCTATACTGTATTTCTCATGGCCTAAGTGCCTCTTGCCTGAAAAGATACACATCATTGCCTAGGTACTTACTTTTATCAGTTTTTGGCTCTGAACTCTGGCTAAGTCAAACTCCATGCCAAACTACTCCATACATGACCTGGAAGTGAACATTTCATCGTAATCGCCATGTTCACACGTTTCCTCACATATATACATCTTGACTTACTGGACGACAACTAAAGCTTGCAGGGTCGCAAAGGCAACTCCTTCCACTTGTGCCTGAAAACTTCTGAAGCCATGACTTCCCCAACAAATTCTGCATTGAAACAATCTTTGACGATCCAAATGATATCCAGAGAAAACTTGGATTTTCTATGGCTATGCATTGGGTGCATCACTCCCCGGGTGCCACATTTGCTACCGGGCTACGCAAGCCCTGGAGTCTCCCTCGCCCGACTTTGGGGCCAGGGGACGGGAGCCACCTGTGGGGGGGTGACCTGTATGTTACATGTCCATCCTCCAAAAACGTCGGTTGCACAACGGCAATCACTCGCACAATAGTTGTCCATCCTGGAGTGAAAATTTCCGTAATGCTGTTACATTCAACCTCCTGTTCAACGAGAAACGAGTAATGATATTAATTGCATGATGGCCTTGGTCAATTATTAGATGATATTGTATGGGCATTGTTCACATGATATTCACTCACTGGATGGGTGCTATCGATTGCATATCGATGTCATTGGGCTTTTGAACCTCAAAATGTGCAAACCCACTGTTTGCATTAGTCACTGCTGATCACTTTGCCGTACACGTGATGCAGCCACAATCCTCAGATCGCGGGGATTGGGTCACTGAGCCCAGGCATGTCCGGCAAATCAGGGAATTCCAAGCAGCATCCCCCAAAGTTTCTATCATGTGATTTATCCAATACCACCCCAAATCTGGAAAATCTATATGTTTTTATATATTCATGGCATCTATCAGATAGAATCTGCATTTATGTCATGTTTCTATATGTTTCTATCATTTCCAGCCCAAAAATATGAGGGACTCTGAACTTGGCATAACTTGGCCGTGGCGCTTGATATCTTGCAGCGCCGTGGCCGCAAGGCCCTCGTGGATCTGACGGACCAGGGTCACATTCTGGTCCCGGAGCCGGCGGCACTCCTGGGCCGTCCATCATCCCGGAGGTACATGGAGGGTCAATGGGAAAATCCATGGGAAAATCCTATGGGTCAATGATGGTAAATGTTACATTAATCCTATGGGTCAATGTATAACCCTACTCTAACCCATAGGATCCATGTATGGTATATATATGGTAACATTTACCATCAATATACCCCCAATGTTAGCATATATATATAGCATACATGGATCCTATGGGTAATGACGAATTTGTAGCAATTTACTAATTCATGATGATTAATCATGATTAATGATGATTAATGATTTTTGCCGTGTTTCAATGGCCTTTTGAAAGATACACCCCTTTTTCAGCCACACGTAGACACATCCACATTGAATGGGTCATTGTTCTAGAAGCATTCCATCATATCCTGCATTTCAAATCATTTAAACATGCTTGAGTCCCTCGGTTTTTGTGGCTTGATTTAAGCCATAGTCATACTTGCCGCAAGAAGTTCTAGCAGGGGCACCTATGCGCAGTTGACCTTGGGTTCCATCACGATCTGAGCCCTTCCCTGCGGGTTGCCAACCGAGCCTGCCAATCATATCATCCCATGTATCTCTGAAAATAATTCCACATCAATCATCAAGATCCGTGATTTGTTCATATTTTTTCTATCCATATGTTGGGGATGGAAACATCGTATCATCCCTTCCCCCCCAATAATCTCCAATATAATTAATGGATGTTCCCATGATATTCCCATGATTTCCCCATGATTTTCTTCATCTTTCCCCAACTTTCTCCGTCCTCGCGTAGAATCTCCTTCTGTTCGGCCAGCTCAGCTGCTCGGGCATGCGCAATGGACCTTGGCGCCCTGACTCCACCGTCTCAATGGATTGGTTTAAAGGGACCTCAACCGGAAACCGGTGTTTTCTTCCATGAATTATGGGGGAGTTCCCAATTTTTCCCTTAAACCAATCCACTGATACCTGATCAGGAATGATTTTTGTTAGCTACAACTTAAACTCAGCTAGTAAAGAATGAGGAATCGCTTCAATAGAGTAATCTCAGCAAGCTAACCTGAGCTCCTTCCGTGGCTGGATGATCCGCCAATTGGGTGATGAACATCTAAGAAGTTGAAGCCGCCGGAGTTTGTTCTTCCCGAAGGCAATAGAATGGCATATGACTATGGCATACTATGGCCATCTATGACCATTCTTTACTGGAATGAACTGGGGATATACCCCGTTTCCACGCTTTGTCAACTCTGAGGTTTATCTATAAACAGTGATTGCATGCGATTGCAACCTCGTGTCATCATTTTTCTGATGATTAATCAGATTAATCATACTTTTAAAGGATGCGCTAATTGTAAGAGCCTGTGCCATTGCCATTTTAGATTTGTGTAGGGATGTGTAGGGGAAGTTGCTAGTGCCCCATGGCTGGCCATACCACTGGTATTGTTTGGTTACGAATAATGCACAACTGAGCTGAAGCACTCCGCTGCTGCTGCACGTTGTAAATGCATTGCTGCAGCGGCCTCCGGTCAAACGACACCCCGCATGATCAGCGGGGGATGAATGGTGGGAATGTCCTGAAATCAGCCTATTTTATCGCACGTTGCCTACAGTATGTGAGATGGGAAACCTATACAGGTATGCAATTCTATATCGATTTTCAGATTATCATAGATTATCCAGTTCTTGGACTCACCGATATCTACATATCCGATCATATCCGCTACCTTGACCTTTGAATTGGTCCCCCAACTCATCCCAACCCTATTTCATGCAGGTTTTTCGCTCCCTGGAACGGGCCATCCACATCTCCGTCGCCTGGTAATTCTCCGCATCCAGCCTTGGGGCGACAGTGTGACCCAGCGACCAAAAAGCCAAGCCATGGAGGCTTGAAGAAGAACCATCGGCTATAACGCCACTAGAATACAAGTACACACACACACATATATATATATATATGTATGATATATCTATATATATATATTTATACACTTGATTTTACATACTTATGTTTGACATTATTTGACTATATACTGTCATCCCTCCCTCTTCAGGGGGGTGGGGCGGGGTTAGCACTGACCCCGAAATATTTCAGCTAAAAAAAATTGGTTTATATATGTATATATATATATATATACATTTATACGGTAGAATCAGGCACCGGAGGATGTGGTCAGGTGCATGCAAACCAGCTGAAGCGCACATTTCCATGTTTTTTCTCTCCCCAAGCTTTGCTTGAGAAATTTTTGAGGGGGGGAGGTGCAAAACCATAGCATTTTACAGCTCTAGAAGCCACCCCCCCAGAAATTCCATTGCAGCACAAGGATTCCGTCCGTTTCTGAGAATCTTCAAAGACCAGCGCTAAAGTCTGACATCCGTAGGACCCCCCGCCCACCTCTTTTGGAAGCCCAAAAAACAGGGGTGGATATTATTTCATGTGGTTGGGCGAACTGTTTCTCAGAAATTTCTTGCCTTACCCACCAAATATTCCAGGGTTTAAGGGGGGAAATATACTGTCCATAATGCATTCAAACATTTGTGATATATATATATCGCCCAGGCTCTGAGATGCCATGTCCTCAAACAGTTCATGACCTCGGGACCTTGGCAAAGGATGTGGCCATCGTGAAGCCAACGAGAACTGCCTCCCCATTGGCCCAAAAAATGAGAAAACTCCAGAAAAACCTGGGAAAGTCCTACCAAACTCAATATACTATAAAGATGATAATAATATATAATAATATATAATAATATATATAATAATCATAATTAGATGGAAATTTGTGAAACTTTGCTGAATATGAGTGGTCTGTCTTGGAATCCCACTGGATAAGAAGCTCAGGGACGAAGAGAATATCTTTAGCCGGAAGTTTCGGAGATGTACAGTGTAGGATATCTACCAGTTATGATTGTGGGTCTACGATGGTCGATTGGTTTGTCAAAAAGGGGATGCACCAGTTTGTGGCCACCTTTTGGGAAACTACCGGGTTCGGTATATTTCTGCGCGATTTCTGTGATTTCCACCTGAGTCTGGGTGTTTGGCTGGCACAAATTTGAAGAGATCTTCCCCAAATCCACCCGGATATCACCAAAAATCCCTGGATCATTTGGGAACATCCCAGGAAATCTCGGGAAAAACATGAACAAAACATCATTTTCCCAGTCAACGTCCTAGATTTCGTGCCCCAAAATGCCCCTGCTTCAGCGCGAGATCAATGGCCATGGCAGTGGCTTCAGATTCCGAAAGCCTCGCCTGGCTTTCGGAAGGTGGTTTCATGTGGTTGAACCATCCTCATCGGGCACCCAAAATGAATAGCACCAGTACTAAGGTGGGATATTTGATACTGGGGTTATTGTCGAACTATGATTGCGCCTTACGTATCCTTACATATCTTACATCAATGAATGCATGCACATGGATTATCTGCACGGTGATACATCCCACTGCTGGAACATCACCAAAAAGCAGTTACTAGTGATTGTGGGATGGGGATTGTACACATCCAGCTGATGGCCAATGTCGACACTAGATTCTTAGATGGTTGTGGAAATCCTTATCTTCAGCCGCTACCAAGAGTCTTGGCGGATGCTCAATTGAAGTCTGGATCCAACTTCAAAATTCCTCTGATTTCGGTTGCGCAGAAATCTGATGACCTCTAATATCTATTGAATCTATTGATATCTCTTGAAATGAACACCTGACATGTTATGAAATGTTAGCTGCGGTTAGTTCTCTTAGTTGTTCATAGCTATTCATCTTTCTTCACGTCTGCGGCCTCGTCGTATTTGTGCCGCAGCTTCTCATTCTGCGTGCGTAGGGCTGCAATCGTCCGTTGGGACCTGGAGTGTCTTGATGCCGGTGATCTAACCGAATCTAAGGGAATCCAAAATCCCTGAACATCCATGGATCTACCACCCAACTGTCAAAGATTTTACCTTTTGAAATAAGGATTCCGTGAAATTCAAGGGACCAGAATGGCAAATGCCAATCTCCAGTTCTGGCCTTTGCGCGGCATCGGCGTCTGCCACGGACTGCTGCTCCAACTGCAACATCTCTTCCTGCGGGATCAAATTAGTGAAGTCGACCAAAAGTGGTCCGTCGTTTCCCGCATTCTTGCGGCTTTACCTCCGCATCGGAAAGAAGAAATCACGTGAAACCACTATGTCACCTATGTCAGTTTGATTCAACGCAACTTCTTTGGGGGAACTTGGGGAAGAAATCCATGGCCCCACCTTGAGATCAAAAAGCTCCAATTGCAAAGCTTCAGCAAAGGCTGTAGCCTCGGTTCGTGGGCACCGGCGTAGGGAATGGTGGGTAACTAGGTATTGCATCGTGCCAACTCTTGGAAACGTGCAATACACTCCTCGGGAACCTACAATTTCCTTACGCCTTACAAAATTGGTGGGTACACGTAATTACTTCACCATGCCGGTATATCCAAAAGATTGGCAACAACATAGAACAACGAAAATTATCCACACGTGGCGTTTTTCACCAAGAATATAAGTGGAAAGCACCTATTCAACAAGCAATCATGATTCATGATGATGTTGAGGAGATTTACCGCAATTTATGGCAAGTTTACTGGAGACGATGATGATAAACCATGGTTTTTAGGGGCTTCCGGATGCAAGACCCTCATATGTGACATGGCCCACGGGCCTCCTCGTTCTGAACCAGATCTGCATGTGGCTGGTTCACCTCCAAACACCTCAAGCCTCGGTCCAAGCAAATATGTCGCAACAAAAATACTGTGCATGTCACTCTGTCTCCCTACTGTATGTAGTTTTTTTCACTGTAATTCAATAACCTGGTGTAGAAGAACATTTAGGTACAAAACTGCTATTCGGGGACAGAAAAGGTGGCCTCAATATCCAACACAGAAACCAAGTGTATTCTTCCACCACCTACACCCAGCCTTCACATTCTTTCTGCACTCTGGCAAGTTCCGTGTTCAGCCTGAGAGAGCGAAGGCAGAACTGGTTGATGGCCTTCTGAAAAATATGGGCCATGCATGCGAGCCCATGTCAACCCACCTTTTCCCAACCAACAGAAACGATTGTGATCACCTGCCCCGTGCGCCTTGCAAGTTGCCTCGAGTATTCAGCAGCTTCCAATCCTGGCCATGGATTGCCATGGATGACCTATTGGAACATCTATGGGAAGATCTCTGGTCCTTCTGATCTCCATTGGCTGACTTCTTCCAACAGAACCTTGGTAGAATGGGCTGCCAGAATGGCACATTGCATCATCTTCCCCTCCTGATTATTGCAACTAGGTCCACGAAGGAGCCTCGGACTTTCCGGTGACTCACCTAATGACCCAAATTGGGGTATCAATGGATGCATGAATGGCTGGAATGGCTGGTAATTTCTGGTATCAAAACGCTTCAAAACATCAAATTGTTGGAGGTCAATAGTCTCGAGCCATACCCACTTTGATTCAGGCAGGAAGACACAGATCGTAGTCTTTTGCGGGGCTACTTCCAACTACTTCTCACATCTGCAGACTTACTTAAATCATCTTAAATCTACACAATTCTACAATCTCTTTGTGTTCAGCTTTGCCAATTCAGCCTCTTGCAGCCATGGGGCATCATGTTTGATCTCCATCTGCAGTTGAGCTTCCTTCAGCCTTGGTTTGTTGTCATCCCATTCCCCCAGTATCAGGTACCTACAGGACCTACTCAAAATCCCGGGTTCAGAATTGGATCCATGCGCTTTGGATAGGGGATGGAACTCAAAGAAGGCCACCCTGCTGGTATCAACCTCCCACATCTGGCTGAGCCGCTCAAATGCTTCCTGCTGCGCCAAGGCAGTAGAGAGCTCAATGGATTCCAGCTCGCGATAGCAATCCTGGAGGCCATGCCAGGGTTGTTTAGACGGAATTCTGCATTGGGGTGATAGGTAAATCCTAACCTTTTTTGATGGTAGTTGGTGATTCATAAGCTGTGTTGGCTGAACACTGCATCACTTCACCAACACTGCCAGCAGACTTTGCAGCACCAAAGCCATCTGCAATGTTAAAACTGGCAGGTCAGTCAATGTCAACAGGCTGCGAATGACATCCTATCAGCAATTTCACCAATCTGGCCAAGCATCCCCTCGAATACGCTCACACATATTCTCCAGTGACGAGCCTGTGCGGTCCTCACTTTCCTCAGTCACAAAATCATTTCTTGTTCCATGACCCCGAAGGTGACCCCTAAGGTCTTAGTGGTTGGTGGTAAGGCAAATTCATGGGGCATCCCAAAAAAGGCCGCTTCAAGCCGCATACAGAAAGCCCAGCTTCCACCTCCGATTTCCTCGACTGCCTTGGCTGAAATGCCATGAAGTTCAGGGGCCCTAGTGGTGCAACATGTGTCCCAACATGTCCCGACATGTCCCAACATATACAGTGCAAAGGAAGTTTCATTGCAATCTGGAGTTGATGTTCTTGAGCTTTACACCTTCCAATGTGGCGAGCTTGCGGCATGCTGGTCTGTGCATCTATGAAGGGTCATGTTTCGCAGGTGCTAGGCCGCTTGGCAACACAGGCACTATAGCTCTCAATAGCATCTGCAAATACATGCTCATATGCGCTATATATCACACATGTTTACTTCCCTTGAAATTTTGGGAAACGGGTTGCGCACTTCCTAACTCCAGAAACCTCACTACGAAATGAAGTGTTCAAGGGCAAGAGTGCCGAAAGTGCGGGGTCCTACAACACCAAACGACCATCATGGTCAATCGTTCAGCAAAATGTACATTCTCAAGTCAACACAAACATGGTGGTGGTTTTGTAGTGGCAGTTACGGGATACGGTATACGGATGACTCAAACGCCGACCCAATCAATCATTTCTGGGGCGCAACCTCCACCAATCCCTTCATGAGGCTGTGGAAATTCTAACTGTCACCAGCGGTTATATTTTGTCCTTTCATACGCCCATACTTAGCCCATACTCCACCTTCTCGGAAATGTAATCTGGCAGGTGGTTTCCATTCACATCATTTCACATCATCCACTTTGCCCGAGGCCAACTCCTCTAGATGTGGGCTGTTTCTTTTTTTGAGTCGCTCTAAGCCAAGCAATTGGCGATTTTGGCCTCAGGTTTGCTGATTTCCCTTGGCGCCTCATTTCAAGTTGGGAAGCTCTTGCGGCGAGTTCCTGCTCTCTCTGTCTGACCTGGCCCCAATAATGCGGCTACATCTGCCACCATCGGTAGGGGAACTTCGCAAAAATGGAGAGAATGAACCTAGTCTGAGGACTATGCTGTACAAGTATTGACCTCCACACCGGCTATGAGTCATATGTTTGAGGACCATTGTCTTTCTTTAAGCCCTAGCTCAATTCATTCTAGTTACCACAAAAATTCGATCATGAAGCTCAGACTGCACGGTTGAGACACCCCAGGGTCACAGGGGTCACATCAACCCCCTGTTTTGGTGCAAGACGCCTGCTGTGCATCTTCGCGTTGCTTTGCGGCAGTCTCCGACCTGCTGAAGGCAAACACGATTCCCACATTAAATGAATATGGGAATCCTCTCTGGCAAAGTGAGGATATGGATGGATATGGTTGGATATGGTGGGTGCGATTGCACAATGGTGACGTTTATCTGCGCAAAATCCGCCCAAAATCCTGATGAAAAGAATCGATTTTGCAAGTAGACAGTGGGATTCAGTAAACATCAGTACACATGAATACGTAACCACCAGTAGTGGAGACTATAAGCACCAACAGAATAGGGGTGTCAAAAACATTCCAATCATCCCAAAATTGAGTTGTCTATATGGTCTCTGAGCTGTCGTGCTCCTGTTTGGGAGACGCATGGAGACGCCTAACAGCTGCAGCCAATGCCGGCCTTTGCACTGACACGTCCACCAATGACTTCTTCAGCTTTCGAACATCATCCTTGAGGATTTGAGGACAGCGCAAGGATGGTATCTGCCAGCAATTTAGATTGACATTGAGGCAACAATATTTAATTTACATGGCCCTCATCACGTAATAAGGCGTAAAATCATGCAAAATCAGTGTCAAATATTAGACATGACAATCTGACGCAAGGATGTCCAACATATTGCTAATCATATTTCTTTGGGAACAAATTCTGGGCATGTTTTCCCGTCCTGGGCTGCCAAAAGCTCCACCTGATACGTCAAAGCTGCCTGGCAATGCGGAATCCACTGCAAGGTATGCACCCACCATCACCCAACATAAGTACAAACTATAAACATACTACAAACAAATGTACCGGAAATGTACTTCTCATTATACGGCGGCTTAGTTTTTCCCCCATATCTAGGTTTACAGCTTACACCCTCTTTCTGATTTGAAAGGTGCCCTCCACATGTTAAGATAAATATGGAAAACCCACGGCGTTACCTTACTGGAGGGAAACCACATATTCATAAACCCCAGTTGGTTTTATTGAGCAATGGAATATCAATTTTGTTCGGAGTAGCCCGTCATGAATCAGCCAGGGCACCCATGTATATTAGATTCCCATGGGTGCATGGGAGCTACGTTACGTTCGAGTACGCTTCTTTGATTGGCCAATGCATTTCCCATGCATTTCCTAGTTGTTTATTTCATGCTCATTTTTTGGCCGCAGGGCAGGTATCCAAAAAAAACAACTAAAGAAAACCTTGACTAGAATGTGTTGAACAAAATTGGTTTATAGTCTTCATCTTGGTTTCAAAAATCGAGGGATGTTTCGCCATTGTTGACCAATGTCCGCGTACGTAACCGATGGCTTTCAAACCTGCCAGAAATGGATCATCGAGGATCCCCGGATCCGAATTTTGGTCTTGCGATGTCTGACGTGATATCTTGGGACTTTGGAGATCTGTATGCACCAAATATTATACCCTCTGGTTATGTCAAAATAGCTATTGAAAGTGACCATCTATAGTGGATTTTCCCATTAAAAATGGTGATTTTCCATTGCTATGTTAAATTACCAGAGGGTATACATGCAATACACGCATATGTACATATGGACGCATTCATTTACTTAGATATGTAGATATATCTCACTAAATAGTCAATTCTAAATACATACATAAATAAATAAATACATGATCAATGATCATTTATATATGTATATATACACATATATTATATGCATAAATTGAGATATATCTATGAATATATATATATATAGATAGATATTTATATATATATATATCTCTCTCTCTCTCTCCATCGCCTTCTCGAAGAGTTCAGCTAAGCTAAGGGCATATCTATATATATATATATTAAATTAATCATTCTTTTTGATCTTTTTGTCTAGAGGATATGTCAGAAAGATCTGCAACCACTATAGCGTCAAGCGATTTCCGGGTCCTGTTCCTCCAACTTTGAGCTCCGGTTGGCCTCTTTGTGAGCACCTCGGCCCAGGTGATCTGTGACATTGCGCCATGAACATCATTGGAATATCATCACCAATGGATTGGCTTAAGGGAAAATCATGGAAAATCTACAGGAAACCAACGATTTTCCCATGAAATATGGGGGTTTCCTGTAATTTTTCCCTTAAACCAATTGACATCAGCTTCCGAGCAACTTTGATATTCTTCTTGCCACTCTGCCAGCTCCACTTCCGCTCGCCTCAATCCACGCGCTGCGGTTGTCGTGTGGTACCACGACTTGGCAGCGGGTTTACTGCCCAGGGACTCCAAAACAGCTTCTTCAGAGAGCAAACCTGGGAGCTGTGGCTAGCGGGCACCAGTTGAGACTGGGAATGCGATGATGTGGGCAATGCAAACTGGAGAGAGAGAGAGAGAAAACAAAAAAAACATATACACACACATAATTACTACACATACACATACACGTATACACATACACACACACGTTACATTACATTACATTACATTACATTAGATTAGATTAGATTAGATTACATTACATACACGCACATATGTATACTGTATATATATATATACACATACATAAGCCAGTCAAATTCAATGAAAACTGTACGCCCAAGAAAACTCCAAAGCAAGACACAGCTCATGATCAATATCAAAATATGCAAGGTAACGGTAAAACATTGGACATCCATTGGAAACTAAATCAAATATGGTAAATAAATTTGACATCTAGATTTCTTTCCCAAACAATGCCCCAAACAAGACGATCAAACTAACCCATGGCCCATGTCCCATGGTGTTTGAGGTCATGACCCTGCTGGTAGAAACCCACTTTTTGCGACAAGTCTTGCAGGGCAGTCCCTTGCTGTTGGAATTCCTTGGCACATTGAGAGAGCATACTGGAGACATCTGGGGACATCTGGAGACATATGCAAACTATGAATGGAGGGGAGATAGTGACACGCTATGACACTCTATCACCACCACCGCTACCATCACCACTACCATCACCCAAGAGTCTTCTCGAAGCTCTTCCATCGTGTGGCTTCGACGTCTAACCTCCATCTTTCGAGCGCATATGGTGAATGTGAATTCCTCATGAGCATTTCGAGTTGTGCAAGAGGGCGGGCCTTTCTCTCCATTATAGCTGGCTCTTCCATCAAACGAGTTTAGGCTAGTTGATTCACCTGGTCTACAATAACTAATAGGCATCCCTTGGCAAGGCTACGGTTCCCTCAAAACGTTGGTGATTGGGGATCATAGTCACAAATAAATGGTAACCAATCAAATCATTAAACATGCGAAACACAGACCTCCGCCCATGTGCCTGCTGCTGCCGGGCTGCCTGTTCTTCCAACATGCCTTGGTTTGTCCCAATCTGGAAGGGTCACGAAAATGCGAGACTAGATCATATCATATATAATACTATATATCATATAAGGCGTTTTAATACTATATCATACTATATCTGCTTCATGACAGGTTTACGGAAGTAAACAATATAGCCCTTGCTCTTTCCTGACACACAACATGCACGTCACTTTAGGATCATCACAAAGGGAGATTCCTAGGTCTCTGGGTCTGTGCCCTGCGAATTTCACCATGGGACTTCCAAGTTCCTCTTGTGATTCTGCCAGCATCTCTAAGTTCCTAGGTTGCAGGCAGGATCATTCATGGAGTCCAGCATGGCTGCTCTTGGCTAACCAATCACTGCTTAAGTGGGGGTTAGGACGCATATGTCATTGTCAAACAATACTAAACACATATAAACACATATAATATGTGAACCAAACACATGATAGTTCTCAGACCTATTGGATAATACATTGATTTCTCGGACCTAGGACATTGATTTCACCAATTATTACGAAGTCAGACTTGCTCCATCACCTCTTTACATTACATCCTACTTCTGAGCAGGGTTTCCCATTTCCGAAGTTCCGAAGTGTGGTCATCCACTGCAGCTGTGCTTCTGAATGGCCTGTTCGTTGTCAAGCTTGGCCAAACCTGGAAGTCAAAATGCTGGGATGAAGAGGTTGCCAATTGCCATTCCATCAATTCCATCACCACATCACTCGGGGGGAGGGAGTACCGTGATTTTTTTCAACGGAGTAAGCCTGAGCAAGCATCTAATAAACCGACCAGCTTGCGGGCACCCAAGGTTGAGACACACCCATCATGTAACATCATGGGAATTAACTATCACAGCTTGGGAGGATGGTCTTCCTGGCAACTTGTCATTGCTCTGCAGGCCGCCACCACAGCTACCAATCTCGACATTGCTAGGAGAAGTGGACTGAACCCATCTAGCAAGTCCGACCCAAGTTCCTCTTTCTTACAAAAATAACTCCGGAAAAAAATATATTTTTCAATCCAAGTTTTCTTCTGCGGCTCCACATGGCCATTGCCGAAAGCTACAGTGGGGTCGCAGTACTCCCAAGCACTGCATGAGAATCGCCTTGTTGTGTGACCTCCTTCCGTAGCTGGCAGATTTCCTGCAGAGGGAGTCAAAGGTGGAACGTGATGGGTATGCGATGGTATGCGGATGATTTTCCCAACGCAATATCCTGATAATGATACTGATGATCATAATGATAATCATTCATAGTGACGATCTCTAATGTGTTGGATATTGTTTTTTTTGTGGATCTTTCGCTGCATGGTGGGGCCAACCATGTTTTTCTTTGGGCTTTAGCCTAGCCAGAAGGCCATTCCCTGCCTGGGCATAGCTCTGCTGCACTGCTTCGCTACCAAGCTTTGACCTCAACTCATGGGGTTCATCGCTGATACCTGGTCATCTGACCCCAAATCTAAGAATTTCAAGCTCGCAAACTAGATCTGGGATGGTTGGCCTCGTTTTATTGCTGAAAAAAACTGTTACAACATGTTACAACCACAAGGTTGCAGATTTCGGCATTGAACCAAACCATAAGCATCCATACAAGCTATAGGGAGCGAATCATCAGACTTATTCAAACAACATGGAGGTTTCACTGGCTTTAGCCTCCAAAATCCTTTGCTGGGGATCCCACTGTTCCACCTCTCCGTGCAGTGCTCGGCATTCCTCGGTATCGGGGCATGGTAAAAGAAACATCTCTACCCGCAGGTTTTACCCCGGTTCCAATCAAATTTGCCTGACAACTGGTTTGCGGTTGCAGCCTGGCCACAAGACACACCAGCCGACATCGTGAAATTAGGCTTTTCCCAAGAAGAAGATGTTTGAAACTGTTTGCGAGTTTGGAATCTTCCCTTTGACTTGGCAGCTAAAAACATCTGAGGGTTTCCTAAAATAGGGCTAGGGGTACCACCAAATCATCCATTGATAGATAGATTTTCCCTTCTAAACATTCCATGTCGGGTACCCCATTTATGGAAACCCCTATCCAGATACATGAAATCAATGCCCCATGCTGACAGTCGCTCCGTGCTGTGAAAAACCAAGCTGCCATCTGATGGCGGAGAAGGGTCTCCTGCGTCGTTGCCACAAACTGTCATGGATGACAGCCAGGGAAATCAGAATTGGTTGAAATAACCTACCACATATAGATATAGGCATAGATATGAATAAGATAGAATAACATGGGTAGATGGAGAAAGAATGAGAAAGAGTTTCGCAGTGATATAGTAACAATATGTAACAATAATCAACCAAATCCGTGATGGCTAGGATGTGGGAACCAACCTCTCGTCAGGCCTGGAGCTCATTGATCTCGTGCCTCAGGAATGCTTCGTTCATGTGGTTCCAAGATGGCGCTGGGGAACCAATAGGTTCAATTAAGGGGAAGGTTTCTGAAGGTCAATTGCTGGCTCATATATCAATCTTGCAGGCCCCCCTCTCTCTCTCTCTCTGAATTTTCCAGCCCTTGATGGTTTCAAGTCTGCCACGTCTCCTTAGACGGAGCAAAAGTGATGCTGTTCCATCAGCGGTGATCTTCTGATGTGTGTCATGAAATCTCTTAATCTCTATAAAATAGCCTGGCATCTCACAAGTCTCAAGACTGGGAATGGATCTCCCGTGTTTTTGGGTGATCCGTTTCTTAGAGAGTTTCCAGTCTTGGAACAATGTTGCAGGGCGTATGAACTCGCGCAGCTGACCAAATGAAGGGCAAAGAAAACCTGCGGCCATTGTTGCAAGAGAAAAAGCATCCTATGGTTTGCATCAATCGCTTGCTCGAAGCCGGCATGCCTACAATGCCACTCACGTCAATTGTTGCCTGTTCACGAGTAGCTGAAGAACAGGGTCATGTGAGCCATCTTGATTTGCTCAGCAAATTGGGCTGCTGTTCGCCCCTCGAAAGCTCTAGTCTGAGGGTCCACACCCATGTCCAGCAGCATGCGCAAAATGGAGACGTCTCCAAGTTGCGCTGCGACGTGGATGGGGTAGATGCTCTCCATGCGAAGGGAGGCCGGTGTGACCTTCGTCTTTTCGCCCAACTCACGAGGACTGTGCGCATCTGCGAAGCCATGCCTCTCCAGAAAGCTCTTCAAAACCCTTTGCTTCGCCCTATGTGTCCAGTCTTCATCATTTGGGATCATTTGGGCTTGACTGAAGCAAGGTCATATGTGGAGAAGCAACCGGCATGGTGCACATTGCGAAGCGTGTGCAGCGGCCAACTGGCAGTTCCAGTTTTCTACAATCTGATGTACCTGGATCGAGCCTGCGGTGGCAAAACATCTCAGCCGATTTTCGTAGGATTGTTAAAAAGCTGTCTAAAACTGTGCCTTTTGGGACACCTGTAGCTTGATTTGTCTGCAACACCTAGTGATGGATCGAAGCGAACCATAGTTTGTGTTTGACATATTCAAGAATTTGACTATCCAACACACTTTTACCCCCAATCAACAAACAATAAAAGCCATCCACCCATTGGCACATCACACGGTGCGGTGTCTGTGACGCAGCCAGGGTGCTGTGTCTGAAGCTTTTCTGCCTCAAGACATCACGGGCTGATTGGGTGGTCTCTGCCACATTCGTCAATGCAATTGCCACCTTTTCGTACCCTTTCACCTTGAGTGAATCCAAAAACCTTACGGAAGCCTTGCTCTGTTTGCAACTTCCTAAACTCTAACATACTTTTTCTCTCCCCTACTAAATAAAACTAAGATCCACTAAGTCAATCGGCTGGCTTCAAGTAGTGTTCATAACGCAGGAAGACCAAGTATTGAATGTATCTGAATGTTTGAAACCACCTAGCCACCTTGAGCAACAGTTTGGGCCTTCTAGATATATTATATAGAGGATACCCAGCAAAAGTCCTGTTTTTCCACGGCTCAAACAGAATCCACCACACCCAACTATCAGTCCAGCATAGCCCAGCTATACATCTGGCCTCATCCGTGTGACTTCGTGATGTCCTTCGCAACGAAAACACTAGGGCCCGGAACCCTGACAGGAAAACTGGCAACCTGGGAGAAATTCATGGAATTTTTTCTTGTGCCTTAATGAGAAAGCGATCAAAGAAATGGCCGGGAGCTCCTTCGATGTATCAATTCGACTTTTAGGGGCACTTTTGCTGGACTCTTTGAGTTTCAGGCCCTTATTGCACGTGCATGTTGCTTACACACCTTTAGCAAAGCAGGTCACGTTCATGTCGGCACCAGAGTAGGAAAATGAAGGAACACAGGTGGTCAAAGGATTTCGTATAGACATGCATTGGACAACACATCACCGCACAAGCATGGGATGATGTGGACATTTTCTGCTACAGTATGAAAATAAATAATGAACAAATACTATAAATAATATCAATCATTTTTCATCGTGAAATCACCAAAAATGGCCGTCCTTTTCTCCCGCAGCTGCAACAACGAGTCCTGCGGCCAGGACCAAGAGATGACCATCAATCATGATCATGTATGGCAAGTCATTTGGGATGGTTTGTTGGGTTTATCACATTTTCAACCAATGAAATTATACCATGATGATAGATGATGAAAAGTATGATAGATGATGATAGGTGATAGATGATGATAGGATGTCCCAATAGAGTATCCGATATGGGATGTTTACGAGAGACCGAGACCCGAAGGGGTCAATCAAGTTTCTTTAGGTGGTTCCCCTTTGGTTTTTCAAAAGGTGGCTTCTCTCAGTCAAACATCATGTGGTAAACACAATCATAACATATCATAACCATCCCCACTAGAGGTTTACTATTGGGCATCCCCGTACTTGGGATGATGTAAATGACCCCCAAAATGGTTGGCCAATGGGATGGTTTATTCTTGGCTTTTCCGCAGCTTTGCCACATCAACCACTTCAATTAACAGCAACCCATCCATCACCCCGTCCTTTGCAGCTTGCAACTCGATGCGCAAGATTTCGGATGTCTGCGCCTGGCCCAGGGGTGCAAGCCAGGGATGACATTCATGGACATAATCATGGTGATAACCTCCAAAAGTTGGGATATAATTTAAAACCCCTATAATCATGGGTATATTAAACATATGAAACGGTTACTTTGTTGTTCAGCGTATTTCAATACATTTCACTGTTCTTAATCATGCATCTTCGAAAAACTCTTCATGTTCACATGAGTTTTTCAAAAAATAGAACTTACCCATTGCCATTTTCATGTATTTAAATCAGAAACTGAATGACACTCCTTTGGAATGTGGGGGGTGTTTGATTTTCAGACCAACCAATATTGGTTTCATCTCTCTCCCCGAGTTATCAAAGAAAAACGACAACAACCAATGGAAACTCCAATGGCCTCGCGCTGGGCAGCCTCGTCGCTGCCTGAAATGAACTATAGATACGCAGGTTTTCTAATTTGTTAGCGATATTGATTATTGTATTCATACCATGTTTATTATGTTTATTTATACCTAATATTCATGTTTTATTCAAGGAAAAATCAACGTAATTTTCCAAGTTTCTCATAATATTTCCATATATATGTCCGTATTCCTGTCAATTGACTCCGCTGTAAGTCCGAACATGAATCCTAGACCCAAAGACGCATCCAAATAAGGAGTTGCCGCTTATTATATGCTGGAAAACCACACCCAAATTTGGTGTCTAATTGGGTTTGCCATGAGTTGCCAGATTGCCAGTGTAGATCAGGCATACACCAATGTGCCAGAAGGAGTATAATTACCCATAATTACCCTAGTTCAACTACATGAAAAACATTGAAGAACAAATCCTGGTATCACAGCTGGAGTTTGATATTCCAGGTGCGATCGGCGATTTGCACGACACCTACAGTATTTCAACTGAGGATGAATAAACGAACCCATGACCCGCTGGTTGATGCACTACACGTCAGCGTCTACGAATCCTGAGCAGATATAATAGTCTTCAAAGATGCACGCATTTCCAACATGCATCTAGTCCGGCATCTAGTAGTTCGGTGAGGTTCATTCAACTGGGTATGGGTCAGTTCACTCAGGCACCCAGTTTTTCGGCCCATCTTTGGCTGCTTGGCAGACTGCTGGGTTGTCATCCCATCAACGTGTGCTGACATTCTACCGTTTTTTTTTTCTGGCATTCTATTTGCCATTGCATTTGGATTCTACCTGACATTCTACCTGGATTTTCTTCTGGCATTTTATCTGACATATATACTGAAATTCTATCTGGCATGCTTTCTGGCACTCTACCGAAAATATTTTCTGATATTCTATCTGGCCTTGTTTTTGGCATGCTATCTGACATTCTGACATTCTATTTGACACCTATGATGGCATTCTTCTTGGCATTCCATCTGGCACTTCAATTTGGCATTCTTCCTGGCATTCTACCTGGGATTTCTTCTGGCATTCTATCTGAAATTTCATCCAGCATTCGACCTTACGCTCTAGCTGGATTTGCTTCTGGCATTTTATCTGACATATATACGGACATTCTATCTGGCATGCTTTCTGGCACTCTACCTGAAGTCTTTTCAGACTTCTATCCGGTACTCTTTCTGGCATGCTCTGATACTCTAATTGGCACCTATGAAGGCATTATTCCTGGCATTCCATTTGACATTTCATCTGGTGACATTCTACCTGGAAATTCTTCTGGCATTCTATATGACATGTCATCTGGCATTCTTAAAACACTCTCTCTGACAGGCATTATATCGGACATCTCTTCGGGCACGGTGTCTGACATTCAATGTGACATCTTGCGCTTGCAATTGGGGTCCTGGTGCCCACTGGCATCTGGCGCTCGCGGTTGAGGTCCGGCAGTGCACACTGAGATCTGGAGCTCGCAGCGAGGGCGTAGTCCGAGGCTGCCGGAGGAGAAGGAGGAAGGAGGAGGCGGAAGCAACTCTGATCAAATCTAGAAACCCTCACCTGACAGGTGGGGAAAAACACCTTTAGCTTGATGCATTGAAATTTGCCCGCGCATGCCAAAACAATGATGCGGAAAAAATAACGCCCACCTTCGCCTATCATTCGACAGCCTGCTTGCCCAGCAGAGTTGGTCTTAAAAAGCAGGATACGGACATGCACATGACCAGATTTCAGGGGGGAAGATCTAAACCATACAGCGCAGTTTTGGACTTAAACGAATTGAAACAATTCCTACTGGCTTTAACACATGTTGAGGACATGTTTGATACCGCTTATTTTGCGGTTCCACTTTGTTTTGCATGCTTCCCAAGTTTTTGTCGAAGAAATCGGTCATTTCCGCTGAATCCAGCGGTTAATCATCATATTCCCCAGTGCAATGTTTTGGACACCCACCTGATTAGTCAGCCCCTCCTCCCCCAAAAAGTGCACACGATTTTTCATAGGCAGCTCAAACTCGGCCAAGTTGCTGTGGCATCTGCTCTGAAGCTCAGCCATTTCCAGCTTGACCCGGCCATTGGCCCGCTGCAGCCTAGGCTAGGAAGAGGCGGGGGAGATTTCATGGGAATTTCTCCGCCGAAAACGATCTCCGCATCCAAAATTTCACAATTGATGGACATGTGACATGTGCCGTTGCACATGTGGGGTTCGGCGCCAAAGAAAGCAAGGTACTTTTTTCGAGTGATCCCAAATATATAATATTATATATATATATAATATAAATATTTATTGGTTGTATAATGTTGTATATACACATATTCTGACATTCTATCTGACATACTCTCTGGCATATACTCTGACATTTTTTCGGCATTCTTATCTGGCATCTATTCTGGCATACTTTCAAGCATATATGTCGGAATTCTATTCTATCTATTTCTGTCTGGCATCTATTCTGACATTCTTTGTGGCATCTATTCTGGGGTTCTATCTGGCACATTCTGGCATTCTATCTGACATTCTATCTGGCATTCTATCTGGCATCTATTCTGACATTCTATTCGGCCATTCTATCTGACATTCTATCTCGCATTTATTCTCACATTCTCTCTGACATGGGTACTGCCAGACTTCAACCGCGAGCGCCAGATCTGGCAGTGCCCTCTGGAGCTCGCAGTTGAGGTCCGGCAGGGCCAAATGAGATCTGGAGCTCGTGCTTGAGGTCTGGCAGTGCCACTGACTCTGGCCCTCGCAGTTGGGGTGCGGCACTGGCGCTCGCTGTTGAGGGCGTAGTCACAAGCTGCCGGAAAGAAGGACAAGGAGGAGAGGAGGAGAGGAGGAGAGGAGGAGAGGAGGAGAGGAGGAGAGGAGGAGAGGAGGAGAGGAGGAGAGGAGGAGAGGAGGAGAGGAGGAGAGGAGGAGAGGAGAGAGAGGAGGAGAGGCGGAGAGGAGGAGAGGAGGAGAGGAGGAGAGGAGGAGAGGAGGAGGCGGAAGCAAGTCTGATAAAATCAAGACCCCATCAACTGGCAGGTGGGGAAAAAAGATTGCGCACCTTAATTATACAATACATTGGGATTAAAGGTCACTCCGAATGCAAGTGGATAAATAAGCGGTAGCACGGAGAAACGGAGAAACGGAGAAACGGTCCAAGCCAGCCAAAATTCAAACTGCAAAACTGGACTCTTTTGGGACAATTCTGATCCAAGCGTCAACTCCTCTCTTTCTTTCTCAATCTCTTGCTTCTTCTGCTCAGACTGCTCTAACTCAATGTGCTGCCTTTGCAGGATTGGCAACATCCCCACTTTTGGTCTTTGAACCATTTTGAGATGCGCTGCTACACTGGGAATGTCATCTGAGATTTGGCGTGAAAATGTCTTGCGCCAAAAATTAAAGGACCGGAAAACCCCACAAGTCAACTTCTTCCAATAATGAGAAACAAAAGTTGTAGCGGGACGGGGAAGGAAGGAAAGACAAAGGAGGTGGTGGAGGATCGAAAAGTTAATAAAGTTGTATGTGAAGAGTTGTGTGTGATAAAGCTGTGTGCGAAAGATGTGTGTGACACAATTACTGTCCATGCGACACTCATCGTCTCAAATTTCTGCTCCGGTGGCCTCTTTCCACGTTAGGGCAAAGCGACCAGATCAAAAATACATGATCTTGCACAAAGTGTTGGTTAAACATGCCAAAAAAAGTAAAAGTAAGACATGCCAGAATGGCTGGTGCTGCAAAACATGGCTCGAACATGGCTTGCAATAACACAGGGCCACGCAGCGATGCATGGCTCTGTAAAAATGCCAGAATGTCGTGCCCAAAGTCTCGGTCAAACATGCCAAAAAGTAAGACATGCCAGAAGCTGCAAAACATAGATCAAACATGGCTTGCAATAACACATAGCGAAGCATGGCTCGCACCAAGCGTCTCTGTAAACATGCCAGAATGTTTGGCCAAAGTTTCTGTCAAACATTGCCAGACATGCCACACAAAATGATAGTCGATGTGACCAAATCCCACGCCAAGTGCCACGCCTGCAAAGCGAAACGCAGGTCGATGTCGTGAAGTGCCACGTCTGCCACGCAAAGTGAAGGTGGATGTCGCCAAGTGCTACGCCTGCCACGCAAAACGAAGGTGGATGTCGTGAAGTGCCACGCCTGCCACGCAAGGTTAAGGTGGATGTCGCCAAGTGCCACGCCTGCCACGCAAAGTGCCGCGGCATTACCGGCGACCACCAACGACCAGCGGCGCCCAAGCGGCGCCCAAGCGGCGCCCAAGCGGCGCCCAAGTGCACCACCGGAGCCAGCCCAGTGCCATAAGTGCCACGCCTGCCACACAAAACGAAGGTGGATGTGACCAAGTGCCACGCCTGCCACGCGAGACGAAGGTGGATGTCACCAAGTGCCACGTCTGCCACGCAAAGTGCCGCGGCGTCACTGGCGACCAGCGGTGCCCAAGCGGCGCCCAAGCGTGCCACCGGAGCCAGCCCAGTGCCGTAAGTGCCACGCCTGCCACGCAAAGCGCCACGGTGACCAAGTTGTGTGTGAAAGATGGCAAAGTTGTAGGTGAAAGATGGTGTGTGACTAAGTTGTGGGTGACAAAGTTGTGTGTGAAAGATGGTGTGTGACTAAGTTGTGGGTGACAAAGTTGTGTGTGACAAAGTTGTGTGTGAAAGATGGTGTGTGACAAAGAGAGGTGTGACAAAGTTGTGTGTGAAAGATGGTGTGTGACAAAGTTGTGGGTGACAAAGTTGTGTGTGACAAAGTTGTGTGTGAAAGATGGTGTGTGACAAAGTTGTGTGTGAAAGATGGTGTGTGACAAAGTTGAGGCGGCGGAGCGGCAGGCGGAGCGGGATACGGAATCAAAAACAAGAACCCCACACAAAAATGTCGGGACACATATTAAAAATGACACAACAGAACAGCAAAATAAACAAAGAATAACAAACACTCAGCTCTGGTAGCGGCCAAGCATCATTTCAATCTTTTCTTTGGCAAGCGCATCCTTTTCGCGCTCTTTGCTTTGCATCGTCTGGATGCGTTTCTCCCTCAGTCAAGTATCCACAAACATTTAAATGCCAAAAAATGCTCAGCTATTCCTACCGACAGTGGCTGAAAAAGGGGACGAACTCTTGCCAGCAAGGGTCAAATCTTGCTTTTCCTTTTCCAAGATATTTTTCTCCTGCTCTGCACTTTCCAGCATCTGAATGCGGCGCTTCCTCAGAATGAGTCAAAATGTGCCATATTGTGCCATGCTTGACGTTGATGTATCTGTCATAATGTTGACCTACGATTTATCAAACTACCCTGAATAGTGCTAAATTTTCTCCCCAACTAAATAATAAAACTACCCTGAATAGTGCTAAATTTTTTTGGCCCTAAACCCAGATTTGCCCAGATGGGGCTGATTTTTTTCCATGCTTTATTTGAGGTGGCTTTCATGTACTAATTCATATTGCCAGCTCATTAGATCTTACCTTGATAACTTCAAATTGTCAAAAATAATGGTTGCTCTTTTCTATTCAAAACCTTTATTCAAAATTATCCAAAATCAATCCCAAATCAACTCGTCAAGGGTACCCCCCATGAGGTGCCTTGGCACTAATTAGAGTTTGACCCTGAATAAAGCTAATTGTTTTTGGCCCTAAACCCAGATTTGCCCAGATCCATGACATCAATACAAAATCAATACTAAATCCATGACATGAATACTAAATCAATACCAAATCCATGACATGAGTACTAGATCAATACTAAATCCATGACATGAATACTAATTCAATACTGAATCCATGACATGAATACTAAATCAATACTCAATTCATGATATGAGTACTAGATCAATACTAAGTCCATGACATGAATACTAAATCAATACTAAGTCCATGACATGAATACTAAATCAATACTAAATCCATGGCATGAGTACTAGATCAATACTAAGTCCATGACATGAGTACTAGATCAATACTAAAACAATTGCTGGATTCCTTTTTTTTTGAAATTGCATTTTATGTATTCGTTTTCAATTGTGGAATACTAAATCCTTTACATACAAACAAGTTTTATGGTGGCTTTAAGTCTATTTAGGGTCAGAGAGGGGGGGGGGGCCCTATTTATAAATCAGAGGTGGACATTAGTCTTTGATTCTCTTTGCCTAATCCAGTCCACCATCACGGCAGCTATCACCAACTAGAGTGCAGTAGTGAGTAATGCATCTGAAGGAGGGTTTCTTCTGAACCCGAAGCAAAACGAAGACTGACGTGTATGGGAAAAATGCTGGTTGATCAGAACCACTGATCATGTCGGACACAAACAAAACAACCCTCTTCCATTTAACCTGGTACAAGAAGAGGCTGCCACCAAGCGTCAACTCCTCTCTTTCTTTCTCAATCTCTTGCTTCTTCTGCTCAGCATCCTCTAGCATCTGAATGCGCTGCTGCCTTTGCAGGATTGGCAACATCCCCACTCTTGGTCATTGAACCGTTTTGAGATGCGCTGCTACACTGGGAATGTCATCTGAGACGCTCAACGTGAATATAAAACTAGGCGAACTTTGGCGTAAAAGTGACTTGCGTCTAAAAAAAGAATAAACGATGACACAACAGAACAGCAAAATAAACAAAGATAACAAACACTCAGTTCTGGTTGCGACCAAGCATCATTTCAATCTTTTCTTTGGCAAGCGCATCCTTTTCGCGCTCTTTGCTTTGCATCGTCTGGATGCGTTTCTCCTCCCTCAGCCAAGTATCCACAAACATTTAAATGCCAAAAAATGCTCAGCTATTCCTACCGACAGTGGCTGAAAAAGGGGACGAACTCTTGCCAGCAAGGGTCAAATCTTGCTTTTCCTTTTCCAAGATATTTTTCTCCTGCTCTGCACTTTCCAGCATCTGAATGCGGCGCTTCCTCAGAATGAGTCAAAATGTGCCATATTGTGCCATGCTTGACGTTGATGTATCTTTCATATTCTTTGATTCTCTTTGCCTAACCCCGTCCACCATCACGGCAGCTATCACCAACTAGAGTGCAGTAGTGAGTAATGCATCTGAAGGAGGGTTTCTTCTGAACCCGAAGCAAAACGAAGACTGACGTGTATGGGAAAAATGCTGGTTGATCAGAACCACTGATCATGTCGGACACAAACAAAACAACCCTCTTCCATTTAACCTGGTACAAGAAGAGGCTGCCACCAAGCGTCAACTCCTCTCTTTCTTTCTCAATCTCTTGCTTCTTCTGCTCAGCATCCTCTAGCATCTGAATGCGCTGCTCCCTTTGCAGGATTGGCAACATCCCCACTCTTGGTCTTTGAACCGTTTTGAGATGCGCTGCTACACTGGGAATGTCATCTGAGACGCTCAACGTGAATATAAAACTAGGCGAACTTTGGCGTAAAAGTGACTTGCGTCTAAAAAAAAATAAACGATGACACAACAGAACAGCAAAATAAACAAAGATAACAAACACTCAGTTCTGGTTGCGACCAAGCATCATTTCAATCTTTTCTTTGGCAAGCGCATCCTTTTCGCGCTCTTTGCTTTGCATCGTCTGGATGCGTTTCTCCTCCCTCAGCCAAGTATCCACAAACATTTAAATGCCAAAAAATGCTCAGCTATTCCTACCGACAGTGGCTGAAAAAGGGGACGCACTCTTGCCAGCAAGGGTCAAATCTTGCTTTTCCTTTTCCAAGATATTTTTCTCCTGCTCTGCACTTTCCAGCATCTGAATGCGGCGCTTCCTCAGAATGAGTCAAAATGTGCCATATTGTGCCATGCTTGACGTTGATGTATCTGTCATAGTCTTTGATTCTCTTTGCCCAATCCCGTCCACCATCACGGCAGCTATCACCAACTAGAGTGCAGTAGTGAGTAATGCATCTGAAGGAGGGTTTCTTCTGAACCCGAAGCAAAACGAAGACTGACGTGTATGGGAAAAATGCTGGTTGATCAGAACCACTGATCCTGTCGGACACAAACAAAACAACCCTCTTCCATTTAACCTGGTACAAGAAGAGGCTGCCACCAAGCGTCAACTCCTCTCTTTCTTTCTCAATCTCTTGCTTCTTCTGCTCAGCATCCTCTAGCATCTGAATGCGCTGCTGCCTTTGCAGGATTGGCAACATCTCCACTCTTGGTCTTTGAACCGTTTTGAGATGCGCTGCTACACTGGGAATGTCATCTGAGACGCTCAACGTGAATATAAAACTAGGCGAACTTTGGCGTAAAAGTGACTTGCGTCTAAAAAAAGAATAAACGATGACACAACAGAACAGCAAAATAAACAAAGATAACAAACACTCAGTTCTGGTTGCGACCAAGCATCATTTCAATCTTTTCTTTGGCAAGCGCATCCTTTTCGCGCTCTTTGCTTTGCATCGTCTGGATGCGTTTCTCCCTCAGTCAAGTATCCACAAACATTTAAATGCCAAAAAATGCTCAGCTATTCCTACCGACAGTGGCTGAAAAAGGGGACGAACTCTTGCCAGCAAGGGTCAAATCTTGCTTTTCCTTTTCCAAGATATTTTTCTCCTGCTCTGCACTTTCCAGCATCTGAATGCGGCGCTTCCTCAGAATGAGTCAAAATGTGCCATATTGTGCCATGCTTGACTTTGATGTATCTTTCATATTCTTTGATTCTCTTTGCCTAACCCCGTCCACCATCACGGCAGCTATCACCAACTAGAGTGCAGTAGTGAGTAATGCATCTGAAGGAGGGTTTCTTCTGAACCCGCAGCAAAACAAAGACTGACGTGTATGGGAAAAATGCTGGTTGATCAGAACCACTGATCATGTCGGACACAAACAAAACAACCCTCTTCCATTTAACCTGGTACAAGAAGAGGCTGCCACCAAGCGTCAACTCCTCTCTTTCTTTCTCAATCTCTTGCTTCTTCTGCTCAGCATCCTCTAGCATCTGAATGCGCTGCTGCCTTTGCAGGATTCGCCAATTCCCGACGAGTGGTCTTTGGGTCTTTGGTATTAAACTTCGACAAAGCTCGATGAACTTTGGTGTCTAGAGTCTACAGTAGTGCGTCTAGACAGCTATAACTTAAGAAAGGTTACCAACAAATCAAAGTTCCGCTTGCCACCAAGAATCAGTTCAATCTTTTCTTTGGCAAACGCATCCTTTTCGTGTTCTTTGCCCTGCATCGTCTGGATGCGTTTCTCCCTCAGTCAACGGTTCACAAGCATTGGGAACTACAACCTGCGACCACAAACAGATATATCAGATATGAACACAAATGATTATTTCTCAACCGTTTCTACCTCACAAGTTGCTCAAAAAGGGGCACTTTGTTGCCAGCAAGGGTCAAATCTTGCTTATCCTTTTCCAAGATATTCTTCTCCTGCTCTGCACTTTCCAGCGTCTGAATGCGGCGTTTCCTCAGAACAGGTCAGCCAGCAACTGCTCAGTTCGATGGTGTTCACTGCCGCACACTCCACCGAACTGTGAAAGCATCTCTCTCTAATTATATTTATATACACATATGTATATCTATCTGTAACAGTCGGAGTGCCCACTTTCTCAACAAACTCTTTGCTTTGGAATTCAATGGACAAAGGACTACCACCGAAATGGAACGACAAGGCTGCAACAGGAAAGCTTGTTGACAAGAACGGCCGATAAATTGCTGCAGTCAACAAGGAAATTCTCTCACGATCAAGTTGGTTAAAACGGAGGCTGCCACTGAGCATCAACTCTTGTCTTTCCCTTTCCAGGGCTTGCTTTTCCTTCTTAGCATCCTCTAGCATCTGGATGCGTTCATACCTCTGCAAACTCAATCCCCCATCCATCCCATCTAAAATGATCTAAAATGTAGATCATCTAAAATGTATAGCGCGGATAAGGACCACCCTTGCAGTCTCTTGTTCAACAGCCTAAAGCCAGAAACACTTCCTGTTTGCCACCAAGCAGCATTTCTATCCTCTCTTTAGCCAGCGCAACTCTTTCTTTCTCTGTGCTCTGCATAATCTCCATTCGTTTCTCCCTGATTTGACGGTTACTAAGCTTTCAAACAACATGACAAACAAACATCAACACGATTGCCGGACACTTTGCTGCCAAGGGTCAAATCTTGCTTTTCCTTTTCCAAGATATTCTTCTCATGCTCTGCACTTTCCAGCATCTGAATGCGGCGCTTCCTCAGAATGAGTCAAAATGTGCCATACTGTGCCATGCTTGACATTGATGTATCTTTGATTCTCTTTGCCAAAACCCGTCCACTATCGCGGCAGCTATCACCAACTAGAGTGCAGTAGTGAGTAATGCATCTGAACCCGCAGCAAAACAAAGACTGACGTGTATGGGAAAAATGCTGGTTGATCAGAACCACTGATCATGTGGGACACAAACAAAACAACCCTCTTTCCATTTAACATCATTTAACCTGGTACAAGAAGAGGCTGCCACCAAGCGTCAACTCCTCTCTTTCTTTCTCAATCTCTTGCTTCTTCTGCTCAGCATCCTCTAGCATCTGAATGCGCTGCTGCCTTTGCAGGATTCGCCAAGTCCCAACGTGTGGTCTTTGGGTCTTTGGTATTAATCTTCGACAAAGCTCGATGAACTTTGCTGTCAGAGTCTACAGTAGTGCGTCTAGACAGCTAACTTAAGAAAGGTTACCAACAAATCAAAGTTCCGCTTGCCACCAAGCATCAGTTCAATCTTTTCTTTGGCAAGCGCATCCTTTTCGTGTTCTTTGCTCTGCATCGTCTGGATGCGTTTCTCCCTCAGTCAGCAGGTCACAAACATTCAAATTTCAAATTCTAAAAATTGCTCAGCTATCTCAACCGTTCACAAGCATTGGGAACCATGCTGCCATCAGAAAGAGACACGTATCAAAAAAAAATATAAATGCATCAAAAAAAAAATATCCAGCACGCATCAAAAAAAAATAAAAATGCATCAAAAAAAAATATCCAGATGCCACTGTGTGAGACCTCCTGAGTCTCGTGCTGCAAACCTAGATCAAAAAAAAATATCCGTATCAAAAAAAAAATATTTTAGCAGCAGCAGCAGCAGCAGCAGCAGCAGGAGTAGTAGTAGTAGTAGTAGTAATAGTAGTAGTAGTAGCAGCAGTAGCAGTAGCAGTAGCAGTGGCAGTAGCAGTAGCAGTAGCAGTAGCAGTAGCAGCAGCAGCAGCAGTAGTAGTTGTAGTAGCAGTAGTAGTAGTAGCAGTAGTAGTAGTAATAGTAGTAGTAGTAATAATAGTAGTAGTAGTAGCAGCAGTAGCAGTAGCAGTAGCAGTAGCAGTGGCAGTAGCAGTAGCAGCAGCAGTAGTAGCAGCAGCAGCAATAGTGGTTGTAATGGTCGTAGTAGTAGTGGTAGTAGTGGTACTAGTAGTGGTACTAGTAGTAGTGGTAGTAGTAGTGGTAGTAGTAGTGGTAGTAGTAGTGGTAGTAGTAGTGGTAGTAGTAGTGGTAGTAGTAGTAGTAGTTGTAGTAGTAGTAGATGTGGTTGTCGTCGTAAGAATAACAATAGTCGCAGGGGTAGCAGTAGCAGTAGCAGTAGTAGTAGCAGTAGCAGTAGCAGTAGTAGTAGCAGCAGCAGTAGTTAGTAGTAGTAATAGTAGTAGTAGAAGTAGTAGCAATAGTAATAGTAATTAATAGTAATAGTAATAGTAATAGTAATAGCAATAGTAATAGTAATAGAGATAGTAGTAGTCGTCGTCGCAGTAGTAGTAGTCGTCAAAAAGGAAATGCTAATAAAAAAAAGCGGGTGGGGGGCGCAGGGGGGAGGCGCTGCGCCCTCCCCCCTGCAATGCGTACCAAGAAAGAAGCACATAGGCACATGTCTCGATGGATATCAATAAAGTTGAAATGAGCCCAAGGAAAGGATGATGCTTATGAAAAAGCAAAAGAATAGTAGGTACAGATGGGAGCCGGTTAAAAAAATAAAAGCTACCTTCCTACCGTCCTACCTTCCTACCTTCCTTCCTACCTGCCTTCCTACCTGCCTTCCTTCCTTCCTTTCCTGCCCCTTCCTTCCTTCCTTCCTGCCCCTTCCTTCCTTGTTTCCTTTCTTTCCTTCTTTCCTTCCTTCCCTCCTTCCTTCCTTCCTTCCTTCGTTCCTTCCTTCCTTCCTTCCTTACGATTTTTTTATCCTAATATTATTTTGTTTTGATCCTAATGATATATTTTTGATCCTAATAATATTTTTGTTGCTCTAGATGCCTCCTTTACTTCCTTCCTTCCTTCCTTCCCTTTAGGTTGAATATTTTTTATTGCAATAATAGTTTTGTTTGATAACAACTGTTTTTGATTGCATGTGCAAAGAGAAAGAGAATCAAGAGCCGTAGGATCCATAGATGCGAAAAGCCTCAGGAGCCGAAGGAGCCATAGGAGCCGAAGAAGCCAGAGGAGCCGGAGGAGCCATGCACCAAAGGAGCTAAAAGACAAGCAGCCAGAAGCCAAAGCCAAAAGCCAAGAAGCCACGAAGCCACCAGGAGCCACCAGGGACACAGGAGCCGAAGGAGCCACAGAAGCCAGGAGCCACCAGGAACCAAGGAGAAAAAAAACAACAAATTAAATGCCCCTCCGACTTCTAATGTTTAAAGGATAACAAGTACATCTAAGAAATGTATAGAAATGTTATCTTTGGGTTCAAAACAAAATGTTAGCGCATGATTCATGTATTTTTTGGTATGTTTTGGAAACACATCTATGTGGTTCTGACTTGCATCTCAGCTCAATATTTCTGCAACGGGTTCCGAACGAGGCCAAAAACGATGCCAAAACGAGGCAAGAAAATAGCTTTGGAAACCCCTTAACTCTAGCAGCTCAGCAGCACTTTGCACGCTGCCCGTGGTGGCCCCTCCTTCCCTCCTTCCCTCCTTCCTTCCTCCCCTCTTTTCCTCCTTCCTTCCTTCCTTCCTTCCCTCCTTGCCTCCTTCCTTCCCTTCTTCCTTCCTTCCCTCCTTCCTTCCCTCCTTCCCTCCTTCCTTCCCTCCTTTCCTCCTTCCTTCCTTCCTTCCTTCCTTCCCTCCTTTCCTCCTTCCTTCCTTCCTTCCTTCCCTCCTTCCCTCCTTCCCTCCCTCCTTCCTTCCTTCCTTCCCTCCTTCCCTCCTTCCCTCCTTCCCTCCTTCCCTCCTTCCCTCCTTCCTTCCTTCCTTCCCTCCCTCCCTCCCTCCCTCCTTCCTTCCTTCCTTCCTTCCCTCCGTCCGTCCGTCCTTCCTTCCTTCCTTCCTTCCTTCCTTTCCTCCTGTATGGTCATTTATTTTTTTTTGATGCATTTATATTTTTTTTTTGATGCATTTTTATTTTTTTTTTGATGCGTCTCCCGCCATCAGAGGCATGAACACAAATGCTAAACTATGCTCAGCTATTCCCACCGACAGTGGCTGAAAAAGGGGACGAACTCTTGCCAGCAAGGGTCAAATCTTGCTTGTCCTTTTCCAAGATATTCTTCTCCTCCTCTGCACTTTCCAGCATCTGAATGCGGCGCTTCCTCAGAATGAGTCAAAATGTGCCAGATTGTGCCATGCTTGACGTTGATGTATCTTTGTTTCTCTTTGCCAAATCCGTCCACTATCGCGGCAGCTATCACCAACTAGAGTGCAGTAGTGAGTAATGAGTAATGCATCCGAAGGAGGGTTTCTTCTGAACCCGAAGCAAAACAAAGACTGACGTTTATGGAAAAAATCTGGTTGATGAGAACCACCGATCATGTGGGACACAAACAAAACAACCCTCTTTCCATTTAACATCATTTAACCTGGTACAAGAAGAGGCTGCCACCAAGCGTCAACTCCTCTCTTTCTTTCTCAATCTCTTGCTTCTTCTGCTCAACATCCTCTAGCATTTGAATGCGCTGCTGCCTTTGCAGGATTCGCCAAGTCCCAACGTGTGGTCTTTGGGTCTTTGGTATTAATCTTCGACAAAGCTCGATGAACTTTGGTGTCAGTCTACAGTAGTGCGTCTAGACAGCTAACTTAAGAAAGGTTAGCAACAAATCAAAGTTCCGCTTGCCACCAAGCATCAGTTCAATCTTTTCTTTGGCAAACGCATCCTTTTCGTGTTCTTTGCTCTGCATCGTCTGGATGCGTTTCTCCCTCAGTCAGCAGGTCACAAACATTCAAATTTCAAATTCTAAAAATTGCTCAGCTATCTCAACCGTTCACAAGCATTGGGAACCATGCTGCCATCAGAGGCATGAACACAAATGCTAAACTATGCTCAGCTATTCCTACCGACAGTGGCTGAAAAAGGGGACGAACTCTTGCCAGCAAGGGTCAAATCTTGCTTGTCCTTTTCCAAGATATTCTTCTCCTCCTCTGCACTTTCCAGCATCTGAATGCGGCGCTTCCTCAGAATGAGTCAAAATGTGCCAGATTGTGCCATGCTTGACGTTGATGTATCTTTGTTTCTCTTTGCCAAACCCGTCCACTATCGCGGCAGCTATCACCAACTAGAGTGCAGTAGTGAGTAATGAGTAATGCATCCGAAGGAGGGTTTCTTCTGAACCCGAAGCAAAACAAAGACTGACGTTTATGGAAAAAAATCTGGTTGATGAGAACCACCGATCATGTGGGACACAAACAAAACAACCCTCTTTCCATTTAACATCATTTAACCTGGTACAAGAAGAGGCTGCCACCAAGCGTCAACTCCTCTCTTTCTTTCTCAATCTCTTGCTTCTTCTGCTCAGCATCCTCTAGCATCTGAATGCGCTGCTGCCTTTGCAGGATTCGCCAAGTCCCAACGTGTGGTCTTTGGGTCTTTGGTATTAATCTTCGACAAAGCTCGATGAACTTTGCTGTCAGAGTCTACAGTAGTGCGTCTAGACAGCTAACTTAAGAAAGGTTACCAACAAATCAAAGTTCCGCTTGCCACCAAGCATCAGTTCAATCTTTTCTTTGGCAAGCGCATCCTTTTCGTGTTCTTTGCTCTGCATCGTCTGGATGCGTTTCTCCCTCAGTCAGCAGGTCACAAGCATTGGGAACTACAACCTGCCATCACGGGCACGAACACAGCTGCTACAGTAAAACATGCGCAGCTATCTCTACCGAAAGTCGTTGAAAAGCGGGACGATTTCTTGCCAGCAAGAGTCAAATCTTGCTGCCTTTCAGCCACCTTCAGCTCAGCCTCTAACAGCGAACCGTGGAATGTTGGCTGTGGGTGATTGTGCCAAGGCACCCCACCAAGCATTGAGAGTCATGTGGACAACCAATCGTCGACAATGACGATCAACAAATACATAGCATAAAATAGCCAATAATTCTGAGTTGTCAAACCATTTGGAGACATGTCAAAGACATACTTTGGTAGAGTAAAAATGATTAAAACATATAAAAACATCCATAAATCCCAGCCCCAGCCGTTGGTCACCAGCTGCCAGCTCTCCTGCACTTTCCTCTCCAGCTCTGCCTCTAGGCCCACGAGCCTGGCCATGAGGCTTCAGCCCCCTGACCCCCGATGCTTCATAAGCCTTTATTACTTTTTTGATTTTATTCATATATAGTAATATATAGTAATATATGGATCTCTCTCTCTCTATATATATATTGGTACTTATTAGTGGTTGTTGCTGGTAAAAGACTTTATATATATGCCTTTATAAACCACAAAAACTTGCTGCGTGTTGAACCTCCATGCGATTTTCAATAAGCATTGAGTCATTTTGCGCCTTTGCTGCTCCTCTTGCATTTCTTCACCTGAAGGATGGCTCATAGGGTTCAACCGCAGGATGATGACCCAATGGATCCTGCCGTACCTTCGTAGTTTGAGTATAATTTAGGGGGTCAAGTACCTTCTCAGCAAGCATCTGGATCCATAAAGAGACATATTAGTGCATTTGAGAATGGTGGGTACCTTTTGGAATTGACATTTTAATGGCTTCAATAGGGGAAGACATATCAGGGGAATTGTGTCACAACATGGGAGCAGGGTAGCCAACCACCGCAAGATATAGCAAGCATAGGCTGAATAGAATAACAAACACCTTCAGGACCCCCAAGTCTATGCAGGATGATATAGTTTCTCGTTTTCAGTGTCCTGTAACAGGCCGCCCTGCGCTGCCCCGATGCTTCCCTTTCAGTGCCCGAAAGGCGTCACATCAATGGTCATAGCCATCAGGCCATGCCGTGGCGTGCCGCTGTGGGCAACAAAAGATGCAAATTCATTCGAGTTCCCGAGTTCCTGACATTTCATCCATGAACCTTTGGGGGGTTAAAACATGTTAAAACCACTATAAACTATAATTATATATATCTAAACTAAACAGAAATCTGGTGATGTTTCACCCCAAAAAACAGGGAAATGTTGAGGAACCTCTTTACGCCCAGGATCCACAAGTCTCTTGTTGTGGTGCCTGTTCCCCTTGGCACTTCCTTTTTTCGCTCCCTGTACATGGCCATGGGACTGTGGTCAGTCTAGTCTGTACTGTAACTTTGCTTCAGTGCAGCTATTTGTGAAACTACAGGGCAAGGACGTAAGCTCCAAAGAGTGGCAGCAGGGCTGCCTTCCACGAATGCGACAATGACAAAGGCGGACTTGAGACCGTGGTGGTCGTCTGCTCTGGCAACTCAATCAGGACTGAGTCCAGAAAGTTCGCAGAGGACAAGGCCAAATGAGCAGTTGCACGGTTCACTCTCTTCCAACCCCCCTTCCAAAAGGACAAGTCCCGCTCAGTGAGAGGGAACACCACATCTGCTGAATCTTGAGGTTGAAGGATGGCAGTTTTCTGAAATCCCTTAAGGATCGCGACTGGTTGTTCCGCCTCCGGCGGAAACTCCAGATAAAGCTGGGGGACTGTACGTGATGGCCGGCTGCCAATGTTCTCAACCGTGGACTTGATGCAAAGAACTGGAGAAGATGTGAAGTGCTTGTATGGGCACCTGGAAAAGAAATTCAACTCACCCAATTCACCCAATTCACCCAATATCCCAATCCAATCTTTGACATCCTCAGTCAATGCTAGCTGCTAGATAGTACTAGCATATACTAGAATAAAACACTGTGAATTTCAAGGTACACATGCCTGTGTCGGTCAAGATTCCCATCAGAAGCATGGTGCCAGGAAAGATCTTTTCCCGCCTGTCTTCTGATTTTTTGTCAGCTATTTTTGATTAGCACGTTCAAGTACTTTCCACACATTGACATTAAGTATCCATGTAGTATCATGTAGTGACAGGGTGACGTGCGCATGCACTGAGGGCGGGAGCCCGAATGCTATGCATGCGCTGCAAGGCACAAACAGGCTCCGGCACATGCGTTGTAAAAAGCTCAAAACGGAAACAAAAGCAAACATTAAGTCTGCACGTATGTGTGTGTGTGTGCGCTTACATTCTTCGCACACACCAGCTAGTACAAACACACACGCACGAGAAAATTATAGCATGACATTGCAGGAGATACCATATACCAGGTATCAAGCTACAGCACAGCGTAGAAACAATCAGAAACTGCATGTCTTGTCAGCACATGGAATGGTCACACAGGCAATATTTAGTATAATTTCACACACAATATACATAATATATATTATGTATACATAAAGAATATGCCAACAAGCATATTATATAAATATACATATACACGCATTAAATAAATAAGTATATATACATATATATATATATATACGTATTGATATATTGATTCTGTGTGTGTGCGCGAAACAATAGACACCTTGGTGGAAAAACCAACCAACATCGACCAAGGGACTCCACCACCTTGGGAGTTGAGTAGCGGAACTGGGAGTAGCTCAAACCATGGCCGAAGGGATAGGCTGCCTTCCAGGAGGTATTGCGATAGCTGGTGGCCAGCCCTTCACTGTACACCACATTGTCCTTGCGCCAACGTCTGAACGTCTGACCGTCTGGCAAACAGCTTTGGAAGGCTTGTAGTAAAGTTACGCTCAAACACCATCGTTTGCCCGGACCAGGAAAGATCTGGCATGTAATGATGAACAATCAGGATACCCCCCCCCCACCACCCCAACCCCAACCTAAATGGTAATGATATGTATCTTTCAAGGGTCATGGGGAACATGGTAATCTTATAATTTATAATCATACAGAATCATACAGGTAATTTGTTGTAACATCTCTTAGCGTTTCCGTGAGTATTCCGGGCTACCCTTTGAATTCTTGGGCAAACGATGGTGTCAGCGCGTAAAGTTACGGCACATCTGTGGGTTTTGTAGTCTGAAGACTTCAACGCTCACTCTGGACACCATTGAACAAGCAATGTCCATACTTTTTGAAACTATTTTACCAGTGTCCCCTGCACCCTTTTTCTCTCAATGTTCTTAATCCATCTTAATCCATCTTAATCCTAAGTTCTGTTCTCATTTCAGGTAGCCAAGTCATCCAATTTTTCAGACCCCCGACTCCTCCGAGCTGGGTGGGATGCTATCCGCCTCCGTCTCCGGCATCATCAGCGGCAATCTGCCACTGGGCGACACGTCGCCGAACAACACGGCCGCCCAGGACTGGCCCGTCGCCTCGCCACCCAGGAATAGACTCAGGATGCTGCCCACCGAACCTGTGATGAGGTCATCAGATTCAAAAAAAAAATCAACCCCTCCCAGGTTACCAGATGTTACCAGGTTAGGGTTTATTCACCAGCTTAGGGGCGGTCATTTTTTCCATCATCCGATTCTGGGATAGGCCGAACAACACATATGGATACATATGGACAAACATATAAATCACACTTATTCCAAAGCCATTCGAATGATTTGATATACAGTAGTTTTTGAAGATAATCAATGTTTTGAAACCAGAGACACATAGAATCATCCATTCTTTGGACATTAACAAATCATTGAAACATATTGAAGCGTTCAGAAAATATCCAAAAACTGTCAAGACGTGGGCTAGGAACCTCTCCAAGGCATGAGCGCAGCACCACAAATCTGCATCAAAACGATGGTTTTGGTGCCCGAAATCGCTGCCACAGCTGCGACGAGGTCATCCCCCTGCCTGTCCAGGGTGAGATTTGGACGATCCACGGATTCACCACTGGTGGCGCCAACCACCACAATCGCCAGATCCGCTTGCCTCGCAGCTGTCACAACTGAGACAAGCCCTTTCCCCAAGTTTGCTGGTCACATATGGTCACATAGCATATGTGTCACACATTACATGTGTCTTGCGTTAAAAAAACGCGTGCTAAGCAATGTTGAACGCCTCAAAATGCCTCAAAATGCCTCAAATATCCATCAATATCCATCAATATCCAAAATATCCAAATATCCACAATGAATATCCACAAATCCATCAATATCCAAAACCCCAGACTGGTGACATCCACTCCGCCTTGCCGCTTCCTCAGCTGCCGTGAGGTTGTCGCTCGCCGAGGCGATGACCTCAATCCCTTCCAACGCAGCCCGGGCACTCAGGCCCTGTAAGGCGCTGGTGACGTTGCCGGTCAAATGGCCACTGCCACCTCCTCACCATGGCAACATGGCATTGTCATAGGCGACACCAGAAATGGAGCCCAGAAATGGAAAGGTGTTGACATATACAATAATATGTTATATATATATATATAGTAAATAAATACAGTAAATAAAAACTATAATATAATATCATAATAAATATATATATATATATACATACATGCATGCATACATACATACATGCATACATACATGCATACATACATACATCCATGCATGCATACATACATACATTACATACATTACATACATACATACATACAGACATACATACATGTTTCTGCGTTGATGAGATCCCCTTTCGCCACTCTTCCTGCACTCCCATTTTTTGCTTTTGCAAGAGGGGTCGATAGAGGTTGGTGAGTGCACGCATCCATGCGTGCTGCAAACGTCTTTCAAGGTGCCAGCCAGGGTATCAAAACCATGGATGGTCATCCAAAAAACATAGTCTGTCCAACTCCACCCGCTGGAAGGTGGAGGGGTGGTGGTGGAGAAAACATCAACCACGCAGGCGTTGTCAGTCCACTGTGGGAATATGCATCATGCGTTGGCGATTGCCAATGTAGGTGGCAATGGAGGATATGGCTGCACCAGTGATTGCTGATAAAAGGTGGGAAATAAATTGGATGGGAGCAGTTGTAAATTGCTCCAAATCCAGCACATGCGGCAAGGCTTGTCGCATGGTGTATTCAATCTGGTAGACGATTTCATCCAACAAACCTTCTAAAATCAGCAGTAAAAATCCAGTGAGTCTCCGTAAAGCCAGTCGCAGGATACGTACGAAAACCTTTGTACAAGCCGTGGCCAGCGTAGGTTTCAGTAAAAACATCAGCGCTACACAAATGACAACAATCAAAACTGCTCTGTTCAGCGTCAGTGTGCGAAACATCTCCCAGAGAAAAGATTTGATGGTCCAGGGTTTTTTCTCTTCAGGTGAAGAAACGGTTCCATCCCGCAGCATGAGTGGTTTGCAGGGTAAAGGATCGGCTCCTCCATCAAGTTCTCTGGCAGCTACCACAGCTTTAGCATACTTTTGCAGTTTTGGGTCACCTGGATATCTCTTTGAAGCTCTCACCAACTGGTCATGTGACAGGTCCTCAAAGGTGGATCCTTTAAAGGCCCCTCCAGCTATTACACGGCGACCGTGTCTAGCCCTCATAGAATGCATATCTGGCGCACCAGTCAGCAATAAACGAGCTTGAAGCACTTTCTGACACCTCAAACAGTCGCAGGTTTGCGACAAAGTCTTCAGGCACGACAAACTCCAAGCAAAGCGGGGCTATTCTTTTCAGCCGAGATATCACTGAAGACGAAAGCCTATTCATGATCTGTGTTGACATGGCCAGCTGAATGTAATGCTCCAGGGATTTTTCTACAGTCCACCTGCCCATAAACCTAAGAGTACTAATGGGAATTCCCTTTCCATAATACATGGTGGCTCCCCCTGGCCTAAGACTGGCCGGGGTGAAGTGGCAGTCCAAGATGCGCAGTTCTTTGCATATCTGTTTGAACATCCTGCTGAAGAGAGCACGACCTCCTTTCCACAGAGCGCAGTCATTTCGCTCCTCAACCACTTCTCGCAATCTCTGGACTGTACAAGGGTTCCGAACCAGCACAAACTGATCTACACCAAACTGCCTTCGGTTCTTAGCCTTCGGTTCTTAGGGTTGGCCACCCGAATAGCAGCAAAAGGTTGACTGAAAGTGAAGCTCCCTGGCAGGGAAATGTCCGTATGTTTCAACTTCAGCAACTCACCCGGCCTCAGCATGCAGAGAACCCCTATCTCCAGCAAGGTGGCAAAAACTCGCCATCTTTTCTGGTCCAGCATCGATTCATTCACAGAAGAGTGAGCTCTGGACAAGCCTATCATCAAAAGCCACAAGGGAATAGGTAAGGGTGGACGAAGAGAGCTCGTTCTCTGCTCCTCCCAGACTCGAAGGTTTTCCCAAGCTGTGTTGATCCTGCCCTTCAGTTTGGGCTGCACATGCTGACAGCAGAGTAAAGCATGCTTCACCACATACAGCTGCTTCGGCTTCAAGCTGCTGTGGCGTTGCATGACGTATAGTGAAAGCACTTCATCAGCGCTATTCAAATTTCCCAGCAGAGCGGCCAGTGAACAAGGACCCTGTTCGCGACAGAAACCATCCAAATCTTGTAGTCCCGCCAAAAGCCGCTGGCGGTAAGGCTTCGAAAACCTACTGAGTCTGAAAGCAGCTGAAGACGTCTCAATCCGCCGCCTCATGTGCAAAAATTGGGCAGCACAGCAATCACGTCACAAACTTTGTGCGGACGATCATTCCACACACTTGATGCAGGAACCATCAAAATCGAGAAATCATGTCACACATCGGACAATCATTCTACAACGTATAAAACTACCTGCATGGCGAGCGAACTCAGACTAATTAAGATGCATGGTCATGCAAGAAACCCTAGAAGTGACTCAGTCTTTTCTGTTGGTGTGCAACGGCAAAATGCGGTTGGCTATGGTGGCATACTTGTGACATAAGGCCAGTGGGTAATGGCCAGCCAGTTCTGATCTGCGTTTCCATCCATGTGGTGTACGAACCCCTCCTACTGCGTGTACATGTCTCGAGCGGCAATGGCAGAGTCTCGACAAGTCACGGAGACCTGGAAGATTACCTGCAAATCTGGTATGTTTTCTGCAGGGGCCTAGTAGCCCTTCATCATCTTTTAGTTTGAGGCCATATGCACATTGATGCATGAGTGCCTGTTCACAGGAGGGGCTATCCAGCTTATTTATTACTGATGGCATGGACCAAACATAAGACGAGGCGGGGTTCTCAAGTGTCCAAAAGTTACCTGCCCTTTCAAGTGTTTTTATCAAAACCATAGTACGTCTAAGCAGCTCATTTCCTAGTATCTCACGTGGCAAAGAACCATCACCTTGAGGCATGTCTTTACGGCGGGTACCCCCATTGGAATGTTGGAGGATCGAAAACGAACAGCACGGAAGACCGAAGTGCCAGGTTTGTCTAGGCTGGGCAGCGTCCAACACAAGTTGTTCAAAGACCCTATCATCCATAATATCAAAAGACATGTTGACATGTGAGTTAGGTCTTAGTTCAACAGGAGGTCCAGTCTCAAACCTTTTTGTTCTTTTAAACACCTCGGTTAATCTAGCTTTTCCCGCAAAGATCTCCCTAAATGTCCAAGGAGGTGTTGGCTCGTTCTCAGGCTGGCCATTGCCGCGGCTTGCATTTTCATCCACAGTGTGTGTGTCAATAGCCTGGGTTGGCTGAGGCAAAGTGGAAAAAGAGCTCTCCCATGGTGGGTCTCCTCCAAGTTTTCGAGCCTCCTGCTCTAGAAGCACTTGATGGCCCGGCGACCTCTCAGTCTGAATCCTTCTCAAAGTTACCGCATCAAGCAATCCATCAGACTGGGAAACGTCAGGTGCAGGAATGGGCTTAAACCTTGATGGATAGTCGGCTGGATTGCTGTGAGTGTCCACCCATAGATTGGATACCTGGAGGTCGCCAGTCAAAAGCCAAGGGAGGCAGCTACGCAAGCCATGATTCATATTTTTGGAGCTACTGCGCCCTTTAGCAAAGGCTCCAACAACAACACGGCTATCACAGAGGTTCACCACGCGACAGGCGGCATTGCCTGAATTGACCCTATCTCTAATTTCAGCCTTGAGCATCTCCAGCTCTAGCAGATTAATATGATCCTTTTTGGCAAACCGCCGGGATTCAGTGGCAACACATCTGTGCTTTTGCAAACTACTAACCAACGACTCCGGCGCTGGTCGCATGGTGGTTTGTGGTGGGAGTGGCATGTCTTCCCAATCTAAACGAGTGTGCTCTCCACGAGCTTCACAAAACCTGTAGAGCATTTTTGAAAACACTTTCGTGGTTAAAGTAGACGCTCTACCACCCCCACTCAAACTGGCATCCGTGGCAGAGATGCGTGTAGACACAGGGAGTCTAATATTGCCGACGCAAGGGGAAGCAACAAGACAGCTGTGAGAAGCTCATCGCAAATGTATTGGGGGATTTTTCGGGAAACACCCTCTGGTAAGTTGTCAATGAATAAGTATGTATGGTGAAAGATACTCATGCACTCACGCCTATGCATAAAGGGGTGAACCTAAAGTCCCAAAAGTTTTTGCAAGGCTTTTTTACTGGCATGTTTTTGAGAAATCAAACGCAGAGTGAGTTCTTCTACCTGTCTGAGTTTTTGCAGCGGTGTGCCCACTCTGCCTGAACTTGAGTCTACTTGTGTTCCCCAAGCCTTGAAACAATACTCCTTGTCAAACGCTTTTTTAATGGACCGTGGTAGTCCAAGCTCTGCATATCGCTTGCGCGATCCCTGCACCAAAGACTCATCTTCGTACGGGGTTCTGTCCCGAATAGGCTTTTTATCCACTATTTGGAAAACCAGGTGATCGTCAATATACAGTCCTTCCAAGGTGTTAGATGGGGGGAACAAATGGCCATAGATTAGAGTTTTATCCGGTTGGAGGCATCCCGCTGCTTTCAAAACTCCTTCGTGGGTTGCTTGGGCAATATCCACACCATTAGTGTCTCCCATACAAACGACTTTGAATGCAGGGTAATAATTGACTTTTGGGTCCAGGCCCAGATCAACTAGCTTAGCACCTTTGATAGCACGACCAAAACGATTTCGAGGTAACCATTCGTCCAAGTGCTTGATAAGGTAAAAATAGTTGGACAAGTCATCACCCGAAGCCCTGATGCTCTGATGGTCCTCCAAAATTAGCTGGCAAAGCATCACTCCACTAGGCAACTCACACCATCCAAGCCTACGCTCTCTTAGGTTCAATGGTCGCCTGTCATTGATCAGACGGTCAGATTCTGCCTTGTGGGGGATGCAGAACAAACCACCTTTTATGACATGTCCATTTTCATACAGAGCATCATGTTCCGGGACAAAGCCGATCATTCCTGACTTGTGCAGTTTGCGCAACAAATTTGGCCAGTCTTTCGGATCTACTTTGTGGCATGCACGGCAGTCACCCGGCGGTGTACCTGGAATTGGCACCAGGTCTGGCATGGATTCAAATTCCTTGGCACGCTTGGGAGACAGGTGCATCCTGGGGTCTAGGATTCCTGCTACGTCCGGAACAGAGGCCCTATCTGGCTTCACTGGCAAGGCACCACACATAGCTTCATCTAGATTCACTTCAGGGTTATATTGTGAAAAACGAATTCTACTGATTAATTCATCAAGTTTGGCCGAACCCCTATATCCAAGGTCCCCCTAGGCTGGGTTACGAAACAACAAACCTTTTTAAACATTGTTCTAGCATAGCTTTCGTGGAGGGCAGTCCACATCCCTAGCGATGCACGAGAAACGGCTTCGCTTGCTGCATTCTTACGGCAAGGAGAACCTGCTTCAAGAAAATTGAACAAGCACCAAAGTAAGCGCATCCATTCCAGAGCCTCCCACTTGTCGGCAGATTGGAGGCCTCGCCCATGCTTAGACTTACCCGGGGGTTTCTTCCATGGTAGCATAGACGGGAACAATGTGGTGGTCCCAGTAGGTTCACTGGGTGTACATACCCCTGTCTCAACAGACCTATAGATCCTAGCAAATCTGGCAAAGGACCCATGACCATTCTTAATTAAATCAGAAAGGAGGCTCCTATCTGCTGACACTCCCGCTTCTGGGGAGTGAGGAACCTTGGCACAAGGAGGTTCTGCGGCGGCGGTCTCAGCAACTCTCACATGGTGGTCTCCTCCGCCTGCTTCTTCGGGTTCTGTTTTCCCTTTTTTCCTTTTCCTCCGCCTTCTTCTTGATCGCCTTTCCCGAGGCCCTTTGCCCTCTTCTCCAGCTTCTGCAACGCATTGAGATATCCAGCAACTCTCTCCAGGTCCTGCGGCTCCCCCCAAAACTTCGGTGTCTCGATGGGGTCCGCATACCTCAGAAGCAGCCAGCTCGCTCTCCAAGATCCACGATCCAGGTTGGTCTGGTGCACCGCCCGGAGCAATTGCACCAATTCCAATGCCGCTTGCTCTGGCTGGTTTTTCAGGAGCGTCTGCAAAATCTCGGACAAAGCAAAATGGACCCGAAGCAACGTTCTCTGATTGCCCCAATTCAGTTTGCGGGTGAAGTCCGACAAATTGTATGCCGTCTCGGCACTGGCTCCCAGATGGTGCTCGACCTCTTTGATGTAGCGGCGGACATGTTTCATAGGATTCTTTCGCATGGCTTTGTGGCCTCGCCGATATTCTTTCATAGCCCGGCTCGCACCACCTCGCTTTCCCGTGCTGCTGCTCGAATCCAGGCTGCTGGCATCGCTGTCTTCTTGCTCGTCGGGCGCCAAAACACTTGAACTGCTCTTCTTTCCCGACTTCCCTCTGAGAACTTTTAGCAACTCCATTGACACCATGGCATTCAGACTTGACTTGCAAGCTCTGGTTGGCCTGAGTTGATGGCCTGCTGCAATAAAAAAGTCTCGATGCCATTGGATGAAGCCAACTTTTCGTTGCTTTTTCCCGCTGTCAGGAGGGCATAGCAACAGCTTTTCTTCAAAATGCCTGACTTGGGCTTTTCGGAACTTGTAGCCCCACCTGGAGCGGCCTTCTTCGCCTTGCGGAGCAATTGCATGATCTCGTCTGCGCTCCCGTCCTCCTCGTCGGGATCCTCTTCCGATGAATCCTCCACAAGGGCTTGCGGCGTTATCCCTGCAGAAGCCTGGGCTCCCGCAGAAATATCCTCTGAAGCTGTAGCATAGTTCAGATCGTCCTGCTGCAAGGCCACCAGGCCTGCTGCCTTCACCGAGCCGGCTGCCACTTCCAAGCCTCTCATGGCATGGCTGCACTGTTCTCTCATCTGGGACTGCTGTCCCTGCACCAGCATGAAGTGGCATCCTTCACACTCGTAATGAGAAAAAAGTCTGGCAGCCTCCTCGTTGGTCTCACCTGACGCCACTCGCACTGCCAGAACAAAGAATCTACCCTTTTCTGACAGGACCACTGCTTGTCGCCAAGGCGGCTTGATAAAAACCAGTTGACCAGCCGTCACGACCATCGAATGATGCGCTCGGCAAGCTCTGGGTCCACCCGATAAACTCGTTCCTGTTTGCCTCAAGAATCCGCCTGTAAGCCAACGGCCCCACACTGGTGTGAATGCCAATGACCGGCAGTCCCCCTTCTGGTTGATTGGGAACCTGCCAGACAGCGTACCAGCGGATGTCGGCCTCCGCTGAACCCACAGAGACACTCTCCGATTCACTGCTCGAAGATTCACTGGCAGCAGGATTCACTTTCAGGTTCTACCACACCTGGGTCTAAACTAAGATCCCTCACCCCCTGTAGCAAAACAGCTATGTGAGGGTCGGTAAGATCTGGAGCTAGCACCGCCCAAGCGTCTGCCTCAGCGAGAAGATCTAAGTCCTCAGGGTCCTGAGAATCCTCAATGGCGTACGGGACAGGGACCTGAGGGCTATGGCTCATACCCCCTTGAACCTCATGGCCACATCGAAACATCCAGTATATACATACATACATACATACATTACATTACATTACATTACATTCAGGTAACACGCATATTTGTTGCATTGCAATCTGTTCCAAATCTAGTCCCATGGGCCTTGAATCTTGACCGGGGGAAGACAGATTTTGAACAAACTACAACCGTGCAGCTCAGCACTTTTGCGGAGTGCCCGATGACAAATGATACTCATAAGTGTGATATATATATATATATATTATATCTTATGTATATATCATTATATATTGATATATAGAATACTTGAAAGATTTTGAACTCTGAAAACACCTGTCCATACCTGTCCTGAATAGTAATCTCCAGACCACCATTGCAGTCCAAGGCCCTGCGTTGCTCCAGCGGGATCATAAGACTCAGAGTCTGCCACCGATCCGATGATGGCGATCTTTTTGACAGACTTGCCTGGGTGGCGCAAAAGGTTTCCTATCAGCAATATCCTTTGAGAAAAAGGAATGGAGCGATTTGCACGACTATTGACTATTGTATATTATATATATAATCATGTCCTTATTGGTTGTTAAAGGTGGTGGATTGTCCCTCGAGTACAGAAGCAACGGGAAAGAATTTGTCGACATATCGTCTCTCTTGAGAGCATAAAATGAAGGGCAAGTTAGGCCAGCAATCATCTCTCAACATGAACGGAAAACATTCAGCAATCAACTACAAACGGGCCACTGCAACCATGAGGTCACATTTGGCCACATTTTGCCACTGCCGGGAACGGCTCATAAACAAACATATTTTCCCTCCAAAAGTGGATGGTTTCAGATGGTTTCAGATCTAACAAACAATGATACAAGCCATTTGGGCTACCCGGCTACCCTATCAATCCATTGCTACCCCCAAGTTTTCGGGCCCCAACCAGTGGCCAAAGATTCAACCTTTCAGAACCCCCAAGCAGTCGGTCCCGTTTGTTCAAGCCATGGTACATCCCTATTTGATGGTTAGATCTCGAATCTCCAATGCTCTCATATGCTCTCTGCCCGCCGCCGAAAAAATACCATGTTATATAATTATAAATATGTATCATTGTGAAATATAAATATATATATATATATACATTATACACATACTTGTTTTTGTTGGCACCTGGCATTTTCCCCCAGTTTCGTCATTTTGCCCAACCAGCCCCACCAAGTCGCTGATGGGCAGCAGGGACTCCTCGTTCTTCAGCAGCACGATGGAGTCCGTTGCAAGGGACTTGGTCAAGGCTTTATGGCTGGAGGTGGTGACGTTCCGGACGAACCACTCACTGCAGTTGGGGGGCGAACAGCTGGAGGTTTCCTTGGTATGACTCGACATCTGGAGAAAAAAATGGAGATTTTTGAGCCGGAAATATCCAGAAATTGGGATTTTCTATGATGTAAACTGATGATTGGATTGGATTGGATGAAGGGAAAGTCTGAGCAGGAAATCGTGCTTTTTCCTTGGTGAAGTTAACGGGGTTTCCGGCTGAGTTCCCATAGATCTTATTCTGCGATTCAGCGGAATGTGGAAACATTCAAAATTTCTATTAGCATACTTCCAGTAGACGCACCCTTAACGGGATCCAAACAGTGGAGTACCTGTAAGCAATGTCAACAAAAATAAAGATTGTAATATATATATATATACAACATATAACAAACATCAACAAACCAACTGATGGATGATGTAAAAGATTGTAAATGTATATATATATATACATACATTTACATGTATAGTTGTAAAATGTGATGAGGGTCAGAAAACATGACCAGCAAACATCCCAGTCTCGTGTAGATTCACCTTATACATGGCTGCCAGGATGCGTGTGGCCGCCTCGTCCACCCGTTGTGGGTGCTGGGAGGTGTTGGATGGGCTGAGGAACAGCTCGGTGGCCTGTCCGGGCATTTCTTGGTCCAAGCCTTGAACGAAGGAAGGCTCATGGACGGCCCACCAGTCAGATTGAACGAAGCCCTGGAAACCGAGCTCGCCTTTCCTGGCGAGTTGATGAGTTGGCCATGGCAAGTCGTCAACTTTTTGAGGGGCAACAAACATGCCACTTGAAGGGAGCATGTGTTTGGCTTTGATGTCCATTACCGTACAGTCAGAAGAATATGGGTGTGATTAGTATGGAACCATTGAGTTTCTGATGGTTAATAAGTTAATAATAGGCCGCTCAAGAACAAATCCAACCACCCAAGCAATAAACATCGCTAACAAAGATCTTCCCGGTAGATTCCAAATCTTGAAACTGGAAAACAGGAACGGAAGAATTTCTGACTCAGCCAATCCAGGTTTCAAAACATCATTCAAAATGTAGCTGTTGGAGCAGGAATACTGGCCGTCCACTTTGTTGTAGGAGCACATGGCACCGCCCACACCCGCTTCGATTGCTGCCACAAAGGGTGGGAAGTAGAGCTCATGCGCTGTTTTGTTGTCAACCACAGAATTTTCTTCACCTCTGAGGGATGGATGAAGGAAAAAACATGCAGGAGACCAGGAGACCTCAAAAACTGGCCCGTCTCTCTCTTGAATCGATCCAGTGACTGGATAAACATGGCGACACCCCAGCATGAACCAAACATACTTTGTGGCTTTCCCCCATTGTTAGAGGTTCAATCCACATCCTTTGTTCATGAACATACCCTTTCTAGCCCGGAATAGATATAATTATCATGGATTATCATGGTAGATCCTAAATGATCCTAACATATCCTAACATACTTGCCATCTTAATATTGTACCATAACATGATGATTAAGCTCTTTCGATTGGTTAAATGGAGAAGTTGACTATACCATTGAAACCATACTTTGTGCACCTGCCCCGCCGTGAGCCCCGATCAGTGGCACCTCTGCGCGTCTCCTGGCTGTTAAAAACCCAGTGCTTCACGATGCCCAACACGCCTTGCGACTGCACGCCCTTGACATAGGCCCTGGTGAGCTCAGATCCCAGGTAGGGATCATCACCTGTCTCCGAGCAGGATCAAAGGCTGGAAACGTAATGTATGCCATGTGTATGCCATGACATCAATGTTTGAGTGTTGGATAGAATCAGCCCAAACATGCCCAAACTGTATTAAACTCAGAACTTGAGAAACGGAAAATCATCCAAAAAGAATCAATAATACTTGGTTCCGGTCACCCACATGGACCAACCCCGATACCACAAATCCTGCTCCGTACCTGCAAAATATTCGAAGGATCGGCCATTTCGCGCCACGCGCTGAACCTGCACGCCCGGACCCAGGATCACATTGGCTCCTTTCCCTCGGAATTCCTGGCCCACGGCCACGGCAAAATCTTGCACGGCAATCGGGTCCCACGTTGCCTTCGTTGCCCAAACGAGAATGCATGAGAATACCATAGAATACCTACACGATTGCCTTTTGGGCCACATGTTTTACACCCCAAAAATGGGAAACACAATTCCCAACAACCTTTTCTCCCCCATGACCGAAAGGTATGGGTCAAAATAGAATCTTGCTGGGGAAAATGTCTGAAATCACATGAAATCACCAATGAGTTGCTGCCATTGCCAAAATGGATGGCCATACTGTTACAGTTCCACTCAATTCCGTCCAGTAGGTTCGAAATCCATCAGTGGCATCTTGCATGTTCAGGCTTGGTAACCCAATCTCGGGCATTGCTGGCGTGTTGCCCACATAGAAGTACTTGGGCAAATCAAACCACCACTTGGTGGGTTCCCAGCCAGTGCCTTGCAACAGGCTGGTCTTTTTTTCTTGGCTCATAAGTTTCAAGGTAGCTTCAGCCATGGAAATGGCATCCTCCCAAGACAACAACTTTGGCAGCAAGGGAGAATGCCGCTCACGAGCTCCTCACTGTAGATTCAGCCACCCATCCCAAAAATCCCAAAAGGATATTGCAAACATTTGCAACCCCCATGGTGATCTTCAATGGATGGCTGAGAAATCCCTTTTTTTTTCATGGGAAACCATCTGCTATAATGTTGCACTGCCAATTGTTTGCCAGAAGGTGGTCAGGATTCAATTGGCATCATCTATGGGATGGACAACTCGCATTGATTTGAAACCGTCTGAGCAAACACCCTAGCTGGGATGGAAATTGCAAAGTCATTTGAAACCATTTGGGTTTGTCCGAAAAGTGGGCACCGCCCAATTCGATGCTTAATCATCATTTTGCCTATTAACATATATGAACATGGTCATTTTGGGGTACAGTATCCCATTTTGAAAGTGCCAGTCCTGTGCCATAGGCGCACGCCCCTGCATAGCTCTCAGCAGCACACGCCACATCCCATGGAAGGCCACTAGCTGCCCTCGGCCCTGCCATGGCTTTCCCCAAGCACCACCAATCCGCAGTGGAGTTTGAAGACCAACAAGCAACCCTCGTGTCCTGGGTGGATTCCCAGGCTCCACCAGTCAAAAATCAGCATGGAAATGGGCAAAAATGGAGTGCTCATGCATCAAGACTAACCAAACATATCGGCAACAACATGCTCATGATATCTCATGATCCAATGGCTGACCAGTGGCGGATGGACAGCGGTTATTGGTGAAGGTCGCTTTGTTGCTACAAAGGTCTAAGTCAACTGCCACCACGAGTTCATTGGGTTCGGGCGCATGGGACTGCCATACTGAGACGCCAAAATTTGGAGCAGGGACTGCTCCAACAAGCGCCGAAAACGTCGCAAGGAGCCAGGACATGGAGGAAGCTGACAAAAGGTTTGGACAGTCGTTGAATTGGCAGGGAAAACACGACTCTAGCTGGAAGCCAAACCAAACATACGGTTGTAAAACCCCACCCGACTGTGCCATGATGCCTCTTTCGACCTCTTGGACAACTCCTGCAAGGCAAAGTCTGGTGGTACTCTGATAGTCTTCCCAAAACCTGTGACGAAATTAATGGTCCCGTAACAATTGGCCGGGTGCATCAACAATTTGACCTGAGTACCCAACGGCGCCGTGTGGCAGAACCTAGCCATTTGGGGTACCCCTAAGCCCTATGGTGACCAGGCCTCGTTGCTGCAGCGCCAGTCTCAAGGCCGTAGTCTTGGCACGTTCTTCAGCCAGTTCCTGGGGCGAGAGCCATTGAAATGGGGCGATGCTGCTCCCTCTTGATGAAAGGGATAGATGCACAATGTAATTACATAATATTACATATAACATCTGGATAAATTGATGAATTGGATAGATTAAAATAAGTCACCATCCTGAAATATTGCCATTTTCAAATAGTTACCCTCACTAAACATAATTCCAGTCACGTTGCAGTGAGTTCATTACATATAATATAAATATCATATCTATATGTGCTGCATGTCTGTCAAAGTAGACCTCTAGATCATGCTGAAATGTTTAGCCGATAAAAAAAACAATAAATAGGGATGTACACTATTGTGATGGTGATCACAGGCATTAGCTATAATACCAATGCGAACCTAACATGCCTCAGACCACTGGGTGTTCTACCTGCTCGACAAGCCCAGTTGTTTGATTCTCTGCCAGAATAGGATGAATAGGATGAATAGGATGAATAGGGCCAAGTCACCAATACTAAGAGATTTTTGTGGAATTTATAGGGGCCCACAATGATGCGGCCATAATGGTTCCCTTACTCCCATACCACTCCCGTGAGAAGCCCCGCCCAAGAGTAAATTCATTTGCAGCCAAGGATCTCTTGCCGTTGCTCCTTGCATCTCTCGCCAGACTTTTTCTAACCTCATGGCACACCGGCGAGTGCCCTGCCAGTTCAGTACACTCGCCAAAGCACTGAAAGGGGTCAAGATGGGTCAAGTATGATAAAGTTACTCATGGAGCGACCAAAAAATAGCTGGTTTAATGTGTAATGAACCATCAGGTTTGTTATTGGGCATACATGGGCATACCATGGTATACCCTATTTGGGATGATTAAACATGATCCTCCACACAAATGGTTTAGGACGTAACAGGCTCGATACGCGATCAGCAGCTGTCCCGCTCCCGCTCCATAGTAACAATTATACTTGATTTTTGTGCGCTCGCCCTCCACATGGAGCTTCGTCGTTTAATCATGTTTATATACCCCCTAATTTTGTGAAAAGGTGCAGTAACCCCTTGTTAAAAAATACCATCTGGTAATTTAACATGGCTATTGAGCTATTGAAAATGGTCCATTTTAGTTCATTTACCTTATTAGAAATGGTGATTTACCATAGTTAGCAGCAGGTTTTAAACAACAACAGCACCAGCACCTGGCACCACTTCCTCCATTGCCAGCCGGGTTCCCAACTCTTCTGCCTCCCGCTGCGCCATCATCGAGAAGGTTCGGAGCGCCGTGGCCGGCGATACGGCCACAGGCTCCACCGAGGGCCCCTTTTCGGGCTCCTGTCGAGGCACTGGAGGTGTTGACACCTTTGAGGTCATCTGAGAGAAATGATGACACGAAGGGAGACTTTCACCAGCCAAAATGGTGATTAATGATGACAATAAGATACAATAAGATCAATAAGGGGATTTTCACCGGCCAAAATGGTGATTTGAATTAATGATTGGCCCTGAGAATCAGCCACTTGTAGAGGAAAATGGTATTGCGACCCCCGGCTCATGACAGGGTTGATGTTAGTGGGGGGGATGATATGCGCTTGAATCATACGGGATCTTCATAGCATATCCAATGCCAAATATGCCAACCAGTGGTGCAGCAATCTTGCCACCAATCTATAACCGAACCTCTTTTGCACCTGCGCTGCTGGCTTGATCCCTGGCAAAGCTTGACGCTGGAGAAGAGCCAGGGCCCATCAGTGGAAACGACAGGAAAAACTTCCCCGCCTGCCGGGGACCACGTCGTCTCCGACCTCAAGATGGCCACGAAGCGATCCGAATTCAGGATATGGTTGACTTCAAAAATTAGGGACATGCGCTCATACAGGCGCATACTATATATATGTATAGATTTCTCGCTCCGTCTGTATGTATAAACAGCTACAGTAGTGGGATGCGCCGTTCATTGTTGGGACCATTGTGTGGAACTAATATCAATATAGTTGTCCCACTCCATCGGATTGGTATGACTGCACCATAGGGCGGCCATGGGTCAAAACCGATTGAACCAATTGGTGAACTGCAAAATAGCTGGGCTTCATGGCTGTTCATGGCTGGTTCATTTCTCCAACATATTAGGTACCCTGTTTGGTACACGTTTTGACCCATCCGCATGTTCCGTCCAGGGCACTCCGCGGCGGCTTTGTCGCTCCATCAGCACGTGTTGCCCAAAAACCCGCAGGGACTGGCGAGTTCTCGTGCGACTCTTGCTGCGCCTCAACAGACTTTGGATGCTATGGATTGTCATTTGGCTTGGGTCTCACTTGTTCAGTCTTGTTCCAGAAATACATTTGATCAATGGGAATTCCAGGATCCTAAAATGGAGGTACTGTACCATATAAGGCCATATTTTGTGGGGATATTCCCTTACATAGGCCTTATATAGGCCCATCATATGGTAGGTACCTCCAATTTAGGTTCCTGAAATAGCCATTGATTTGATACATCGGGAAAAAGGGCTGAGGTAAAGAAACGCTTCAAGAGGTTCCTACAGTCTTGGCGGTTATCCGGTTTTTCCATCATCGAAACCAAGCTGCTCTTCTGGTTGATCATTATCTGCTGCCTGGCCCACAGCACACGCTTATGGGAAATGAATGCTGACCGAGCAGTCGCTAGTTTACAGATGGGTCAAAACCCATCCGGATGAGTCCAGAAGTGAGGTAATACGCCAGTTGAACGCAGAGCATTTGAATAATTAACAGTACTTAAGTGTAATTAACGACAAGTATAGGACTTTACCATACCTTCCCATGCTTTCCCATAATTTTCCTTCTGCTTTTTGTCGAGTCTAAATCCATCACGATTCCTGCCTCTTTGGATGGTGATCCAAACTGTTTCTCAGGAGCCGCCTCGCTCACCTGAATCCCCATGGCATCGGAAGCAATTTTTTTAGCGTCACCTTTAACCTGGTCATCATGTGTGCATGGTATATAGTCATAGTAAACCCCACAACGATAGAACAGTATCTTCTTGCTATTACATTAGTAGGAATTTACTTTTCCATCTTTTGGGGGTTGCTATATCAATACTTAATTGGCCCTTATCATCATGTGCCTTTATCCTGCAACAGACCTGCAACAGACCTATAGCTAAGTAGATCATTATAAACATGTTGGCCAATTTCAGCAAATATCAACACTAGCTGTACCATACCATTTTCAGCAAATATCATGGATGCTCATGGAGTCATGGCGCAACTCATGGCAGCTGTCGGCTGGCCTCGCTACGGGCCGCCATTTGTTGTTCCAAGAGTGAAGCCATCTGCCTGCTCTCAGGGATGGGTCTTCCCAGCCATGCTATCCCACCAGCGCATACCAGCGCTAGGTAAGACCCTTGACTTTCATGATTTTTCATCATCTCTCCCGAAGTTGCAACCTAGAAATTAATTGGTATCGGATCTATTCAGAAATCATTTTTATTTTGGGGCCCATATGGCTATTGAACGCAACAGGGATGGGATTGGATCGATCTGCACCATGCCGTGCGTGTCTGTTTTCTTTTTCCGTTTGATCCACAATGAGAATGCGGAAACCAAACGATATCTAGCATGGAAAATGACTATAGACTATAGGGTATAAACTCACAAATAGCCTGTGAAAGAACTTCCCAATACTAATCATTAATCAAAGCGATCCTAACACCCCATCGTGTCTCTGGAAGTCCCCTGGAGATGCCCGCAGCACCTTTGAATGTTCACATTTCGTTGCATCAATACCTCAGGGACCAGTGGGGATGGTCATCCCGGGGGAGGTGAAGCACCATGTCAGCCATGCTGCTGCCACGCGGTCCGCCAACGTTGGACCATCGTCTCTGACCACGTCGTCAGTGGCCAATCTTAGGAGAAACCGGCTGAAAGTTGGGCGAAGATGTTGGAAGATGTTGGAAGGTTCCAGTTTGGGTATGAGTCAACATTCAAGACTCAGGGACCACAGATTTTTGGTTATTTTCTTCTCTTGTTAGTACTGACAGTATTAACATGTATTAACCATCAAATATGATGTAATAATCGGGACCCAATTTTGACACGTACCCAATTTGGAGGAAACGGGTGATACCCGAAAATGGTTCAAAATTACTGAGAAAAAAAGTGTTTTACCAGTGGGTCTTGATAGCGAGGTGGATTTGATTGACATCGTTGGAATGGGTTTCTGGGGAGCCCACGTTCAACAAATATCAGCCAAGGACTTTTCTCAGATGGTCTTTTTCATGATTAACATATTGAATTTAATCCATCAGAAGTGAATAATGATAATCTATCTATCTAAATAATGATAATCTATCTATCTATCCAATCCAATCCAATCCAATCCAATCCAATCCAATCCAATCCAATCCAATCCAATCCAATCCATCTACCTGTATGTGGTCATATACGTGTATTAGAATGAAATCTGATGATCATTTCATAGAATCTCCTGAGATACCCTCCTACTTTTTGCCATCAATGATGGTTTCTGTTGAAACCCTGAACTGGTAACTACTCCTGCCGGAAACTTCTTGGTCAGGCAACGTGGCAGGACCAGCAAGCTGCTCCGGCTTCATCTCAAGAGCCTACAGTGATTCCGCTGAAGTCAAAGCACCATCCTTCGAAAGAGCAGTTTTACAATTGTCCTCCAATACCCTTTGGTTTTCTGGGGGAACTTGCCATCACTCATATTTTTGTGAAACAAAACAAAACTAACTATCCGAGAATTTGCGTTTTGATTCACAGGACAACCTAATAGTTCTACACCGCCACATCAAAACATCATGGACCAACACAAATAACACAACGATACACAACGCAAGACAGGGTGCCAGTCTTGCTTCCTTCTCTTTCGCCAGTTTCGCCAGTGTTTCTTCCAGTAGATCTCGGCAGTTCCTCAGCTGTGAGGCCATCACAATCTGCTTGTGGCGCCCTTCGGTTTGGACCCTGCTATAGCTATCCCTCACATCCCATCGTCTAGCTATGGGCCATAGGATGCCATAGGCTCAACATTTCTTGTGGCTCCACTCTCCAAGCGTCCCTTCAGATTCCTCCAAATCTTCCTTGGTGGAAATTGGCTGTCTGACACAGCCCCAAGACAAGCCGCAGAGAAATAGAGTTAGGGTGGAGATTCACAGTTAAGATCTATCTAGTCTAGTTTAATCTAGTCTCACCTAATGTCATCTCATCTCTATATATAAATTATATAATTCTATACATAATATGATATCTTGTCCATAAATCTATCTGGAACATTTGATCTATCTTCATAGTATCTTATCAAACTTGTTTGTCAAGATTCTACCTAATCTCTGTCACAATATTTCTCTATTCTATCTGCTCTATCTATATAGTCTCTACCAAATCGCTATCTAAATCTATCTAATAATATCTAAGATCTATATCCGACTCTATCCAACCTCTTTCTAATATTATTGTTGAAGCCTATTGATATCTACAAACAATCTAAGCTATCTATAATCTAACTCATATATCCAATCTATCTGATGAATCGATTCTATCTATTGTTGTTAAATTTTTATTCTATTCTATTCTAATTCTAGTCAACTCTGCCTAATTATCCATTCACCCACCCACCCACCCACCCATCCATCCATCCATCCTCGAATATCCATACATACATCAAAAAATACACGAATCATGGTGGTATGCAATCGCAGGGGTCTGGGCCCATCATGACATGCTGCAATGGTCTTCTGCAACTCCACCTTCTCCTCTTCCAGCTGTTGCTTCCTCTGCCTGCTCTGCGCGCAACTCCGAGCTACGGAGGAGAGTCCCTTCGAAGGTCATGGAAATGGAGGTTTCCGTCTTTACAAAAGAAACATCAAACGGTATGTATATGTATATATATATATGTATGTAAAAATCATATGCATGTTTGCCACACAAATTGTTGCTGGCTTCCACCCATCCAAAAGATGCTGTTCCTTGGGGGTGAATGACCACAAACAAGTCAGAAATGTCTGAAACCAAGCACTACGACAGCAACAGCAGCGAATTGATGTTCATGTAATTTATGTATCATGTTGCTCAAGCTGTCCCAAAGGAAATGGAGTCACTTCCAAGAAAAAGTAGACAAGGCTCTCGAAGAGAGACTTGTACTCTACCAATTCCTCTTCGCCACTCCTTCTCGCCTGAAAAATCTGCAAACACATGATGTGATGTGGATACTTATCTGATCTTGTCTGCAGGTCCCTTAAGGCCCCCTCAATTTTCATCGGTCCAACTGCAGCTTTTTTGTGGTCCAAGACCCGCATCCCCGTGGCCCTTCTGTTGATGGTGAAGGACAATGAGGAAAGCATGTAAAGGCAGAGCTTCGCAAGCTGTCATGAGCAGTCTTTCTGCTCGCAAATAGGGCCAAATTCCCTTTCACACACACACACACATATATATATATATAGTGTGCAGTGCCCAAGTGATTCCAGCACCCATTGATTCCCATTAAAAATAAGCCTTTCCGCTTTGCTTCTGGCGACTTCTGAAGACATGTTTGGGATGCACCTCTCCAATACCCTCTTGGAGGCCTTCTCCGACATTTCCAGGTTCTTGTGCTTCTCCAACCTAAACTAATGGATCCGCTCGACCAGATTATCCCTGGCAATCCACCACCAACTCCCCCAAAAAGGACAATAATATACAATAATTATTTATCTACCATCATTTTACTATCGAAACTTCACCATCAATTAACCATTCAACCCTTCAGCTGGATCCCTTGTGGTTCCACCTCTGCTTCCTAGGGCCGCGGGCTGCATGGATTGAAGTTCTTCCAGCTGATGTTCCTGCACCTGATACCTGTGGCCGGGAGTTGCGTGAAGAAACCACCGGACATCTGCCTAGTTTTGGCCACTAAAAACATTCTATCTAGTAGAAACTGCTATAAATTATGCAACAAGCAATGTAAATGTTGCGCGTTTCCGTTGTTTTTCTTCGTTTCCTCTGGTTCTGGGCTTCAAAACGCTTTGCCTTCAAGCCTATCTGAGTGGCAGAACCTAAATTCAACTTACATGGGGTGAAATCAAAGCACCCCTGCCACAGTAGAAAGAAAGGAGACTCTGCGAATCGCACCTCGCAGTGGCTGACCCCTACAGTTTTTCCCTTCGTCAAATATTTATTATGATTTAAATATGTTTAAATTGAGGATAACGTTGACATTCTCTATGTGTTGTGAAACTCTTAGTATCTCTTAATCTCTTCGGCCCTCCCCTGGGTGGGCCCGCTGAGTGCCCCGACTGCATCTCCAATTGCGACACCAACAAATGGCCCTGGAGCTAAGGTGGTGGCAAAATGCTGGGGTCTTAGCCTTGGTCATTTGTAACATGTGGCTATGTATGGATGTATAGATGAATGGATGTATCTATGTATAATGATGTATGAATAATGGATGGACGCATGGATGTGTATATATATATATGGTGGTTGTCCAAAATCCTTTTTCCCGGACAGCCCTCAATCGCTCAGCCAATCGCGTAGCAACCGCGGTACCACAGTGAGCAATCGCGGAAGGGTTTGTTCTTCGTTGATTTAGAAGTCAAACTTCCGACAATATGGACAGATGAAAAGCAGAGCTGGGCAGAGGCAGAGAGAAGAGAAAGATTAGAAGAGAGAAGATCAGAGAAGAGAAAGAGTCAGAAGAAAGAAGATGCAGATGCGCGAAAAGGTAGGAAAGTCGTGATCCACTGCGTTTTTCCAATGATTTGTGGCTCAGGAGGGTCGAAAAGTAGGCTCGCTAAAGCGGCGGGTGCGGAGCCAGCTGGCCAGATGAGAGATGAAAAATTGCACGCCGTTGTGGCGCGAAGCACATTTCCAAGTCAAAATGCACAACACACACCAGCTCCGGACCACTTTTGGCAGTTGAGATGTCGAAAAAGTGCACGCCGTTGTGGCGCGAAGCACATTTCCAAGTCAAAATGTACAAAACACACCAGCGTCGGACCACTTTTGGAAGTTGCGATGTCGAAAAAGTGCACGCGGTTGTGGCGCAAAGCACATTTCGAAGTCAAAAGTGTTAAAAACTGGCGGTCTCGGACCACTTTTGGAAGTTCAGATGTCGAAAAAGTGCACGCTGCTGTGGCGCGAAGCACATTTCCAAGTCAAAATGTTAAAAGCACCAAGGTTTCGGACCACTTTTGGAGGTTCAGATGTCGCTTCGCTTCGCTTCATTACACTACACTACATTACACTACACTACACTCCACTACGCTACATTACATTACACTACACTACATTACACAACACTACAACTACACAACTACACAACTACACAACTACATTGCACTACACTCCACTACACTAAATTACACTCCACTACACTAAATTACACTACAGTACACTACACTACACTCCACTACACTACATTACACTACACTCCACTACACTCCAGCAAACTAAATTACACTACACTACATTGCACTACACTACACTACATTCCACTACACTCCACTACACTACACTACAACTACACAACTACACTCCGCTACACTCAAGTACAGCACACTACCCTACATTACACTACGCTACACTCCACTACACTACATTACACTACACTACCTTCCACTACACTTTACTACATTACACTACACTACATTCCACTAGATAGATAGGCAATTAGATGAGAGAGAGAGAGAGAGCGATAGATAAATACATAGATAGATCGGTAGGTAGGTAGGTAGATTGTCAGAGAAAAAGAGAGAAAGAGAGGAGACCTCAAGCACCTTTCGGTCCGTCAGTGGCTTCGCTCTGCCATCCCTGATTCACAACAACCAATCTCTCCTATAAGTTTCCTATTTTTGAAACTTCCGCCACCGCCTTGTGCGGTACTACTGGTATTCATGAGTCCTAGTAGGTTAGAAGTAGTAGTAGTAGTAGTAGTAGTAGTAGTAGGAGTAGTAGTAGTAGTAGTAGTAGAAGTAGTAGTAGGAGTAGGAGTAGGAGTAGGAGGAGTAGTAGTAGTAGTAGGAGGAGTAGTAGTAGTAGTAGGGGTAGGAGTAGGAGTAGGAATAGGAGTACTAAGACTTCTAAATTTATTTATTTTCACATCAGGCACTTAATGAAAATATTAGTAGTTATCTTAACTTATCATAGAAGTCATTTTTACTTATTTTCACTTATTTTCACTTAATTTAGGTTATTTTTTCATTATTTTTTACTGTTTAAAATTGATAAAAGACGAAAGATGTTTCTGTCATAGGGTTTTGTAAAACATCTTTGAATTAAAAAATATAAGAATGTTGCGTTTTCTTTTTTTTGTTTGGATATTTTCATGGTTCCGATGCAAGATCTTCCTTGTCCTGTTAAATGTATCTTTTACAGGAAGTTTCCTTTTCAGGCATCATCTCTTTTCAGGAACTATCCTTTTCAGGAATTATTCTTTTCAGAATGAATCCTTTTCAGGAGTTATCCTTATCAGGAATTTTTCAATTCAGATTGAATCCTTTTTCAGGAATTTTCCTTTCCAGGAATTATCCTTTACAGGAAATGTCTTTTCGAAGACCTTTTTCCATTCAGATAATATTTGGTCACTTTTCCTTGTTTTGTCACAAGCTGGAAATTACTCACTTTCTTACTTTCTATAGTTTTAAAACTTTAACTTTATTGAAAATGTTATAAAAATGTTCATATTTTACTATTTTTCTAAATTTATATTTTTATATACATTTTGGTCATTGATTTTCATATTTTTCACATTTTCACAATTTTCTAAAAATTATCTGCATTTTCGGAATGTTCTATTTTTTTGGAACTTTCTAAATTTTCTAAATTTTATATATCTATGTATATATATATATTTCTGAATATTGCGATTTTTTTCGAATTATCTAAATTTCCTAAATTCTATGGATTTTCTGAAATTTTTGAATTTTCTGAATTTCAGAATTTTCATATTTTTTTTGTTTTTTTTAATTGTCTGAATTTTCTGAATTTTCAAATTTTCTGAATTTTCTGAATTTTCTGTTTTTTTCTAAATTTTCTGAATTTAATATATTTATATATATATATATAATAGGCACCCATGACTTAGGACTTAGGTCACCATAGTGACATAGGAGTTTGTGCACCAAGTCCTAAGTCACTGGTGTTCTTACCAGGTGATTTGTGTGCAGCAAGTCCTAAGTCATTGGGGTTATGATTGGACTTAAGCACTTTTTCGGGTAAAATAAAAATAAAAAATCTTCTCTTGATAAGTCATCAGAACCTACATACTTACATTACATTACAGTACAGTAAATTACATCACACTACGGTACATTACATTACAATACAGTAAAGTACAGTACATTACACTACAGTACATTGCATTACATTATAACACATTACAGTACATTACATTACATACATGCACAGGACTTGGTGCACAAAATCGTCTGTCACTAGAGGGGCACAAGTCCTAAGTCATCAGAACCTACATACTTACAGTACATTGCAGTACAGTACAGTACATTACACTACAGTACATTACATTACCTTACAGTAAAGTACAGTACATTACATCACACTACAGTACATTACATTACAGTAAAGTGCAGTACATTACAGTAAAGCGCAGTACATTACATTACATTACGTTACATTACATTACATGACACTACGGTACATTACAGTACATACATGCATAGGACTTGGTGCACAAAATCGTATGTCACCAGAGGGGCACAAGTCCTAAGTCATCAGAACCTACATACTTACAGTACATTACAGTACATTACAGTACATTACATTACATTACACTACAGTACATTACATCAATTACAGTACAGTAAATTACACTACATGCATGCATAGGACTTGGTGCACAAAATCGTATGCCACTAGAGGGGCACAAGTCCTAAGTCATCAGGACCTACATACTTACAGTACATTACAGTACAGTATTTACTGTACATTACAGTACAGTACATTACAGTACATAGATGCAAAGGACTTGGACAGCGTCCGTCACCAGAGGGGCACAAGTCCTAAGTCATCAGAACGTACATACATATCTTACATTACATTACAATACAGTACATTACATCCCAATACATTTTTCAATATTTTTCAATTTATTTAACTGCTTGAAAATACTGTCTGTATATAAATCGAAGGAAAAAACCGTTGTGCTTCCCTATTGTATTCCCCGTTGCGCTACCCCGTCGTTGGGTCGAAGTCCTCGAGCCAATCGTTGAAAAAATGATGACTTAGGACCTGTGCCCATCTTCAAAAAAAATATGTCACAAAAATCTGTGATTTTTTTCAGATAGATATGCACAAATTTTAACATTTCACTATGTTACAAAAGCAAGTTTTTCTAGGTTTCAAAAATGTGTGCTTTTCATTTTTTTGACATTTATCATTTTGCATCATTTCCCCGTTAACACGCCGTTGTGGTTTCCGGCTGAGAGCTGGCACTGGATCTCGGGGAACCGGGTCGAAGTCCTCGGGCCAGCCTCTCCGCCTTTCCGCCAACGCGCGCGCGCGTTGAACGCGCGCGCGCGCGTTGGCGGAAAGGCAGGCTCGAGGACTTCGACCCAACGACGGGGTAGTGCAACGGGAAACACAAACGGGAAGCCAAATAGCTGCAGCGCACGAGCGTGATGACTTAGGATCATCTTAGTATACTTCTGCTAGTTAATTCCTATGTCATCCTGGTTTTACGAGTGGTCCATGCCGCACAAAAAAATCTAGCATAGTTTCTAATCTCATACGGACACCTGATGAGTTAGGACTTGTGCAGGGGGGGTCTGAAGCATGATGAGATAGGACTTGCCCACCCCAGGGTATCTTTCACAAGTCCTAAGTCACTGGTACCTAATATATATATCTGAAATTTCTGAATTTTCTAAATTTCAAAATTTTCTGATTTTTCTGAATTTTCTGAATTTTAGATTTTTTTTAATTTTCTGACTCTTCTGAATTTTTTAAATTTTCTAAATTTTCTGATTTTTTTGTTTTTTCCGACTTTTCAACATTTTCAATATTTTCTTCATTTTCTACATTTTCTCATTTTCAAAATTTTCTGACGTATATACATTAAAAATAATAAATTTGTTACCTTCTGTATGTTTAAGCATTATAAATTTTCTCAGTAAGTTACTTTTCTCCATTTATTTCTATTACAATCTTTTTTTGAGTGGTGTGTATTGTTTCTCAGATTTCTTATTACTCTGAATGTCTCAAACTTAATATATATATATATTTGCAATATTTTTATATTTTATAATATTTTTCTGCATAGTTTCAACTGAGTTGATCTGAAATTTTCTATTAGAATATATCGTAATGTTTGAGAAATTTAAAGAATTTGACTGTCAACAACTTCAAATGCGAATCCCTGGAAAACGTAAAGCTCAAGAAGCTACATTTTTTTTCTGGTGAAATATCATACTGAGATTTTTTTTATTTGTGAAAGAACTGCTTTTCATGAACATTATACTGCTCATATTTTTGCCTGCCCAGGAAGTATACATTACAGGAGGTCATCTTTTCAGAGAAAAAAGGGATACTAACTTTCCAGGAACTACTCCTTACAGGAAACATTATATATTCCAGATAATTTTTTCGTTATAAAAATTCCAATGCCCTTCCCTTTGAAGCCAAAATTGCTCCGTGGTAATCGACATCCATGTCCATCAATGTTGAAAACTGACAAAAAACATATTTTTACTTATTTTCGCTTCTTTTCCCTTATTTCAACTTATTTTTGAATAATATTCCACTATATTTACTTATATGTTCATTATTATGTTACAAGTTCACCTAAACGATTAGTGGAACTTAAAACAAAAAAAAACAATTTAAACAAGATATTAGCAAGATAATAGCAACTTATAATATACTTATAACTTCATTAAGTGCCTGATGTGAAAATAAATAAATTTAGAAGTCTTAGTAGGAATAGGAGTAGGAGTAGGAGTTCTAGTAGCAGGGCAAGGGAAGAAAGGGAGAGGGAGGGGAACAGATGGTTGCGTTTGGCCGGTTTCTGACGGGTTTCTGACTGGTTTCTGACTGGTTTCTGACCCTTCAGCGGGACTCGTGTCAATTGGATTTAAAAGCAAAGGCAGAAATTCCTAGGTGTACTAGTGGTAGTGGTGGTGCAGTAGCAGCGGGTGTGGTGGTAGTACTAAGAGTAGTAGCAAGTCTAGTAATGAGAGTAAGGATCAATGCGTGAACGCATTCGATTTCAAATTTGGGAGCAAAATAAGCTTGTGCGGTCCGGAAACGGTCCGGAAAACTCACAGTAGTACCAGCAGCACTAGCAGTAGCAGTAGCGGTAGTGGTAGTGGAAATCGGAATAGGAGTAGGCGTAGGAGTTCTGGTGAGAGGGTGAGGGAATAGGCAAGGGAGAGAGAGAGAGGTTGCGTTTGGCCGGTTTCTGACTGGTTTCTGACTGGTTTCTGACTGATTTCTGACCCCTCAGTGGGACCTTTGTCATTTGGAAAAAGAGCAAAGGCAAAACTTTCGAAATGTAATAGTGGAGACTGCCATTATAATGCCACTATATATCTTGTAATAGCTACGCCAGAACTCCTACGCTTACTCCTACGCCTACTCCTATTCCAATTTCCACTACCACTACTGCTACTGCTACTGCTAGTGCTGCTGGTACTACTGTGAGTTTTCCGGACCGTTTCCGGACCGCACAAGCTTATTTTGCTCCCAAATTTGAAATCGAATGCGTTCACGCATGGATCCTTACTCTCATTACTAGACTTGCTACTACTACACCGAGGAATTTTTGCTTTGCTTTTCTCCACTTGACAAAAGTTCCACGGAAGGGTCAGAAATCAGTCAGAAACCTGTCAGAAACCCGCCAAGCGCGAGTATCTGTTTCTTTCCCTCACTCTCTCTCCCTTTCTTTTGCTCCCCCCCTCTCCTTTCTAGTAGATTAGTATTAGTAGTAGTAGTAGTAGTAGTAGTAGTAGAAGTAGTAGAAGTAGTAGAAGTAGTAGTAGGAGTAGGAGTAGGAGTAGTAGTAGTAGTAGTAGGAGTAGTAATAGGAGTAGTAATAGGAGTAGTAGTAGTAGTAGTAGGAGGAGTAGTAGTAGTAGGGGTAGGAGTAGGGGTAGGAGTAGGAGTAGGAATAGGAGTAGGAGTAGGAGTTCTAGTAGCAGGGCAAGGGAAGAAAGGGAGAGGGAGGGAAAGAGAGAAAGAGAGAGAGAGGGAGGGAGGGGAACAGATGGTTGCGTTTGGCCGGTTTCTGACGGGTTTCTGACTGATTTCTGACCCCTCAGTGGGACCTTTGTCATTTGGAAAAAGAGCAAAGGCAGAACTTTCGAAATGTAATAGTGGAGACTGCCATTATAATGCCACTATATATCTTGTAATAGCTACGCCAGAACTCCTACGCCTACTCCTATTCCAATTTCCACTACCACTACTACTGCTAGTGCTGCTGGTACTACTGTGAGTTTTCCGGACCGTTTCCGGACCGCACAAGCTTATTTTGCTCCCAAATTTGAAATCGAATGCGTTCACGCATGGATCCTTACTCTCATTACTAGACTTGCTACTACTCTTAGTACTACCACCACACCCGCTGCTACTGCACCACCACTACCACTAGTACACCTAGGAATTTCTGCCTTTGCTTTTAAATCCAATTGACACGAGTCCCGCTGAAGGGTCAGAAACCAGTCAGAAACCAGTCAGAAACCCGTCAGAAACCGGCCAAACGCAACCATCTGTTCCCCTCCCTCCCTCCCTCTCTCTCTCTCTCTTTCTCTCTTTCCCTCCCTCTCCCTTTCTTCCCTTGCCCTGCTACTAGAACTCCTACTCCTACTCCTACCCCTACTCCTACTCCTATTACTGTGAGTTTTCCGGACCGTTTCCGGACCGCGCAATTTTCTTTTCTTCTCAAATATGAAAACGAATGCGTTCATGGGTGGATTCTTCTACTAGTGTTGCTACTACTCTCAGAATTACCACTAGCGCCGCTACCACTGCAACGCCGCTACGTATGCCTGAGCACTCCTTCACGTTTGGGTGTCGCGTCATCTGGCAGTGGAGAGACGGGGGAGATTGGGTCGGGTGAAGGGGGGAGGTGCAAGTTTGGATTGAGTTGTTTGCACTCCGCCTGCGCGCCATGTTCTTGTGAGGAAAGGCTTTTGTGCAATTCGCCGTCATTAAGGGGAATGATTTGCTGGCTGCGATGTGGTTTACGAGCCGGAGGGGCGTCTTTCTGGCTGCTGTCAGAGTTTCTACCAGTGTGGATTCCTTTGCTGTCTGGCGTGACACAGCAGTCCGGCCTAGCCGGGGGCATATCGCAATCTTCATTGTCACCTACCCTGACATTCTCCTCCGTTCCTTCAAGATCAACAACCATGTCTCCTATTGGCCGCTCCAACTGTGGTAGAGTTTGACTGACAGGAGGATTTGTCCATGAGACTGTTGGACTGATAGTAGGTGCAACTTTGGGGACACGTCCTTGGATCCACTAGCCACTTTGATCGCATCCCTTATTTCATCTTGACTGGTACACCGAGGAATTTTTGCCTTTGCTTTTCTCCACTTGACAAAAGTTCCACGGAAGGGTCAGAAATCAGTCAGAAACCAGTCAGAAACCTGTCAGAAACCGGCCAAGCACGAGTATCTGTTTCTTTCCCTCACTCTCTCTCCCTTTCTTTTGCTCCCCCCCTCTCCTTTCTAGTAGATTAGTAGTAGTAGTAGTAGTAGTAGTAATAGTAGTAGTAGTAGTAGTAGTAGGAGTAGGGGTAGGGGTAGGAGTAGTAGTAGGAGTAGTAGTAGGAGTAGTAGTAGTAGTAGGAGTAGTAGTAGTAGTAGTAGAGTAGTAGTAGAGTAGTAGTAGTAGTAGCAGTAGTAGTAGTAGCAGTAGAAGTAGTAGTAGAAGTAGTAGTAGTAGTAGAAGTAGTAGTAGTAGTAGTAGAAGTAGTAGTTCAAGAAGTGATAGTAGTAGTAGTAGTAGTAGTAGTAGTACTAGTACTAGTACTAGTACTTATACTAGTACTAGTACTAGTAGTAGTAGTAGTAGTAGTAGTAGTGGTAGTGGTAGTGGTAGTCGTAGCCGTATAACCAATCGCCAACCAATCGCTTAGCCTATCGCGATGCAGGTTTTGGCAATCGCGCAAAGCAGAGTAAACGCATCAATTCATAATTTTGTTATCTGCTTTTACGGACGGCTCCCATATGTATATATATATAGAGAGAGAGAGTGTGTGTGTGTGCGCACGTAAAAATGAAAGGCAATAATACGTATGCATACTATTTAAATGATCTTAAATGATATCGGACTGTGCTGGATATACTATGATATACTGATATAATCTAACCCTTAATATGTTTGATGGTAATTGGCAGTTGCATGCTCATGTTCCTGCCCATGCATATCTATCTATCTATCTATCTATCTCTCTCTCTCCATCGCCATCTCAGAGGTTCAACCTGCCCATGTATCCCATGTTGGTAATTATCCCACTCAACTTTGGGCGAACTCTCCTTAGATCTCTCCCCATATCATCCCAGAATGCTGCCGGAAATGCCTCCGCCGTTCTTGTGGACAGTTCTTCGCACTCAGACCGAAGCAACGCACTGCTCCTGAGAGGTGAGGAATCTACTTGCGAATTCGTCAAGGTGGGTTTGTCCAAAACTGGGGAGCACCCCAAAGTTGCAATTTCTGGAAAGGAATGAAAGGAATGAAAGGAATTAAAAAAGCATGAAATTTAGGCGTGTCCAATTCTCACATAAACCTGCGTGAGCGCTCATGAACTGCAAAATGTCTGGGAACTTTGGATAGACCGCTGAAAATTGGCGGCTCCTTTGGGCTTCCGAGTTCTTCTCCTCGAGCTGTTTTAAATGTACCTCCATGGGGAAGAGCAACTGTCCAAGCTGAGAATGTTGAGAAAAGCGCTGGAAATCCAACATCATCAACATAGCTATGTCATGCTATGTCCACCCACCAAAAGGCAGTCATACTATTTCCATAATATTTCCATAATGTTTATATGTTCATATTAATTTGCTACATGACCTCGGAAGTCTCGGCCTTTTGGTCGAGCTCAACTGCCTGACGAGACTTCGCGGCGGCCTGGTCAACAGCTGAAGTAACCATCAAACATAGGGGGTAAACCACAGTAATTAAACCAACTGGTCATGGATATAGTTTCAGATTTTTAATCCATTTCCCCATGCCTTGGAGAAAATAAAAGAAATATCACCTTGGAATCACTGGTTTGGTATTGGATCATATTGGATCTATATTCATTTTGGAGGTCCACATGATGTGGGTATTTGATATTCAGTGCATGGGATTAGTCATAGCTGGGGATGCAATCACTGGCCAACTAGGCATTTTTATTCGGAGTTTCTCAAGGTGTACCGGCATCAAAGATTCGACACCACCTATGGGTTTGTTTGAACATCTAATACATAGTTACAGAGTTCTCATATTAATAAACAAGCACCATTTCGGGGGCAGACCTCGTTTGCAAACACACCCAAACAAAACAAAATCCAACACACAATTCGCAGAGTTCTGGTTTCGCGATGTCATGATGTCATGGCAGTCATGGCCGTCATGGCCTCTTCCTCAGATTTCAAGAACTCACTCTGCAGGTGCAGCTCGTGTCGTAGACCTGGCATGGTGTCGGCTGAGGTGATGGCCTGATTCAACATGATGATTTCCTGAAGGTTTTCAGCATCATTCATAGGGCTTAGTCGGCTTAGTCGGCTTAGTCGGCTTAGTCCAGAATGAGGTGGCTGTAAAGCATCATCCCGCGCGAGGGCATGATCAGAAATGCCCGAACTGAGCAAGTTGCTGTCGCATTCCACTTGATGCACAGCCATTTCAGAGGTGATGCTCCTGTCGTTGAAACTTCCCAAAACTCAGAGCTCTTTGAAACCGAATGCCAACATCATCGCAGCCGCAAGCAGCCACCAGGAACATGTTGATGTTTCCAAATCTTGGGACCCCCAACAACCAACAAATGATATGTTTCTCAAATTTAAATTCAGCTGAGCCATCCTGGTTGAAAAGCACATTATCTTGCAAATGTCTTTCACAAGCTCTGTGAGATTTTCTCACATTGGCCTCTGCAGCGCGCGTTCGGCCGCCTCTTCTTGCAAATCAAGTCCTGCAAAGGCAAGAACAATCGAACAATAGCCACGGTCACAGCCTTTCCTAAGGATCTTGAGATCTTGAGCGAATTGCTCCTGGACCCCTGTAGTGACCAATCCTGATTGCCTTCATCCACCTATCACGAGCCCCACAAAAGTGGGAGTGCCAAGCCTCTGGTGGCCTGTTAGAAGCAGTCCTTGCTGCTTCAACTTTCTGTTCAGTTCTTCATAGGCAGCTCTCTCGTTTGACAGCTCCTGCCACTCCACTGGTGCTTCCTTCACTCAGTTGATCAGTTGGTATCGGCTGATCATCCTATTCCCAAGCAAATTTGGTGTATTTTCAGCATCGCAGCATCGCTCAGTATGGGAGAAATCCAATGGCTGTTGAAGCAGCTCTTGCCTGAGCATGCCTCTCTTGTAGCTGTGCGCAGGTAGCTTCTAACCTTACTCTAACACTCTGCGGCATATGGGAGTGCAAGCCTCCCTTTGCAAAAAACGAACACAACATTTGAGATGGAATCAAAAAAAAGCTAAGCATCGATAAAGAGCCCCCTGCTACTCCTGACAGGGCTACTCCTAAAGCTGCTATTATTTCAAACTGATTCTATAAAATTAAATTAAAAAAAACATTTTTTTAATAAACAAGTCCAACAAATTAAAAAACAATCTCTAAAAACAACAAAAACACTGAACACATATTGTATAATGAAAAATCATGAAAAATCCTAACTTGGAAGGACATGGACTTATATAGTTGGAATTAAAAAGGACCCTAGAAAGGGAATACCCCTCTCCATAGACAAGAAAACAGTTCACAGAAAAAAAACAATTGTTCAAACCCATTTTGTCATATTGCGGCTGCATGAAATGACCTCAAGCGAGGTTGCGCCCTTTCCTTGAGCATCTCTGCTTGCATCCCGCACTCACTGAACTGGCTGGTGCATCTCCCGGGTTTGGCAGGAACCAATCTGATTTTTTTTTATTTGGCAGGTGCTTGTTTCTTGAAATAAAGGACCTCCCAAACCAGGGCTTCCCTAACAAAAATTGGAACCATTGGATTGGAATAGATGATTAGTAACACTCCACTTGCCCTTTCCCCATCCCAAAGTGCAGCACAAACAACCTTGACATACCTCAACATCCCAAGGTTGTGAGTTGTCCCCAACACCCCTCCCTTGTACTTTTTCCGAGTTGGGACTATGTTGAGCACCTAACACCAAAACCAAGGTACTGTGCCGCCTGTTCCCTTGACTTGGTTCGCTCCGCGAGGTGTTCGGACAACAAGACCTGAGTCCGGCAGCTTTGACGGCCTCTGGGAATCTGAACATGGCAAGGTGAAAACATATGAAATCTATACAGGCCATTCTCACAAGAGTGAGCGTCTAGTTGGTGGTACTGAGACAAGGAACATCCCAACATGAATCCGATATCATCCAGTCGATCATGCAGCTGTCATCCTAAAACTACGCTTTGCCAAGCGTCATCTGCGTCGCAGGTGACTTCTGCCGCTTTTCGCAGCCTTTTTGGCTTGGGAAGAGCTGAAGCCCTCAAGTTGCACCATCGAATAGACAACACATTACAGTAAGGCTGTTTAGCAAAGCTATGCTTGGGGGTTGTTTGGTTCACCCTATTCCTAATCTCCCCGAATTGGTTCAAGGGAAGCTCAGCGGAAAACCCCAAATGTGACAGTGAAAACACAAGCCCCCAAAACAAATCGTGTTTTCCGGTAGCATTTCCGACCATCAACCCAGTGAGCTTGAGCAGCATCATTTTAGAAATCTACGGGGAACATCATGGAAAGATCCATATTTGATGGGGAAACAACATGAAACAACCATGGCTTCCTCTTGTTGAAATCACCAAGCAGCAACTCATGATGCTCCTCTTGGGATCGAGACTTCGACTCCAGTGATGCAGTTGGCCTCAACTGCTGGGGCATTTGGACGGTGGTTTCAGCATCCCGGAATCCCGGAAAGATGCTGAATGAATACAGCATGGAAAACAAGACATGTTTCAAACCACCAAGCAGTATGAGTTCGGCACAAGTGGCACAAGCTCTAATATATATATATATAAATAAATATAAATATATAGTCATATAGTTATATTATATTAGATTATTCGTTATTATTCATGTACTGTAGACTGGTACGCTACAATTTTGTACGTCCGCAGATTGGACGGTAACCGGCACAAGTCGAACCTACATCTTTGCCAAACAAGACAAAACCGTTTTGCCATGATGTTACTTCGATGTTGTTTCCTTCATATTTTCCAACATGTCTATCTATTTGGGAGTTGCTTAATATCCCATGTCACACATTATGCTGGGTAGGCATGTGCCCCACCAAATAAATTCCCTTTGCCCTTGGTGCATCGCCCCCGTACCCAACAATGATCCCTAGCTGAGCAGCGCATCAGGTGCCTATCCAGAGATGTCCAGAGACCCCAAGGCATGCGGCAAAACTCATGAAACATCAACTGGTATGATGTGTTCATCACCTTTATCATCTTTATCACTGGCTCTGTTTAAGGGAGAACTTGTATGCAACCATGGGTTTCACTGGAACAACAGGGGTTGAAGTCTGTAAGACTTCCCTGAAACATCCTGAAACCATCTGGGACTTTTCCAAGCTTTTCTATCCGACCGTGAAGGTCACTGGGCTATGAATGGTTTCCTATTTGCCAGGGATGGCCCCAAAGAAATCCTCCAATAATCTGGTTGGTGGTTGACCTACCCCTCTGAAAAATATTAGTCAGTTGGGGTTACTATTCCCAATATATATGGAAGAAATATGGAAGAATAAAACAACCAACGAATAATTCAATATCTGGGACCTTACCCCCTAGGTTTGACTTGGATCTTGGAGCCTATGCAGCTTTCATAAGGAAAGTTGTCAGCCATCCTCCACTGCAGGGTGGCTGAACACCATTGAACACCAACAATCACCATCCATCAGGTCCATCAAACATATGTCTATATGGAGGTAAAAAATCACAGGCCAGTTTGCAAACTTCAGGAGTTCTCTGGAACTTCCATCAAACATCACCTCAAAACTCCACACCTGGAAGTCCTCTGAAAAGGTCGCCGAGCCCGCCAGAGGGGCTGAGAGCCTCACGACTTAGAACTGCATATGACACTTTCTATATACATTAAGAGTTCCCCCAGTGGTGAATTTTTGATTGGCAGAACTCAACTAACTAAACCCTTCCCAAAAAAACAAACACAACATCACAGAAAAGAACGTCATCAAAGGGACAATCCACACGTGGCAAAGGCACACCAAACCCTTCCCAGTGCACCTCTGTGTCGAGATCCCTGATTCAGCTGCCTTGCCAGGCTGGAAGTCAAACAGCTTCCACAGGAAATCACAGGAACCAGCAAATCCCCTGAGTTCCAAGCTGGGAATGTAGGCACACTGCGGCTCTCGCGTTCCTTGGAGGTTCTGTTTTCCCCCTTTCCTGATCATGTTTTTCAGAATGTAGATGTATAATTTTTGTGCTCAGCGAACTGAAAAAGATTGGGCACATGTGAGGAAACCCATCAAACATCACCTTGCAACATGATAAAATGGTGGATTTCTTCGGCAAAATTGAAAACAGAACCTCAATCAAACCCAGGCGTCGCGCTGGATTTCCGCCAACTTCTCACCAAAGAACCGCGCGGACGCTCGCGAACGCGAGGGCGATTTAGGAGGGCTCTTGCTGCGGAGCTGGGTCAACTTCCTCAAACTGCATGAATTTTCTGCTCTCTGGCCAGATGTCTTGGGTGGTGAAAACTCAGCATGTTGCCTTAAAAGTCTCTGCAAGTCAAGAGGCTCTTCTAGCTTGGTGATGTGATCCTCATACCTTGCAACATGAATGCGTGCCAAACGTGTCATGTCCCAGAGTCCCAGGCATTCTTCCATCAGCATCAAGAATCATCAAGTCTCTGAGAAGATTAAATCAACAAATCACAAGTCGAAAATCCGCCAGCTTCATCTGTTTCAATTCAGCCTACAAGCTTGTAGAACTCATGGAGGTGAAATTTGCACCAGGTGGATCAATTTTATAGAGGCAATTCAGATTGTCTTAGTCTTTGTTCTCTTCATGTCTTTCCATTTTTCATACAGACCATCAAACACCCAGTTCTAGCAAATCACCCATCTTCCTCAAACATGTTGGCAAAAGCCAAATCTGTTTTTTTTCCCATGTTTCAATCCCCGAAAAATGTTTTTGGAACACATAATATGGGGATGGGTCAAAACATGTCAGGTTTTCCTGTTGGTGAATGCCAACAAAAATAGCTGGATGATTTATACGGTTTTGTGATGATTTATGCATGTAACTATCCATGTATTATGGTGTAATTAATCATCTCAAATAGCTGGACATAATAATATTTTACAGAACCAAATATAACCCATACATGGTTCAAAATAGGTCTTGAGCCATCACCGCTATAGGTTACTTTGCCAAGCAGCTCCTCTGCCTCCTCACTGCTCCGACGCCTCTCTGCCTCCAATTCGCTGCGCAGCTGCAGCAGGGACTCCTGGACCTGGGATTTTGCTGGAAGAAACATATAACATTCCAAATGGTATCTACATCTATATCCTATCCATAAATCTATCTATATATCCATAAATCTATCCATCTACAAAAACATGTGCATGTGCCACAAAAATGCATGACGCACACACACACAAATGATCACACATGTGTATTTTTTGAATATATATTACGCATATTTATGCATCTTGAAACACCAAAAAGTCTTTGATGCTACGATGTAACATGACAATAAATATCAAAAAATCATATGATAATATGATGATATACATATATGACGGTTTGCCAAAATGTCTTTTCCTGGTTTTGTTGATAAATCGCAATTCCTTGCGTGCCGCTTCTTATTGTGCCTTTAAAACCATAACTGACCTAAATAGTCTGAAGCCCTGCATTTTATCTGTCATGTTTGAAGCCGTAGCTAAAACCTGCAGTAGATGCTAACGCGCGTCTATATGAAGTGGGTGCCGCTGCTAGTTGCTGGTGGCGGTGGAATATCTGCAGAGCTGGTCGTTGCCTTTGTTGTCACTGTCCCTTTGTCAAACTGACAGGATAAACTACAAGTTCTCTGGTGGCGACTGGGTCACGGGTCAACCAAAGCCGTTTTTTGAAACTGTTGCTAGCGCATTGCTAGCGGGGATCTAGCGGGTAAAATTACGTACAAATTCGCAAAGTTGAGCCGCAACCTCAAAAATACAGGAAATTTGTTGAGTAGCACAGAAATTCACTAAGACATCCTTAGGTTTAAGGAGCTAAGTCTTACATCTTGACTTTCTTAATGTTGAAATAACAAGCAGACAGGAACAAAAAAAATCATTGAACATGGGACTGAAAACAAAACTAGCGCAAAACTAGCGGGTTTGCTAGCACTGCCTTGCAGAATTGGTGAATTTAGTTGCGTGCCGCCTCAGAACGAAGAGGAAAAACAACTAGGTCCACACTAATTATCAACTAGTACAAAACTTCTGTCAACTATTTTTGGCAAATGGTCATATACATGATATGTATATGAGAGGTGAAGTACACATGTCCCTTTCTCTCTAGCTGTGACTCATGTGACTCACCAGTTTTTTTCTGGCCTCGGGTGCGATCCATTCGCTTCGGCCCAACAACTCGGGGGATCCAGCCTCAGTTTTTCGGCCATCGGCCCCGATGTGATCCTGCTACTGCATCCATTGCAGCCGTGGAGCCATGACCAAGTCAGTCTGCAACTTCCCAACCTGGCAATATGGCTACATGATGGCCAAAAGGACCTTTTTTTCCCTATCTCCTGCTGTAAAGACTAAAGTTTCCCAAAAAACGAAGTCGAAGTGATTTTCTTTGGGCCGGTCATGTTGAACGGTTTCTTGAGGGTTCTTGTGCTGTAGGACATCCAAGCAACTGTTGTCTCGGAGCGCCAGTTGAGCAACCCAGTCATTCGCCTGCCAGGAAGTTGTCGGTGAATTGGTGGTTTTCCTTGTCCAAAAATGGCTACAATTTCCACCCCTATGTTTTTCAGATCATGAACCCATGGAATGTAGGCCATGACGTCACCAGTTCGCAGTTGGCACATGTTCTCACAAGCCTTTGCAAAGCCAAATTTCTTCGAATCTGTGCCTCAGCTGCCGATGAGGCCACAGGGCAGCAAATCATCCAAGGAGCCCCGACAATGGCGTGGTCAAAGGTGTCATTATCACACGTGGGGGACCCGTTGCTGGCAGCCATCAAACATGGCAATGTTTGGAAGGTCGGGATCTTTACAGCGCAAGTTGAAACCTGTACCAACCTACCAACCCGTCTGAAAACGCAGAGTTCTGAGCATCAAAGCCACCGCTGCTTGTTGTACCAGCTGCGGCTCTGAGGATATCCGTGGGCTGGGGAAACCTACCAGATGAATGAGACGACTACAAGACGGCAAGGCGAAACCTTGAGGGTCATGTGGGTTACTCTCCCTCTCCCTCTCTCTCTCTCTAATCAAAAGGAGGCGTTAACCAATCTCCAAGTCTGTCTGTCAGTCTACCTATACGCCCCTAATCACAAAGAATCACAAAGTATATATCACCTGAGCCCAAGTGGGTGGTCACTACATGTCACTATAGCGGATACCCTCTGGTAAACTAACATAACTATGGAAAATCACGATGTTCAATGGATAAATCCACTATAAATCAACATGTTCAATAGCTATGTTAGTCATTACCAGAGGGTAGGTTTTTCAACTCAGCTTTCGTGCCTGGACCCGAGTCAGGGATCACCAGCGTAGGCAGGTCATGGTCCAGCTCCACATATTCGTTTCGGTGGAGCCTAGGGGACCTTAAAAGCAGCCCTCTGTTTTGCACAGCAGGGCGTCACGAAAAGCGATTCTTCAGGGTTTGATGCTATAAGCAATACACTCAGCCCGAAAAATGCTGAGGTGCAAACAAACTGACGGATAGTATATGATAGTATCAATTTGATTTTGAACATTGATATTCTGACCTACCAATGCAAAGGTGCACAAGTGGGTCTCTTTGAGCAAAATCATATTGCCAAGAAATCAACATGTAGATTCTGGGGAAGTCGGTACGCGCAGCCAAACAACAGGCCCCAACTGACAGTCTAACAACGCCCAAGCGTCGAAGCTTTCCTTGGAAACGAGGAGCACAAGAGGCTGTGGAGCATTGACCATCCCATTTGGGTACAGATCAGAAGGATTTCAGATCCAATCACAGTAAAAAACAAGTTGAAACACTAGCATGAACCATCTCATTCAAACACCAAAGTGAACTTCCCAGCTTTCTTCTTCAATCTGCACTTAGTGCCTTTCCAATCCAGGCGTCATCACGAACTGACTGTTTTCCAGCTCTTGCTCTTCAATCTCTTCGCGTAAAAGCTTGATATCCTCCTCCTTCTTCTCGCATTTCTGAGGGCTGAGAGGGATGTTGAGAAGGGATGAAGCTCAGGGTGGCCTCTCTGGGCCAAGCTTCCCTGGGCTTTTACTGCACATGCCTTCTTGAAGCATTTTGTAGGACCACAACCCCAGCCCCAGCTACGGAAGTAACATATCCCCACCACGGCACCTGCTCTGCCACTTGAACACGCTCCAACAGTCCAGCGTGGATCTTGCGGAATTTCCTTGGGGATCCCCCAGTCAACCAACCGATATCACTACACAACATGCAAAGGAAAGTGCCACTTGACATCCATGTTTATATGTAATTTATGTATGTTTATAGTATGTTCAATTTGTGTTTCTCATAAGACTGGTTGGAAAGTTCAAAAAGTCTGGTGGTGTCTGGTGCTCTAGGTGTACATCGCAAAAGCGGGCAAATGGATATCCATCCCCCCAAAAAAGTGTATTCTATAGATACCCATCCCATCCCATCCCCATGTTTCTTTCCCCCACTGTTCCAGCTATCCTCAGCCCGTTACCAATGTTGGCCTAGCTGCTCCTGCGCTGCTTTCGCCTCATTTTGCGTCTCGACTACTTGGACTTCGGCCTTTTTCTGTTCCTGTTGAAGGAGATCCTTGGCATGTGACGGTTGGCAGTGCCATGGTCAACTGGCATGGGATAAATGTGGTCATTCATCCCCTGCCACGGGAATCCTCATAAATCTGATAAGTTGTACATGAATCATGAATCCCCTGACTAATTAAATGATTATTGACCATGTCACGTATGTATGGTTGATGCCAAGCCCTGCAATGTTCTAGGATTCTAGGCGATTAGGGATACCTTGAGATGGGTGCCCATCACCACCATGGTACCCTCTGCAACGTCTCAAAAGCGTAGATTCGTAGATCATTTCACTTGATGCCATCTTCAGCATGTCATCGTTTCTTAAGCCCACAGGTTCAGGAAGGTGCTTTATCAGTAAACCCACATATGTTTCGGAATTACAGGACCCACCCCATATATATTTGGGGTCAAAAACTCGGTTTCCGGTAAAAAAAAACTCAATCTCATCCATTTCATCCTGGAATGTTGGATCAAGCAACGATGGTCTTATGAAGATCTTGGTTTTGCTTCACCAAATGCATATTGCGCTGCCTCTGCTCTGCGATCTCAGCAACGGCCTGGTCCTCTTGATGCCTGGGACGGGGGATTTTTGGGAAAGCCATGGGTGTTTTGACCATCAAATGTCGGAAAATTAGGGCACATTTAATCACATAATTAGGTCTTTCCTTTCTGGGTTTCTGGGAGTTCATGGAAATTAGACCATCATAGTCATCATAGACCATCTGGATCCATCTGGAATCTCGTTAAATAACTATGAAATAACTATGAATAAATAGCAATGACAGGATATGACAGGATGATCTCTGATGATTCCAGGATGATCCATGAGGAGAAGCCACATACCGCATGAGGATGGGACTGGGAATGGCAATTCTTTGATCCCCTGGAAATAAAGAAAAAACATGATTCTGGCTTTGTCTGTCACTAACATTCACTAACAGGGGCACCTACTGGTTAAGGGATGTTAAGTGGGTCACTTCCCCATATTTTTGGGTCTAAGACCTGAAGGGTTGGCAGAGTGCCCCATGAGATCTTGCACTTCGATCTTGCACCTCGATTCCAGGCAAGTTGCTGCAGCAACACCATCGTCAGGCGCTCCCAGCGGTTCAGCTTGACTTGTTGGTCAACTCTTTCTTCCACAACCATGGGGAAATCCACCTCCACCTCCTCAGATGCGCAATGATCCTAGTTGGTACCATACTCATATGGCCATGGCATGAAGAATCTTTCCATTAATTCATTAATGACCATCTCAAGCATTTTCATTGACGCTTTTTTGGTGTCTTCAATTTCAAGAAATGTTCATGTCTGGAAGGCCTACAGTAGCCTCAATAGATTCAATATGATTCAATGATTCAATGGTCAACCTTTTGCGAGTTCCACTGCCCAAGGTAGTCCGACAACTCCGGGGGTCTGCCTCGGATTCGTCTTCACTGATGTCCGACAGCCCTGCTCAGGGAGTCAGTTTGTTATGCGGGGCCTCTGGGTGTTTCTTCATGGGCACCCAAGACTATCCCCAGCCCCCTAGCCCAAAGCAAACCACCTTCCATTTTCCTGAAACCTTTTGTAAAGATTTGTGAAGCAGAGTCAGTGTCTCCAACATTGGGCAGGGAGGGAGTTTCCCAAGAAACCTATATAGCCTATATATTACTGTCTAACTCTTTCAACAATCTCTGCAGCCGTCAGTTGAAAAATCTGACCGGCGCCTCCAGTGGTGGCTTGTAGCTCTTCCTCGTCACTTTCATCGCCTCTGCCACCTCCAAGTCCAAAGCGGCCACGCTGTGTACTGTACATTTTTGTATATATGTATATATAGATATGCATGCATAGATATGCATGCATAGATATGCATGCATAGCAAGTAATGCCATCCCTGATCTCCATCAATAATCATCAATATATATATATTGTATATATATATATATTCATCACTATTATTAATTTATTATCGTTATTATTATTAGCTATTATCTTTTGGTTATTATAACATAATTATATAATCATTATATATATATATAAAAACAATGTAGATGTGGAAAGTGATAATAAAAAACACCAGTGAAGGACACCTGGTGCCAAGTACATAGGTAAGATTCACGACCAGATTCCAGCAGTGTGCTCAAGACTAGCCAAGCCGAGTTTCTCTCCAAGCGGGATATTCGATCTCGAAGGTCTTGATTCTCCTTGGGTATGGGTCCCTCTGAGAGTCCATTTTCATGATTGGTTCCTATGGTTCCTGGATCTGGGCCCAGCTCCGACATAGTTGTGCCGACTTAAATTGTTACTTTATTCTAGTCATTATAAGGAAAGAACACAAGAATGTGCGCAATGAAAAACCTGAAAATAACATAAAATAACCAACATCTGCATGCGGTGTTTCACTGCCACATGCAGCTGTCTCGAGGAATGTTCTGATTCTTGTGTTCTGAGCAGGTCATCCAATTCCAACCAACCGGGTCGCAAAAGCCCAAACCAACACAGCAATCAGCAATCGCAGGACATATGAATGCCAATCTATGCAGGAAAACAACATCTCACGAAATTGCGAACGGAACTCTAAAGTCTCAAAATGTCTCAAACCTTGCTGACTTCCTGATTTTTCGGTGCCCTTTCTGGTGCCCTTTTCGATAGCACTGATAGCTATCGAATCCGCTGGGTCCAGGGGATCCCAGGGATTTTCAGGGGGTTTGTCTCCGTCCAAGGGGCAGACTCCAAACGCAAGATCTCATCAGTGGCAGTTCGATCCATAAAGGAGCTGGAAGTCTCAGTCCCGTCAGATCATGTCAGATCCAGATTGGAAGCAAAATGTTCAGGGTCTTGGTGCAAAATCGAATGCAATATTTTTGACACAAGCATGTGGCTTCCAGAAATACAACCATTCTTCCAAAACCAAAACTATAGACATCTGACATGTAGATAGTTTGACTGTACTCCAGTGGTGCATCAACCATTGGGATCCATGGGGTGCTCCAGTGCCGCGCTACCCTTTGCTTCCGTGACCCGAGGCCGCGCAGGGAGCGCCGCAGGGAGCCGCGCAGGGGCCGCGGCCCGAAGCCGAAGCTGCCGCGGCTCAGTGGCAAGTCGTCTGGGACCTCGTCCAGATCACCGGCGTCCTGGGGTGCAACTTTTTCGAACGAGGAAGTGAAGATTGGGTGAAGGCCTATATTTTTCAAAGATAAAATCATATGGAAATATAATGAAATATATATGGTATGCATCTCAAATGCATAATAAACTTACGTATTAAATGATACATCATTGGACATCATTATGAGAATGGGAATGAATGGGATATAATGAGAATTTATATGGCAAAAATATGGAAAAGTGAAGAATTTGTATGGAAACGTGAAGGATTTATAAAGAAAAGTGAAGAATTTCTATGGAAAAATGACGAATTCGTCTGGACAAGCGAAAGAATTTATATGGTCCAACGGTATTCTAAGTATAGGTTTTTTGGCGTCAACTGTATTCTAAGATATTCTAAGTATTGTTTTTCAAGTTCAATTCCTGGGATGCGGGGGGAAGCCAAAATTTCAATTCCATATTCTGTTTGGGTGGAGGACCTTATATATATATATACATGTTGTAATGTCTTGGGATGTTCTAAGTGTGGGGGTCTTCACAGCTGATTGATAACTTTGTGTTCGTATAAATAGAGGTATGTCAATAGATCATTATAGAAATTTATATATACATATATGGGTGGTAATGTCTTGGGATGTTCTAAGTGTGGGTGTCTCCACAGCTGATTGACGGCTTTTTGTTCATATGTCAATAGATTATAAAATATATATGTGAAATGTCATGGGATGTCCTAAGTGTGGGGGTCTCCACAGCTAATTGATAACTTTGTGTTCAAATAAAGAGAGTGATGTCAAGAGATCATTGTAAATATATATATATGTTGTAATGTCTTGGGATGTTCTAAGTGTGGGGGTCTCCACAGCTGATTGATAACTTTGTATTCATATAAATGTAGATATGTCAAGAGATCATTATAGAAATATAAGCTTCTCCGCTTACATAGAAAATGCATGTTTCAATTGCACAGGCAAATTTTCCGAAAATGTACTTAGAATATTTCCCCATTTCCATGTTGATGTTTTTCTCCCCATGTGGCCTTTGCTCTCGAAGCCTTTGTGCATCTCTATGCGGCGGCGAAAAAATGTACTTTTTAGTACACAAAGTAAAAAGAAATCGGTCAATTTGGGGACCGAGCCAGTTTTTATAGTGCCGGACACTCACTCAGAACATCATTTGGAAAACGTGTTTTTATGCCTAAAGCTATGTTTGGAACAGCCGGAAACCCTCACTCAGAATATCTTTTGTTTTTAGAGTACATTGTGAGCTATGCATGTATCTGGGATGTTCTAAGTGTGGGGGTCTCTACAGCTAATTGATAACTTTTGTGCTCATATAAATATACCTCGACCCTCCAAATCCTAGAAAAATATAGGTGTTTTCGGAATTTGACCTATATCGACTGATTTTACCCAAAACACCTAGATCTTGGATTTTAGGACTTTGATTGCATGTTTTTGGGTTTGGTGAGACAAAGGCCAAAAAATGTTTGCAGGGCATCAAACGACTAGGGATAAAACCCGCAAAACCCCGCAAAAAACCCGCAAAAACCCGCAAATCCTGAAATCTCGTTGTTTTAGGTAGTTTTCGGATTTTTTTGGTTGTTCCAAAAATCATCACGGTTTGTGTACCCGGCCGTAGTGCTGAGATTTTCCCAGAAACATACATGTTTGGAACAAAGTGAATCATTTTTTGGTTTGTTTGACCTATCTTCTTAGAACGACCATTTTTTCCTCGGCAGTGGAGGGTCGAGGTAGTTATGTTAATAGATCATCATGGGATGTTCTAAATGAATCTAAATGATGTGTTTTCCATGTTCTAAGTGTGAGGGTTCACGGTTGTTCCAAACATATTTTTCGGCATAAACATTAAGAAGCGTTTTCCAAACGATGTTCTAAGTGATTGTCCGTCGCTATATTGTGTTTTCCTGCGAAAGTGTGGATGTTACCAGCGAGCACTGGGACTTGATCTGCAAAGTGGTATGGGGACTTCAAAAAAGAGGGAACATCATTGGCTCCACTGGCCTGACAGTCCGTCATATTAGGTCCTAAGTACGACTTTGTGATTGGCATGGGAAAAGAGAACAACGCAAAGTTCCGCAAAATTTCTGAACACGCAATGGCTGCCATGTTGGAACAGCAAATGCAAAGGCTGGAAAAGATGTTGCCAGCCATTGGGTAAAAAATAAGAAGAAAAGCACCATAGTGAAGAATAACATTCCATATTCATCTGATTCATCTGTAGATTATTACAGTAGTTTTTTTTCAGAACAGGCCACTGTGGGAGTGCGCCAATTGCAGCATTTCCTGTGCAAAGATCCAACAGCATATGGCGCAACCGGACAAAATTGAATTCCATTCCTCTTGCTTCTAGTGCAACCACTGACAGTGCCTGGCAATCTCTGCTTGGCACATCTGCAATGGCTATCCAAACCAAAAAACCAAAAAACCAAAAAACCAAGAAACCAAAAAACCAAAAAACCAAAACACCAAAAAACCAAAAAACCAAAAAAACAAAAAACCAAAAAAGCCAAAAAAAACAAAAAGACAAGACCCAACACTCTGCATCTAACCCCCTCCCCTTGGGGTGTGCAATCTTGGTTTTTTTATAATGACTTTTATAATGACAAAGATAATGATTAATATAATGATTTTTGTAATGGCTGATATACTTGATAATTTATTGACTAATATAGTGATTAATATAATGATATATATATATATATAATGACTAATATAATGATTAATAAAATGATTAATATAATGAATTATTGAATAACTGATATAATGATGATTCATTTCATGATTCATTTAATGATTAATTTAATGATTCATATAATCATAAATATAATGACTGCATGGAAAAAAGTGCACTCCCACAGCGGCCAGCTCTCTTTTTTTTCCAATTCCAATGTCTTCTCGGGGCAACTCGACAGAACCCGTCGCCAGGAAACAGAGAGAGCCAGCGAACTCTGAGAGGATTGAAAGCGAACCCGCCTTTGAGGTGGATCCATTTCTCAGGGGGTTCCGGAAGAAACGTCTGTTCCCCTAAGGATTCAAGAAGGATTGGTCCCTATTTCTTATAGGCATAGGGGATTTCTTCGGCTTCTTGTGATTTCTTATGGCTTCCTTAGTGGAAAGGATTCACGATCTCTGAGAGAAGAGGCACAGCTGTTGGATACACAACACATGCCAGGGACATCAGGGACGCCACGGACGCCAAATTAAGTTTATTTAAGCTATTTCTCTGGCAGCCTCTCATGTGGTTGGGAACTCTTAGGGCCCCCTTTTTTTCCCCCATTTCCAAGGAGGATGAATTCCCATCAGCTGCCAGCTGCCAGCTCCCTCCTAACCGCTGCGCCTGGTCTGATTGGTGTCATCATTGCCATCTTGATCAGCAAGACTCAGCTGAAGACCTTCCAACTCCTGCCATTCTTCCGGTGACTCGGCCTTGATGTGAACTTTTTTTGTGACCTAAAAAATGCTAGTTGCTTTCACCCCTGAAAACATGAATTATATCACCCGAAATAGGGGTGAAAATAAAACATAGTTTGAAACCACGAACTAGAATATGATTACAACATATGATTATACATACATTACATTTAATTATATATATACACACATGCTTTCAGTTGTACTGAACATCTGCTATGTTCTCCTCAGGTTTGATCCATACCTACTTTGCTGCCCAGTTCGGTTCTCTGGCTGTCAGCTGGGTTGAAGAACCGGGGACGCTGGTCACCAGCGCAATTGAATATGCTCTTGGCAAATCAGCTCCATTCATTTGAACCCTGAAACCAACCATCTCCTTTTTACGTCGTTTCTTCTACTTTCGAACAAGGAATTGCTCCATCAGCCGTGCGAGAATTCATCCCGACCTGACGTGTGTACCATAACTCTTGCTCCAACTGCTCGGTCTTTTCTTGTTCTCGTTGAAGTTTGCGACGAATCAGAAAGATCTGGATCAATGAGTTCTGGGCCATCCTGGAAAGTGGCTGGTCAATCTGGATATATCTGGATATATGAGCTATATCACATGAGAATCCGATATCATCCATATTCATCCATTATAATCCATTGTATATTCCCTATTTCTGGATGAGAATCCCATATTGAACTGAACCCATTGTCGTCAGATTATCACATACCTTTTCCCCATGACACTGAAGGTGAAATCCTGTACCCCCAAACGATTGGCTTGGTTCAACTCAGTCCTGCCAAAAACCACGCGACAGTAGTAAGCACAGCATCATGAACAATGGCTTTTGCTGCGATTTTGCTGTGATCTTGTGCTTTTGAGGGTTGAGTTTTGTGATGAATTAAGTTGATGGGTTGCTTTTTACTTGCCAAATGGGCGGCTGCTGTAAATCCAGGTCCGCAAGTCAACCGCTGAAAGCACCGGCTGGAGATGCCCTGAGCATCCCTGAGCAACGTCGCAAATCAACATATAACATATTATACCTCAGGCCCAGTTTTTTTGTCGATGCCCTAAGATGTTTAAATTCTAAAATAGTATCAATGGGTGTATCATCACGCTGTGTTCGTTTATTCACTTACCTTAGAAGTTTCCCACAGTAACCATGATGTATGTATAGCTGCCTGGTTGAGCCAAACACGAGTGGGGCATCCCTTGGGGCATTCCTCGATCCAGCGGGGATCGTCTTATTTAATAATGGTTCATAGTGGTTGATCATGGTGATTCATGGCGATTCATGGCGATTCATGGCGATTAGTGGTCAATAATGGTCAATAAATTGGGTTGTAAAAATGACAGTTCATAATTATTGAATAACCATAATCGTGATGATTTCTATTCATAGTTTATGCTGATTCATGGTGATAAATAATTAATGGCAATCAAACATGGCTGGCAAATCCCAACTCAATTGGAGCAAATGAATGTTTATATCTGGGAAGATCATCTATAAATGGGTGATGTTCCATTTCGAATGTGTTGTTAGGTCAGATTCTTGAAATTTTGGATGTAGCCAAATCTTCTTTCAACCCCGATGTGCGCGGCTGGCAGCACATTCCAAACATAATCATATTGTCATAAACCTATTGTATCATATTGTGCAGTGGTTTCCCTAAATTTTCCCAACGGATATGATCACTTTTCTCACATGATAGTCACACATCATCTGGTTGGTGGTTGACCTACCCCTCTGAAAAATATTAGTCAGTTGGGGTTACTATTCCCAATAGAAAAATAAAAAAATGTTCCAAACCACCAACCAGTAATCAGCATCATACAACGTAGGCATTTCATCAAATCTGGGCTCCAGGCGTTCGGCCGAGCCAGCCCGACCTCACCCAAAATCCCCATTGGGTTTCTCTGAAAATGGGGTTTCATTACCCCTAAATCCATCTAAATCCATTGGTTGTTCAGAGTGTTTCCATCTTTTTCGGAACATAACCATGGGGACATAGCCTATTTTCGACCGCAGTTTCTTTTACACACCATTAATTACACACCTAATATGACAGCTTTGGAATTGGCTGAAATCAAGGCTCCCAACGATCTGCAATGGACATCCGGCCTGAGGTATCCCGGATCTGTATCCCGAAAAATCGACTGGTTCATCGTATTCCGCAGTTGAATTGCCATAAAATTGGAGCAATTCCAAAATGTCCAGACTTATAACCTCTTAATTACTCTGAATTATGTATTCTTATGCCGTGCCGCCTTTAATTGAGTTTTGGTTTTGGATCAACAGTGACTTGGTGCAAGGCGTTCGGCAGATGGTAAGCGACGATCTACAGAGCCGGAGCGGCCTTGGCAACGACATCGGAACCATAAAACATCATAGAAACATCATAAAACCAACCATAAGGCTGTATTAAGGTCAAACAATTGATCACTTGATACTTACGATTTTCTGCAAAACTCTGGAGCCACTAGTTCTTGGCAAAGTGCGGTCCGCGGAAGTCCCGCGACCTGAGCGACCCAATAAAATCTGCGGGCTCACTGGGATCATTTTTAAAAGGTAGTGATCATGTTCCTTCCATAACCCATAGGATCCATGTATGCTACTTATATATGGCAACATTTACCATCAATATACCCCCAATGTTAGCATATATACCATACATGGATCCTATGGGATCGTGTTCCAAACAGAACTATAGTACAAAAAAAACATCTTGGATGGAGTTGCATAAGCATCTTGCAACCATCCTTGAAAAAGTTTCCAACAAAAAAAATGGTTGGTATAATTCACCAAGCTGTTGGCTGCGGGTCATTTCGGGATGGTTCCGTCCAAAATCAACCAGACTTTCCACGACATAAATCCCACTATGCTATGCCCCCATTACCTCCCTATTATCCCATCAACCATTGTCTCTCCTTCCCTCCCTCTCTGTGTTGGCTAGATTTTCACTTTTGATGTTTGATAATGTCAGCCCCCGATGAATAAACCTTGGGCTGCTCAATTGGGAGGGACATGTTAATTTATAAACCGGGTTCAATAATCCAAAGTTGACTTTGTCTGCTTAAATCTCAATATTTTGATGTTCAAAGCAACAAATTTGATGGTTAAACCGTAAAATCCACATTTTTGTTGCTTTGAAAGTTTATAGATCGGTTGTTGTTCATGACTAAATCTTCATTTTTGTACCTTGAATATCCTTGAATCCGAATTTTTCATGGTTAGTAAATGCTTATGTCTGAAGTCTCCAACGCCATGGCCGACTCAGTTCCGGACGCATCTCCCAGGGCCGGACCTCTTCGCCATCGCCCCGGCGTCGACTTGGCGGCAACCTGACAACGGCGGCATTCCGTGGGCATTTCATGGGGATCTTTATGAGGAAATGGTTTGGTTTCTGGGGGTTGGATGGGGGTTTTCGCTACTGAAATGGTGATCATATTGGTTTAGTATGATTTAGTATGTTGGTTTAGTGTGTTGGTGTATGGTTTAATGCAAATATAAAATACCACATATCTGAATGAATTATAGACGGTTTTTGGTAGATGCATATTGTTAATGGGACTTAAAAAGCAACAAACTGGACTTGCTGGTGAGCAATCCCAATTTTGTCCATAAAGATATAAGCAAACAACAATACTGACAAGAACATCAAGAACAATAGTAATAAGTACGATAACACTAATGAACATGTGATCATCTGGATAACTTGAAGCAATTCACTCAGCTGAAAACAAAAATAAGGATAGTTACCCCTACTAGCCACCCGTCAAACATGAATAAACCTGGTTACTTTGTTTGCTCCGATCTGCCCCTTTTTTAGACAGTGATGATGGTTGCTGATAGCTGACAATGATGAAGGTAACCATGATGATGCAATCAAACAAGAACAACAAACACAACAAAAAATAACAACAAAAACAACGAGGAGGATGACGAGGAGGATGAAGAGGAGGAGGATGAGGATGAGGATGATTGTGGTGATGGTGATGATGATGATGATGATGATGGCATGGCATGAGCATCCAAGAGGATTCAAGAAGATTCAGCTGGAGCCCGAACCTCTCATCACAGAGCGTATGGGATTGGCCGCCAAAAATGATTTCTGCAGACCTCAAGGACGGAATCTGACGGTAACAAGTACTGATTCCACCTGTCAATGGGCTGGAAAGCAGGACGATCCGCCAGTCTGTGAAGCAAACAACTCTAAATAGCAGGATGGTAACTATACGTACTATTGGTCTAGGAAAAATCCATGGCCCACATCTGGAGATATCTGGAGACCTGTGGTATATGGGTGTTGCTTTAAAATCCCTAATATTCCCCAATAGCCAGTGGCAATTCGACCAGGAGTTCATTGCTTTGGGAAAAACCCAAGCAGCTACTAAGTCGGCAAATCTCAGCAGGTAGGCTGGGCTTTGGGGTGATTCCCCTCACCAGAAGTACCGTGGCCAGGTGTGAAAAAAGGCACAGAAATTGGAGGTATACCATATAGGTCAGGTCATTCTAAGGAAATGTATTATGGAACCGTTATCTATATGACCTCGTATTAGGGCCCAATAGTTCGAGACACCTGAATGGACCATTGATCAATGGATCTGAGCTGTGGCACCTCTCATCATTGTAGCCATGGCTGCGGTACTCGATCACATCTCCACCGCTGGCGGCAGAACGATCCAAACAAACTTGAAGTTCTTTGGCAATCTCCCGGTTGGTGGGATCTGCCTGAGCAGGGACTGAAGCAGTGGAGGAAAGTAGATGCGAGATGACTTTAGAACAAGTGAAGCTTGCTGCAAATCTGACACTGCGAATCACTGCGGGCTCCACACGTTTGCCTACAGGTCTGCTGCTAATGCTAAACAAAGAAATGATAGCAAAAATCTTGCAATGTGTGCTTCCTCTTGTTCAAGCCAGTGTCCTAACAGCATTTTCCTCAACCAGTGGCGCGCAAACACACACACACACAGAGCCAAGAACAAAGGTGGAGCAAGTATGTTTATAGCATATGTTTGACGGGGCTGCCCATAGCTTCCCTACAGCTAAAAAAATACATATCATCATATCGATGTGAATCTGCTTATACAATTATATATTTCTACATATACCCCGGTCATCCTAGACCCTGAAAGTACCCACAACAATGGATACATTGCAACCACAAAAACTCAGTACCACCCATCTTGCCTGGGATTGGGGCAAACTTTTGGATACTTTAGAATTCGCTTCCTACATTGATCAAACTTCGGCCAGCTCCCAAAAACTGTTTGCAAGATGTTCATACCCTGGGGTAAACTAACATAACTGTGGAAAATCACCATTTCCAATAGCTATGTAACAAATTACCAGAGGCTAATTTTCCAGCCCCAAAAAAAAGCCGCCCGCCCGTGCCATCCCAGGTTACCCGGCCTTGAGCAAGCGCCGAAAGCAGGTGCCCGCCTGAGTCCACTGCTGACGATCGCGGTACAGCATGGCCAGCTGGTGCAACACCTGGACGTGGAAAAAGGGATGGATCCACCATCCCCAATGACTCACCAATGGGTGGTATAAACCATCAAAATATGGGTAGTTTAGTTTATTGAATTACGATTATATACTAGAAAACACTGGAAAGTGCCAAGAGAGCAAGGTGACATTTCCAAAATGTGATGTAAAGAGTCAAGAGCATCCTCTTTTCGAACAGGAAGAGAAAACTCTGGAGTCACCTGAAAATATAAACACCCCATATCAAAGACAAACGCCAATTTTTGTTTCTTTGAATTCGGTCTTCTCAGGCAACTGACTTGCTGAAAACACATGCAAGTCCTGCACAAGTAGGCTCTTGGTAAGCTTTATGGGCAGTGTACATCTATCTTCAATTGAGAAAACATCCGTCAACCATCTTGGATGCCCGGAGGTTTACATTGCAATGTTTTCCTACCAAATCTATCAAATCTTACCAAATTGGAGCAGGTGATCCATCCTTCATGTATCCAAAGAGAACCATATATAGCGCATGTGTCATCACATTTTATCATTTTTGGATCTTGAATCCTATCTTAACATGGGACGGGGGTTGCACATGAGCTAAAACTACAAGAATGCTGGGATCACGGATCAAGTACAGTAATTGTCCAATTCTAGAGATTTGTGACATCTGCAGTTCAGTACATCGAGTCTTGCACTTTCAGACTCGCACCATCTTTTGAAAATGCACTCCTTGGCCTACAAAATGCAGGGCAGTAGCTGATGTCAGTTGAAACCAGTGCGCACCTGCATGTTGAACTCATCAACTTCTTGCCTTAGCAACACCGAGTTCGTACTAGCATTGTACTAGCACTGTCACATATCCATTAAACTGTACACCAAAAACAAGATATGGGGTTCACTTGTTTTTGCCGTATGTCTCCAAATTACCGGGCTGGAAAACATGGACTCCTCATATCTCACGCCCTGTCTTACCATGATTTCACTGAACCCACACCCCAGATTCTGTCCAGTAAAGTATCTATTTCTGCATCTTTTCCATATAATATAATGTTTTCATATGTTTTCAAGGTGATATCTCACGACATTCCCATGATTTCCCATGAGTTGGACTTCAATGATCCTGCTTTCTTGGTACAAATAGCCATGTGGTAATTCAACACAGCAATGGAAAATCACCATGTTCAATAAGTAAATCATCCACCATTTTCCTTCCCAAACTGTTCAATATCAAAGGGCAAATGACATTCTTAACCATTAATTACCATGAATCACCATGCTACTATAACCATTATCAACCGTTTTTAACCATCTTTAACCGTTGTTAACCATTATTATTAGGCATTTATTAACCATTGTTGACCACTATTGCCCATGACTATCCACTGTTGACCACGACCCCATCTATGCCGCAGGAATCCCATAGCATCCGCCAAGTCACAGGTAGTTCCTGAGCAACCACAGCGCCTCCGTATAGTTGCCGCAGCGCTGCTCCAACACGGCCACCCCACGGAGGATGCGGCAGCTGCGATTGTCCAGGCCTCCGGGTGCGGCAACTGAGCCATGGCTCAAATAAGGCTGGAACCTGGGAGACATCCACCTTTTTATGGCAAGTTTCATATGTTTCATGGGAAAATTGCAGGGAAAATATGGCAAGTTATGCTGGAACATGAGGCTTTTTCCAAGGTCTTTCTGGAGCCAAAATAACCCAAAATCTTGGGCTTTGACTTGGCCTAACATCCCACGACCATCCACTGACAGTGTCCTCTCCATGGGAGTGGGGGGATAACCACAAAAAATCAGGAATGAAGTATAAACAGTGAAAAAAAGGTCGACGGTTAACCGTTATATAACATTATATAACCCCTATTTTACCTTCGGGTTCAATTTTTCCTGAAGGTAAAACATCACACAATAAATATAACACATATAATTAGGTTAAAGCGACATATAATGGGGGTCTAGTCGATCGCAACCTGAGCTTCATCGCTGGGAAAATACCCATTGCATCTCCATCTGCAAAATATGTCTCACTAAAAACGTGTGGATTCCATTGCCTCATCACCAAAGGCAGAGCCTAACCATTACAGGCATTTCAAGCAACATTTTTGTGTGGGTCAGGGGTCAGGATCAAAAACATGGTTCGGTTCATCAAAAAATGACAATGGGCATCCAAACTTGCCAATTATATCTGTAATGATATCCAATGATTGTCGTAGTAGTTGGAATTGAGGATGCCCCATGACATTCTTCAAAATCATTCCGCATCATTCACCTCCAAATCTTGAATTTGGGGTTTCCTAAAACATAGGAACCCCAAACCATTGTTTTTTCCCATTGATCAAAAGCAATGACTTGGATGATTTTGGGGTCCACGGGTACGCCTCCATTTCAGATTCCTCCAACAATACCACCCCTTCCGGAGCGTCTGCCCAGCCACGATAGGCGTCCCGAAACCAATGCAAGGCTGCATCCTCATCGCCACGCTCAAAATAGGCGCTGCCCAAGTTGGTACGCGCAACAGCATTCCTGGAGGGAACTCGGGGTGCTGCACATTTCCATGAAATTCACCTGGTATGTTGTTTCTTTTATGATGATACCGATGCCCCAACAAAAACAGAAAAGTCGTTCGTGACCGGTTTTTGTCGGACTTTATTTTTACGTGTCTATCTTTCTGGGGGTTGCTATACTGTATCTGCTTTTCCTGTGAACCTCTGCCATGTTTTACCCCTTGGTCAAGCTGTCGGCCTGCATTGAAACTGTTTGGATTCTCAAGTGCCACCGTTTTTGATGTAGTTCTCTTGCATCCCAGCTTGCTTCAAGCAAACTCGAGATCAAAACTACTCGTAAAAGCCGTAAATCATTCAAAATCTTCCCTGATCCATCTCAATTCTGTAAAAACAAGAAAATTGAAATCCTTTCAATTTTGGCTTCGAGTGGCCTCACATCTTCCCGATTATACTGCGTCGGAACTCGAGGATGTTGCACTAGCTTCCCAGCCATTCCAACTAGGGCCTAACTAGGGAATGTTCTGAACTGCTGTTGCCAATCTCTTACGAAATGACGCAGAATGCACCCTAACGTCATAAAAGTTCATCCCCTTCCCACATCTCGATTGGTTGAAGGGAAGGCTATCACGATTGACAGGGAACCATATTGGAACCATAGTTTTCCCACGTGGTTGCAAGTGTAAAATGTCCCTTCAACCTGTGAGTTGTTCAAACTTCATCAGCTGGTAATAGTTGGTCCTGGGCACCCGGTTGCAGACGCTATGAAACTCGCGGATTGCTTCTTCAATCCGCCCTTCATGCAAAAATCTGGCTCCCCGCTGGGTACCTCGAATGGCCTGCGGGAAATGTTGTGACAGGCCATCTCCAAGGAGATTATCGGGGATGTTTGGGGATGTTCTTATGCTGGATTTCAGGGCTATGGATGGATATGGCTCAATCAAACCTTGCACAAAACATGCACTGGAAGAACAACCACCGAAACAATCTGACACTCGATTGAGGTTCTCTTTCGACATGCAGGGTAAGAAAACAACATGATTGAAACATATTGAAACTGCCTGCCAATTCATTTCAGACTCTCATGATCTCAGTTGCTGCACATCTGCGGATTTCTGGAGTACAACACCAAATCCATCCGAAGTCATAGATCACATATAGATCACATATTGCAAAAACGGCCTGGAACATTCTCTCAACATATTTTAACAAAATATGGTCTCTCTGAAATCTCTCTCTCTTGTTTTTTGCTATTTTCTTTTGGGCTCCCTGCCTCCGGATCGGCATCGCCCAGCGGGCTCACGTCAAACAAACTCACCAAAACTGAATCCAAAGGCTGTCGATCACGGCCAGGTCCATAGCATGAGCCACACGAGCTCAATGCCTGTCATGTCATGTCCATGGGGAGCTGGAGGGGTCCCACAGCAACCAATTTTTCGGGGAAAAGTCCCAGCCAAAGAAATATGCATCAATCATGATGGAACAATGGAACGCTTGGAAATCTGGGCCCCATATTGCTGCCAAGCTTTGCCAAGCTGCAAGTTGGTTGGCCCTCTCCAGAAATTCGTGAATGCCAGCCACAAGCGACTGCATGGTCAGCAACTACCTCCCGGAAAAAGATGTTAATCCCTGCGCCTGGAATGTGCTAGTCCTTAGTTACATGAGCGGACCACCTCATGCAGCTCTTGAATGTTTCCACAGAATGCATCTGCTGAAATCTGAGCCATCACTGCTGCTGCATTCCAACATGGAGCACTTGACACGGCATTGCACCCCAAGCAAGGATTAGAAATACAAGAGCGGAAACAAGTGAGATAAACATGATAAACTGAGCTGCACAGGACCCTGAGCATCTTGTAGCTACACTGGCTTTGTCCTTGTTTTTTTTCTCATCAGAGTCTTGAAACCATTCGATGCCCGGCTGTGCGCGAGAGAGTGCTGGTGCAACTAGTGACGATATCCCAGCAGCTGTCTTACAGATTCTTACCCGCTGACTGACTTGAAATGTCAATCTGTCAATGCCTTGCTTGAAGGAACACTCTACAATTCTACAAGAAAACCCGGTTTGATATATAATTATGATCTTGGAATCTGATACTAGGCTTGGTGTCCTACTATGGCTGGGATACCGCCATGTCTTGGCTTGTATTAATATGAACATCGGATCGCTGCAGGAATCCATCTAGGATTTTCCGAACATCACCCAAGCACCTGGCTCGTCAAGTTGGAGTGGATTGGACTATTGACCAGCTCAGTTGGAGGCTTTTCAGCTTCTGAAACTCTGGTTGGTGGTTTCATTTTGTTTCATCCGGTCTAATCGGTCTAATTATGGGGTCATGATTTCAGGTAGGGATGAACAGTGAAAGACGGTTGAAACCACATGAAATCACCCACCAGAGGCTGGTTCTGAAATGCTTCACGAGAGTCTACGGGTGACTGGTCCAGCCTGCTACCGGAAACGTGCATGAGAATCAGCTGCATGAAATTTTGCAGCGAAAGAAAAGTCTGCTAAAGTCATATCTTCGGCTTGTGCCAACAGTGCCATTACTTGCACAAAAGGTCATGCCAATCATGAATCAGATCCCTTATTCTCTAAAAAATGCTTGAGACACGCGAGCTTTAAGGCTGTTGAACATCGTTCAACACTGATCTGGTTTCGGTTTTCTGATTCATGACGGCAGTGTTCCATCTAGGAATTTTCATTTAGCGTAGCTTTTGCCAATCTTCGATCACTTGCCGTTTGACTTGGCAGCCTCAACGAAGCAAAACCAGATGCAAATGCGTCGAAGTGTTTTTACCATTTTTTACCTGCAAGAATTTAGGTTTTTCTCCAAATTTTCGGTTGAACCAGTTCTGGGATTGGTAGGTCAATGGTTTCATTCATATCTCCCAACATAGCTCAACCAATCATGGGAATGCTACCAACACAGCCGGGGATTTCATGACAAAGTTTGTAGCGACTTTTGGGATGAACCCCCCCATTCATTCGCTGTGGATGGTTCAAGGGAACAATTAGAGAACATCCCTAATTCTTAAGACTCTTACGGGTTTAAACCATGGTTTCCTTGCTTCATCTTTCTTCTAGTTATCTTGGTTGAGAAGGCTTCCCAGCTTGGTTTTGCAAACAATCCCCATCTTACACCAGGTAACAAAATCCCATTCTTCACCAGAAATCAAACCACTCATGAATCCGAACTTTTGGCTTCCGGCCGAAGGCTTCCATTGGGTCTTTCCAGCATCACCCTTCCCTGGGGTGATATGATGGAGGATTCGATTGGTTGAAGGGCTAGCTGCTAGTTATTTGGCTGAAATCCTAGTAACCTGATAATAAATGATAATAATACATTTCTTTTGTGAGTAATATTTCTTTTTTGTTTTTTTTGATGATCTGCTTCAATGTTTTACTCCAAACAACACAGGAACAAAAAATTACTGACAACGCAGCTGCAACCGTCAAGCTGGAGAGGTTTCATGGCGTCATCTTGAAGTAAACGCAAGCTACCGTTCAAAACCGTTGGCAAACACTACGAACTTTTTACCATGGATCGGACATCGGACAATCATCTACATCGATGGAGGGCTTTTCAACTGTTTTTTTTTTAGTTTTCATGGCGACTTTGGATTACAAAGGGTGCTCTTTGGTAAGGTTGGCAGTGGGAATCCCTATGGTTAATTGGAACATGTATGATACATCATCTCATAACCAGTGGATGTCCATTGCAAGCATAGATAGATTGGTAAAGGACTTGTAATGAGTTATACCTTGTCATGCTGGAACTAGGATTGTCCTGGAAATAGCGTACCCTTGACAGATGTAATATGTTTTCGCATTGAAATCACCACAAATACCAGTAATAGGAGAACACACATCTGAGATTTGTCTGAACATATGCTAATAACCCCAAAACTGAGCAATGATTAGTGTATCATGTTCCTCCTCAAAATCATTTGGGGCTATCCCCCATTTCTGGACATGCCCATGCCCATCAGGACACCTTGATAGTTTTTATGCAAAAAAAAACGCACGGATGCCCTGCCACTTTTCCTCCAAAACAACTTAAGTTGGTTGTCAATATACCCACTTATGGGGAGAATCCAATCATTATGGTGGTATAATGGGATATATCTTATTCCAAACCTTAGTCTCTTAAATTTGGATTCCTGTTGATTTCATATGTCCAGGGAAGGAACTATGGAAAGAACTATGTAGCAATCCATGGAAATAAGTGGTGTTTCCACTAAAAATGTCACCCAATGAAGAAACCCATCACTTTGAATGAAAAACGCATTGCTCCATTTACTTGGACAAAAAGCCTTTCAACATCAAGTTAGATGTTACATACAAACTTCGTATTTGAAAATATTGGTCCGTAAGTTGGAAAGGAAACCAGTATACAACAATATACAACATCTGTGTAATTCGGGGCCCCATAATTCTTCAAAAAGGAGAACACCAAAGAATGCATGTGCGCAGGCTCCAACTAGGAAAAAAAAATCATAAAAACAATATTACGATGTGACCCTGTATACTGTAAAATTGGTTAACTAGTGCATTGATGAGTGTATGTATGGCTGTGTGCTCATGTGCATGGATGAACTGCAAATGCAAATCCACAGTTTTTAAGTATTGTTTTCGGTGCTGCGAAGACCACGGTAAAACTTTGGTAAAACATGGTGAAACAAATTTATAAACTGCAAACGGAATCCTACGTATTTGTAGCAGATCAAAGATGTGTTACTGTATTCTGTCGCTACGTTGTTGTGCATTGGTCCGCAGCAGTGTTGCAGTAACAGATTACAATCATTATAAATATGTCATTTTATCCAAATACAACGCTTAAACTTTATTGTTGCGTTTTATACAAACAAACCCCGTCGATATACTTCCAAACTTTCAAACACACACGAACAAACAAGAACATATAATTCATCTAAAAACTCAAACAGTCTTATATAAATCATAAATACAAAGCAAGTAAAGTAAAGCAAACATCAAGAATATACTTATATATAAAGTTAAACAGTTGAAGTCAAACCGAGAAGTAAAGTCAAAGTTATGTTACAAGTTAAAGGTTCTAAGTTTTAGTTATAAATTGTAAGTTCAAAGTTAAAAGGTTACAAAGTTATAAGTTACACAGTTTTTAGTGTCAAGTCATAACTAGAAGCTCTAAGTTGTAAATTAACAGTTATAACAATGTGTTTCAATTTTAAAACAGTTCCTAAACCTTATAAATTGATTTATTGAAGTTTGATAGTCAAGAGTTATGGATTATGAGTCGTATTTTACAAAGTAGCTATAAGCTACAATGAGTGTGTATATTTGGTTTTATCAAGTTATATACAAGTATAAAAGTAAGTTAACATACAAGCCATTATTTGGGGTTTGCAGAACGGTTCGGAACGGTTCCGGAGATTTCCCCAGAACGGTTCGGAACGGTTCCGGATACTTCCAAAACCTCAGAACTATTTAGAACTATTTAGAACGGTTCCGGAACGGTTCCGGATTCAAAGCCTATAGGCCCCAGAACGGTTCGGAACGGTTCCGGAGACCTCCATATAATAGCATATGTTAACTTGTGTAATAGCATATTTAGACTATATAATTATTTAACTTTAATACATAGAGTTTGAACAAATAAACACATACTAGTACCATAAGCAATGATGATTCGACACAAGCGATACTTTCAAACGGATATTTCAATACAAACTACACAGTTGTATGATTTTGTTAGAACAGATTCCACAGAACAGTTTTCAAGACAGGTAAGATTTTGAAAGGGGCCACGCCTTCCATGAACAAACAGCTGAGAAACTTCCAGCCTTTTGTAGTCTACATCCAGTTTCACCTTCTCCCTTGTGCTCAGCATGCCTTTGCACTGCCTGTTCAAAGACTTAGGCGGAGAAGTTGCCTTCCCTTTGTCGTTTTTCTGACTCCTTTCTCTTGTAGCCTTGGCCCTTGGAGCCACAGGGCGGCTCTTTGGAAGGTTTTGAAAATGCGAAACAGGAGGAACTGCTCTTGACCGTTTTTTGGGGGGTTTGGAAGCTGTGGAGAAATATCTCCGTGCAAAGTTGAGGTCTGCAGAACCGTTCCGAACCGTTCTGGAGGTCTGCAGAACCGTTCCGAACCGTTCTGGAGACCTCTGCGCTAAGAAAATTGTCACGTAAATTGGTTCTCTGTGCCAAGAATCCCGGGAATAGGAAGGCACGGACAAGGTTTAGCCATTCCGGATGCATTAGTCCCAACCTGAAAGTAACCCATCATCACCCTCAAGAACCCCACCGCTAGCGCTATATATATATATATTCTGAAAAGTATCAAATCATGGTCCAAGACATTATCGGCAGGTATATACAATATAGTTTGTTTCTTGTACGGGTAGTAGCACGGTAGTAGCAACATTCTTGCCAGAGTGACAAAATACCAACAATATAGCCTGGATGTTGCACTGCTACCGCTAATGCATATTTTTTTGATCCAGTCCAGAACTGGTGGGGAAAAAGGCAGCAATGGGAATGCAGCCAACAACCAGCATTGCCTTTGTTTTTTTTTGAAAAGGGAAGTCACATAATCCCAACAGCCTGAACACATTGCAGAAGCCAGCTCAGCGCGCCCAAACACACATGGACTGCCTTCCAAATAATTGAAATTACATATTGATAGAATTCGACTTCAGCGCCTGTTCCTTCCACCTAAGTATTTCTCCAATTGCGCTTAAACCGCCTGAATCCTCCCTCAAACAAATGCAGCATCATAAATTAAACCCACTATCTGTATGCGGGTTGTGTATTTATTCAAGGTTTCAAGTATTTGGGGCAAGGTTGTTAAGTCATCAAAGCTGAATTTGGCCCAGTCTCACACTAGAAAATTACTTAGCTGCAAATAGAATTCCACTTCAGAGTTTGTTTCTATCGCCTGAGTATGTCTCCCATCTTGAAGAAAAAGCAAACCATATTTTCACCCAAATGCCAGCCCCAGACTAGAATTTGGAATGCATAATCTACTTAAGCGCACATAGAATTCTACTTAGGCGTCAGTTTGTGACGCCTAAGCAAAATTCTGTTTGCGCCTAAGTAGATTCTGGATTTTGTTTTCCAACAGCCCCAGACTAGATTTCTATTTGCGCATAGGTAGATTATGAATATAAATTATGTCTTCCAACAGCCCAGACTAGAATTTGGAAGACATGGTCTAATTAGGCGCAAATAGTAATAGAATTCTACTTAGGCGTCAGTTCGTGACGCCTAAGCAGAATTCTTTTTGCGCCAAAGTGGATTATGAATTATGTCTTCCAACAGCCCCAGGCTAGAATTCTATTTGCGCCTAAGTAGATTATGACTATGAATTATGTCTTCCAACAGCCCCAGACTAGAATTTGGAAGACATGGTCTAATAAGGCGCAAATAGTAATAGACTCTACTTAGGCGTCAGTTCGTGACGCCTAAGCAGAATTCTTTTTGCGCCCAAGTAGATTATGAATTTTGTCTTCCAACAGCCCCAGACTAGAATTTGGAATGCATAATCTATCTGGCGCAAATAGAATTCTACTTAGGCGTCACGAACAGAATTTTATTTGCACCTAAGATTACCTAAGTAGATTTAGTCTTCAAAAGAAAGACCGAAACATAAGTTCACCCCAATCTCACAATCAGAATTTTATATCTATAGACTGTGGATCAGATAGGTATAAAGTATCCATGGCAAGTTTTTGTTTTTAGCAAAACTGAATTCATCACCGGTCCACAATACAAATTCAATTTAGGTCAAGTACTTCACGACTTTGAGTCCCAGATTGATGAATCTGGATGTGTCCTCGCTGTGTGCATGGTTTTGTTTCTTTACTTCTTCAAAAGCTTGCTAATTTTCCCTTGACATGGTTTCTAACATCACCTTCTATAAGATATCCTTATTGCCCTGGTTTCTTCCATAGTCCCTTCCATAGTTCCCTCCATGGTCCACAAGGCCCACAGGTTAAGAGGCTAAAGTTTGAAATAAGATATATCTATCATTAATGTACTAATGCATACTAATGCATATTCCCCAGCATTCTACCCCCGCTGGTTGTGAGGGTACCTCTGCCTGCGCCTTTCTCTGGCTTTGCGCGTTGCTGGCGCCAGCGCCTTGGTTTCCAATTTGCCAATACCAACCATGGATGGGGTTTCGGGATGTTTCGGGGAGAATCTACAGGAAACCATGGTGTTTACCATCAGTTACTGATGGAATAGGGGCGATGCTTCTGGGTGCATTTGATAGATCATAAACCATATATATATATAGGTATAATGATGATTATCACGCATGTGCAATATCATAATTATCATAGGCTTTATGAATGTTAATGGGTGATGTTTGTGGATGATGTTTATGGTTATGAGCAAGCATGAATGGATTGGCAGAAGTAAACATGGTGATTATATATATAATATGTACATATATATATATATATATTATATATATAGTACAGTAACCCTACAAAAATGCAAACCAAGCGATGTGCCACTATTTTCATTAGGTTTCGCCTTATATCCGTTCTGGGTGGTACAATTTATATACACAGTTAGATAAATATATTGTGTGCTTGAACAACTATGTAATATAATATAATAATTTCACCACTGGCTGCTGGTTTTCTATGCCCATGAACAATAGTCAATGTGGATTATCATGCTTTAAATAGGTTGGAACATATCAACAACATTCCAAACCACCAATATTGCATTAATGGTAAAATAACTTGGGAATACATTGTGATTCAAGCAGCACATGAAGGTTTGAGCATCCACCATCATTTTCCTTGGGAATCCATGGGCTTTCTGTCCCACTCTGAATGAATTCCAGGTAAAACACGGTGACCCATCCCGAAGGTGTATGAAGGTGTCATAACACGTTGTGGAAAACCCCAGACAGTTCTGGATGTGTGTAAACCCCCTAAACCATGGTCTATGGGGGGTTAATATTAGGGGGAAAGGAGTGTGATATGTGGTTCCCATTTCGCTTTTATGGTGAGGCTCTCATTTTTTGGTCGGAATAAGCTGCTCAGACTTGTAACCATGTGAATACAAAATGATATATGTGAAATGTGTGTGTACTAGTATCAATGTGTTTCTGTTGTACCTGGATTCGCCACCAACATCTCATAACATCTCTGTGTTGCAGCTGCAGCTCTAGCGTTAAACATAACAAATATTTGGGTCGGCTTGGATGTATGTGTTCATGCCAAATCACAAGAAATATCGACTTTTTTTGGGGCGGGGCATGCTGTTTCATACTTGTACAGCTACAGGTTCCATGAAGATGCCGCTCCGCCAAGCAACGAGTTGGCCGCGGCCTGCAGTGAGGCCCGGTGAGGCATGTTTTATCTGATCAAAGACATACAGAAAGCCCTGTCATCAATGGCAAAAAATAAAACACCACGCTTTCCTGTAAATGTTCCCTTCAACCAAACCAATCGGTGTATCCGGTTTTGATGTCAGTTGCCCACATTGTGGGGGGGGTTGGCAGTTTTGGCCACCCTCCAACTCACACTTTGCATTGGCACTTGGTCACTTGCAATTCACGTCCGCTCACTGAATAAATTAATCAGACATGATATATAACTGAACTGATACCTGTACCGGATGCAGCTGATTTTAATATTTTAAGTAGGATGGTGTCAATTCAACGTTGCGCCTTTGGCTGATTGGAGTCATCTGAATCGTTCCTGAGTGGCCCAAGAGGAAGCAGTCGGTATACCATCCTAAAGCTACCAAGTAACCCAATCTTCCAACCACCTACTTCCACATAAAAATGAACCTCATGTGAACATCTGGTATATTGTTTTGGTTGGGTAATTCCCCATTCTTGTTGGTTACACCCCCAGTTGCGGACGATTCTAATCACATGAAAATCACAGGACCAGGGGCCCCAACGATCCCTCAGAGGTGTCCTGGTCAACACCCTCAACCATCATTTCAAGCATCATTTCATCAATATCCATAGATACCCTCTGGTAATTTAAGATAGCTATTGAAAATTGTTATTTTTCCCATTAAAAATAGTGTTTTTCCATAGTTATGTTAGTTTACCAGAGGGTACTCTACGGAACTCTACGGTATCTATCTATCGATCTGCCATGATCCGATCTCTGTCCTGGCTGTTGGATGGTCGCGCTCCCTTCCCTTTGCCTTTCTTGGGAGTCTGCCTGCGGCTTGGTGAAATGTTTCGGAAACCGTGTGTTGTTGCGGCCAAACTGGGAGGTGCCTGAAATTTTCAACACCAAGATTGGCAATTGACAATTGAGAAGAAGAATAAGTTTATTGAGTAGCATTCAGTGGCATTCCCACTCACCAACATCCGCATTCCCATCCAACATCCAATGCGGGGACCCCCGCCTGGTCCATTGTGGTGCACTTGGAGCCCACCACTGGGCATCGTTCGACCACTCCTGCAGCCCAAGTGATTCAGAAAACATATATCCCCTCCAGTAGACTAACATGCACGGATGACACCCAAATTGCAGCAGAAATCAGGGTCCTATATTAATAGATATCTTCTACTATCAAACTATTCAACTTAACCTTTGGGGAACTAATTAGTCTTCAACTTTTTTTCGGGGTTGAATGTGAAGTTCATCCTATCCGCGTCCTGGCCATAGCCCCACCAATCCTCGGCCGCAAGCTTGGCGTCCCTAATCCAATTTTTCGGTGATCAACTATGGCAATGCGAAATCCCCGAACGAAATTCAGGAAAATGTGGGAACATCAGTGAAAATCATCTATAAGCAAAGGATTTTCAAAGGCTATGTCAACTTGCCACAGTGCCCAATATATTTAACTTATTTTAACTTCATGAGAATGTCAAGGTCAGACACTTTGATCCATCCTCTACACTCAAATCATCCCACAGCTTGGCTCCCCTGGCAGCTCCGGAGTTCCATGCGCCCTGAAAGTCTGAAAGTATGTCCATGTTCTCTGCCAAAGTGGCCATGCAAAATGTGAACCGGGTTCCAACCGGGTTCCCGGCCCAATCTGAGGACTTGCCCTTCTTTCCAGCCTGCCCAACTCTGGTCAAAACGTTTCATGTTGTTTTCCTCCTGGAGATCTTAAATGGCAAGCTGTTGATGCAATGTGCATGAGAAAACTGGGGCCTTCCACACTGCCCATTTGGAGTACTGCAGAGTGTGTGGGCTAAAAGCCTATAGTATAGCCTATAGGATCCATAGGCCAATAGGATCGAATAGTGGTGGCCAAAAATGATGGTCCCCAAACGATGCCACAGCCAGCCTTGCCCTGGCCCCAGTCGTCCCAATCCTCAAGACGCGACGCGTAGCAGCCATGCAGTTGGCTGAAAATGCTGGGGCCCTGACGCCCTCATAGGCAGTGGATTTGCCTGACAAATTCATGGTTTCTCATTGGTTTCAGCCCTTCATATGGGAAGACCCACGGTTCATACGTCGATTTCCCAGCCAAAAACACACAGCATTGGGGTGTTTTTCAGCCGCACAACCCGGAATCCTGCGGCAAATGGTCGCCCTGCCTGAGTTCCACCACGACCAGCCGGCTCCAGTTCCTGGAACAAAACGACTCAGGGAGGCGGTAATTGTGACCCTCTCAAGAGTGGTATTAGTAGATGTTTGTAGATGTTTGTAGCATCAGAATCCATCATTCCAGTCATTTCTTTTCTATCCTACTTCTGCGTAGCTACATAGATTTAGGTCAAACATCGATGCCCCAAAAAAACATGCTAAAGTACAAGTACTAAAGTAGTCTAAACTTCAAAACTTACTGAGCCGAAGTAAACGATCCTCTTTTTTAGGGACCTCGAGTTTTGATCCCATTCCGGCACCTTGGGTCCAGCTCTTCTCTCCATTCTTCACTTGTTGGAGCAGCGCCATTCCCGCGCCGTCATCGCTGCGAACTGGCACCAAGTTCAATACAGTCATTTACTTCTTGGGAAACCGCTGAGCCATTATTTATGGTCAAATTTCACGGGGATGCTCATGATTCCCCTCTCCCCCCAAAAACGAGGGAATGGATTTGGGCTAATACCTGAGAACTTAATCCTACTAGTGACTCATCATTCTCCCCATGAAATTTGGCCATAGGGTTAAAACATGGTAAATCCACCATTGTCAGAGCAAGAAGCAACTTGTCGAGGCAGCTGCCTTCAGGCTTCTTTCCTCCGCCCTTCAGTTGCTGCAGCAACGCTGCGCCGGCACCCTGGCTTGGCTTCTCCTGTGGTTCGATTTGAACTGAACTCATGACTCAATAGCTGGGTTTAAGAGGTTGTAAGTGAAAATCATGTGAACATCTACAGCAAATCAATGTCTTTACCACCAACTTCCTGTAAATGTTCTTATCATCCATTTCTGGGAACGACGCTATGTCTCTCAATTGGTTTGATTGTGACATGTCAAACGCACGTTTGCAGGAACCTCTTCGTCCCCTTCATGTGAATTGAAGTGTTTCAAAAAAAAATAACTCAAGTTACCCTCTGGTAAACTAACATAACTATGGAAAATCACCATTTTTAATGGGAAAATCCACTATAAATGGCCATTTTCAATAGCTATGTGACAAATTACCAGAGGGTATCTCAAGTTCCCTATCCAAAAAGACTAGCTCGGTGATTCTTTCTGATCGTCGCTGGGTCCTCCTTGTTGTTCACCAAATTCAGGAGGAGTTGGCCAGCTTTGGCTCCAGCCTCATTGGATGCCGTCCTCTCAGAGGAAGCACCCGCAGCACCCGGCCGCGCCGCCTGGCCGAAAGGCCAATCTTGGTATCTGGGTATCCCATGGTACCCTCTGGTAATTTAACATAGCTATTGAAAATTGCCATTTATAGTGGATTTTCCCATTAAAAATGGTGATTTTCCATAGTTATGTTAGTTTACCAGAGGGTATCTGGACCCTGGAGGTTTACACTGTCAACATCAGTGTTTCCACCACAACATGCCACGACATGCCTTCGGTGCTGCTTTCTCACCTCAGATACGCGAGTTGCTGCGACAAAAGAGATGGTGCAGTGTGACGAGAAGAAAACTTACAAAGAAGGTCTTGATTAAAATGAGGGTCCCCTTCCGCCAAAAAGGGTCCGTGACAGCTGTGACATTGTGATATTGCCGATTTATGTGATTTCGGGTTTTATCCCCATGTAAAATCATATAGTATCAAATAGTGTGGTATATAGTCATAGATTGTATCAAATAATGTGGTAAACGCATGTTTATTTACCACTCTTTGGTGGGTCATACCACCCATTAAGATCATCCAAATCTGGGCACACCACCAGGAGCCACTCCTCCGGCCTGGACACGTCCATAAAAATTGGACGCCAACCGCCATAGTGATATCCCTGCAATCCATAAGTGTACTATAATAAGTACATATAGCTGGCTGATATAACTACTGTCTTAGGAGCACGTTGGATAAGTGAAGTGATCATGTGTTGAAATTGCGGGTGAACTCGGCATGTTTGGTGAAATCCACTTGACCATCCTCCCCAATATTGACTGGACAGTAAACTTTCACCCCATAGGAAGAAAACATCGAACATGCATCATTATCTATCAGTTATCTAAGTTTATATATATAGTTATATCATCTCTTGTCCCCATGACTTTTCATGACTTTTCATCATTATTTATCAGTTATATCCGTTATATCCCACTTGATATACCCACCTTGATGGCGTTGATGGGCGTCGTGCTGGAAATTCCCGGTGGGGCCGGAACACCTGGAGCGTAACGTCATGGCGTCATAGCTAGCCCCGGCCGAAGGCCTTTTTTCTTAGGTCTTAGTGGTGGAATCGAGGTATCTATGTACATATATATATACTATATATATATATATTTTTCTGTCTATCTATTTCTGTCCATCTATCTATCTATCTATCTATATATCTATCTATTTATTTATCTATCTATCCTGTCCTATCCTATCCTATCCTATCCTATCCTATCCATCCATCTATATCTATATAGTTTTGTTCTATATAGTTCTACATCTTGTTGGTGGTCTATACATCGATATATAGTTCGAGATAGTTCTGTCTATACGTCTATGTATCCAGATACCTTTTAATCTTTGTATCTATCTATATCTCTCACTGTGTATTTATATGTAATATTTCTTATCTACAGTATGTATCTAATATCTATGCCTCTCAAAGTTCATAGATATATACGTCTAATCAGTCTAATTATATATAGTCATATAGTCTAATTTGTCTAATCCAATCCACTCTAATCAATTCTAATCTATATCTACCCATGTATATCTCTGATCCAAGATTTCCAACTTGATGTATCCATTTTAAAAAAATGTAGCATTCGGCACACGCACCCTCCAAAATTGCATTTTCTAGTTTGACAATTCATCAGGCTAAATGGTACAACACATGCAAGGATATATATATATCTAAAAGCTACATGGGTGCACATCTCGACAAAAAAGCAGAATTGCTGGGATGTGAAAAGCTGAAGTAATCATGTCGTCAGCGTCTTCGGGCCTCCGGTTGCCTTCGCCTGACAAGAGGGCTGATTTCACCAGGCCACCAGCAGCTTTCCGAACAAAACCGACCCCCCAAAAAAGGTGGGAATCGGTGGGAACCGCTGTTAATGGTCTAGATCACCATAAATCCACTGAGTTACATATCGCTCATGTTAGATGCGACATTATGCGACTGACTGACAAAACTTTAGTGGGGTTTTATAATATATATATATACGTATGGGATATTATGGGATAGAATACAATGCATGTTTTCAATGAAATATAATGGAACAAATACTGCATAATAAAATATAAAAAATGTTCTATCTGGGTGTGGCGAGAATGGTTTGCTCGTAAAAATGACCAGTATCTGCTATTTCCACAGGCCACAGGCCTAAAAGGTTACCCACACCCAGAGCCCCTCAGAACAGTGCAGCACCTGTCCATCCTTTGGTGCAGAGTCAGACCTGCTGATCAATCAACATCCCATCCCATATGTTTCGAAATCTGAGTCAATTGGGGACCATCGTCCCATTCCCATGGATTTTCCAAAAAGAAACAGGTCAGACTTGATTCCCACCGTGCCACATATGCATATGTATATATATAATTATATATCTATGTCTATAATATATATATATATATAATTATATATATCTCTCTCTCTCTCTCTCTCTCCATCTTCCTCTCCAAGAGTTTAGCCAAAGACCCTACCGTGCCAGATTTGTCTACATATTTGAGTAGCACCAGGACCCCATGGGTACTGGATACACAATGATACACTGTAGGGCTGTAGGGTGCAAGCGGGATTCTTTTGGCCACGAAAGCTGTATGGCCCCCCGAACTCGCACAACTTTTCACCACACCTTCCGGTTCTATTCAGGCTCTGGGCCAGGTGGTTCCCAGGGTGAGGTCGCAAGAAAAATCAAAATAATCGAGTGCAAACTAGCACTTTCCGGGTCCCTCACCCCAAGCTATTCCTAAGGCTACTGCGGCTACTGAAACAAAGCACCCTGCCCCAATTTGCAAAAACACAATGGCAACCTACCTTGAGTCCAAAGATATATTCGCACCACATACATCACCAGAAATACCACATGGAGCTTGACATGGACCAAAGTGGGACCAAGTCAAAGAAGTGCAATAGCCAAAGGACAAAATTGTCCTGTCTGCGGCCAATGTACGGTCCTGCTGTCCGACTGGCAGCAAAAAATACTTAAAATTGTCACGCTGGAGGAAGTCTCCTGGGAACGTTTCAAACCAATGTCCTTCGGAGGGAATTCAACGTCATTCAAAAGAATCAAACATCATCTAAAACTTTCAACAGAATTTGGTAAAACATGACTAATCCAATCAAAGTGGATTGAAATTCTTTCACAACTGAAATTTTTCCCATCTTTCTCCCAGCTGATGGCGCAGGGTACCACAGGGTACCACAGGGTGGTACCCATGGTACCCTGCACCCTGGGAATCCCAGAGGTCGGGACATCAGGTGACAACTTCAAAAGTTTAACAGTTCAGCTGTGGAGATCCTGCGACCTCACGGTGATTGGCCGAATGATTCGCCAGAAATCAGAAGAACTTGCGAATCACTGATGAGCACTTGGGTGAAATGGGTCTGTTTCGTGCTGATCGCTAACGGTTTTTTTTCATCATTGACCAAAGGGATGTATAGGGGATTCCTGTGCATTTTCTCATCCCATTCAGGGAGAATGAGAACACTTATGATAAGGATAAAATTATGATACCTAAAGAAAATGCGTCTTGTTTTGTTTTATAATCACCAATCACCATCTCAAATCCTTACAATTACAAAGATCACCAAACACTCCTATCAGAACCCCACTGAGCTCAAAACAGGTCTGGGGTCATGTGTTCTGTGTCCATCTGCTCAAGTGGCAGGCTGGTTGACCACTTCCTCGGTCGAGGCGGGCCAGCGCCAGCTCACCCATAAATCACAGGGGCTCAGAGGTGAAGAACTTCCAGTTTCTGGTGACCTTTCTATTCAAAATGTTCACCCACTATGGAAAAATAAGTATCTGCTAATGCAAATGTCCAATACCAGTCTTGATTCCCAGCCTGTTTTAGTTTCCCAAATTTCCCCTCATTTATCTTCACACATGCACGCACATATATATATATATATATTTTTATTTATTTAATGTAAAATAATAATATTGGATATGTATATGCCAGTAGTACCGCACGAGGCGGTGGCGGAAGTTTCAAAAATAGGAAACCTATAGGAGAGATTGGTTGTTGTGAGCACGGAAAGCAGAGCGAATCCACTGATGGACCGAAAGGTGCTTGAGGTCTCCTCTCTTTTTCCCTCTTTCTCTGACTATCTACCCACCTACCAACCTATCTTCTATGTATCTATATATCTATCTATCGATCTAACTATCCCCCTCTCTCTCTCTCTCTCTTTTTCATCTAATTACCTATCTATCTATTTAATCTAACCTAATCTAATCTAATCTATCTAATCTATCTATCTATCTACCTATCTACTGTATCTATCTATCTACTGTATCTATCTATCTACTGTATGTATCTATCTATCTACTGTATCTATCTATCTACTGTATCTATCTATCTACTGTATGTATCTATCTATCTACTGTATGTATCTATCTATCTACTGTATCTACTGTATGTATCTATCTATCGTATCTATCGTATCTATCGTATCTATCTATCTGTCTATCTATCTATCTATCTGTCTGTCTGTCTATCTATCTATCTATCTGTCTATCTATCTATCTATCTACCTATGTACCTATCTATCTATCTATCTATCTATCTATCTATCTATCTATCTATCTATCTATCTATCTATCTATCTATCTATCTATCTATCTATTATCTATCTTCCTCTATCTTATCTATCTCCCTCTCTCTTTTTCATCTGTCTATCTGTCTAGCTGTCTACCTGTCTATCCATCCATCTATCTATCTATCTGTCTGTCTATCTGTCGACCTGGCTATCTGTGGTGCAGTGTCATTCAGTGTAGTGTAGTGCAATGTAGTGTAGTGTAGTGGAGTGTAGTGGAAGGTAGTGTGATGTAGTGTAATGTAGTGTGGTGTAGTGTAATTTAGTGTAGTGGAGTGTGGTGGAGTGTAGTTGTGTATTCGTAGTTGTAGTTGTAGTGTAGTGGAATGTAGTGTAGTGTAATGTAGTGAAGTGTAGTGGAAGGTAGTGTAGTGAAATGTAGTGTAGTGTAGTGTAGTGTAATGTAGTGTAATTTAGTGTAGTGGAATGTATTGTAGTGGAGTGTAGTTGTGCAGTTGTAGTTGTAGTGTTGTGTAATGTAGTGTAGTGTAGTGCAGTGTATTGGAGTGTAGCGTAGTGTAATGTAGTGTAGTGAAGCGAAGCGACATCTGAACCTCCAAAAGTGGTCCGAAACCCTTGTGCTTTTAACATTTTGACTTCGAAATGTGCTTCGCGCCACAACGGCGTGCACTTTTTCGACACCTGAACCTCCAAAAGTGGTGCGAACATGTGGTGTTTTGTACATTTTGACTTCGAAATTTGCTTCGGGCCACAACGGCATGCACTTTTTCGACATCTCAACTTCCAAAAGTGGTCCGACACTGAGGTGTCTTGTACATTTTGACTTCGAAATGTGCTTCGCGCCACAACGGCGTGCACTTTTTCAACATCTCAACTTCCAAAAGTGGTCCGAGAATGGTGTGCTTTGTACATTTTCACTTCCAAATGCGCTTCGCGCCACAACGGCGTGCACTTTTTCGACATCTCAACTTCCAAAAGTGGTCCGAGACCCAGGTGTTTTGTACCTTTTCATTTTCAAATCTGCTTCGCGCCACAACGGCGTGCAATTTTTCATCTCTCATCTGGCCAGCTGGTTCCGCACCCGCCGCTTTAGCGAGCCTACTTTTCGACCCTCCGGAGCCACAAATCATTGGAAAAACACAGTGTTTCGCGACTTTCTTACCTTTTCGCGCATCTGCATCTTCTTTCTTCTGACTCTTTCTCTTCTGATCTTCTCTCTTCTAATCTTTCTCTTCTCTCTGCCTCTGCCCTGCTCTGCTTTTCATCTGTCCATATTGTCGGAAGTTTGACTTCTAAACTTCCTTCGATTATATCTATGCACTCCAAACATCTATCTTTACATATATCTATAGCGACCGCCGATCCAAGGAATCCAAGGAGCGGTGCGCTGGCGCTTGGCGTTGAAAAAGGCTCCAGGATTCAGCCGCACCCGTACCACAGGACCTCCAGGAACACGTTCCTGGCAGCTTAGGACACCCATTGGTGTTGGTGACATTTTCGGGCAGAATATGTATGTAATATATAAACAGATGATATATATATATATGTGTGTGTGTGCGCGTGTGTATGTGTAGTTGGTTTATATTATATATATATGTAGGGTAGAGGCCTGAGGTTCCCCGGAAAGCAATTGAAATTCATTGTTGTCAATTTTGAAAAATGTCATTTTTCACTGTGTTTTACAGTGTTATGTGTTCTTCCCAAAACTTGAGAGCACAAGGAATCAGTTCAACATGCGGACAACATATCTGGGATATGTTGTCCGTTGTTTGAATGTTTTTTTGTTAATCTTTAAGTTCTTCATTGTATCACAACAGATTGCGTGCGATTGCAGCTGATGGATGATTTCGATCGGCACGATCTAAAAGCGGCAAATTGCAAGAAGGGCAAAGGATCGTTGCAGCTTGTTTTCCATTGCGATTGCTAAAAAGGCTCTGCGGCCGTCTGGTAATTGGCGTTGGGCCAAAATCACATTGCGATCGAAGTCATGCTGGATTCAACCTGTCAGCGGAATGCAATCCAAAAACTGTCACAAGACTGTGTTTTTCACTGGTCTCTGTTTCCTTGGTTGGATCCGAATTCTTGATTTCCTTCAGCTGAACTACTGGATCATTGCACCACGTTCTCAAGACGTTCTGCAGCTTCTGGTCATATTTGGTCAGTCCGTCAGCTATCATCAGATGAGTGGGCACCCATCGGATTTGAGAAGGCAGCAGAACTTGTTGAACACTTCGGATGTTCATCGTTGCTCGTTTTTCGCTCAGCACAGGGTTCTCGGCCACCAGACAATCGTATAACGATTTGGCATCCGTGATGTGCACCGCATTCATTCGCATCTCGCCATAGAATGCAGGTTTCTGATAGAGCAACTCGGTGATCATCATATTGAGATAAGTGGATCTGTCGGTTCCCTCGTCAGCTGCACAGGCTTCAGCCGCGAAAGTTGAACGGCAAATGCGGGCACTTCGGCCGCTTTTCCAGTCAAGGATGAAGCCATGGGAAGTCTTTTCGGTCACTTGAGCTGGGCACAGGGCTATCATCACACCAAATTGGGATGAACACTTTGCTGCATTGGCCCAGCCAGAATCTGCAAACGTCACAATGGTCGATGCCTTGGTGAAGGGGATGGCAGGGAAGACCAGGCCTGAGTCTGCAGTGGCTTTGGCATACTTTAAAGTGTCGTGGAGACGCTTAAGGTCGTTGATGTCAGTCTCGGTGCCGCGATGTGACAAAGAAGCCGTTGAGGCCACATCAGGTCTGGTTTGGCCTCAAATCCATCGAAGGCATCCGCAAACGCTTCTCATCTCCTTCCATTCATCGGCAGTGAGCGAAGGGTCTAGCTGGAGTCGGCCGGTCTTCAGCTTTCCTTCAGTCAAGTTGTCAAGAAACTTTTTCTGAGTGACCTTGTAGCTCATCTTGCCGTATTCATTGATCATTGTGATCTCCTTGCCGCGGTATTCACCTGGGTGATTTTCATCAATCTTTGTAACGCTGCCCGCTGCCCCACTCAAACAGATCTTCAAGGAGTTGCAAAGGGAAAGATTCTGAGTAGGTGCACATGAAGTCGTCCACATGCACGATCAGCACGGCACCCAAGGAGCCATCATCCTCGCTGATGTGATAAAACAGGCAGCGATCGAAGCTGTGCTGGATGAAGTTGGCTCCGAGCAGCTTGGTTTTGACCTTGTTGAACCACACCCTCGGTGCATTGGCAAGCCCATAGCAGTTGCCGGTGATCTCATAGAGCAAGGCAGGGAATGCTCCGGCTTCAAGTAAGGTCCATTTCTCTCAGAAGGGTCTTGCGATCCTTGAAGAAAAGCTTGGGCAGCATCACTCAAACATAGGTACCACTTCTTGCCATCCACGTTGAAGAGCATGTTGGCACCAGAGGCAGCAATAGAAAGGATCAGGTACTCACTCAGCCTGGTCGGTGTTGGTGAGTCACGTGTGAGCTGTCTGAGGTCTGGGTCCTGGCATCCTATGATGACCACTCTTGTCTTGGCTTGTAAGGGTCCGGTGCCTTTGCTTTTGTCTTTATAGGCACCACGGCTTTTCATGATGCGCTTGCGCACCTGTGGAGAAGCATAGATCTTCTTGGCCTCGTGCTCACTGATCGGCTTGATGCCGGTCCATTTCATCCAGCCGTTGTACTCCTTGGTGGCGGACTGGGCAAATTGATCTTTGGCTGCAGCTGGCATTTCCATGATTTCGCGCCACGGCAACTCACGGTCGAGCTGCTTCATGCATCTCTTGTCGTGAAAGTTGTCGGTCATTTGAGAGTGAAAGGTCTTCATCATCGCTAGTATGCCAGTCTGGCCTTTCTGGTTCATCGATGCCTTTCATCTCAATCTTTCTGCGGGCGCTGGATAGGTATGCTGTGTATGCTTGCTGGCATTGCTGGTGTGGGCTGGAGATGTCGGGCTGCCATCCCAATGCTTGCTGCGGAACGTTGCTGTGTTGTCATCGTATGTTGTCAGCAATGTCTGTATGTCTGCTGGTGCTTGCTGTTCTGCTGTGCCGACTGGTAGTTCGGCTGTCATGTTTGCATAGATGACGGCTTGAAGCTTCTCGAGGAGTCGGTTGCTGCCTAACAACGGGATGTCATTCGTGGAGTTGATGACGCTCGTTCCAATCAAGCAAATGGACTTGGAGGTGTTGTCAAATGCAGTGGGGAGGTACGCATGCATGTGGCTATACTGTGCAGGGCCATGTCCAAACTCAAAAGGCTCGTTGTTGGGAGTCTTCTCGGCAAACAGTTGATGGTTGGTTGATACGTTATCTTCCCACATTTGAAACCAGTTGGTACTGCAACATGTTCTCTGACAAGCTGTGTCCAAAACCATATACTCTGTGAGGGACTTGAGAGATGTTGCAAGAACTTGATGAAGACCTACCACTGGTGACTTAACCATGTGTGATGTAAAATACGTGCCATAGATCTCTTTCGGGGGGACAACCTGGTCAATCTCAACGGGGTCTTCAAAGTTCACCAAGCGCTTGCCACCAGAATGAACCACGGCCAGGACCTTTTTGCTCTGACCGCCTTTCGCATCAGATTTCTTCGGCGTGGCTGCAGGAGTCTTTCCTTTGCTGCCGGAGGAACTTGCAGTAGATCCAGACTGTGGGCACTCGGGGTCACCTTGCCAATTGCCTTTCTGGCCACGTGCTGCACAGTGTGACTCAGCTTTGCGTTGGGCAATGCTCTTGGTGTTGCCGCTGAACTTGCGGCCAAGTGTGAGGCCTTGAAGTCTTCTTGCAGTGCCTGTCAAACAACGAATCACCTCAGATAAATCATCAGCTTGGTCCGCGTCTTCCGCGGCTTCTTCTTCTCCTTCTGCGGCATCATCTTGCTCTTGCTGCTCGTCCGCCTGATCGGCAGCTCCATCCTCCGGATCTTCACCAGGCTCTTGTTCCGCATGTTCATCTTGATTGCCATCATCATCATGAACCTCAGTGACATAGACTCGCTGTCGAGGTGCATTTTTGCCGCGTCCACCACGGCCTTTACGTTTCGGCTGCTGGTTGGTGAAGGTGTTGTTGCCCTTGGACGGAGTGTTCGGCTTGGCATTGTTGCTTTTGGTGCTACCATCATACCTGTTGCCTTCAAAGTCTTTCATGAAGACAACTGCAGGAGTGGGTCGATGGTCTGGAAATTGGACTTGGGCGGCTTCTCGAATCACATCAAATTCCAACGACTGATTTGCTGCAACCAAAATCAATCGTTGCTGTTCCAAACCAAGTCTCATGCGTTCCAAGAGTCGGGCACCACGGCTCTCAGAGTCATACATGCCATCCACATTGATCTGAACTGAACACAAACTGCGCTCAATTCTGCCATAGCGATTGCAGAAGGTCCAAATGGTCTCATTCTGTTGCCGCTGCACGTACTCATACTCATGCAAGTAGCGACGTTTGAGGTAAATCGCCTTTGTCATCAGCGGCTGTTTCAAGGTCTCAATGATATGCCCTTCTCGTTGTTGATCAATGAAACGTCGCACCATTTCAGCTCTTCTTCAGCCTCGCCTTTGAGGGAGACATGCAGGAGCATAGCAGCTTCGTTTGGAGGAAGGTATGCAGCAATCTGGATGCGCCACACCTCAATTTTGCGCGTCCACTTCTGAAAGGCTCGAAGATCGTCACGTCACGGCCGGAATTCCACAAAGGTGGACTGGGTGGCGTGCCGCCACGGTATTTAACACCAGGAGACGGACCCTGTTGTATGGTCCAGTTCTTCGTCTTGTCATTCTTGGAGCTCACTGCATCTTGCATCTCCTCTCTCCAGTTGCTGGCACGTTTTGGATCTGATCCTGAGGAACCAGCTTTCAAGGAAGACATACTCGGCGAGGAACGTGGCGGAGGCTGCAATGGCTTCGAAGGGCTTTGTGATGTAGCATGCAAATCATCTTTGTATTGGGCTCGTTCTTTGTCTTGGAGACGGGCTGCCTTCTTCTGTCTTCGGCTCATTGATGGCGTCGATTGCAACGTGTCAGGATTGACCGTTGGGTCGTATGTGGCAGCTTCAGATTCAGCACGCTCGCCTCCAGGTGTATCCCATGGATCATCAGGCTTCTTCCATGTCTGTTTCCAGTCATACCATTCGGGGTTCATGCTGTAGTTCCATGCGGCATCATAAAATCGCATTCCACCACAGCGACCGCACCTCAATTCACTTCCCATGCGTCGCCAGTCAGGGCAGGAGCAATCACGGCACCTCCAGTCATGAAAGTGGTGAGGTTCGTCTGCTTGATCTGCATCTTCAGCTTCGAAAGGATTCCACAGGCTCGGCATGTCTGTTTCACTCTCGGATGAAGGTGCATGGTGGTCGCCCTCAAGCACGGGCACTGCAGCTGAGTTCATCACCGTATGGGTTGAAGAGGCATCGGGGACGTTTTGTCCAAACCCAAATTCATCTTCGCTCCATTCATAGCGAGAATCTTCAGACATGGTAGGCACGTAGGGCTCCGCCTACCAACACAACAGATTGCGTGCGATTGCAACTGATGGATGGTTTCGATCGGCACGATCTAAAAGCGGCAAATTGCAAAAATGGCAAAGGATCGCTGCAGCTTGTTTTCCATTGCGATTGCTAAAAAGGCTCTGCGGCCGTCTGGAAATTGGCGTTGGGCCAAAATCACATTGCGATCGAAGTCATGCTGGATTCAACCTGTCAGCGGAATGCAAATTCCAAAAACTGTCACAAGACTGTGTTTTTCATTGTATGTTATTTTTGTAGGTTCCATAAGAATTGCGCGTTTTTTTTTTAATGTTTTTTTTTCATTTTCGGGTTTCTTTTGATTGACATAAAATGTCATAAATCCCCAGCGAACCATGCGCGAAATGCACATGATGGTCTCTTCACATCCGCAAAGCCGTTTTGAAAGTATTCGCAACAACACCTTCACCGTAACAACATCTTCAACGTAACAACATCTTCAACACAACAACATCTTCAACGTAGCAACATCTTCAACGTAACAACCAACATCTTCAACGCAACAACATCTTCAACGTAGCAACATCTTCAACGCAACAGCATCTGCAACGCAACAGCATCTGCAACGCAACAACACCTTCTGATGATGCAATGCAATGAACGTTAACATCCCCCAAAAACCCCCAGCTGCATGCAACAACGAAGATTAACAGATTAACGTAACAACATCTTCTGATGACGCAATGCAATGAACGTTAACATCCCCCCACCCTACCCCGATCTTTTTGCAACGACGAAGATTAACGTAACAACATCTTCTGATGACGCAATGCAATGAACGTTAACATCCCCCCATCTGTATGCTTATATCTAGCAGAGAGAGACTCATGGCTCCTGCGTGCTCGGGGAACCTCAAGCCTCTCCCCTATAAATACGTCTATATGTATATATGTACATCTCTCTCTCTCTCTCTCTCTCTCTCCCCCTCCATTGCCTTCAGATTAATGATTTAGCTTGGTTTGCTCGATTGGGATTGGGGTTGGTTGATGTTGCGCAAGGCATTTTAATTATATACAGCTTCAAAAAGTTGGCTGAGGCGTGATGAGTTAGGCTCTCCTGTGCTGTTTTTGGCCGCAGTTGCGGTCCTGGTAGGCTTTCTTCTGGCGCTCGGTGAAGGTGTCCCATTTAGCTCTCAACCTGTCCATGGTCCAGCAGTTGCGAGGCATTCAGCTGATGACCATCGCCACAGGGAGAGTTCAGCAACCGTACCACCAACCAAAATACGGAATATGATGGGTATAAAATAATCAATGGATATTCAAAGGGATATTGTAATCAAACATTCAGTAGGTACATAGCCCTTTTCTAGGTTTTGCGCCAAAGGTGCACCTACGGTACAAGGGTAAAACATGCCAATGGCTCTATGACAAAATGTCGCGTCTGCTCAGCGTGTTGCTGTTGGCTTGGAAATTCTGTACACTTCTCAGATCATTTGATTGGTAAGCAGCATCTACAGCAGTATAGTGATTATACGTATGCCAAACCACCTCATGTTTACCCAACGGTTTTAGGGCTCAAGAATTATCGTTTGGGGTTCAGGGTGTTCCCTTTATTTTTTCATGGCGTGTTTAGGGCTTTTGGTTTCGAGTTAAAGGTCCGAGGGTTTTAGTCAGGATGACTTGTGCAAAGAAGCGTCTTGGGAATGCCATAAAGATCCATTATCTACAGTCCATGACAAAGTGTCGACTCAAACATATGTAAAATGTAGGTGCAAAAACATAAATTCTGATTCTGGTGCGATACAAATACCGCAATGGACACCCTATTTCAAGCCACTGTCCAGCCCCAAACACCCATATTCGCCTCGAGGTCAGGCAATCCTCATCCATAGTTCCTTCTAGCTGCTCATTCATGAAGACCGCATAGCCATCAAACTCCGGAAACTTCTTGGATGGATTCAGGCCCAAGATTGGGACGCCAGCCATGGGACGACAGCAGAAACTGCGCACGAGTGGCGCTTTTGTGACGCTGCAAGACTCAGTCGTTATGTGCAGTGGCTCATCGGGCGGCGCCTAACGAAGCCTAAACTTTTTTCCGGTCCGGAGGAATGTTTGGACTGCTGGGTTCTAGCAGAATTCCCAGCATCGGAACAAAATCCATCAAAAATCTCAAGGATCCAATGCTACAGCTTTACAAGGCACGTTGCTACCAAGATCCATTAACTGGATAATGTTTCATTTTACATCATTTTACTATTATTCTTAAGTTGCATGTGTTTCTCAACTTGATGCAAGCAAAAGAATAGAAAATCAATGAAAATCATTTCAAAATCAGTGGTCATGCCGCCTTGTTGATTTCCCAAAAAAGCTCTTCTGGTTGGCGGTTTCAACCTATCTGACATTAGTTAGATGGGATCCTCCTCCCAATTGTGGGTAAATATCAGCTACCCACCACCCAGAAGAGGTTTTGGAAGCTACCCGCAGCGCCCATCTGAGACGCCCTGCTGTGCCATTTGTCGCTGCATCACCTGCTGCTGCAGCATTTGCCTTAGCCGTGCTCGGATGGGAATTCAACAAAGCGATGGACATTTGCCCAGTGTCAAAAGAATTACCTATTAGAAATGGGAAATTCCATTGCCAACTGCCGGAGTGTATCTATGGTAATAATGTTCCAGCCAATTCCTATAAGGAGCAAATAATAGCTGGTGTGATTTAAGTATCACATACGGCCTATAAATAAACATACAATAAATTTTATACACAATCAACATTTAAATGACGATGAGGAATAGAATGGACGTGGTTCCAATTGTGTTGTATAACTAAGCCATATCAAACAGTGATTTTATTACTTGGACTTTGTATCCCTGTTGCTTGTGCTGATTTCAACCTACTTTGATATGGGCAGCAGCCATGGGGAGCAGCCTGGCATAGAATGTCGCAATCACCTAGCTTATTAGCTTCCAATGGGTCTACAATGATGGGAACACATCAGCCAAAAATCGCATTTCCCAGACCAAAGCAGCATATTACCAACCGAAAAAGGGATGAAACTGATCTCTCCATCGCTTCTCAAGGAGTTCAGCAGAGCTAAAGGCGAGTAAGATACAACTCTGCTAAGCGGAAAAGGAGTGTCAGCAACCAAGCTGATGCACAAGTGGCTTCATGAAACTGATCTCACTCATATGATTTCACCCACTAAAGCAGAATCTTGCCACATCTTGCCTTTGTTTACGGAGGTCCCACGGACACACACGGAAAAAAACAGAAACATACGGTGATTACTAGTTTTACAAGCAGCAGTAGGTTCCCAATTGGATATATATATGTATATATATATATAAATATGAATGGATATAAATGGGTGGGTCGGTTCAACAAAAAAACGCAGCTTTGAGATTCCCCACTGTGACGATGCGCCTGCCTGCAGTGTGGATGCTGCAAGCACTAAACCCAGGATGGAACCTGAACCAATTCATTAAGGAAAATCCTCCAAAGCCGTAAGACAAACAAAAAAAAGCTTTTCAGGTACGGTATGAATGTATAGCCTATGAATCTCAGAATGTGGCTTCCACACGAATATATAGAGATAACAATGTGTAGTATACTGTAGACACACACATATGTTTTTTTTCTACGGCCGTTTGGGACTGCAATAGTCGCGGCGAGCGCTGAATTCTTTCAGTTCTGTACTACCAAGCAAAGGAGTCGCTTCATCTTCTGTTACCCTGCTTGTGTTGACAATTGTAGTCAGGACCGTAGTGTTCCCCAAAATGATCCACGTGCATGGAACAACAACGAGCCAAGAACGAATCGTCAATCACAGATTCATGAGTGGAAGAACGTGTCAGAAGATGGTAAGCGAAGCTCTCACCTAAGGCTCGATTGAGCGCCGGTGGATACTCCTTCAGGCTTGTCGTGGCCCACTGGCCGTCTTGCGTTTTTCCTATCGCTGAGCTCCGAGGTAAATCCGGGCACAAGCGATGACTGTGCAAGAAACGCGGCAAGCTGTCCATGTTCAATGTGAGAAATCGTGTGGGTTTAGGAGACTTCGCTCCTAAGAGCCCCTGTGCAAAATCCACGAAATCAAACCCTGGCAGCTGTCGCAAGAGCTGTACAATTGGTAATCTCCAGATGGACGGTTTGGTTTCATCCTCTGGTTCGCCAGGATGCTCTAAAACTCCTAGGCCTTCAGATCGCGCCAAGCAAATCAGCAGGTCAATGGAGAAGAGGAGCAACTCATTTCCAACAGCCACTTGGCCCTGTTCCCGGAGCGAAAGCGATGGGAGGCCCCACAGCCATTCCAAAGATCGTAAAGGTCGTGGATGGCGTCCTTGTTCATCGCCCAGATCTGCGAATCGGGCTTGGCTCCAAGTCTCACAAGGAGGGCCACACAGGCCTCCTTGGACGAAGCCATCAAGTGCTCCACGAAGCCAAAATTCCCTGGTCTCCTGTCTGCAGGCATCTCCCCATTCAGGGTCTATAACGACATCCATCGACACCACATGAAGCAGCACTCCATCAGACTGACGCGCAAAGGCTGCTTCAAGATAGTGCTGGAGGTCTCCCGGTCGTCGACGACCGGAAAAAGCGTGCAGGAAAACACGCTCTTTGCCCACTGGTCGGGGAACCGCCTGTCTGTCCAGAAGAATTTGGGTGTCCTCAATCTTCTTGGCAATCTCATCAAGCGACGGCACCGTAGGATATGATCCACTTGGTACATGCTCGAGGAAAGGCCAAGCTTCCGCAGTGGCAAGGCGGCGTAAGATGGCTGTGCACGTCTGAAGATGATTGGTCTCTACATCTAAAAACCCCTCTGCAATTTGTCGCAAGGCTTCTTGCAGCGTCAGTCGACACTTCGTCCAAGAGATCGATTGTTCTTGGATACATTGTCGGGCGAAGGCTTCGTAGGATGCCGTGTCGATGTCCATGATACCCAGGATGAGCGCCTCATAGAGTGCCTGATGTTCCACATCAAAGTCTCTCCCTTGGACAGCTGGAAGGTGTGGCCCTGATGCAGTTAACGGCGGGACCTTGTTGTCCCATTGCAAAAGTCGCTCTGTGTCCTCATTCGAGCCCAAACCCGGCTGGACAATTTCTCTGTGGCCTCTTCCCAACAGAGTGACACGGCAGGCAGATGATCGTCTAAGATGCATCTTGAGCTTGCCCATGGTAAAATATTCGGTCAGACAAGCAGCGCACTGCGTGCTGGCCATGAGTTGTCTGACTGGGTTCACTTCTCCATGTGCTCTGTACATATGTGCGCCTTCTCCTCCCAAGGATCTGCAGGCTCGGCCACACTGCATGCAACCGTATGCTTGTGGACCAAGTCGATCTTGCCATTGATCCGGTGGGGCTGGTGGGGTCACAAACTGTCCTGCAGCTAGGCCCTCCAAAAAGCGCAGATGTGTCGAGGCAACAAGGAATTCGCGATCCTGCACTCCTATAGAGTGTTCAGTGGCACGTCTGATAAGTCTTTTCCAGTATCCTCGATGATATTGGATGACTTCAAGCCATCTCGGCAGATGGGTAGAAGGGTCCCCAAGACTGCAGCAGTGGTGTAGTTGATGCCACATCCATCTAAAGTTGTCTCTGACCAATGCTAACCAATCTTTATCTTGGTTGATCAGTCCCCAGCTTGCTGTGTCTCCAACTGCCAGCAGTGATCCTAAGTATCTCAGCCTACGAAGGCGCAAGAGGGTGGTTGGCGATGGCATATTGGTGCGGAACAAGATTTCTTCATCTGAGATCGGACAATGACCAGGGCAATGCAGGAGTCGCTTGAGAAGGCTCATGATGCTTCCATGCAAATATTCCTTTGTCCTCTGGTCTGGAAATGTCCAGGTCTCCGCACCAAAAAGGAGACGACTAAGGATGAGACTTTGGAAAAGCTCTTTTTTCTTATCCATCTGGAAATGTTTGTTGTGATAGAGCAACTTCCTGTGGCGGTTGAATTCCTGATGGGCTTGCCCGAGCCGAGTTTTGATTTCTCTCCGAAGTTTGGTTGAGAAGTGCACCTTGCCGCCCAAGTGCGTATACTCAGTGACAACCGGGACCTTGTATGGGTGGTGTTCACCAAGACTCAAGAAATTTCCATCAGCCAGGGGCCCAAAGATGCGTTTCTTCCACTTATTGGTGCCAGGACCACGCGGGGAAATGATCACCGCCGTTTTTCCCGGCTGCAAATTTGGTGTCATGGCATAACTCTTGAAAATATCGAGGATCTGTCCGGTGGCTACACCCAAGGCGGACTGGAGTGCAATGTTTGTGTCTGCCGTCAAACATACACATAGGTCATCCATCCAGCACGGTCCTACAAATGGGATCGTGTCCGGGAGAGGAGTCTCCTCGAAACTCAAGGTGTCGGCGGCAGGCAAATGCAGGAGGAGTCCTTGTGCCTCCATCGCATGCTGAAACTTTGTAAGTACTTTGGCCATGAGATAGCCAAAGATTACATCGGCAAACGAGTCACCTGGCCTGGTGCCAATCTGCGTGACAACCTGATCTCCCTGTGTGGGCAGTTTGAAGTAGGTGTCCGTGTGCAAGGCGCGAATCGCTCTGCGCAGATGGCATGGAATTCCAGCTTCCTCCAGCGCGCTGGGTTGCTGCAGTGCACAGTGGAGATCATGCATGAAGCCCTTGTCCAGGCCAATGCGTGCTGCCATCGCAGCAATGGAAGCATCATCAATTGGACCATCAACTACCAGAGGTCGTAGGACCCTGTAGAACGCTTCCTGCAAGTCGATGAACAAGAGCGCTGATGGTTTGCCATTCTGAGCACAAAGACGTTGAAATGCTCGAACTTGGTGACCACCCAAGGTCACAGGCACTCCTCTTCTGCCTCCCAACTGTTGGCGATGCAGAAACTGTTGATACAAATCCAGTTGCTTCGTGCGAACCGCTTTGTGCATGACTTTGCCCAAACAAGATGAGAGGAGGATCGACCGAAAGGCTGAGCATTGATCTTTTAAAAGTTTGCCCTTCCATATCGGGAGTAAAATCCCACCTTTGTGGGCAATTGCTTCTTGTCCATGTGCGCAGGTTTTCAACATGAGACTGTAGAGGTGCAGCGCCACCGCCTGCGGGCAGAATTTGCAGAGTTCCGATGGAATCGCGTCAAGGCCTGACGCTTTGCCTGGTGCAGAGGCTCTGCATGCTTGTTCCAGATCACACAGTGAGGGCACTTCCTCGACTGGAATGACCATTTCACTTTGCAAGAAACCTGCAAGGTTGTCACGCCAACTCTTCCATTGTTCTTGCTGTGAAGCCCTGTAGCCTCCTTCCATGTCTCCAAAGAATGTGATCCAGCGTTCAAGCGCATCTTCTGCTGTACGGCAGAATTCTCCTCTTGCATCTTTCACCAATGGTAGTGGAGCAAGTCCCTGCCGCAGCTTGTTGCTTGGTCCTTTGAATGGTCTGAGCAATTGTTGGATCCTTGAAGCGGGCGTTGAAGGATCAATTTGTTGTAGGACCTGTTGCAACTTCTGTGAACGGCTTTGCCGTAGGTCCTGACGCAACTTGGCTGAGACTGTGGCAAATTGGATGTAGCGATGAAAGCATCCTACGCGTAGCGAAGTGCCAAAGTTGAAAGAGAGGTCACAAGAACTTCTTCATGGTTCTGGCCAGCTCTCCATGCAAGAAAGACACGTGCCAACGCTTCCCTGCGCAATAGACCTCGGCAAGTGCGCAGCTGCTTTCTAAGGGCGATCTTTTGCGCCCTCAGTTGCCACAAAGTCTCTGAAACATATGGCTTCTTTGGGCTGTGCTTCGCTTTGGGAAAACTGAAAGCAAGATTTCTGTGAAAATGCTCAGTGATCTTCTTGGCTTGTGACTCCACGTCGTCATCCCATGAACAAAGAATTGGTTGACCCAGGCGTTGTTCAACGTCTTTGTTGATGAGACTGCGTTCAAAATCTCGGATCTCTGTTTTGGCTTTGATTCGAGCGGAGGCGACTTGAGTCCATTGGAGGTCAATCGCAACTGCAGAGTGATCGAGGTTGACATTGGCTAAGTCAAAGTCCGTAAGGACACATGAATGATCACATGCACCCATCCAGGCTCGAGGAATGGCCACATAATCAATCGTATATTCTCCATCATCTGGTGAGGTCCAGGTTATTGCTGTGCCCTTGTGGCTGTCACTGGTAATGGGGAGACAAAGCTCAAATGCATCCAGGAAGTCACGTAAAAACTGGGTCCCACTGGAGTGACGGAAACCAGTCTTGAAAACCGAAACCCCATCTGGTGCGCCGGGCGCAGCATTTGCATCAAGGCAGAAAAAAAGTGGTTCATCTGCAAGCAAAAACCTGAGCAAGAGATCTCTTGTAGCATCCCACCATGTCTGCCGTTCTGTCATTGAAATGCCACTCTGGGGGGCATGCGCTACAAAGCACCATGATTGGAAGTGTGCATTGGAAATGTGCACCAGCAAACGGCGGGGATCTCGAAAGGCAACATGAAAGTCTTGTTTGCGAAAGAAGAGTGCCGTCTTCTTAATGTACGCAAAAGGTTGGAGGAGATTTACCCACAGCTCAACACCCCATCTGCCTTGAGAATGGCCCGAACAAAGGCGTAATACTCCTTGTTTTACTGACATGCCTTCCGAGGCACGGGACTCTTGGACACCCATGAGATTGAGATGCATGGCAGAAAACTGTTCTCTAAGGTAGTCCAACTTGCCCGTGAACCCTTGCTCTGCAGTGCCAAGTGATTGCACATTGGCTGTTGCAACACTGAGCTTGTACTTGACCTGCTTAATCGCTTGAGACTCCTGCGGGTCCGTCGGTACAGGCGGTTCTCTTTGCGGAAGTGTCGGTGCCTTGATATCAAAACCCGTGCCTACAAAGGATGGCAGACCATGCATTGTGTTGAAAATCATCCAGAGAAACGGGATTTTTGGCAGCAACTTGGGAATGTCAATTTGTGGTCGCGGCAAAAAGAAGCTCGACATTGCTTCTTGCTTTGCCAATGCATCCGTCATTTCATTCCACGGTTCGTCCATGTGACCAAAAACGTGGTCGAGCTCGACATCCTCACCAAGTGCAGATTTCAAAATTTGATAACATCCCCGCAAAGTCTGGAAGGACAGATCACAAACCGCTGAACCTACAGAGCCGGAGGCCTGGCCAATTGTCAAAAGAGAATCACTACGGAATACTGTGGGGAGGCAGCTATCAAAGCCCAAACGCCAAATGAATGCCCAAGTGAGCGCTTCTCTTTCCGCAATGGTGGAACCGACATGGTTGGCACCGATATGCCAAGGGTGTTGTGTGTCATACCTGACTTGGTGCGCATGCCAACCTAGCAGAGTTAATTCTGAGGTGGAGGAATCTACGAAAGTCTCTCCTAATACCACAAAACTCCATGCATCGGGCACATCCAGTTCTTCATTCAAAGCCGGGGCTACATGTTTATGTTTGGATTGCGATGATCCATCTGCATAAATGACAAGCCGGTCACAGGTTTGATGATGCTTCAAGCTCGTAATAGCCTCACTGGTCACCTGAGATATGGGCAATCCCTCAGTGATCTTGCAAAGGTAATCAGTTTTGCTATGAAACAAAGTCTGGAGTTCTTCGCCCGTGAGTCCAAGATCCAAAAGGCATGGAGGCAATTTCTTGGCTCCTTGCGCAAACCACATGGGGCGGTGTTTCTGGCGGTCGCCCCTGGGTTTCTCAGGCCAAGGTTTCTGTTGTTTCTCAATTGGTTGTGGTGACTCTGGTGAGCCCCCTGCCTGGAGAAACGAGACTTCCAAAAAGGCATCATGTACATATCTTCGTCCTTGAATGACGGCTTTTTCATATCCCAACCTGTGCAAAAGTGCCATAAGCTGAACTTCTGACATGTCTGCCTGGTCAATCAGAGTCAGAAAAGTTGAATGGTCATCAGGGAAATCTTGTTGCATATCAGTGAACATCAACATCAATTTGCCCTCCTCAAAAGGCCAAGGTTCCGGGACACAAACAGCCAAAGTGTTGTTTGATGAGAGAACAACATTGCATGAGTGCCCGAAGCTGGATATCTCCTGATGGACCTGTTCAGCGGTTAATGGACTTGCAATTGCGACAAAAGACGGCACTCGTGCTTGCAAATTTCCTAAGCCTATCACACGAATCGGGACCTCGTGCTCTGGCAAGGCTGAATGCGATTCAGTCCTAGAAGTCTCATGGAAACCTATAGACAAGTCTTCAGCCTTAGATAATAGGCTGTGCAGTTGCAAAAGCACAGGGCCGTCCGTCTCCGGATGTTCTCCAAAAGGGAGATCAGGCTCAGGTTGCGTCACTTCCTCAGGCATGACGGCGGCTGGTTGCTCTGGCAAATTCGGAACATTCCTATAAATGTGCACGTCAAAGCCATCTCCGTCGGCCATTACATGTGCAAGTTCCTGTGTCAGTGGAAGCTCGTTCCATCTGTGGAAGATCTGGCAGCGGTGGACCTGGCATACTTGCTGGAACGCAAGCTTGTGAATGAGTCCCGCTCCACTCACATGCGGCCTGAGAGAAAAGGCTGCGGCAAATTGTGGGAACGTCGGATCCGCCGGCGCTGGATATACTGAGATCAAACCCGCAGCTCTTTGTGCATGAAGTCCCTGTGCCACAATCAAATCAAAGGCGAGGTTCTGCTCATGGGTCGATCGAAACGGTCGTGGCTTAACTACATGCATGGCAATCGCTTCAAATGGGACAATACGATCAAACCACAAGGCAATGACTTGTGGATGCCACATGTGGGGTGGACCTGACAGATGCAAATACCGTGCAATTCTGGACATCCTACGGTGCATGTGATGTAGATACCAAACTCTCACAACAAAACCGGGCTGGGCGTCATCAGTGCGAATCATATTCGCTCTCAGATCTGCCAACATCTCAAAGACATAGTCCGGAATTGGTACCGGTGCAGCTGCAAAGTTTGGGATGGCTACAGGCGTCAAATGTGGGGCAGCATCTCCGGTCTCGTCCGACCCTCCAGGGGTGGGATTCTCAGGAAGCCTGCATTTGATGTTCTCACACTTATTGCACACAGGAGAATGTTTCGCTGAATCTGGCTGCTGACTTTTCACAAATGTGGAAAGAAGACTGTGTGCTTCACTGTCTTCAGGAGTCGGTGAGACTGCAGGAACTCGGTTTCTCAAGAGGATGTTAATGCCCATGCCGCTTCTGCCTGGGATGGGTGCACCAGGTCTCATACACAAATCTTTGTACCATGCTAGACAGGAAAAGGCCGGTGTCGCGCCAAAGCACGAATCAAAGATTCCAAAGACTCTGGCAAGGTTGTCCAGTAAAATGTGCTCATGTGTCGTGATGGCAAGCTGGGAAACAACAGACTGCAGAGCTCTCTCGTCAAAAAGAGTTACAATGCTGGTGACCCAGGTCTCAATGGGTCGTTGGATAACAATGACATGCGCGGCTATTCTTCTATCAAATGTGTGAGGCATCGGTGTGACAAGTTGGTATTCAAGTTCTTGCCCAAGAACGATGTATTCTTGCCATGCGCTCCAAATCTGCATGCGCCAGTCTTGCAGACCTGGGCCAAGTCTCACTTACCGCGGTGCGTAGCCATGTGGATGCGGCCATTGATGGTCGACAAACCATGTCAGTATCCTACAGGATCTTTCCTCTCCATCACTCGCAACTGCAACCTGGTTCCAGGCCTCAAAGAGGTCTTGAACGAATTCATCATGCGTGTGCAAGTCCCATGGTATGCCTGGTATGAAAACAGGTGCATTGGCCTGAAATTGAAAGGGCGTACTTTCATGCGGCTGTTCCGGTAAACTTACTCCACAAACTGTCGGAGCTCTTGTGGGCCAGTTGCTTTGCACATGCATGAAAGAGGAGACTTCAGAGTCTGCAGAATTTTGCTGCGAGGACGATGGTACCAGATCCCAATCGACAATGTGCACCTCAAAGTGTGCTCCATGTTGTGGGAGTAGAGAACGTGTTTCTTCCAGAGGTTCTCTGCCAAAAAAGCCTACACAAAGATAGCTACGATCAAAGCATTCCCGTTGGAAATTTGCAAGTCGGATCAAATCATTGAAGGCAATTTGGCGTGGTGTCACAAACGCACTTTGACTGTGTCTGCGTGAAATGCCACCATGAAGAAAGGAACTGACTAAAATCCCTCGTTCATCATGTCCAAGATCTTGATAAACGAGCACCTGTCTTGGAGATGTCTGTTCACTTTCCGGATGCACTACACAGACTTCAAAATGCCGTCCTGGAAGGATCCTGTCTCTCCAGAGCGTACGTATTTGCCGGTCCCATTCAAACCTTTGAGGAAAAAGTGTCAGAAGTCTTGGGCTTTCACATCTGGTCCAAAATTCGCCATGTAGGAACCATGTTGTGAAGGTGACTGCAGCTTCATCGGCGGATGCAGCAAAAACGGGAGAGGCTTGGAACCATGCTTCCTGAAGTCCATCAAGGTGACGTCCATCTTCCTCAATTGTTGTCTGCACAATGCGTTGGTCCGACAATGAGACTTCAAGTCGACAGTCATGCTTCTGATCATCAGCCAGCAGACGCAGGGTACGTCTCAGCGCCTGCTGCAAATGCATGGTCTGTGTTGACAGCAACAGAACTTCGTCTGTGTTGTCCTCATTCGCATTGGGAACGGCTGCTGCCTCTCGCTGTTGTTGCACTCCGATGAGGTCAGTGCTGCGCCGTGTGAGATCAAGGCGATCAGCAGGAATACTGATCCGGATGCCAAGGCCGTCATGCATGCGGATGTCAGTCCCTGCCTGCACTTCTCTATCTCCAATCCAAATGACACATCCAGGCCTATTGCATAAGTCTTGGACATCGGCTGCATTTATGAGTCGTGTCTGTGGCACAAGAGGGTCTACTGATAGAGCAACCGCTTTCCTGTGTCTGACATCATGAGTGTCGGGCACCGCTGTCACGACAATCGCAGCTTTGCGCGGGAGAGGATGTTGAACCACCAGGACAGTTGCAACCGCACCCTCATAGATCGTGTTCGGTGGGTCTGGGTGCACTACAAAGATGTCAAAAGGAGCCCTCTGATCTACAAAATCTTCCCACATGAACCTCACACTTGCATCCCATGATTCATGCTCAGCGTCAAAACGCAAGGGCCGCAATACCTCATTGCGTGGCGTATACAAATGTGAGATAAAGTAAGAGTTCACGTAGATGATGGGTCCTTCCTCTTCCATTTCCGTGGCACCTGCGGTACAAAGTATGTCCCAGATTTCATGATGCCAAGTTGGACTGTCAGCACTGGGAGGCCTGCCTGACTGTGCAGAGGCAGGGCTATTGTCCGCGCCCGTGGAGGAGTTGGGAGGATCATTCATACTATTGACACTCTGCTGATAAGGATGGGATCTACAGTCGCCGGAGATACACACGGCCTTCAAAGACAGCGGGTCAACATCGGCAGGACTGTGCTTGCTTGGGGGTCGGTATTGTAGAGATTGAAAGCTACTGACAAAATCGGGCTCAGTTCTGCTATCTTCAATCTCAAAGGATGAGCCCTCGGATTCGCACTCAGAGAAAGCCTCATGATGTCCTATGATTACTTTCAAGAAATCACCATCTGCCAAATGCATGGGAGACACTTGTCCGTCTGGAATCAGAATATTGTTGTGCCAGAGACGGCTGTTCTCTCGGTGTGCATGGAGGAGTGATTCCAGCTCTAAAAGCCTGAAAGCTGAGACTCGATTCAAGGTCAAGGGAAGCCACTTTGAGAACCGGCGGAAAGCTCCCGGCAAAACTTCATTCGTCTCATAAATCTCAAGATCTACAAGGATCATGCGGACAAAAGAGGATGGCCTATTTTCATCTCTCACTTGAAGGAGCAAGCATTGCAGTTCTTGTTGGATCAGGTCTTGGGGTCTATTGGAAACATGATGTATTCCTAAGAGCTCTGAAACCTCAACACCAACGGTCTGTGCGATTTGCTCAGCCAGCTCATTACCATCATGCCACGGGAGTCTAGCCGGCAGCATGCGACCATCCAAAAGCATCAGCACTGTTTGGCGCCACGAAGAGCTCAATCTCCGTGTGCTGGAAGAGGACGTCGAAGAGGAAGTGGCAGTCTCCGATGATCTACCTTCATCTGAAGGAGCATGTCGCAGCGGCCTACGAGCCATGAGGTGAATGTGGTCAGAGTCCTCAGTCTCTCGCGTGTCATCTGGAACTGACGATGCTCGAACAGTCCATGGTTTTCCCGACCATGAAGAGAGCTTTGAAGGACTGATGGAGGCCTGGGTGAAGAGAGAGTCATCCGCCAACCCCATGTGGACCACAATCTCCTCGTCAAAAGTCGCTATTGCTGTCGTGCTTCCTTGCTCACATTCCGCAAGAGGTCGATGTGGAGCTGCCTCATCAAGGGGATGTGCAGTGCATTGCCAATGCCTGGTGTCATAAGGAGCTTCAGCCTGTTCATTCGTTGTGTATTGTTGGTGTTGATATTCTCCACCACGTAGCAAACCTGCCCTCCAGGGCATGAGTCCATGTCCAAGGCTGATTTCTGGAACTACAGCATGGTACATGACTAATTCGTCCTCAAGCCCGATCAGAACATCGACATCAGGAGCAAAGCCCAAGCTCTTGTGCGGTGATACGGTACTTGTTGCAATGGTGTGGAACTTGCGGGTCTCCTCATTGTCATAGAAGACACCATTGTAGGTCTCAATGTCCAGCGACAGAGAGCGGGCCTTCTCAATCGCCTCCCATTCGTTGAGAAAGTTGTGCTCTTCAATGATGCTGTGGGACCATTTCAAAACTGTGATCTCGCCAGAAATTTGAGGATCGAAGCTCGGCATGGCTTCAGGTTGGCGTACTTTGAAGTCACACTCAACCAGCCTTGCCAAAATGTGGCCCAGAATGGCCATCTGACATTTCGAGATCTTCGATTTTTGGTGTAGTTCTTGGTCGTTTGGCTACATGGGCTTCCTCTGCAACCAACACTTCTGCTTCTCGATGTAGAGACTGCAGAGACTGTGCCAATCCCTCCATCGTTTCTGTGATTTTGGTCGCAGCCTGTGTAGCACTTGAATTGTCCTGATCCTCTGCTTCCTCGTCCGAGGTGATGTGCTGAACAGCCCCAGAGTCCAACTTGGCCAGCTTGGAGTTTTCCAGGTCCCTCTTGGCCGAGAGCAGCGAGTCTTTGTGAGTACTCACTTGTTCTTGGAGTTTCTTCTCCTGTTCCATGAATTGCTGAGCGTATGTTTGCCAAAGTTGCACTGCATCTGACAAAAACTTCTTCCACATACTATGGTGTTGACTTCGGGCGAGAACCGCCTCGTCGTAGTTCTGTCTCGCAGTGTCCAACGCTGTAACCGCTGCATGCAAATCTGTGGAGGTTTGCTGCCCAAATTTTGTCAGGACTTTCTGAACCTTCTTCTGCATGTCTTCCGGAAGTTCCGCTTGCCTTCCCCTCATCATGGTCATCAGTCCTCTGACCTCGGCGTCGGTGTCAGAGCTTGATGTCATCGATGTCGCCGGCAGCTTTGGCATAGGCGGTGCTGGCATAGTTGGCATCGTAGGGGTAAAAGGCATAGCCATCGGATGTAGCGCAGCAGGAACTGGAGCAGGCATTTTCGCCAAATTGGGATTCGCAGGCGGTTGCCATGCTGCCTCTGGCGGGGGCAATGGAGGCATTGTCCCTTGCATATATAGGGTACTGCATTGCCTGTTGAGGGAACATGATGGGCATCTGTGGAACCTGCCCCATAGGAACAGCCGGCATCATCATAGGCGGAGCCTGCATCTGCTTCGGTTGATCCTGTTTGGGGGTCTTGTTGCCCTTGACACTCTTTGGCCGTTGTCTTTGCCTCGGAGAAGGTGTTCTTCCTCTCGAAGATGTCGACTGCCAGTGTGCTTGCCAGTCTTGTTGTTGATGCTGCTGCCATGGTGACTGCTGATACTGGCCTTGGTCCGTCTGTGCTGGCTGCTTCGAGCCATGCACATAGGACTGGTCGATCACGTTTTGCCATGGCTGCTGGCATACAGAACAGTACATTGCACTGCTCTTCCTCAATTGCCGACAAATGCGGCATTTCCATGGAGCACGATTCATCGTTGTCATTGCTGCCGCAACACGACAAAGGAAGCTCGAGTCTTTGGAATGATGACTTCCAAGGATGTGTATGATGTTCCTCAACCTCAAAGGTCCAAGGGGTGCAATGCCTCGACGATGGAGATACCAATCGCGCCGGGCGGCAGCCCGTTTCCTCCTGAAGTTGCATCTCTGGTTCGCAGTCGCCGTTCTGGTACACAGAGAGGCCAAACAAGTCAATCACAAAGAAGTCCTTGAGGGAAAGCAAGCTGACAAAGAGGGCAAAGAAGAAATAGGCGCCCGAAAGCATAAACCAAACACCAAGTCCAGGGTAATGGCTGTCCGCAAGTTCAGTATTGGGCTGGACTGTGCAACTGCCGACTTGCACCGCAGCAAGTCCACTGCCTATAAAACTACCTCCACAAACCCCTATGGCATTCGTCCCGGCACAATATTGTAGGGGAACGCACAAGCACGCGCCACAATCAACCAAGCCCTCTTCGCAACCATCCACCTGCGAAGACCGGTAGCCATATGCAAAGTTGTTGCCATTAGACGACCAGTATTCGGGGTTGCACCAGAATGCTAGATTGCCTTTCACATTGTCATCGCAAAATTTATCAGGCACCCCCATGCACACGCCACAATCCCAGTAACCCATGCCGCGTGCAGCTTGCACGACTGTGGCTGCTTTAGGAAACGAAGACTTGATCACTTTCGTCGTTTCTGGGCAGTATGGAGTGTTACAAAATTCTTGGGGGACACACTGGCACTCCCCGCAGTCTGTGTAGGGTGGGGGGCAGTCTGGATCCGAAACAGTTCTTGGATCTAGGTGAGCGAAAGTCCCGGGACAACTCCCATTGATGCACGCCTGCAGCGAATTATTATCATTGGGAACAGACTGACAGCTACCGCACCGAACTGTTTTTGGCGAAACTGAAGAACAGGTCGACTGTGGTGACAAACCCGATGAAGAAGAAGATACTGATTCGCCATCCCCAACGCAATCGATATTGTTGCAGCAACTACAACCGCCACAATCAACAAGTGGTCCTTGGATGTTGACTACAACAGGTGCGCGTTGTTGACCAAAAATCATATTCCAGAACGGGTTCGTAGGATCACATGCATTACATGTATCCGTCGCAGAGCACATGTGTGCTAGCACCCCCTGGCACATGCCACAATCATAGTACTGCACGAGCTGGGCGTCATCTACCCCTTTCATTTTTTGTTTCGCCACAAAGTTTTGCAATGCTTTCACTCTTGTTGCATTCATTTGAAGATCTCCGACGACTCCTGCGAGTAGCTGCAGCAGCAGCAATGCGGCAACCATTGGAGCCTCCTTGGTTTCTAAGTATGGCACAGATGCTGTCCAAGTCTGAGCCAGACTTCACTGCCTTGAGCCAAAATGGCTACGGAACACATATGTATATATATATATATGTATATATATATATATATGTATATATATATATATGTATATATATATATGTATATATATATATATATCTATGTATATATACAATTATATGCACTATGTACACTGTAGGTATGCATATATCATCTGCCGGAATTCAATCGTTGTACAAGCCTGAAAGAAGATGTTTTGGGGGCATATGCTTTGGCCCAAACATCATTGATGCTTTATGGTGACGAATGAACCCAAATATATTAAATAGTGATTGCAACTATCATCACAATACATGGGTTGACTCATGTTGACTCATGTTGACTCATGTTGACTCATGTTGACTCTGATTGAATGGGGGTAAGCCCCAAAGTCCATATTACATCAAAGGGGGTGGTCCTAAAAATGCTGGATGGTTTATTTATTTCATGGATCCCAATAAATGATGACCCGGGGTAGCCCTGTTTTAGGAAACCTTTCACAACATGCCCGACATGTTCCATAAATGGGAGCCCAAGCCATGAGCTGCTGCATCCAAAGTTCCGGTGACCTGGGTGTGGAAAATCCAAGGGACAACTGGCTAGGAAACCATAGCTTTACCGGTGAAATTATAGAGTAAACCCTGCAACATTTCCCTTCAACCAATTCTTCTTGTTTGATCATTTTTTTGGGTTGCTTTTGTTGGTCTGTTCCTGACTTTGCACAAAGTCTGGGAGAACATGGAGGATACACATCTGTTTTGTCTTGATAATCCATGGTGATACTATCATCATTGCTATCAGTTGATCTCTCTGAGATCAAAACGTTTGGAGCTTCGCATTGAGTGCGGCAATCCTGGTATGCAAGATATAGTACTTGGATGTGTCCCAGCTAGTGAGTAGTTTGGAAACGATACACTCGTCATACACAACTGGGCATATTCCAAACAGAACTATAGGTTCACTTACTGTACTTCATCTTTGTTGCCACTTAGTAAGTGGGATGCAACTGTTCATGCCATGCAAGGTATGAGATAGGAACGGACGCAGCTGCATCTCTCTCGGCTAGGACATATGGGCAAGTCAGGGGCAAGTCATGACAACTAATGATAACTCATCAATCTGAATCTGATGACTTGGAAACGCAATGAAACACATGTTTAGCTGAAGTTCCCCTATTGCAATTGCAACCCATCATGTCTGGTTAGGTCGACTGTGACGCTGTTCGGTTCATCGGGTTCCGTTGCAGACCGGTTCGAGCGGCTTGGGATCAATCAACATCTTCACCAAGACAAAGACAAACACACGCGAAGCATGCATACACTTCATGGGTTTCTGTGAAGAGCATCTATGTTCGAGGCACTCCCATTCTTCCCTTCATAAGCTTAAGCAAAAAAATGTTCAGTGCAAAGCTTCTAGGTTTCACAGCACCTGGGAGACCCTGGCCTCCCTTTTCCAGACCTGACCCACAAAACAGCCTTGCCAAGCCAAGCGACATGCTGGCATCTGTAAAGCCAGACTGGGATGGGAACCACCTGCCAGGACCATCTGGGACCATCTGGGACTCTCAGGTTTTGGTTATCAACTGTCATCAACCCCGTCCCGGGGTTTCCAGTCCACTTGCCCCATCCCCGGCTGCGGGACACATCGGCAAAGCCCTGGTTCTGATACCACCTCAGCATGCTCGGCCATCCCATCAGAGTTCATGAGGGATGGAACATTGGTGTATACTTAAAAACAACATAAAACGACAATCTAAACATATAAGATCATATAAGCATGACGCGAATAACAAATTGTGATATTGGCTGACTATGGGACCTTATGGATCCTTATGGTATGGCATTTTATGATATATTATGGCAGCATCTTGCAGCTCATGCATAATGACTAATAGTGGAGGGCTCCTTGAGTTTCAGCCTGCATGACCCTGAGGCTCCAAACCCACCAGACTGCTGAGGCATCCTTGGAATCAAGCTGGAGAGATCTTACTTTCCGTCTACCGAGGCAGAAGACATCAGAAGACATACCCTTTTGTAGCCATGCTCGCAGTCCTCGGGGAACATGTTGTACCTAGTTCAGTATAATTAGATTCAAAATGACCTATAGACCTATAGAAGTATGGCCGGCTGGGAGGTACAAATGTCTGAGATGCCGGGCCCCAACATCTGAGCGAATTGCAGTTGGGAAGAGCCTGGAGCGGGCGTCACCCAAGGTTTCTTGAAGATCACGGAACGGACGGACTTGAAGAAAAATGCATCTGGATATCTTGAATGTTCCACAAGGCTACTCTTTCGCAACATCTATTCAGAAAGTTTGGACATACCTCAGAATCTGTCTGACCCTGTCCGACTCTGCAGCCCTGCCTGAGAAATCTGGCCTTGGGCACATCAAACACGCCGGTTGCACGACTGTATCAACTGCAAAGGTCATCTACCCTCCAGCGACGTGGCAACAGCTGGTGATCTGTTTCACAGCTCCCAAGTTCCAAGCCAGGCAGTGGCTGCCATGTTGTAGCCTGGAGAGGGAGCACTGGAACAACATGGCCATGCCGAGGAGCTACTGCAATTTAAATGAGATGAAATAAATGAAATCAGGAAACAACATTATATAAACACCTGCATGACATAAATAGCATTAAATAACTATATAGTACACATGCATGGCTCGATTGTTATTGAAACACACTGGAAGACAGTCCGTAAAGTTGAAATCCTTGAGCCCTACAAACTCATCATTTTTCTTCCAGTTCTTCTGCCAACCTAACGGAACAACAGGAGTCTGACTTACCCACTGCTAGGAAGGACCGCCTGTAGCTGTATCCGTACCCTGTGCAGAGACCTTAGCGTCATGGCTTTCGGCGAACACTGAAAACAAGGGAGCATGTGGTTAAATGTGGTGTAAATATGTGTAAGTGAATAAATCAATTTAGTTGAATTGAAATACAAATTCTATCATAATGATATCAAATAATATCAAATAGTATCAAATAGGATCAAATAATATCAAATAAGCATAATTGAACGGTTCCAACTTGTTTCAACCCATCCCCCAAGTATGAACTGACCTCAGATCCTGAACATAAATAAATCAAACACAGAATTCAAAGACACCGCCAAACGACACATGCTTCCACCATGGCCAATCACAAAATTCTGACGTCGGTGAATTGAGGCCTGGGCAAATGGACTCTCGAAATTTGCCATAAGAGGTCCGATCACCTCTTCACTACCTCACAGCTGGAAGGAAATGGCTTCAAAAAATAGGCTACGAGCTACCACCATTGTCCTATTTGAATGAAAGAAACGAGGTTGCAATCCATTGGAATAGTCATAGTCTCGGTTTTCAAACCCAAATCGTTGCCGTGGATCTGTGTGCTGGCTTGCTGCAAGCTGGCAGAACCAAAGCGGTTCATAAAACCGAAAGGTTGCAACATGCATCAGTAGCCCTAGCACCATCTGTTAGCATCAAGCCTTCCTGCTCAAACATATTCAAAAATCATGCGCGCTTCATCAGGAGGTAGCCATAGGTGAACCTAGCAGCCTAGTCCATGATGATCCATTTTGACTCGAGAATGAATCCAGAGCAACCTGCTCACAAAGGAGAAGTTGATGGAGACTGTGGTGAAACATCTGCAAGTGGCACTCGCACTTGCCGGGCTTAATCCTCAAGGCTTGGTGACATCAGATGGTATCAAATGGCTATGTTAAGTAGCAAACATGAACATATTCTATCAGGTTGAACCATCAAACAACCATCAGCTTTGAGGTCAATTATGTATACATATGTAATAATATAATATAATATAATATAATATAATAATAACAATAATATATATATAATATATATATAGTTATATATATATATATATATTGAAAGCCTTGAGGCTTCCAACCACTTCTGTACATTGCAAGTGCCGAGATCCTACCGGAAGATCGTGGGATCCCAGTGGACATTTCTTGTTAAGGTCTTGATGATTTTCTTTCACGTCCCCTTTGTTTATCCATGTTTATCCTATTTTCTGCTGTTTTTTTTTTGTCTCAAAAAATCGACAAATCCAACATAATTCAACAAATCTCCACTGACTTGCGCCCTGGCAACAAAAAACAGCAACCTCAATTGCCTCCCTCCTTGTGTCTTGGCTTCTTGGTAACTGGTCGGCGATGATCCCACCGAAGTGTTCCGCTCAGTCATCACGACGGTCTCAGGAAAGCCTGGGGCCCATGGCATCCCACCGCAAGCAGTGGGACACACGAAATCAAGAACCGCCAATGAACGCAATCAGTGAACATTGGAACATGATCCCAGAAAAAAAGGATGACACCATGACAGAAAAATCTCCGTGAACATCTCTGACCTGCAGTGGTTCCAGTGGCTGTTCAATCGGCCAAGTGACTGAGCTGGTGGAAGCCCGGGGCCTTGGTGCCATCTTCTGGGGGATTTCGAAGCGATATTCATGTTCATCCAGTACATGTGAAATAAATTGAAATGTGATTTAACTTGATTTAGCAATTATTTGTCAATTTAACCTACTATATCTAAATAATTCTAAATATACGTCATATTGTCCCATCGCTTGGTGACTGCATCCTGGAGATTCATCAGTCGAGTAGCTCGCCTGAAAGAACCTGATAGTTCGTTTCGGGTGCTGCCCGGCTGGGTGTCACCACACCTGGAAGAAAAACAAGCAGCGGATGGGGAGAACACCAGCCACCGTAGTTCGGATTATTGGATTTGCCACATGTTTTGGGGTGTTTTCTTGAAATGGAACATTACCAAAACCATGGGTTTCAATGCCAAAATGATCTAATTTTGGATGATTGGGGGGGTGCCCCCAGTTTAAGAAACATCCATTGAGTCACATCGCGGCTACTTAACAATCTTATATATCTGTACCTTTTTTATCCTTTTTTATCTGTCTTTAGTACCTTATATATATATATGTAGTACTCCAACTCGTGGATACTCGTGGTATATTTTGATATATTTTGATTGCTGCGTTTACTACCTTCCAACTTATGGAAGTTGCAGCGTTTCCAGAGCTGTCCCAGCCTGCGTCCCTGCTGCTCGCGGACAAATTGCCGGACAAGTTGCCGGACAAATTGCCTGACAAACTGCCTCGGCTGGTGCACCCAATACAAACACACAAATATACAAACCCACACAAGGCTTTTGTTGAATCAATCACATTTTCATCCGTCGATTTCCTTCCCAGTCTAGCATTCCAAGCACCAATGACCCTTGAAATCAGGCTTTGCATCACTCCCATAGCAATCTCATACCGTATGAGTCAAACCCCTCAGTGCCTTGTGAACCCAAAATAGCTGGCAAATGAATGTTTATCCCCCCAAACAATGGTATCTTTAGGTATACATCCCATCACATCCCCGTTTTGGTGGTTGAATCATGTTAAATGCCCATTACAGTAATCCCCATTAGTCAATATGTTCTGATCCAACCCCAAGTAGCAAAACTTGGATAACCTGAACGTTCAGTACTGGAAGTGCTAAATTCCAATCCACGGTACCACTCCGCTGCCGGGGCAAGCCCGTCTCCACTTCCTCCTGAGTCAGCCACAAAATCAGGCCGGAGCTGTTTCAGAACTGTTTGCCGGTGAGAAGTGAAACAAGACTTATATAGACTTATTAGATATAGTCATGGGACTGGGATATCATGGGATACACTCCTAAAAAACACATCAAACGCAAATGCCAGTACAAACGCGCCAACAAAGCAAGGACCTTCTCGCTTGCACGCAGCTTTGGCGGTAGGACATGTCCCTTCATTTGCTGCTTTCCCATATATGAATGTTCCTGCTTCTGCCGAAAATCCGGGCCCAACATCTGACGTGTTCGTGGAAATCTGTGTGATGCGTGTGGCAAAACACGGTGCACACAGAATGTTTGCTGGCAATCTATGGCAATGTCTCAGTTGCCTCTGCCGCCAACTCCCGCTCCAACTGCTCACGCCTGAACATTCACATAGCAACCCTAAGAACATGAACTGAAGAAACATTTTTTTGCGAGAAAAGTGGCAATGTTTTTGGGGTCTGGGAAATTGGGGTCTGGGAAAAAATCGAACAATTGGATTCAAAACATCGTTTTTGGATGTTTTTGGGGCCCATATGGGCGCATTTGTTCATTGTTTCCACAGTTTTGCTGCCGTGGTGTCAGCGAAGTCCAAGTGGCTGATACTCTAAACGAAGCTGTCGGACATGGTGTTTGCACCTGTTCCAGGCTGCCAGGCATGACGCTCGGCAAGCCATGGAAACCCAATAAGAAACCTCCAGTTTAAAGGGTAAGTTGCCACCCATTTATGTAATGTTATAGTGAATTTGTAGTGAAATTATAGTGAATTTATAGTGAATTGGGGGATGGTTTATGATATTGATTCAATATTGACTAATTGTTGGGCTTACCATGGTTTACCACTTGCTACTTGCCATGACACCAAAGTTGCACAGGAATCCTTTGCAACGCATACTGTATAATACAGTCCTTAACATTCCTTAACCTCTTCTTCATTTTGGGGCATGCACGCGGAATCAACCATGTCACCGTCACCCTGCCTTTCGTATTTGTTGTAGTGCCTCAGCACAAAATCCATAGCAACCCCAAAACAGATAGAACCGTATTCGGTTAATTATTTTGGTTTTGGTAGCATATCCTACTTTTCCATACTTTTCCATACTTGTCTATCTTTTTGGGTGGTTAATGGTGGTGACATTTTAGCAGCTTGTTGCTGCATAGGTACTCTCCAAACATCAGCTGCCAAGCTGCAGCAGGGCGGTCACCAAACAAATCAATGGCAAGGCCACACCGAAGAAGCACACGAATCCGATGAAGGCCTGTGAACAAAGCCCGAAAAGTCATACAGACAAGGATTGGTTTAAGGGAACATCTGCAGGAAACCCATGGGTTTCCACAATGGTAACTATACATAGTTCTATATAAGAATTGTGGCCTTCCAATGAACTTTCCGACAACCAATTCGGGGACCTCATCAAAATCATCCCATCTATGTTGGAAAAGTGCCTCTGCTCTCAGCATTCTCAAAAAAAAACATGGAGGAACAAGGAAACATAGATAGATCGACAATAAACGACTAAACGACATGGACTGCAACAAATCAACCAGCTGAATGATCATAGCCAACAGTTCAACATCAACTTTGCCGCTGCGCTGGCTTTTTTCCCACCAGTCTGGTGGCTGTACGCCTCTGGCCCCCTTGGACCATCTTGGACTCAGGTTGGGTGTGAGATGGGTCAGTTCACCCAGGCACCCTGGTCACACGAAAATAGATGAAAATAGCTGGTAGCTAGGGACGTTCATCCCACGCTGTTCGTGAGATCCACTTGTTCATCTTGTTCATGATCCTCAGATCCCGTCCTGACACCGGCAAATGCTGCAAATTCTGATTACACGTCAATCTCTGGAAGGTTGTTCACACATGTCCATATGATCAAAAGATATCAAAAGGCCATGGCGCATGATCATCCAAACTTCATTTAGCAAATATTTGGATATGCTGGGCATATCAGCACCCAATGCCGTGGAACCTTTACCATATGCTACACGCATGTTCCTCGTGTCAAGCGAGCCCCCTCCTGCAAAGCCCTACTCAATTTTGATGGGTGGTGGAGCCTGACGCAAGCTCGAACACCCGTGGCATCAATCCTTCCAAATTCATGTCTAACCTGAAGAATTTGGTTTCCAAATGTGACTTAAACATGTTTTCGACTTGCAAAATTCGCTGCAAAAGAGTGCAGCATCCCCAGTGACTGCTTGGCTATCTGAAATGAGGATGCAATGGACACCTGGCCTCAGCAGCTTCCACGTGCACAAGCTCCTCCAAAGCCTTCTGCGCATCTTCCTCTGGACAGTTCAGGCGATACCTGGCGATGCTCCAGCAGGAATAGAATGGTTGAATGGATTGATGGATGCGGTTGACATGATGATGTGGTTGACATGATGGGGTTGACATGATGGTTGTGAAGACTGACCATGACCATTCGTCCGCAACTCGGAAGTTTGCTAACTAAACTTCCGTTGAGAATATAAATCAACACGTAATTATTCAAACATTTGGTGATTGTACAAGTACGACGTGATTGTAGCGTTCCAAGTCATGCAACCCAACTTTCCCCAGTGGGCCCGGGAGCACTTGACGAGCTTCACCTTGGGATGGGGCACAATCGGGGCGCCCTTTTTGCAGGTCAATGGACATGGCGATAATGTGGGTGTTCCCCTATCGGTTGTAAAGGTTTTCACACAAATTTGAACATCCCAAGTCCTCTCCCTACTTTAGTCTTCCGCTAATTTTGTCGCTTACCTCATATGGAGCAACGAGACATTAGCGCAAGTATGCGCAAGTCTTTGCAATTCTCACAAGTCATGTCGCTTTAAAACTGCTGAACTGGTTTAAACATGTTTAAGACATGTTGAGACCCGTTTTTGCTTTGTGTCTCCTCATTTCGGTGGATTATAAGCTCACAAAAGTTCACAAGTGCATGTAAAAGTGCAGGGCGAAGGTAGATCCTTTCAACCAGGGCACGACCTCTTCTCCCTTCTCCTTCATCATCTGTTCAATGTCTGTCCCGCCATCTTGAAACCTGAGCTGCAACGCCTTGATCGGTTTCTCCAGATATCCATCCACATCATCCACATCTGATGTCCGATTCAAACGAGTCTCAAACCAAGGTGGCTATGTTCCGACATTTTCCGACACATTTGAGAAATCTCTTCGGAAAAAAAACCCTTCACTCGCTAATTCATGGGATTATCGTAGCCGCACCAAGTTCTCCATCTATTTTCATGGATTTTTGGTCATGATGATTTCCGAGTTGTGCCCAGATCCTAGCAATCTTTGAGCACTGGAAAGCTATGCGTTTTTTTTTGCAGCGTCTAAGTTGCAGGCCATTCCAAGCGGTCTGCAATCAGATGACGATTCCTTGGGAAGACGTTTTTGGGACTCTCAAATGACAAGCAACCACTACAAGTCTCAAATCAAGGGGATGACTCGACATGGTACCGATCCTGATGGCAAAACAAGGCACTTGCACTGAGGGCATGTGATGACCACAACGCCGTGATGGTAAGCACCTAAAAAGCTGCGAGTCACAGGTGTTGAATCTGTTGAACCGGATGGAAAACGATGGAAAGTGGTTAAATTTGTGGCTGATTACCATATGCCATGAAGATCGATCAAGTGGCGCTTAGAGATCTTTTTGGTGCTCCGTTGGTCACAAACCTGGCACAAATCCAACTGGATGCGGGATATATAAATGGGTGAATCCAAGGCTAATGCACAAATCTTGATAACAAAAAGTTGGCCATCATCATCAATAATATTAATTACAACAAGATACAACAAGTGTCAAGTGTCTATCCACATATTAAACCAGTATCTATTCAACGACATAGTTATCCGTTCACCACTGAAGGATCAAATGCCGCTTCAGCCGTCCCCTCGCCTTGCAAGTAAAAGCAATGGCATAAGCTTCTTCAGCTCTGGTCCCAGGAACGCCTTTAGCGAGTTCCTGCCTGGTTGAGCGACCGTGAGAAGAAATCTCTCGCAAATCATGGTCGTTGCATGTCGTTGCTTTTTCACTATTTTAAACAAAAAGAATCTGGGAACAGCGCACACTGGTTCATCATGTGAGCCGTTGTCAAAATCAATTGTTTACACCTGTTGCAAAAAAGCAAGTTATCGGTTTTGTGGGGGTCCTATCGCTTTACAGAGTTTCGTTCAAATCAACACTTGATAATGCAAAACTGCAGCGGAATTGGATTCATCAAAATTACCAAAATCAGCTTCAAGGACCAGGTCAAGAAGCAAAGTGGCCATTTCTTGTCTTTTCAGCGTTTTGCAAATATCCTTCATGTTCCTTTGTACGCGCAAATATGTGTGTATGTATATATATATATTATACATGTGATATATGTGTGTGCGCAATGTGCGATGTTGTATGATGCTGTATGCTAAATTACGTTGCTAGGTTCTGTATTGAGTGGCAACTCCGCTGCCTCTGTGGTTGGGTCATAGAAGGTTTTTATTCTACAGCTCGACGCAAAACCTCCACACTACGTGGCCGTTAGGTAGAAGATGCGTAAATGGATGAAACTGAAATATTCTCCAGGGTATGCCCCAGCTCCTTTTCATTTCCTGGTTTGAGGGATGACCCCAGCACTTAATTTCCTATATTTTCTATGTCCCTGGCCTAATCATCTGCTCCAGAACCTTCACTTGTTCTTCAACCTCCAGATCTTCAGTAGGTTTGACCTTAGCTGTGTAGTAGCATGTCGGGTGTTCCATGGGTTCAACATGGTTCGACCCTCAAGATCACGCCATATCAAGCCTCAAAAAAAACCAAGCCATCAACGGGTTAACGCTTGATTTGAGCAGCATGGAGCACCCTCTTTCATGGTTGGGGTTCATGTTCCAAAACAAAACAACTGGCTTGGGATCATCCGGATGAGCCAAAGATGCATCAGGCGAAGAACAGAAATGTCGCACAGCAGGCACCCTCAGATCGAAGGACAGCATGGAAGTCCCCCCACCAAATAGAATATCGAAGCAATCCCTGCTTGTATGTGGCAATTTAACATGATTTAACAGTTTTAACATATGTGTCTGATTCCGTTTTTGGGGCCAAAGAAAATTTCTGCACCATCGACTTCATCGGCCGAGGAGCAGGGGCACCTTGAAGGAGAACGTGATGGGTGAGGGCTGTGGTGCTGCATATTTTCTGATCCTTAGGTGACCACGGAGCAGTTGGGATTCTCCATTGGGATTGTGTTTAAACCGCTTCAAACATGCCTAAACCATCCAAGAATATGCTGCATCTACATTTTTTTTGAAATGGTACTGTATCCCCTTGTTGTTTTCTGGGTTTCTCATGGTATATCAAGAGTTTATACCCATTCTTTTTCAATGAAACCAGAAACTTTCAGCTCACCTTAGGGGGCTTGGAGCCAGGAGGTTCAACTTTCTGTTAAAAACCAGGAAATCCAAGGCGCAACGATGGTCTGGGCCGACAACGAGGTGCCAAACGCTTCAAGGGCAAACGCCACATGGCTTCAGTTGGAGCAGAAACCAAGGCTGTGGGCAGTTCAAAGATAAGATTTTGCTTAAACCACCCGTGGACTCCCAATTTTAATCAATTTGGGGGACTAAAACTGCATGTGTTGGCAGTGATATCCACATTTCTGATGGTAACATCAACATGTTGGGTCAAATCCCAGTGCTTGGTGGTTTCAAGTAACCATAGGTGGAGGTCAAATCAGCGATGCATAGTAGTTGGCAACCACTTCTCGTTGGAGATGTTCATCATGACACTGCATGTTCCGAACCAACCTGCAGGACGGCTTGGTGACTCTTCACAAACGTCACAGGAAAAACCGCAACATGTTTGAAAACACCAGGCCCCAGCTGAACCCTCTGCAGGGCCTGCATGTCCAACACATTCCTGGGCTGCCATGTGAAATCGCTCTGTGTGAGATAAATATACAATTTTCTCATTCTATCCATCTCCACTAACCTTCTGGTAATTGTCGCCAATGATACCGACCAAAACAAAAACAGCAAGTTCAAGTTCTGTGTCATTATGTGTATATATATATATATATGTATCAACATCAGCTGCATTCCTGGCCAGTGAAAAAAACTTATATCGCAGCGGAAAGCCAACAGCAGCGGAAACCGCATTCGCTGCCAAACGTCATGTGCACAACAGCAAATCCCACCAACCAGCCATGAGCTGCTGGACCTCCTTGCGACATAGAAGTTCTGTGGTGCAATCTGCCGATGGCAAAAAAGCAAACAAACAAATAGGTACAAATGGATAGAACACATTCATCATGAGTACGAAAGTAGGTCTACCACTAGTAGGGAGCTGGGATGAGTTCTGCCTGTCACCAACAGTTCAGTGGTACAAGAGTTTGTCTTGAAAGTGCCTGCTCCGGTTGTCTCCAACCCTCTCCTGGATACAAACATATTGCACTTCTGTGGTGGAAGAAGATCTGTTTCTCATGGCCCGAAAGCCTGCGCAGAATGCGGCAACATGCTTTCACAACAATCGTCCAAATGGGCTTTGCAAAAATCAAGCGGTATAATTTAACTTTTGCTAATCATTTTCTCATCGACATCGCACATCGGACCCAGTTGGACAATGGGTCGCATCTTTGAAGGGCTGGTTCGGTCTGAGGTTTCAGGGCTGTATATCCCTGCTTCGGGTTATAATTCGATAGGATCCTTGTCATCACTGAACATCAATGCCCCTTGTTTTGGTGACCTGAAGTTTTGATGATTACGAAAGACACCGTGCGTTGCTGTTCCTCCCATTGTTTTGTTTCCAACTTTGCAATTTTAAGGGGTGGCCCCAAAAAAACAAAACATAGACATCCTCCAACTATTGGGAATCTTACTGTATCTCCACCAACATCCGATGGTGATCTTCAATTTTGCCAAAGCAGGACATTTAAAACCCGACATGGTATTCTATCTACATCAGTTGTCGAAGGGGAAACCTCAGCCATCCGGTATTTTAATAGGACGCTTCCATCGTCCAACAGCTGAGAGCCTCCGAGAGCTTTCCAACAAAAATGTCGCATACCTCACAGGGACGCTACAGGACAACTGAACAATGTTGAACAACAACCATGATGTTGCTATATGTTGTTATATGTTGCTCCTACTGATGATGTGTTTAGTGATGATGATGATGATGATGATCCTCACTGAACTCATGATAATCCTCCTAGAAATGATTGTTGCTGCCAGACTTGCTGATGTATGAACATTGATTTGCTGATGTTACCCATGCATTCTGAAACTTCTGAAACTGGTTTGTTGAATTTTGTTGATGTTTGTTTTTTAAGAATGGCCCGCGTCCGCAGCGCTACTACAGCTGGGCCACTGGTCATCGTAGTCGGTCGACTCAGGGGGCAGAGTTCGATGGGATACCCAAAAATTGTCCCAAAACTCGGGATACTGCAGATACCTCAAAACGGCAATTTTGATGGGAATGATGGTAATTATATATATACACACATGTAATTACAAGTTCCAGAGCTGTTGGAAGCTTGTTGAATGGACATGACATGACATGACATTGAACTCCTAATTATTAAGGACACTCACAAAAATCAAGGAACCAACTTCCAAAGGCGACCACCGCACACCTCTAAGCTCAGTCTAATCTACACTCCCCGTTTGATGGATTTGGTAAGCGCCTTTCATAGGGTTTGATGGTGGATGGTGGTTCATAACCCCTTTCCAAAAGGCCTGGATTTCCGAATTGGTTGGGTTTTGTTTAAAAACCCCAAAATTGCAAATCAACAAAAAACAGGTGATAAACCACTGGATACTCAATGTGTTTCTCCAACATCTTCAAGCAATCAATGACAACGGCGCGCCGCTCCTTGCGGAAACCCACGGCGAAGGCGCCATCGGCATATCCAGCACAAGGGCTCGAAGATGGCACTGGACAGTTGATCCCCGCCATGGTGCCTTGCAGTTTAACTGGGGCCGATGGGCAATCCAGCCATGACTTCAAGGGATCCAAAGGTTGGATAAAATATACCCTATGTAAGTCTATATACCAGTAGTACCGCACAAGGCGGTGGCGGAAGTTTCAAAAATAGGAAACCTATAGGAGAGGTTGGTTGTTGTGAATCAGGGGTGGCAGAGCGAAGCCACTGATGGACCGAAAGGTGGTTGAGGTCTCCTCTCTTTCTCTCTCTTTCTCTGACTATCTACCTGCCTATATCTATCTATCGATCTATCTCTCTCTCCCTCTCTCTCATCTAACTACCTTTCGATCTATCTATCTATCTATCTTTCTATCTATCTATCGATCTCTCTCTCTCTCTCTCTTTCATCTGTCTATCTGTCTAGCTGTCTGCCTGTCTATCTGTCTATCTATCTATCTGTCTATCTGTCTACCTGTCTACCTGTCTATCTGTGGTGCAGTGTCATTCAGTGTAATGTAGTGTAGTGTAGTGGAGTGTAGTGGAATGTAGTATAGTGTGGTGTAATGTAGTGTAGTGTAATTTAGTGTGTGTAATTTAGTGGAGTGTAGTTGTAGTTGTAGTTGTAGTGTAGTTGAGTGTAGTGTAGTGTCATGTAGTGAAGTGTAGTGTTGTGTAATGTAGTGTAGTGTAGTGGAGGGTAGTGTAGTGTAATGTAGTGTAGTGTAGTGTAGTGGAGTGTAGTGGAGTGTAGTTGTGTAGTTGTGTAGTTGTAGTTGTAGTTGTAGTTGTAGTGGAGTGAAGTGTAGTGTAATGTAGTGAAGTGTAGTGGAAGGTAGTGTAGTGTAGTGTAATGTAGTGTAGTGTAGTGGAGTGTAGTGTAGTGTAATGTAGTGTAATGTAGTGTCGTGGAGTGTAGTGGAGTGGAGTGTAGAGTAGTGTAGTTGTAGTTGTAGTGTTGTGGAGTGTAGTGTAATGTAGTGAAGTGTAGTGGAAGGTAGTGTAGTGTAGTGTAGTGTAGTGGGGTGTAGTGGGGTGTAGTGTAGTGTAATGTAGTGTAGTGGAAGGTAGTGTAGTGTAATGTAGTGTAGTGTAATGTAGTGTAATGTAGTGTAGTGGAAGGTAGTGTAGTGTAGTGTAATGTAGTGTAGTGTAGTGTAATGGAGTGTAGTGTAGTGTAATGTAGTGTAGTGTAATTGAGTGCAATTGAGTGTAATTGAGTGTAGTGTAGTGGAGTGTAATGGGTGTAGTGGAGTGTAATGTAGTGGAATGTAGTGAAGGTGTAGTTGTAGTTGTAGTTGCAGTGTAGTGTATTAGAGTGTAGTGTGGTGTAGTGGTGGTTGTAGTTGGAAATGCCACAAAACCCTCACGTTTTTGCTCACTTTTGACAAGGTGCACAATCCCTTTCGCCTGCCACGCGAAACGAGCTCTGAATGTCCAAAAGTGGTCCGAACGTGGTGTGTTTCGTACATTTTGCCTTCGAAATGTGCTTCGCGCCACAACAGCATGCACTTTTTCGACATCTCAACTTCCAAAAGTGGTCCGAGCATGGTGTGTTTTGTACATTTTGACTTCGAAATGTGCTTCGCGCCACAACGGCGTGTACTTTTTCGACATCGCAACTTCCAAAAGTGGTCCGACAATGGTGTGTTTTGTACGTTTTGACTTCGAAATGTGCTTCGCGCCGCAACAGCGTGCACTTTTTCAACATCGCAACTTCCAAAAGTGGTCCGAGCATGGTGTGTTTTGTACATTTTGACTTCGAAATGTGCTTCGCGCCACAACAGCGTGCAATTTTTTATATGTTGTCTGGCCAGATGGCTCCGCACCTGCCGCTTTAGCGAGCCTACTTTTCGACCCTCCGAAGCCACAAATCATTGGAAAAAACACAGTGTTTCGCGACTTTCCTACCTTTTTGCGCATCTGCATCTTCTTTCTTCTGACTCTTTCTCTTCTCTGATCTTCTCTCTTCTAATCTTTCTCTTCTCTCTGCCTCTGCCCTGCTCTGCTTTTCATCTGTCCATATTGTCGGAAGTTTGACTTCTAAACTTCCTTCGATGATATACATGAGGTTTTGTATATATTTGTCTGTTTCGGTTTTTGCTGATGATCTATATACAAACGTGTCTCCGTGTGTCTGTGTGTGTGCATATTGCTTAGCTTGCAGCATATCAATACGCATAAAATTACATACAAATAGATCCCAAACCAACAAAATAAGAAGCAATATTCCATAATATTCCTAAACTGTTAAAGAAAAGCAAGCGGGTCCACTGGTCATTGGTCCTTTCCCTCAAGAATTCAAGAGTGTCCTGGCTATCTAACCTGGTCACGAAACACCAAGGTAATTTCGCGCTGTGGCAACCAATCGCGGCTTGCTGGAAAATGTCAACCAAGAAACCATCCGACATTATGTAGTGGGGATGCTGCCATTAATATTGCAGTTATCACCATGCTCGGATTGCAAAGTACATTGTTGTTTCTTTTGAGAATGGATATGCACATGGATATACAATATGAATATATACAGTGTATATATACAGTAAATTAATAGATTACAATAAACACATTATGACACATTATACGGAGGTGCCATATCTGCGGCGGGTTGCCATGCTGAGCAGCTTCCTCCATCTGGCTGTTGCCTGACGGATTGATGTGGTATCCATGGATCCATGGATGCCTCGCACTGAACAAAAAAGGATGGGTTAAAGAGAACATCTATGGTAAATAACAATAAATAACATTAAATAAACTTAAACAACATGGATTTCATCCCCAAAGATGTGTTTCCCCTTCATTTCAAAATCTCCCCCTACAGCGACCCAATGATAGATGTATGTAGACGGTCTTTACTATTTGATGCCGTTTTGACACATGTTTTATTCAGCTGACTTGTCCCGCTTCCAACATCAAGCCTGGATTGAAAACCTCTGGTTGGCTGCCGTAAAAGGATAGAGGGGCTATAAACATGAATAACATTAATAAACACTATTAAACACGGTTTTCTCAGATTCTCACTTCTCATCTTCTCATCATTTTTTGAGAACCCCCCCCACGACATCAACATGGAATCAGCGGCGGTGAAGTCTGCTGCCGGGCCACGCAACTCAGAAGTATCCACAGAGGATGGCATCTGCGGAAGTCGTGACGGAAGCGACGGATGGGCCACTTCTGCTGTGGACCTATATGGCCTATCCATACTATCCCATTCCAAAGTTGATGCAAATGCTGGCCCACCTTTCATGGAACTATGAACTATGGGGATGTTGTGGGGATGTTGGGTGCATCATGGGGTTGAAGATGTTTGATTCAAAAACATAGATGACCCATCGTTCTTGGATCATTGTGGGGTGGGATTTCAATGGCCATGGCTTTGATTCTGATGCAATCTCATGAGATTGTGATGGGATAAATTAAACCATATGCTCATATATGCTCATGTATGCTCAATGTGTCGGATGTAGGTACGCTGGGTCATGTTTAGGGCAAATGCAGGTAAATGTCCCATATGAAACGTCTGGGCAAAATACTATTGTTGTAGTCACTCATTTGCGCATCGCACACGTATATGATTGTAATTGATTGTATCTATGCATGTATAGTGCCACGCCTGCCACGCCTGCCACGCAAAACGCCGTGGCGTCACGGCGCCATGGCTGACCAAGCGCGCCGCCAGAGCCAACCCAGTGCCATAAGTGCCACGCCTGCCACGCAAAGTAACAATCGATGTCGTCAAGTGCCACGCCTGCCACACAAAGTGAAGGTAGATGTCACGAAGTGCCACGCCTGCCACGCAAAACGCCGCGACGTCACGGCGCCATGGCTGACCAAGCGCGCCACCAGAGCCAACCCAGTGCCATAAGTGCCACGCCTGCCACGCAAAGTAACAATCTGCCACGCCTTGTGTGTGAGTAAGTTGTGTGTGAGGAAGTTGTGTGTGAGCAAGTTGTGTGTGTGAGCAGGTTGTGTGTGTGTGTGCAAGTTGTGTGTGTGCAGGTTGTGTGTGTGCAAGTTGTGTGTGAGTAAGTTGTGTGTGTGCAGTGTGTGTGGAAGTTGTGTGTGAGGAAGTTGTGTGTGAGCAAGTTGTGTGTGAGCAGGTTGTATGTGAGCAAGATGTATGTGAGTAAGTTGTGTGTGTGTGAGTAAGTTGTGTGTGAGCAAGGTGTGTGTGTGCAAGTTGTGTGTGTGCAAGTTGTGTGTGAGTAAGTTGTGTGTAAGTTGTGTGTGCAAGTTGTGTGTGAGGAAGTTGTGTGTGAGCAAGTTGTGTGTGTGTGCAAGTTGTGTGTGTGTGCAGGTTGTGTGTGTGCAAGTTGTGTGTGAGTAAGTTGTGTGTGTGTGTGCAAGTTGTGTGTGAGTAAGTTGTGTGTGAGCAAGTTGTGTGTGTGCAAGTTGTGTGTGAGTAAGTTGTGTGTGAGTAAGTTGTGTGTGAGGAAGTTGTGTGTGAGTAAGTTGTGTGTGTGTGTGCAAGGCGGCGGGAGCGGGAGCGGGAGCGGGAGCGGGAGCGGGAGGCGGACGGGATGCAGAACCAAAAACAAGAACCCCACACAAAGATGTGGGGAAAAACAGACAACATGTCTCAGTTCCTGCAGTTGGGGCCCTTGGATTTCGACCCTGATCTGGGATATGTTAGCTATTTTTGGGGGATAGATTCAGCCAATAACCACTCACATATCTCAAAACCACATCCTCTGAACAACACGGACACGTTAGGTGGACGCTTTCCATGGCCAGTCATCCAACCCCTAGTAAATGCAACTGGTTTTTGGAATGCACCCCAAATCTCCCTGCCCACCCACGAGCATCATCTATGATGCGCTCTTCCAGAAGGAGTTGGGACCCCTTTTTTCTCCACCGTTTTGTTATCAATGCGGTCTTTGATTTGAGCCCTATTGGGGCCTGGAAATAAGGATGCTGGGGCGTCCGGGGCGGTAGTCTTCTGGCAGTTTCCCGGGAAACCCCAGAGGGGGGACAACTTTTCCACTAACATGTCCATTCTGGATTTTCAAGTAACATGTCTCAAGTATAGGGCACTTATCATAGCCTATGTTCACAGCAGCTAACGTATCTAAAAAAAAAATCCACAAAAAAAGTAGATACATGTCTCGGGCTATCGTTTCAGGTATCAACTAACATGTCCACTCTGTACCGGCGTTTTCCTGAATTTCCTGGGGAATGCATTGCAACTTTTTTTTTGGGGGACCATTGACCCAAAAGCAGCTAACATGCCTCAGTTCCTGCAATTGGGGCCCTTGGATTTCGACCCTGGTCTGGGATATGTTAGCTATTTTTCGAGGGATAGATTCAGCCAATAACCACTCACATATCTCAAAACCACATCCTCTGAACAACACGGATACGTTAGGTGGACGCTTTCCATGGCCAGTCATCCAACCCTTAGTAAATGCAACTGGTTTTTGGGATGCACCCCAAATCTCCCTGCCCACCCACGAGCATCATCTATGATGCGCTCTTCCGGAAGGAGTTGGGACCCCTTTTTTCTCCACCGTTTTGTTATCAATGCGGTCTTTGATTTGAGCCCTATTGGGGCCTGGAAATAAGGATGCTGGGGCGTCCGGGGCGATAGTCTTCTGGCAGTTTCCCGGGAAACCCCAGAGGGGGGACAACTTTTCCACTAACATGTCCATTCTGGATTTTCAAGTAACATGTCTCAAGTATAGGGCACTTATCATAGCCTATGTTCACAGCAGCTAACGTATCTAAAAAAAAAAATCCACAAAAAAAGTAGTGGATACGATTGTTCCCTGGAGAGTATATATATATATATGTGTGTGTGTGTGTGCGTATATGATACCCAATATGTACATAATTACATTTACGTGTGTGTATTATCATGGTTTCTACATAGCCTACATGCATACATAATTATCCGCATTGCGTTTGGTTTCCCATAGATTTTCCTAAAATCTTATGTAATTAACGGGTTATCCTGTTTTTCTCAATTTACCCCATGATACCCCAGAGAAAATGGCTGATGTTACCATCCCCCAAAACGAACATGACGACCTTGCCATGAGTCGGGGCTTATAAGAATACTTTCCGCAAAAAAAAACATGTTCAGGGGCAAAACTGCTAAACTATATTAAACTATGCTAAACTACTGGTGGGCAATATCCCTTCTTGTTGTGAGTAATTACATACTCGTGGTTGTTGGTTAAGACCCTGTCCTCTTGATGGCGATTGGCCACAGCCAGTGCGGCCATCATCTGTTGAGTGACGCTGCGGCAGCGCGAGTCGTAGGTGATGGGCTGAACCACCACCTGCCGATGGAAGTTAAGTTATGGGCGCTTGTTTTAGAGATGTATATATTACTACATGTTTCGTAATCATAAATTATGTGCCTATAAAATGTGTATATATAGATATTATAAACTATACCGACTATACCTATTATAAATGCCCTACTGCATACATTGCTAAATGATCTTTTGGCATGCGGCATGTAATTATCGCGATTATAGGTTTCTATATAAACTGTATGCATCAAATATTCACATTGTATGTATGTATGTATGTATGTATGTATGTATGTATGTATGTATGTATGTATGTATGTATGTATGTATGTATGTGTATATTACGTTGTGCACGTTCAACCGTTATATAGTCATATGATATACAATTACATACAATTACTGACTTCTCATGTGCATACATGAGCAGGGACCCCCACACCCCCCCCCACCCAGCCAGATGGTTCCCCCCCCCCTGTGGCAGGGGAGGGGGGGTTTTCTCAGCAGCCAAGCCATGGTGTATGTAGTCTTTATAGTGCATATAGTGCATATGTATCGATAATTAGAATGGATATACTATATGTAATATAGAGTGTATGTGTAGTGTATACATATATATATATATAAACATATATATATAATATGTAAGATATAAATAGAATATATGCAATCTATATATATATATATATTTATAATATATATATGTATATGTGGTTTTTGATAGAATATAGATAGTATATGCCACATGTACTGTATCCACAGTAGATGTAATATATACAATATAGGTAAATATGTTCGTTGAATAAATTTTACATAGTATATGTGGCATATTGAATATCGACAGCAATACACGCTGTATATCTAGAGTTTATGTGTATATGTATATATATATGCATATATATATATATATACATATATATATATATATATACGTGTACAGTATGTACAATGTAAACGAAATATGTGATAGATACAAGATCAAAAAATCAATCTGTAGTATCTAGAATGTGCATATATATATATATATTTATTTATTGTTTTTCTACTGTACATATGTCTAGGTTTGCATAGGTAAGCTTTGCGTAATCCATAGGTAGCAAATATGTTGTAAACCATGTGCGAGGCACGCTATAGGCGGTTCGAAAAAAAGGTTATGATAGAAATATACAGGTAGACAAGGTCTGTTGACGAGGTCGTGGCTCTCAAGTGCTGCAAATAACGTAGAGATGCGAGGTTGGAGGGGTGGAAAGGGGAGTATATATGTGTATATGTGTATGTATATGTGCAAATAACATGCAAATACTAGGTTTTGGGGGGGTGGGGGGGGTTAGGAGTGGGGGGGGATACCATTGGGGGGGGAGGGGGGGGGGTGTGTGGGGTCCGGGGACCGGGCTCATACATACATATATGCATGCACAGGACGAACAGTGAGCCCCTTGGAGTTCCATTGCTCCAGTTCAATCCATCCTCTAGTGACAAGAGATATACCGTCGAACGCGAAATGTGGAGTCCCTTTGTGTTACAAAATGCAAGCCCGTCCGCAAAAGAGTGGCGTTTCCTTACTTCTACATATTTATTGTGCCAAGAAAAACATGGGCATGTTGCAGTTTAAACTTTATATGTTTTAAACATGTTCGCTGCAACCCTGACGTTGCGCCGCGTCTGACTTCAGGTGGATATGAAGATAAAGTTGATGTTATTACCCCAATTAACATATTGTTCATAGATGTTCATAGGGGGTGGCAATTTTTGATGCTTTATGAAGATGAAGTTGATGTTATTACCCCAATCAACATATTGTTCAGAGCGGGTGGCAAATTTTGATCCCTTATGAAGATAAAGTTGATGTTTTTACCCCAATCAACATATTGTTCATAGGGGTTGGCAAAATTTGATCCCTCATGAAGATAGGGGGTGGCGAATTTTGATCCCTCATGGAGATATAGTTGATGTTATTACCCCCATCAACATATTGTTCAGAGCGGGTGGCAAATTTTGATCCCTCATGAAGATAAAGTTGATGTTATTATATACCACAATCAACATGTTGTTCAGAGGGGGTGGCAAATTTTGAACCCTAATGAAGATAAAGTTGATGCTATTGCCCCAGCCAACATATTGTTCAGAGGGGGTGGCAAATTTTAATGAGATGATGATCATGATGTGACGATGATGATGATGATGATGCTGATGATGATGATGATCATGACGATTGAAAGTGTAGAGTCAACGTCCGGGTTGGGGCGAAAATGTTTAAACTGTTTTTTTTTGTTGCCGTGAGGCGAGATTGGTTTCTGGCCTGGCTAGCAGCTGAGCAATTGGTGCACTGGAGAACGATTTCCTGGTTCCATCCTGGGTTGATGAAGGTGCGCACTCCAATGATGAGAATGTTCCTCAGCAGCAGAGGTGGACGCACATGGAAGCAACCAATGAAGCTTCCAAAGCCCACTGTGATATAGCTTAATTCCATAAGTGTTAAGATCTGAGGGTCAAAACAAGTTAAGCTATACAATGCAAGGATTTAAGGCAAAACTGACCCAGTTGCTTCAGATGACTTTGGGATCCGGCAGTGTACTGGCAAGGCACTTGATGAAGCTAACTTGTGGCTTCCTGTAGTATGAGATTCGTCCCAGCAGCCGGAAAACTGGCACCTTGATTTGGACATGGCAGTTTGAACGAAAATCATGGCATCGTCTCTCTTGAAAGACGGCAGTTGAATTGAGACAAAGGGCTCAAAGCAAACCACTGAAGCACCTCCCTCGGACCTGTAGTATTTATGTATAGTTACGTGATTTACATACATTCCTATTTGTATTTGCACGTGTGTAACATAGTATTGATCAAATCCAAATGGTTCATGCTGCTTGCAAGGCACCGTGCCGTTTTGAAGTTCCCGGATGCAAACTGAGTGCTCATGCCTCTCGTTCAAGTCGTTTGTGAGCATGAAGGGCTGACGTGGAAGCTCATACATCAAAAGGGTCTCCTGAGACAAGACTGGCTCAGTCTTCAAGGCCTGCACAGTATTTGGGTCCTATGGTGCCCTTGGCATCACTACAACCATTGTATAGTAAGGTGTCCTTCCAGTTGAGACTATTGATATTTAAACAATGTGTATGCGTATAGGTTGTATCATGACTATTCATGACTCATGAATGCACAAGTATGCATAAGTATAAGGTCTTGTCAGGGTCTGAACCCATCCAGTTTCGATTTTCGCGCCTGATCTGGCCCGTGCAAGTGCGACTTGGCACCTTAGCCAACATGGCTCACAATAAGTCGCCAGCTCCAACAGCTGCAGCCACTGGGTCTCCCCTGAGCCCCCAACGGCAACTGTCCAGCCCAAAGGAGCAGGTGTTGCAATCCTCTGGTCGTGCTACCACGGCCACACAGGGCTCAGTGGCATTGGTCCAATTTAGGGCCTGGGAGGATCTGAATGATCTGAAGTGGCAACCGCAAGTGCGGTAAACCCAAGAATGAACCCGATGGTGCGACTATGTACAACCCAGTTCTGGTAAAATTGGGGATGGTTCATGTTGGCTTCACCCCGATATTAGTCCCGAGCTCGAACTCAACGAATGAGCAGAGCTTGACAGCAAGGGAAGGCACCTCAAGATATCTCCACCAAACAGAATCTGGATTTGACCAACAACTGGGAGCTTGATTGATCAACGATTAATTACGGAGAGAACCCTAACATTGACTTCCCCATGAATGCTGCATCAAGAACGATGACGACATTGCCGTCTGCTTGAAGTGGCACAGGAAAAGATAATCCTGCGCCGTGACAGTAGGATATGAAGCTGAAACCCATGCGATTGGAAAATAATTTTGTGGGACCTTACCTGCATGGGTTTACCTGAAAATAGGGCACCCTATTTTCAAAAAACCAATGGATTATCATGATTCTCCCGATGACGATGCCATGTTTGGGTGGCGTACCCCATTTTCAAGCACACCCTCATATGATATGATAGAGCTTAAAGATCTGCATGTGGGTGGCTTGTGGTTTATTGAACATCTACTTGGTTGACCATCCGGCTTTGGTGAATGGTTGGGAACATTGTTTTTGGTCTATCAAGGGGACTGGCCTGTCCCATTTACAGCCTGTGTTGACCCAGTTCAAAGTGTGTACTGCAACCGGGTGTATGCCTGTGAAACAGCCAAATGTGAGAATAACCCATAGACACACACTGGTTCTACAGACACAACTATGTTGCATACACGTAGTTTACACCCAAAACATCCCAAAACGAAGGCTTAGCCATAAAAACGCGGATTTCTCTCAAGCTGGCTCATAAGCAAAATCAATCAGGATATGGTTGAAACGCGGTAACTTGAAACCACAAAATATCATGAACTGACTGTGACCAACCCACAGGCCATCCCAATGGGATGTTAACCATTCCCATACTAAGTTGATCTCTAATCCCTGGCACTGCACCCAAGGTCTGGGCCCTCCTTCATCTTCGCCCACTGGCGTTGGCGTCTCGGCCTCGGCCACCAGTTCATCCAGGGCCGTACCAGCCGTGGCCATGTGAGCCTCAAGCAGGATGAAAGGTGTGCACTGCTTCCATGCTGTTCCTTTCATGCTTTGCCTCCTGAAATGCCACTGAACTCATGCGAAATCATGTGGGGTCTGTCCGAAGCTTTTCGTGAAGATTGTTGTTGGTGTCTGACTAACATGGAAAACCCTTCACCAATCATTTTCAAAAACAAATTATTGTATATATTAGACTTTAGACATCGTTTGGCACTCATGAATTCATGTCTGATTGCAACGGTTGTACCCACCTTGCACGGTTTGGCGCCGTTTGGAAATGCCATGGTTCAATGACACTCACAGAAACAAGCACCTAGTAGTCTCGCCAGCCCAACCTAACTATATAATCTGTCTAGTTGGTCACATCAATTTTATCACCAGAAAGTAAACTATGTAGTTATATATGCAATTATATATACATGTAATATATGTAATATATGTAATATACAATATATATATATATATTTGAGTTCAGTCTAGTCAGCGCAAGCGCAACCCAACCAGACACAACAAAACAAAAAGACCATGCCTCTTTTGCTAGCTGCGACAAGCTCCGAAGTTGCAGCCGCTGCAGCGGCCCGTTAAACTTGGCAAGCAATTCTGGCACCTGGGGCTGGTGCAAAAAACCACTAGGACTTAGCAATGCTGATTCTGCCATGAAAAATCGTGATTTCATGGGATTTAATGGTGTTATACCAAAAATCAAACATGTTTGAGAAAATTAGGGGTTATTTTTTGATTGCTAGGCTTACCATTTATCATATTACTCTTTCAAAGACTATTACGCTTATTGAATCACTGATTGTTTGACGTATGGATTTTATTCATTCCTTCACTTAATTGTTCTTTCTTCGTCGTTTGACTCCAATTGTTCGTTCATTTTTTGTTGCATGTTTATGTATGTTTATGTATGTTTATCTATGTTTATATTACTGTTATATAAATGTATATACTTTGAACATGTATCTCCTCATCTATCTTCTATCTTCATCAACATTCCCCTCAACAGCCCCCTCCCCTCAAATAAAAAAGAAAGCCAGGCCTCTGGCAGTCTTCGGACTACCATATGTGGGACAGAATGTCCAGCATGGCCAATGGGATTCACGGGCTGTGCCAACAAACCATCACGGAACACCAGTGGTCCAATGTGCGCAGGCCTCGGGTGTTGGGGGAGGGAATGACTGACCCATTTTTGGGTGACCAGGAAGTGTGCGAAATTACAGGAACAGGATTTCAATGGAGTGGATTAAGGGAAATCTTTAGGGTTCGATAGGGTTTCCTATATACATAAATACAATTAAATATACATATAATTGCATATTGTTTTCCCAATAGTTTTCCTTGAACCAGATTTGGGATGGTTCAAACATATTTAGAAATATCGAAAAACCGTTCTCTTTTGGGGGGACAAGGGAGAAAGTGTAAGATTTGGCTGCAAGTGCTTGCTAGCTGCTATCTTACTTGAAAAACTATCTGTATAAGAATGCAATGGCATGAAACGACAGTTCTTTGGTCATGCTTCCGTGCTCTTGATGAGACAACATGAGGAAAGGAGGGGGTCCCAATTCTTGCCTCTCCTTTCAAAACATACTTTGCTTTCTGATGATGTTCGAGTGTTCGATGCAAGACTTCCCCGTGAAACTTTTTCCCTGTGAGCTGCACCCCTTTGGCATCCCTTCGTCCCTGCTGAGGATCAGCTTCAAACTGGAGAGGTCAAGCTTTGTCACAGACGGCTTTGGCGTGGTGCTGGCACGCTTGGGAGTCACAGCTTCAGGGGGCAGAGGCTGGCACCGGAAAGAAATGAAAGAAAGCATTTATGAAGCATTTCAGTATTTCGATTTCATCATATTTCCACAAATTGATTCTCAGATTTGCATAGAGTTGCCAAACACTTTGTTACCAGCCAGGCGCCGCCTGCCTGTCCACCAGCGATCCTGTTAGCCGATACTTGCAACCTGAATGGCTTCAGATTGGTCAACAAGAATTGGATGTCCAAAATGTCCACCAGAATTCTGACAGTGCAATGGTCAAACGCATTGATTGAATAGTAATTTCTACTGGGCCTACATGGGCCTACGTTGACATCTACATAATCTACAATCATCATCGACATACACAGTATTTTGATGCAATTTGCATAACTCTGGTACAAATTACTCAACCTCAACAAGTGTGCAAAACCGACAAACCATGACAAAGCCATAACCAATCTTGCCAGAAAGGGTGTAGACATATGTAAACATGGTAAACCTGCGCTGGAGGTAGCCCTGCCTTCCAGGCTGCTATTGAAGTCCAGCAGAAGAGACTTGGGCTGATAGCAGTGAGTCTCTATGCACCAGAGCAGGCTGCCATTCCTGGTGCGACATCCAAACTGCACTGGGTGATACTGGGTGCCACCAGGTGTTATGGAAGTATATGGAATTATTAGCATCAATTGAAATGGACAACAGCTGGAGGTAAGTGATTCAAATAAGAATTCATCAAAATTCACAACATGATCTCGCCAACATCGCAATCTTACGGTGGTGACACCGTAAACACACAGGCGATATCAGCGACATCATGAACTCAGCAGTGGACCAAACAGTGAAGTTGTTGATCTTCCCATGGATATCCAGGAAGGAGGCGTTGCTGCCTCGGCTCAATTAGTGGACCCTATCTGGATGAGAAGCGACATCAAATTACCCTTCTGGAAGACGTTTTGGGCGTCCAGAAATGGTATTAACAATTGGGAAAATCTTCCTTTTAGTGCGGAAGATCCATGGAACATCCAGTAGTCCTGAATATGGAGTGCCCTGGAGTGCCCGTGCCATAAAATATGTTACGGAGCAAATCCGAAAAAGGCGACTTGGCATTTGAAACCATTGGAATGATAAAAAGGGATGAAGTTCTTTATCTTTGATTCAATCTGAAATTGGAGCAATGCCAATCTAAATCTGATAAATGCAGTATATCTTGACTTTTGGCTTCAATGTCAACTGCTGCTGTGAAGCTGAAATTGGCTGCAACAGTCCCCAGCAACAAAGCCTCAGCTGGGCAGCACTCAGCCAATATCAACTGGGAAATCTGTGAACGCCCATTAGTTGCAGCTCGGTGGGCGTAAAGTGACCAAGTAAGGCGATGCCCAACCATGGGAAAGCACGATTGCAGGTCTGAGATAATGTGAGTTTCCTGCAGATCAAACCTTCAGACTCACGTGGTTGCTACTCTCTTGTGATGTGTTTCTGTGGGGTGACCGGTTGCTCTCTGTGGATTATGCTCGACCATTCTAGGCAAGATTTGTCCACGTCAAACTGCTCTAGAACCACTATGATTATAGTTACTATAATTGCAGTGGTCTACATGTAGCTGTAGCTTGCTACAGCATGCTGCACTTGATCGCACTTAATAGCGCCATCTGTGCTGTGGCTTTGGCATAACAGAAAAGTCTGGAGCCGAAAAACGAGGCGTTCCCACGAAGACTCGCGCCAATGCCGCCATTGCCAAGTTGGAACCCGCCAGCAACAATGGTGGAATACTCGGCATAGTTCATCCTTGCAAACCAGATAAACCAGTCCCTTTTGAAGATCCACACATGGGGATCCTGTTCATCAAGCACCGCAGTCCCAACGCGGAACCACTGGGATGCATTTGCATACAGTATGCATATATATATATATATATATATAACCACAACTACTAATTTAATATCTAATAGCACTAGTATCATTTATAATCATAGTTTTCGTAAAACATCTAAATATAATATATATATATATAATATGCACTTATATATTATAATACTGTATGTGTATATATATATATATATTGTGGAAACAGAAAGATGCCCCCATGATTTCGAGTAACTTCTCCCTTGTTGCAGCGCTGTAATTCCAAGGCCACTGAGCTTCGCGCCCTGTAAGCCTTGAGCACTTCGCCCGAGAACTTTGAGCCAAGCACTGGAACACAGCGAACAGCGAAACAGTTGGTGCGACAGATCCCATTTTAATCCATTTGACATAGAGAACTGGAACTTATATAATGTTATATATCCCATTTACCCCAAAAAAAGAATTAAAATGATAGAATAGACAAATAAACTTAATATGTATAATAGATACCCATTATACAATAGTCTATGGTCATTGCATATGGCTATTGGCTATCGATCACATACCAACTTGGATACACATCCCCAGTAGAAGAAATTATATTCATCCAGGGCAGGTGTGGTATGGTCTTGACATGTCTTGAATTCTTGACTGTGTCGAAACGTGCCAGGGATATTCAACATGGCAATGGGAAATCCATGGAAATCCACTATACATGCATGGTCTTAATGGGAAACTCATCTGTAAATGAATATTAAAATGAAGATTGTCCATTGCCATTGTTTGAGTACCTGGGGGTGCATTCGCATGGCTCAACAGTTATATCACCGAAAAAAATAACTGTTTTGAGGCTTTGTCAAATGGGTCTTAGAATCGGAGGATACAAACCCATTGGTTGGTAGATTACAAGACTTCAGACTCTTGAGTGCGCGGGTCGTGCGGCATAATGCAAGATAAAGATAGCGTATAGTCTATAGTTGATGTACATGTCACATCCCGCGCCATTAAGAGGGATGCCAAATCAACTTTCTAGAACTGCAAACTGACGATCTCAGAATATCCTCATTTCATCTCATTTCCACTTCACAAGAATCACCTACACAAAAGGATGCAAAAGGGGAAGACTTTCCGGCGAGTCAGGTGGCCAGGTGGAGAATGCTTTTGGCGCGCCCGAACGGTCGCAGTATGCAGTGCAGTGAATTCGGGCTCCTATGGAGTCTCGCTATGAAAACTAGGCGACTGGGATGATCTCGTCCCCAGAAAGTGCTAGCTGGGTAATTTTGGGCCTGTTGGAGCTGGAAAGTGTTCAGATAAGACATGATAAAACACGTTTAAACACGTTTAAAACACTTACAAACACTTGCAACCTACCAAGACAATAATGTACAACCCATGTCTTATATTGACTTGTTACACACTATCCATTTGCTAACTTCAGAGATCATCTCAGCAAGTCTTTCCCATGATGCGCAGCGTTTCCTTAGATGGGCATATCAAACGTTGGGGAACCGCCAATTTGGAGGGTTCAGTACTTGCCATCTTGCCGTCCTATACTCATCTATACTCCATGAAGCAGCCACCATTTCAACCACCAACTTCCGGCTGAATCCAAGCCTCCCATTGGCGTTCAAAGACCCAACCTGGTGCTGGGATGCTTCAACGGCAACTGATGCATTTGGAATCAAGGAGACCGGTGCACAAAAAGACTTCATTAGGAGTGGAACAGTCCAACCATGTCTCATTCATCCTTGATTGATTGCAGTTGTTTGTTCACATACTCTGGTATGCTATGATGCGAGTAGGACATAAGATAACCATCAGAAAATTGATGGAAGATGGAAAATAGCTCCCACCAGAGTGGATCCAAACAGGTGTGGGTCCCCTGGAGGTTGGAAAACATCGCAATCTCCAGAGGATTCTAAGCCCCACACCGTTCGCGCTCTTGCAAGATGAATCGGAGCCTTGGTGATCTCAGACCACACTTGTGAAAGTTCTCACAAGAACGGTTTTCATCTGGGTCATCCCACCTGGACATGGGAAATAGAAAGACAACTAAACAGCTTTAAGTCGTGAATTTCCCACATGTCTAAAGCATGAAGTAGTGATTTTCTTATATGTTCCTTCATTTCTGATGACGTTTGTTGCTTCAAGATATGGGTAACACTGCTGTCCTATGTCCCGCTGCTCAGCTTCTGGCACGCGCGTCGCCTCGGCCTGCGCAGCCTTCGCCTGTGCCGATGCCATGGTCGAGTCAAGTTACGTGGGAATATGCTGGGCATATTCAGAATATGGGACAAGAATGGGAATATAATGGGAGATAAGACCATATATATGTATACTGCATATATATATAATGACAATGAATGATATGCACATCTCAGAGATGTCACCTATCTATCTGTCTATCTGACTCTATCTCTATACATATCAGCCGCTGTCAAAACTCAGTGTCTTTGCCTGGCCTCAGGGCTCTCCCCTTGCGGAGCTTTATCGGGATGCCAACCTCAACGGACCAACAGTTGATCTTGGGAGTTGATGATTTTGATGATGTTTGATGTTGGATGGTTATGATTGATAAGGTGATGACGATGATGATGTCGATGATGGTGATGGTGATGGTGATGGTGATGATGATGATGATGATGATGATGATGATGATGCATTGTCATGAGTCATGGCACCGCAAGGCTAGGCCCACAAACGGAGAAGCAATCGCTTCAATGCTTGACCTCAAAGCAATGGAACAATCATGAAGAATCTGATGACCTGTTTTCCCCTCTACGCAATTTGTCCTTGAGCAGAAGTAAACTGGTTCACTCTTATACCCAGGGTATTAGAATGATCTGGGCTTAAAATTCAAATTAGTCACATCAACCTTAGCCGGGTGTCAACCTGAAGTCGGCACTGTCGTGACCGGTTGCTGCTGTTTCAGCATGCCATGCCATGCACGAATCAATTGCTGCTCATCTTGGGAGGGCCAAGCGGTTTCTGTAAATTACATCCCATTCCCATGGAATCCAACATGGCAATGTGTTCTTTTTCTTTTGCAAATCAAGTTAGATGACTGTCCACATAGTTTCACTACAATTTAATTTAAACATGTTCCATCGAACCCAGTTACTACACCAATCTCCAATGGTAGCACCACCCGTCCCATCCCTGGCCCCTGTCCCTGTCCCTGGCATCGGATCTTGCTGTCCAAAGGACGCCCTGCATCGGATCCACCCGAAGTCTTCGCTGCCTGGAGAGGGTGAGCTGGTGAGCTTTGCCACCCAAAAAAAAATGGAAAAGTATTGAAAGGGTTGATGACATGAGATGGCATACTGTAACTAAATCAAGAAGAAAACACATGTGTTTTATTAGTTATATTGTTTTTTGATGTTTGTGTGATGTTCATTGCAGGAGTGTCTTGACTTAAAATCTTCGCAGGGGTCGCGCCACGATATGATTCCTTCGTTGTTCCCGGGGCTTGGGACCTGTGCTCCCTGCCATATATCTCCATCCTATTGTGTTAGCACCCCATAAAACTTTGATATACCTTGACCTTGATTACACAATAGCCACAACACTCAGTCCTATTGCACATACCCACATCCCAATATTAATCACACCATAAATGGTCCCAATTAGGTGGAACTCCCCTACTTTAAACCAGGGTTTCTAGGATCGTTCAATATTAGGGGGATGGATGACTCAACTATCCATACAAAAATTCGTTGTGGGGGGAAAGTGCCCAGTAGAATCAACATCAACAACTGCAACCATCCAGTCCTCCAGGGCCGCACGGACTTCAGCTTCAGGGCCCGCCAGAGTGGCAGCCGCAGCCTCCCACCAAGGTAGACCATAGATGGGGATATGATCAATCCTATTGTGTGATATGATGCAATATAATAATATAATAATAAGTGAACTTAATTATGATGGTTACTATATGTGTATGTTCAAAGCCACAGCACATGTCGTTACCATAGTTAACTTGGACCGGGTTATGATGGAAGCTAAATGGTTCAATTTGTGAAGTTGAATTACTCGGCATCTGCAGGCTGCGGTGACAAGCTTGTTTTTGTGATTCTTACGGCTGTGACAATTGGGGATTGGGAAATCACAAGACTATATTATTGGCCAATTACGTTCCCTCTGCACCTCCGTCCTGAGGGAAAAAGCACCTCCACCCAGGAGTCTTCCCTTGCCTTAGCCAGCTGCGCGCCGAAGCGGAAACCTGGCGGAGAGGATCATGAAATATCCCTTAAATTCGTTGTATTTTGCGGAAAGTTGGCAGCAACTTTAATATTGTTTTTGGACCCCAAAAACACAACAATAATCTAGATAGATAGATAGATAGATAGAAAGATAGATAGATAGATAGACAGATAGATAGATAGATAGTTAGATAGATAGATAGATAAATAGAAAGAGATAGATAGATAGATAGATAGATAGATAGATAAATAGATAGATAGGTAGATAGATAGATAGATAGAGAGATAGATAGAGAGAGATAGATAGATATAGAGATGGAGATAGAGATAGATAGATAGATAGATAGATAGATAGGTAGATAGGTAGATAGGTAGATAGGTAGATAGATAGATAGACAGATAGACAGATAGGTAGATAGATAGATAGGTAGATAGATAGATAGACAGATAGATAGATAAATAAAAAGATAGATAGATAAATAGATAGATAGGTAGATAGATAGATAGATAGGTAGATAGATAGATAGGTAGATAGATAGATAGATAGACAGATAGACAGATAGGTAGATAGATAGATAGATAGACAGATAGACAGATAGGTAGATAGATAGATAGGTAGATAGATAGATAGATAGACAGATAGATAGATAAAAAGATAGATAGATAAATAGATAGATAGGTAGATAGATAGATAGATAGATAGGTAGATAGATAGATAGGTAGATAGATAGATAGATAGTTAGGTAGCAAGCCACAGCATCGAAACTGCTCCTTGCCATGGCACCTGCTGCATGCCCACGATGAGGACCTGTCAAAACGTGGGGCTGTTTTGGGTTCCCATTCTCCCAAGAGATAAGCAGTCATGGTTGGGTCTTCTGGCCGGTTGCCAACTAAGAAAGGTAGTGGAATTTGGAAAAATGGAATATGGCGAATATGGATATAGTTTTGAAGTGCTCAATGAACTGTAACCATGTAGCTTCACCGTTTGCTGCGGAACAACCTTGACGGGCCGAAAGGAATTGCGAAGGCATCCCTAGTCCCTAGTCCCAAAGGACTCCCGTAAAAAAAACACAAGAACGGTCCAGCCTTGGCTTTTTTGCCCACCTGCGCTGAAAGGGGTGGTGGCAACCGGTGGTCACTGTATGGCAGGAAACACCGAGCAGGACTTGTAGTTGCAAGCCGTTTTGGTCCAATCACATTTGTGGCTACACAATGCTACATATCCAAATCATTCCAAACCTATATAACTTACAAATTCTAACTTCATTTTCTTCCGGAACCCTTTGAAATCTTCAAACCTGAGATGCAGCGGCCGTTGTCTTTTTGCCGCGCATCACCACGACTGCCGAGATCTTCGCCCTTCGCTTCGTAGATGTTCACTCTATGAGCTGCTGCTCCAGCGGCCGCCGGAGGCATGGCTGTGTGCAACATACGAAGTGGAAACTCTTCGTCTTGGCAGAAGTTCCTCAGGCGGGCCAAATTCGAAGGAGGAATCTGGAGGAAAATCTGGTCTTTGACCATCCAAATATGGGGGATTCCTGAGGAAAATTTCGCCTTCGAACAACTCTCGACCAGGTGGTGAGGAAACCTCACCTGCTACTGCTACTGGCTGGTGTTGTTGGCTGTGAGGGGGCCGTGGTCCCCCAAATTACTTTATATAAGTATATTTAAGTCCTTATTGACACCTTGAAAGTACCACTACCAGCCGGGACATCCACAGAATCCACTTGCAACTTGCTGTTTCGGCCATGATCCCAAACCATTTCAGCACAACAAAAACGCCAACGGAGCATCAAAAGCTTCCAAAATGGCCATCATCCCATGGGCTCAATGGGATTTCCATACGATTTCTATGGGATGTTCATGGCAAATGCTGGGGAATCCCTCGGAATTCGAAGCATATTTTCTCCGGCTCAGCGGCTCAAAGGTCTCCTCGCCAAGGTCGGCGCGTTGCACCACTGCCTAGGTTGGCAAAGGATGAACATAAGATGATGCATATTATATATATATATTACATATGTGAGCATATATAGCGACCAAAAATATAGAAAAAGAAGCTATCAACATTTTAGTATTCAATGAGAATTTCAGGATCCTAAAATGGAGGTACTGTACCATATAAGGCAATATATTGTTGGGATATTCCCTTACATAGGCCTTATATAGGCCTTATATATATATATGGTAGGTACCTCCAATTTAGGTTCCTGAAATGGCCATTGAAGTATGTGATTTGTTCAATCTTGGGGGGATACAGTAATGTGTATAATATATATATATCAGTGTGTGTGTAAGATGTGAATATATATATATATTTATATTTATATATATATATATATTTATATTTATATATTTATAGACAAGGCATATGTATAGATTAGGATAAATTAGGTAGATAAATAGGATTACATAGGCATCTGTAGTATCTTTCTGTGTGTCAAAGCGTGCCCAATAAGAAGCAAACACGATGGAACATGTATTTTAAACCAACTCTGATCCAAGGTCCGATTGATATTTGATGGACTTAGTTTTGGATCCATGAAAATGTGGGGTTGACCAATGAAGATGGGGCTATGTCGGTTCTAGGTATACATGTATGACTAGAATGCTTGGTGATGCAAAAAGCAATGGTATCATACGGTATCCATGCTAGACATATGGCTCTTTGGTTTTGCTTGAAAGTTTAGGGTTCAAACCGTGGCTCAAATGGAACTATGGGTCACTCATTCCGCTCGGATCTCCGCATTGCTGTCTTTGTAGGTGCCTTTATCATCCTATTTTCAACATGAACCATGTGAAACGCAGCACTGATACTTAAAATATATCAGGCACAGTAAGTGTACCAAATATAGAACGGCTGGAAATTGACCAAAAAACTTGAGCAATGGCAATGTAACACTGTATTTATTTATTTATCTATCTATTTATTTATTTATTTTATAAGTTATAAGTTATAAGTATGTTTGAAAAAAAAACCTTGGCAGAAGTTGTTGCATCTACATCAGGGTTGACCTTCATCTTGGAATTGACCTGCAGGCTGCGGACAGCCTGAACGGCTCACCTTTTCTGAAAGCGCCGCGTCTCAGTTGTGGCTATGGCTGTCTTTGACACCTTCAGCATGGACTGTTGCAGACCTTGGGACTCTTGGGACACAAGGTTTCTTCAATTTTTTGGTGGAAAATCAAGAAGAAACTATGGGAACCCTTCGGTTTTGCAGGAAGATGAGCAGAAAACAATCGAACACATGTTTCCTGGTTTGTTGCAGGCAGAGCTTCAAACAGCTTCAATGAAACCAATCTCAAATTGATCCTAACCCCGAAGCCTGGTGGACCACAGTTCAACATCACTCACGGTACGATCCGGGTGGCTCATGCTGGTGGAATTTCGGGCATCATGGGACCTGGCACAGGACGGGATTTCACCTCTTCATTAGCTATAAACGGTTCCAAAACTAGTGGCATACGAAGATCCAGCTCTCCACATGGCTGCCAAAACGGTGCCATACGACTTACTTGGAACTTGCACAAGAATTAGTGTTGGAATGGTTTGATGTGCAAGTTGTATGATGCAAGAAGGTATGACCAGGTTGGACTGCGCCCGACCTTGTTCATGGCTGCCTTAATATCGTCAGATTTCAATGATGACATTTGTCGGAGCAGCGCTGGTCGAGGTTTGCTCTTCGCTGCCCCCGCCTGCAGCGCATGATGCACCCATTAGTCACTTACATTCATTTGCCAACTGCCCGGGCACCAACACCTGTTCTCTCCAAACCACTCTCCAAATACTTAAACACAAAAATCAACACCAAAAAGCAGCCAAAAAGACTCCATGAACGAGGCATCATGATGTATCAAACAGCACCCCACACCCAAGCGCACACGCTACGCCGCTGGGCTTACTTTTTTTCCCCACAAGACCCCAAGTTTTTTTGACATTTGTTTACTGCTGTGATTACCCCTTACCCAAACCACCACGGCCGCGCCGTGGATTTGCTGAGGAATCGTGTGGACGTTGGGCTGTGCTGCGCCACCAACATGGCATTCAGCGACTCAGTTCCCACGCTGCACTTACCTCGGGTCTGGCTGCAGTCCAATGTCGCAAGATGTCGTCAAACATGGTTGAGAAATTTTTCACTAGATTTCTTTTGTGGGAAAATTAATGGGGCATTCATGGAACTGATTGGAGGATGATTCTGCAGCTAGCCATGTTGTGCCACGTTTGGTTACCAAAGGATAGCAAAACTGGATAGAAATATGGTCAGTTTCTACCCTCATCGAATGATGGAATGGTTAAAGTTAATTATGCTCCACATTTTTGATTTGTTTCGCCTTCATGATTTGATCTATGTTGAACCATCCGTCCCCAAGACTTTGGGGATCAATGGGGATCTGCTCACCAAAAGCGAAGCGACACATGAGCTCCGTGAGACGTGCAACTTCAAGTACGGCAGTGCTACCTGCTGTCTGGCAGGTGTGGGCTGCAGGAATGGGAAGCGTAGGGTCGTGACAGGCTACAAGTTTCAGAACAATTTTCCAACAAATGCAAGGAAATATATTCCCTTTCCTAGCCGTGTGGCTAACTCGAGGCCTAACGCGCGAAACACACCCATTGATGTCACCCCCATGTTTGCTGACTTTTGGCCTTCATGTCCCGTCCAAAATAACGATCCCTTGGACGCAGCAGGTGCCTTCCATATGCCAAAGCCAAGAGCTCATGCCGATGCAAGTTGTGATTGAACCAGGCAACATCTCCTGCAAAAAACAAGCAGGACTGCCAGCAGGTTGGAGGTATACAGAGGCTTGTCAATGTCACCCTGGTGATGTAGCACTCCTGCTACCAGGAGTACTGCAAAAGGCGGTGGCGGAAGTTTCAAAGATAAGAAACTTAAAGGAGATGTGAATTGTTGTGATGCACGGGTGGCAGAGCGAACCAACCTGATGGACCGAAAGGTGGTTGCGGCTCTGCGTCTGTCCCAGTCTGTCTCTCTCTTTTTGTAATTCTCTCCGTCACCCTCTCTGTGTGTCTCTCTGCCTCTCCCTCTGGCTATCTATCTATCTGTCTATCATCTTATCTGTAGCGTAGCGTAGTGTAGTTGTAGTTGTAGTTGGCTGGGCGCGCGCAGAAGGCCGCGTCACGAAACAGTGTTTTTGCATGTTCACTGCACTGGCGCCACAGCGAGAGCGCATTTTTTCCTTTTTTATTGTGTTTCGCCTCAGCGAAACCTCTTTTTTTGTCTTTTTTTGTTGTTTTTTTTGGCGTGGTGTTGGTTGGGGGGGGTGGGGGGGTGTAATAACGTTCTTTGGACTTGAACACATCTGGGATGGTACGTCATGAGATCTTTTCTTGGAATTCAACACATCTGGGATGGTACTTCATGAGATCTTTTCTTGGAATTCAACACATCTGGGATGGTACGTCATGAGATCTTTTCTTGGAATTCAACACATCTGGGATGGTACGTCATGAGATCTTTTCTTGGAATTCAACACATCTGGGATGGTACGTCATGAGATCTACTCTTGGAATTCAACACATCCGGGATGGTACGTCATGAGATCTTTTCTTGGAATTCAACACATCTGGGATGGTACGTCATGAGATCTTTTCTTGGAATTCAACACATCTGGGATGGTACGTCATGAGATCTTTTCTTGGAAATCAAGACATCTGGGATGGTACGTCATGAGATCTTTTCTTGGAATTCAACACATCTGGGATGGTACGTCATGAGGTCTTTTCTTGGAATTCAACACATCTGGGATGGTACGTCATGAGATCTTTTCTTGGAATTCAACACATCTGGGATGGTACGTCATGAGATCTTTTGTTGGAATTCAACACATTTGGGATGGTACGTCATGAGATCTTTTCTTGGAATTCAACACATCTGGGATGGTACGTCATGAGATCTTTGCTTGGAATTCAACACATCTGGGATGGTACGTCATGAGATCTTTTCTTGGAATTCAAGACATCTGGGATGGTACGTCATGAGATCTTTTCTTGGAATTCAACACATCTGGGATGGTACGTCATGAGATCTTTTCTTGGAATTCAACACATCTGGGATGGTACGTCATGAGAAACCATGCACTTTTTGGAAAGAATCCAAGCGAGGTTCTCGAGCAACTGTCTCGACTTTTTGCAGATTAAAGAAAACTTGGCGAACATGCGGTGGATGAAAATAAAAGTCATGCACTGAAGTAAACACACTTGAAAGTGTCTCAACTGAAGTAGTTTTTTTCGACGTCAAAATATGACACGCCAAGATATAAACATGGACATGTGAAGTTGCGCATGCATTTCGAATGGCCAGCGTGGAGGATTTGCCATATCACCACTCATACATTTGTATCAAAACTGAGATGAAAGTGCACGAAACCATACGGCCATCTATGAGCGCCCGACCTTGTAGTTGAAGTTGCGTTTGAAACCGTAGTTGTAGTTGTAGTTTAGTTGCGCTCGCAGTTTTAGTTGTGTTGTAGTGCGATGTAATCTAGTGAAGTACAGTGTAGTGTAGCTGAAGCCTCGTGTAGTGTAGCGCAGCAGTAGTTGCAATTACAGATGCAGTTGTAGTTGTAGTGTAGTAGTTGTGGCTGTAGTTGTCGTTGTGCTTGTACTTGTAGTTGCATAGTTGTAGCGCGTTCCAGTTGCGTTTGTAATTGTAGTTGAAGTGCGGCGTGGTGCAAGGTAATCTTGTGTAGTGTAGTGATGTGCAGTGGAGTGTAGTGCAGGTCTTCTTCAAACGTCCCACGCCTGCCATCTTCTTCTGCAACTGCCACAAGCCCTCATGTTTTTCTCACATGTGGCTAGGCGCAGAACCCATTAGACTTCCCACACAAAAAAAGGTCCGAACTTCCGAACGTGTGGTTTTTTTTCTGCATTTTCACTTCAACATGTGCTTCGCGCCACAGCCGCGTGCATTTTTTGATCAGCTGAACTTCCAAGAGTGTTCCGGAGCTGGAGGCCGCAGCATTTTTTTGACATTTTGGCTTGCACATGCGCTTCGCACCACAGACGCGTGCAGATCACGCCAACTTCCAAAAGTAATCCGAACATGTGGTGTTTTTATCATTTGGACTCGGAAATGTGCTTCGTGCCACAACGGCGTGCAATTTTTGATTTCTCATCCCCCAGATGGCTACCTTTTCGCGCGCCTTGATCTTCTTTCTTCTCTCTCTCTCTCTCTCTCTTTCTCTCTCCATCGCCATCCCGAAGGTTCAGCTAAGGCTGAAGGCGAGCTGGTAGCCCAGTCAAACGGAGCCACACTTTGAGGCAAGAACAGGGACACAAGACTGGCTGCTGTACACAAAGTGATAGTCGCAGGATTGCAAGGTGCATTGACATGGAAAGAGACATCAGAACTATCAAATTCACAACGGCGAAAATACTCATTGGCAGACCAGTCACTGAGGTGGTCGTGCCGCCGAACCTGTGCCAGGACTTGATTAAGACAGGGCAGTCGTAGGAGGCTCACTGGAGCAAGCTGCGGTCTGCATGTCTTTCACGGGACTTGTCACAGTCTGAGTACAGGAAGTAATTCGTCGTAATCTTCGGAGCCTCATGGCCCAAGTCTTTGGCTACGAGACCCTCGGGTTCAGCATGTTTTTCCCCTTATAATTCGTATCTTGTGATCGTTTCAATCATGGACCGCAAGCAGCTGTGTTCCGGCATTGCTTATTGCATTCGGCGTTCAAGGAAGTGTGGCAGCGAGGTGGCGGCACGGTTCTCTGGGATGCTCCCCAAAGTCTAACGACTGATGATATTGACAACCCCAGAGCTGTCCTTTCCTTATCAGACTGTCTTCTGATCCAAGAGGGAGCTCCTGAAATTATGCTGCACTCGCCGCCTGCTGGCAAGCCCATGATGGTGCCTTCAACCGCAGCAGGTCTCGAAGCAGGGACGCAAACCCTGGAAGCAGGCATTACGCATGCGGATTGGAACCTTATGACAAAAGAGATAGTGAAGAAGACTGTGGAGATGACGCTGGCCGAAGCGATTGCCCCAGTACAGGCAATGGTTGATCTTTCTTCTGACTCTTTCTCTTCTCCTACTTCTCTTCTGTTTCTTTCTCTTCCCTGACTGCTCTCACCACTGTTGCTGCATCTGTTCATAAGTCGGAAGTTTGACTTCTAAACTTCCTTCGATCACCGCCACATCTGCACTCCATGTGTCCCGGCCCCGCTTGGCCCTGCTTGTGGTCCTGCAAGTTGTAGGTTGCATCCTGCACTGAGACGCCAGGCGTGTGACTGCCGTAAGCCAAAATGATATCCTGAAGTGCAGATTGGCAACCAAGATGCATGTGTCTGCTTGGTGCGTTGTAACCATCTGGATTACCGGAGACTGAACCAATTATGACAAAGAACGTGCTGGTTGACACAATATTATATATACATTATACACAAACAGCCGGTTAGTGCTTTCAACACTGGAAAATGAAGCTTTAACGGACAAACAAAACACTATGATATAATTAATACAGCCAAGTGATTCACTACGCTCCACTGTCCGCAGCTGGATGGTGGCTTCAACACTGCTTAAAATTTGAAAGTCATTGGAGTCATTGGGGATCATCCCGAGTATCAACAAAACACATCACAGTAGCGGCTGTAGCGCATGGGAGCACCGGATAATCCGCGTGAACATGTTCACCATCATTTCCTTACCTATCTTACCTGGTCTTGATCCATAATTCGAAGTTGTTGAAGGAAAAAAAACATGATCAAAACTGCTGGCTTCATATTTCCATATATTTCCCTCAGAAAAATGGTGAAGTTCTAAGCAGCATTAAGCAGCTCAATAGCAGCTCAATCAGGCCCATGCTGACAGGTGACCACCGAATGATGCGGCTGCCACGCAGGCAAGGTGGCTAACCTTGGTTGCTATTTACTGGATTCCAACGGATTTTTATAGAGGTATTTATTGGCAAATCCAATACTAAATCTTATTATCAGTGATAAATCCGATGTCAATAGTGGTAAATCCAATAAAAAAATGATTCTCATTGATTCCCTAAATTATTGTTCTTATTTTTTTTATCATTATCATTATCTAACAACCAACCATTCCCAACATCACCAGAAATGGCTTGGTATTTCGACCCAGTCACAGTGGCGTCAGGTGCTTGTAGTTCCACAGGGGATGAGCCACTGACATCTGCCAGAAGGCATCGGACGCGCTCTTGAGGCCAAACTCGAACTCGTCCAAGAGAAACCTGGGTTACATTTTTCAGGAGTTGGGGAAGATACGAGTCAGGGAAAGCCCCACTGCACATGAGTGTCCCCGCAGCCAGTTTTCCAAGAAGTGTTGAGAACCACAACCCCATCATTCCACGGCCGGAACCATGAAGAGCAGGAAAGGTGATTGAATCATATTGAATATGCACAGGAGCATAGTGAAGTCTCACCCCCAGTCCACCTTTCTGACAAAGGAACTGATACTGCTTCGCAGATTCACTCTGAGCCTTTGAGAGTGACAGCGAGGCTGCGAATTCACCGAAATGCTTCACGATGGTCTTAATGTCCTTAGCCGGGCTGTTTCAGCTGGAATGCGAGGGTCTTGGGTCCCTTTACCTGTTGGATTTATCTGGGCCCTGAGGCTACAAGCAGGAGCAATTTTCACAATTTTCTGTGCATTTGTGGCATCTCCTGACCAAATTCATCGTTGTTCAATGTGTTTCATTTTGCAATCCATCCAATCCATTGCACTCAGCACCTTGGAACAAAATCAGCGGCAATGCGGTGTGCGGACCATAGACATCTGCGTGTTGCGGATTTGAATTCAGGTCGGATCTGATATCTGAGCCAAAGCTCTCTTGCACGAGCCAAGTCGGAAAGCCAACTCGCACGCTTGAGGTGAATCTAACAGCAGTGTCCGATGGCAGGTCAGGGTTGCAACATGTGTGAAAGCGGGCATAGGCATGTATTCGTTGGGATATGTTGGGATCTTTTCAGGGAAACCCCACAAGAAAAGATGGTTTCACCATGTTGCACCAGCCAAAACGGATGTTTTCAATGTCCCTTCACAGCTGCCATTTTGGGATATGAACATCATGACATCATCCACCATCATCCACCCATATATATCGACTTTGGACGCCCATCTCTGGGATAGGAACATCGCCTCTGGTGGAGTTTTCTGGTGTTTATCATCCCAAATGGTGATTTAATGGTGATCTCATGGTGGTTCAATGGTGATCTAACAGAGTTGCAGCATGTTGCAGCCAGAAGCAAAGGACCATGACATGGAATTCCAATGTCTGATGTAATTGATGTACCCGCCTCATGCATGGAATCGTCTGCCGCCATGCTGTTCCTACAGATTACACGCCAAGATAGGGTTACTGTGGGTTCCTATTCCTATGGGTTCCTTTGGGTTCCTATGGGTTGCTGGGGTCATTTGCATACATGTCTTCAACATCATCAGTTGGCACTTAGAAGCGGTCCTGAAAATGTAGCTCGGATTGATGATCAGGACATGCTTCAAACGGTCTTGCAGCTTCCATAGGAGAGGAGTGCCAACACCAAAGGTGCTGTCAATCAAGACCAACCTCACTTTGCAACATCTCCTGGCATACTTTCTCCTCGGGGAACCCTCAAATAGTCAAACAAATGTCAAAAAGTCCGCTCCAAAATGCTCCAACTGAGAACCTGACCGATAGGGCAAAGGCAACGTGTCGATCATGGTGTACAAATCCGTGTAGAAGGCTTGTCCATTTGTGTCAAGTTCATCTGCATGGAGCAACTCCGCATTCACCTCCGGAGGGGACCAAGCCCTGTGACAAGCTGCAGGGATATCCTGCCGAAAGTGGACTTACAAAATCTTACAAATATAGGCTATAGCAATACTATGCAATACTCATAGACAACTACAGGCATCTTTGTTTCCCAAAATAATCATTGAGGTCGAGGTTCTGAAAGTTAATACTGGCATCATCTGGCATCATATTGGCATATCTTTGATCTTGGCAATCTCATTTCAATATTTTCAACACATCCCACTGAGTCCCAAAAAAAGCCCCACTGATCCTGCAGCGATGCATCCTCTGCCAAGTCGCTGCCTCTGAGCAAATGCAAAAAATCCTGCGACTCAGTCGGTTCGCGAGAACACGCAGGGCCGGCTCTTGCAAAGTCCACGGCATCAATCTGCAAAAACCTTGGCGCATCATGGATATTAGCGATGAAGGCTGTGCGGCTTGAAATGCTTCTGAAGTGAGCAAACAAAATAAACAAAGAGAAAACACTTGAACTGAACACCAGGATGCACCATAATCATCCATAATCATTCACTACGACATCGTTTACCCAAGCCTCTATGAATATCTACGACCTGAAACTTGCCCCCCAAGAAGGGAGATGTTCACGGTGCTTCAAATGATACCTATCCTCACCTCCATGATGACACCCAGGCACCAAAGTAGAGCAGCGGATCCCCATTTCCATGCAGGGTCTGCGGATGCATCACATAAATCGTCCGCAGTACGCCGTTGAAATGCATCCGTCGTGCTTCTACTCTGCCATGATGAGAATTCGGCAGGGCCTGCAGCCAGAGAGTTTTTCCACTGGGGGTCAGTTTATGGTTCTTATGGGGTCTTATTCAGATGGAGCCAGACATTTCAGATCCATCCATTCTTCCATCCTCACCGGCAGAGGCAGCACACTGATTTTTGCCTCAGGGAAGTTCATGTGCAATCCTCTGATGCCCAAATCCTGCATAGAAGGCCACATCGTTGACTGGTCCTTAGCTATCTTAGCTTGCGCAGCACACATTCGCAGTGATCTGTGATTTTTGGATATGTTTGGAATGTTTCAAAAAAAATGCGGATCCGCAAAATCCGATGCACCCAAAAAAATCCAGCATAATCGACCAGTTGATGCTTTCGTTTCGGAGAAGAGCAACCCCATCCGCGTCAATTGTGGGTACCTCAGCACCTCAAGGTCTCATGAACCAAGTCTAAGAGGCGACACCCTCCAGCTGCAGAATTTCCTTGGATGCAGCGAAGATAGCCAGTTGCTGGTGTATTTGATGAGATCCCCTCAAATTCATATAAATATATATAAATTGTCTTTACCTCAACAAGAGCAGTTCAACTTGTCATTGGGACCTCTCTCTCCATCCGCATCTTGCTTATAGTTATCCTATGTTATCCTTAAGAACTTAAGATGCATGTCTGAATATGTCTGAATTTCGCTGCCAGTTTGCACCAAATCCAACCCCCTGCCAGGCTCTGCCAAGCAACTTTCAGCATGGAGTGAATCGGTTCGTTCACCTCACCCTCCTTGGCGATTTGGCTCCAGAGATAGGCCCGCTCAATGGCAGAGACACCCGCCTTGTCCTTGGAGCTAAGAAACCGTTGACGTGGAAGGCTCCCATTCTGGATTTCATGGCCCGGCATGCCCCAAAATGAAATGATGGCTTAATGGCTTGATGATTGCTTAATGTGTTTTCCCGCTACGTTCATTTAAAAAAACACGTCTATAATTAAACGATTTCAGGACATCTCAGGCAAACCCCGATCCGTATCGTAATACCCGTCTTAAAAAGGACAGTGGAATCTGCCGGAATCTGCCGTGGCACTGTCTCAAAAAGAGCTGCAACATCTCGGCGAGCAAACTCTTCCAACAACGGTTCGGAAACACCATCTGCCTCCATGGTTTCTCTGGTTGGGGGTGGTTTCAACATGGTTCAACTCCCGGGAGAATTTCAGGAAACAGTTAGGCAGGGATAAAAATCGTCCCCAAAAAACAACCAAAAAACGCGGAGAGTATATAAATCAACTAAAAATAAAAACTACAGTATCCAAACTTGGGACTTCTCTGGGGAAAAAAAAAGGATGCTGGATGTCATGTCATTAATTGGAAGGTTGGAAGATCATGCAAATCCACCTCAGCAGTCGCCAATTCTGCCAGTGCTGGTCGGTTTATGAGGATGTTTCGAGCATCCAAAGAGTTTGCATGAACAACAATGATGTGCAAACATTCTGCTGAAATTCAGCGGCCTCTCCACTCACCCTGAAGGTTTCTGTCATTGCCAAGTTGCAACCAGGGGAACTGTGTGAGCAGGAGTGCATCCCCGATGATCACGCGCACTGCACGGAGCGGAAAGCGGGTGGATGTCTGGGAGTTCCTAATTCCTGGAATTGGTTTCGAAATTCCACAGGGGCCCATTCTTGGGATGGACCCTAGGGCCTCTGGGGATAGTGTCAAAAAAACAATGTTTCCTGGCAAATATGTTCCTTCAAATCTTCTCAATGTCACAGCCTAAGCTGGCAATGCCAAGCTGGTCCAAGTGTCCAAGCCACTGACACTGGGCCCTAAACATCCCAGTGAACCCTCCCCACCTGAGAGAAGCTCCAAACTCCAGGAGCAATTTGGCAGCTTCCAGGGATCGCACCTGCTGATATCGCAGCTTCTCCAAGTCGTGGCAAGGGATCAGAACGTATCAAAACAACCCGAGTTTTCACATCGAAATAGCTGGTATAGATGGTATAGCTGGATGTTCATCCCACAACTATGGCATCAGAGGTTTTGAACCATACCCAAGTAAATGAAAGCCACAAAGGCATGCCGATCTTTGGGTGGGTCGGCCAAAATTACCGGTTTCCATCGGTTTCCGATTCGTCCTTTGGGATTCAATTGGGGGCAGAACATCACACCCACCTGTGCTGCATGGTGCAAGCACGTCTTGCCTTTCCCATCCACAATGTTTGGATCAGCCTGTCCAAGGTGTCAGCATGGCATCAGCTATGACCGTTGTCACGACCCATCCCAAAGAAATAATGATCAACGGGAGTGAGCCATGATAGCCATTATCTATTTAACAGTCAAAATATGTCAAGATCATCAAAAGCAGCCCATGTCAAACCCGCCCAGCGACCAAATCTCTTCAAGGTGATTCCTTTTCCCAAACCTTGTTCGGACATCATGAACACTGGAACCCTCTTGGGATCATCCCATCCCAGTGATCCCAGGTCTGCCAACTGTTCCAACCATTCCAACCATTCCAACCTTATCCTGCAGCAGCCGGCGGCAATCATCCAGTCGCTCTTCCTGCAGTGCCCTCCACAAGGACAGCGACACTCCGATGTTCAGCTCCTGGCAGCGCCCATGATCTCCGTTGCTTGAAGCTCAAGAACAACTCTGGGGGAATCATGGCCGCCACCCATCGGGCCCAAAAAGGGAACTGGGTTCTCAATGTCTTGCCGTCATCAGCATGAATCCACTGTCAAGATCCCGAAAGTGCAAAGAATCAATATTTGCACCATTACCTTGGCATGTTCCCTTACCTCGTCCCGTTGTTCCTTCCGTTTCCCCAGTCATATCTTGTTTGGTGATTCTAACTCAGCAAACAATCCCATATCTTTCCCATTCTTTCCCCATAGTTTCATGATTCCGCGGGAAATTCATTGAAATGCTGACATTTCAGCAGGGCCGCCCCAACGGCCCCCAGCCCCTCCTCCAAGAAGACCTGCATCAAGCTGCTGACGATGTCCCTCTGCCGATCCTCGAAGTTGGAGGCTGGAACCCGGCCGTCATCGCCCAGCTCATAGGCCACCGGGATAAAGCTTTTCCTCGGTGAAATGATGAAATGTTGGGGAAATGTGGCAGTTGTTTAGGGAAATCTAGAAACCATGACTAGAGCGAACCATGTGGGTTTCTAGAAATTGCTTCGGTTGAAAAAGCCAGTCTGGGAAAATGGCGGAGAAAAAAGGCATGTTTATGTTACATATCACCCAACAATCAGTCTCTTCCAAGATTGCGCTGGTGAAAAATCGAAAGATCTTGTTGGAAAGGTATCTCCATACCTTGCTTCAAAACCCTCTGTCCTTCCACTAAAGAGATTCCGATAATGGATTATCATAATGATAATTCCCAATATATATATATATATTATGCAGTACAGATATTATATTAGAGACAGTATACAGTAGCTCCCTTTTCTCATCAACCAACAGGGGTTTAGCTGTCCGTCCTGCTTCATTCAGCAAGGCCACGTATCCAGGTCCTCTGTGAATTCGCGCCTCGAAAGCTGTGCTGCCCGCGGCTAGGGCGTCCAGGTATCTGTATATTGATGTGTTATATATATATATATATTATGTGTGTGTTTGAGTGTGGTAAATCAAGTGAAATGAAAAACCAGCAATTATACACTAAAATACATTTGCATATAGTATTGCTTCTTTCCAACCTAAACCATGTTAAAATCTTGGGACATTGGAGTCCTCCGTGATGCTCAGGGCACTTGGACGATACCAACAAATCAATCTACCCACGCAGTGCCAGCAGAGCAACCATTGTCATTCATAAACAGCCAACCCAAGCAACATTTTTGGTAGGTACGTGCAACATCGTGCAACTAATTATAGTAAATATATGACTTTTAGCCAATGGAACTCCCCTTAAAACTCACCCATTTTTTAGCCGTAGTTTACCTGAGAGATGTTTAAAAAATGGCCGTATCCACTGGAAAAAATCCCTGCCATTCGGCTGAGCGGCAGCTCAGAGGCCAAAACATCTGGCCCCTTCTTCGCCGCAGCCCTCAACCGCTCTCCGCCGCTCCTGGGAACGTCTGATGTGATGCCGCTCCCAAAAAACAGGTGTGGCCATGGGGTTACAACTCCCCCAACTAAGGCTATATATCCCTTAATGAGCTTATAAGCCAGTTAGAACCGTTAAAGGCTATAACTGTATCACTGATGATGTCTTTATCCACCGGCTGATTCATGTTAGGAATTATATATGTTTCTGATGACTTTTGGCCATATTTTTCCACCACTTGATTTTGATGTTTCCATGAGTCGTGATGTCTTTCCCCAGTATGAGTCAGTTTCTCCCAATATCAATGGATTGGTTTAAGGGAAAATTTACAGGAAAGCCCCATATTTAATGGGAAAATCTATGGTTTCCTGTAAATTTTCCCTTAAACCAATCCAATCACAATAGGGACATGACATCTGGGCAATTTGCAGCTGAGGGGCAGAATGTCACGCTTCACATCCTCCGAATTGGCGAAAATCACCTGCAAAGTTGCCACGGCAACGGCCATCGGCTACCCCGCCCTTGCCAAATAGGGCGAAAAGAGGGGACCGCAATTATGGAAAATCACCATTTTTAATGGGAAAATCCACTATAAATGGCCATTTTCAATAGCTATGTTAAATTACCAGAGGGTATGCTTTGCAAAGCATTTTGGATTGGACTAAAACAGCCTGTCAAACATGTGTTTTGACGTTTGCATTTCATTTGCGGCATGTCTGGTGTTCTAGGAATGTGGTCTGATAAAAAAAAAGTGCCTCCAACTCTCCACCTACTCTCCACCTATTAATGTAAACCCAAGTCTGACAAACATATAATAATATACCAACATCACACACATACACACATATATATATATAATTATATATATGTAACAATATCCTGCTGTATGACATATTAGTATATTACCATATAGCATAACATATTATATAATACCCTCAACTACTACCAAGGGACCCCTGAAACTCCATATTAGACCGTTTGGGCCTGCTAAAATGATCGTCCCTGGCCAGATTGATGTCTTAACGTCCTCGACTTTTGGCTTACACCGAGTATTTAGGACCTTTGCCCTCTTCCCGTGCCAGGAGTCTAGAATGATGGTACCACCCTGCCATATTTTGCCATATCATCCTTTACGTTCATACTCTTTCATGCCAGAACAACATGTCAGACAAAAGCTGCAATTTTGTTTCTCGTTATATCATGCTGCATTCATTCATGCTCTCATCTTCTTCCAGCGTGTCGGAAAATGGATTCCGCGAGAAACGAAATGAATCAACACATTTTTTTACTCGACTGATTCCTATGACATACCCTCAAGTTCAAGGTATCTAGAATGGTACCCCCTCCCTTCGGGTTGACAAGGATAGTTCCAGAATTCTTACAGACCTTTGAAAGTTTATTTATATGAGCCTTCTTGTGGCCCCCAAGATTCAACAGAAAAGGTACTGTAACTGGCTTGGAATAACAAACAGAGCTCAAGATGAGGAACTTGCAGTAATGTGCCAATACAGAAGCTTGAATCAATATCCAGCATTTTGTTCGGTCAACATCACATTCTAGATCCTTCTACATCCTTCTAGATCTTGTTTTTGCATCCTTGTTTCCATCTGCCATCTCAAACCTTTAGGTACCAACGCACCTCTTGTCCAACCAAGGCATTTGGAGGAAACAAATGTCTATTTTGATCGCCGTTGCTGCACACATGTTTTTGAAGTTCCAAGATGCAGTGTTAAGGGGTATGCTAGATCTTGAGGATATCCCATTATGACATCCTGTATGGCATTGTGCCTGTTTTTTTGCTAACAATTACTGCCCCTGTTACCAACCCATGTTTTTTGGACACGTTGAAGGTCCAAAATGAAAAGGGAAAACCGGTCTAAAATGAGATAGCTGACCATTTTAGACCTCCCATGTCCTGGGCCTAGGGCCCTATGATTCTAGACTCCGGACCTTTGGTACTTTTCTGGTATTTTATATATGCATATATAATCATATATATATATATTATATATATATATTATATATATATATTATATATATGTTCATGTGGCATCCTCTTAAAAACACATATCAATTGGGATCATCAAATATGGTTCCAACATGAAGATGTTGATTAAGATGGACCGGTAAACCCAATATAACCCAATAACCATCCCCCAAAATCACAATTTTATGGCTTGTATAAACATGTATAAACTGTAATGCAATCCCAAATGGTAGGTTTATTCTTGGGCGAAAATAAACCTGTTAAAACCACCCACCAATCATCTGATCCAACAACTAAAGTCACTGACGACCTCGTGGGCTGCAGTTTCCTCCATGAGAGCCACCTTGACGATGCTGATGAACCTAGAGAAATTGACGCCCAAAATGGAGAAACGACGCTGTTGGATTGAAGGAAATCCATTAAAAACACATAGGGAAAACATTGCTTGCATGGATAGAAATCTACGGGAACCATTGTGGATTTTACTATCAACAATTTTATTGGAAAAAAACAACTGAAATTCATCCAGTCTGGGATCGGCTGTTTGGTGCTTTCAACTATTTGGGGGTTTGAACCCCCTTTTTGATGCGTTTTTGGGAGGTTACTGACATTTTCAAAAACAAAAGAACAGCAAAGTGCTAATTTTCGGTGCTTACCGCTTACCTATGTTTAACTCCATGCCCTCGAGTAATCCATTGTTCCTATTACTAAAACCCACCCAAATAAAAAAATAGGATTGGTGTGGCACTTCCTTTTTTTTTGGTTGGGCACAGCGGCACAATTGGATTCTTAATTGTGGTAATTGAGAATCAATAGGAGAACAGGATAGTGAAACAATGGGTTCAAACCCCTATCAATAAAAATAGATTGCCACCTGGAGGTTTTTTATTAGGGTCCCAAGTTTTATTCTTTATTTTGATTAGTAAGGTGTTCATTGGAATATCAGGGAAAAGCTTTAAAATCCAGTTTTTGGCCATATGTTATATATTTTTTTAAATAAGGGATTTAATCACATTTGAAACCGAGATTTTTTATCTTTATTATATTAAGGTTTTCATTGGAATATTAGGGGAACGGTTTTTGGCAATATTTTATATGGATTTTAATAAGGGGTTTAATCAAATTTGAAGTCGAGTTTTTTGATTTCTATTATTAGGGTTTTTAATTGGAATATTAGGGGCACCCTAATACAAAATACCCCATGATAATAAAAATAAATCACTGTGTTTACCATTTGGGGGGGGGGCGTTTTAGTAATAGGGAGAGAGGATGAGTTTACGCTGGCCATGCAAATCATTCATTGAAGTTTACCCCACATTTTTCCAATTGTACAAAGTTAGGAGTTTCCTTAAGATGTTCTCTTCCCCTGCTTTCCTGTTCAAAGATGGGTTTTCCTAGCCATGTCAAATGACCGGAGGCTACTCGGCTACTCCAAGGCACCGATCGAAATAGGTGCGGCCCTGCTGTTTCGGATCTGCCTGCGCAGAAAATGCTGCAAGCAGCTGACCACAGTTTTGGACTTGGCACGTCATTTGCCTCACAGTTGACCACTATCACAATATATTATTCTATAATAATATAATATTTGTCAGTGCTGATGTTGATCTTAAGGATGTAATGTCTGGTACATGCACATATCATTCCATGTATTCCGTCAACACACAAACGCATACAAAAGCAGTACCTGGCATAGTACCTGGCAAAATCAAGCTACCTTGATGCCTTGGGAATGATGAAGGACATTGCAGCCTCTCTGAGCATACAAGATACCCATCAACTCAACTCAGGATGTGTTTCCCGTTATGACTGCGCCTGAAACAACCATGGCCGTGGCATTGGCTGGATCTCGATTCCAGTACTAGTTTACTTCAACTCGTATCATGGTTTCATAACATGATTCGTCGGATTCGTCCATCAAAATTGATCAAAACGGAACATGTACAATGTGGGGCCCCCCAGTTATAAGTTGGTTTACAAACCCCATTAACTGTAGTTATAAGATGTTATAAGTACCACAAACCATAGTTATTGGAGTTATGTTCACCAACTTAGCTATCTAACGGGGGCCCCACATGTTTGCGAGGTCTCCCCGGTATCCCCACTTCGAGACGACCCACTTGGAGCTGTGAAAAAACCACGGCCACTGGCCCTTTCGGCCTCAATCCGATAGCCAAATGGCAGCCGAACCATCTCCACCAGCCGGTCTTCGGCAGCCTGGAATGACAACCCAATGGCGTCATCTTGGTATAGTCTGCCGAGGTGTCTCTTGATGACAACTCTTTGATGACAACTCTTTGTGACAACTCTTTGTGACAACTCTTTGTGACAACTCTTGATATACTGTATATCTTACTGCATGGGTCTCTTTCTGTTGGGTTTCTGTCAAACAGATTTTGGCTTTCAGAACTATATATATATAATTCTCCGAACTATATATAAAATGCTTCGGAACTATGTACAAAATCCCCAGCTATATATAAAAATAACCATCCATTTCAGCGACCCTAATCCAAGTCAGTCCACATTGTCACAGTGCGTGATTTTTTGGTGCGCTTTGCATTTTGAAGTGGCAATATAACAATGTCCCAAACTGAGTTTCGGAGCCTGTTGAACCCTTGGTCAGCTACTGGCCACAATCTTGAAACTTTGGACGGGGATCATCAAAAAAAAGATGGGCTGCTTATAGGCATTGGCTGTTTCATTTGGAAGTGCCCGCATTTGATCGATTTGGTGGACTTCTTAAACATTCTTAAACATATATTGCCAGTCAGTGGGACGTGAACTATGGGTAAAACATAGCAATGTTTATATATAGTTCTGAGTGAGAAATTTATATATAGTTCTGGACCAGTGCTGGCAGCCCACAGAAAGAGGCCCACGCACCTATCAATGTATATCACACAAGGGCTGGTATTCCCATTGAACCATGATTCTCCCATTCAACCTGACTCAGGACACCTTGAGATGCCGCAATAAAGCCTCTCTATTCAAAACTTGAGATGCAGCTAAATGATGATCATGATGCTAACATATGCTAAATGTGTATTGTATAGTTGTTGTGACAGTTGTCTATAGCTGGTTGGTGGTTTTAACATGTTTTAACCATCTTGAAAAATATGAGTCAATGGGAAGGATTATCTCAGAAAATAATGGAAAATAAAAATGTTTGAAACCACCAATCAGTATTAGTTTCAATCCCAACAAAAAGATCGAATCAAAACCATAATTTGTGGGTAAAAGAAGATCAGAAAGCAGCAATTTTGGGAATGGTTTATACCATTTTATACCATTTTATACCACCAATCAGATAGTGTATACAATCTCTCTTTTCCATCAGGGGGCCTCCCAAAAGGGCCGTCGCTGCCAAGAGACCACATGCGAAAAGAAGTGGCTCCACCGAGCGCAGGAACACTGACGACCCACGGCATCCCACCTGGTGGAGATGTGGATGGAACTTCACCAAAGGATTTCTGGAAAGCTATGAGAAGTGATCAGAATTCATCGAAATTAATCAGCATAGCCCACCAAACCGTAAGAATACCAGGTATAACATATGAATCAAAATAATTCAAAATATCTGTCTCTTAAAGCCAGACATGGCCAGTTGGTAGCTTCATGTGACAACCCATAGCGAGCCAGGCCGCTCATCAGGCAAATCGTCCAGTGACTTCACACGGTGATTGTCGATTTTCAGCACCCTGACGGTGCTCCCAATGAGCGAAGCTGGCAGGCTGAAAAGACATTTTAACACAAGGGCCTCTAGACTTTCAGGGTTTCGGGGGTAACATCTGAATTTATCTGAAATAATGATAGATCCGAAATTATGTCTTTTTTGTTTTGGGTGGTGGAGTTACTATTTCATTGCCGTATATATCAGTTCGCAAGATAAACTGCATGTGCATGGAACTAATTTTGCGACTCTGGTAAAGACATGTAGTACATCTGAAGACATCTTCTTATCTTGGTCTGCCAAACTTGCGCCGGGGAGGTATAGGTAGACAATTAGACAAGCAACATGCCCCATCCAGGTGACATGTTTTCTCGCCACTGTCTGTCCAAGGTGCTGATCAAACGTCTTGGGCTGCTTGGGAGCTGGCAAGTTCTTCAGTCTGTCTGATTCGATGCCTCACTTGATCATCTTGATCTCACTTCTGTTTCTATGTGTACAACATTGTACAACACTGGAAAAAAAACCCATCTCCTTAGTATTTATAACACCCCCATTATATGGTATAAAGCCCCGACTAAACCAGGGTTTCTGGGAGTGTTTAATAACGGGGGATAGGAACTCTACTGAGAGCTCCACCAGTGCTCGTGTTGGGGCTTTCAGTGCCAGCAAGCTCTTCCCAGACCTCGGCAAAATCACCAAGAATTCCATGGTTTTCCCGTAAGTTTTCTGTAACAATGGGATTGCCCAATGAAGATTGCATTCATGAAATTGATGAAATCAGATAATATACTGTAATTAAATTCTGTACCAGTAGTACCGCACAAGGCGGTGGCGGAAGTTTCAAAAATAGGAAACCTATAGGAGAGCTTGGTTGTTGTGAATCAGGGATGGCAGAGCGAATCCACTGATGGACCGAAAGGTGCTTGAGATCTCCTCTCTTTCTCTCTCTTTCTCTGACTACCGACCTAACTACCTACCTACCTACCTATCTATCTATCTATCTGTCTGTCTACCTGTCTATCTGTGGTGCAGTGTCATTCAGAGTAATGTAGTGTAGTGTAGTGTAGTGGGGTGTAGTGGAATGTAGTGTAGTGTAGTGTAATGTAGTGTAGTGTAGTGTAGTGTAATTTAGTGTAGTGGAGTGTAGTGGAGTGTAGTTGTGTAGTTGCGTGGTTGTAGTTGTAGTTGTAGTGTAGTGTAGTGTATGTAGTGTAGTGTAGTGTAGTGGAAGGTAGTGTAGTGTAATGTAGTGTAGTGGAGTGTAGTGTAGTGGAATGTAGTGTAGTGTAGTGTAATGTAGTGTAGTGTAATGTAGTGTAGTGAAGTGTAATTTAGTGTACTGGAGTGTAGTGGTGTAGTGTAATGTAGTGTAGTGTAGTGTAGTGTAATTTGCTGTGGTGTAGTGGGGTGTAGTGTAATGTAGTGTAGTGTAATTTAGTGTAGTGGAGTGTACTGGTGTAGTTGTAGTTGTAGTGTTGTGGAGTGTATTGTAGTGTAATGTAGGGAAGTGTAGTGGAAGGTTGTGTAGTGTAGTGAAATTTAGCGTAGTGGAGTGTAGTTGTGTAGTTGTAGTTGTAGTTGTAGTGTAGTGGAATGTAGTGTAGTGTAATGTAGTGAAGTGTGGTGTAATTTAGTGTAGTGGAGTGTAGTGTAGTGTAGTGGAGTGTAGTGTAATGTAGTGTAGTGTGGTGTAATTTAGTGTAGTGGAGTGTAGTTGTGTAGTTGTAGTTGTAGTGTAGTGTAGTGGAGTGTAGTGTAATGTAGTGTAGTGTAATGTAGTGTAGTGTGGTGTAATTTAGTGTACTGGAGTGTAGTTGTGTAGTTGTAGTTGTAGTGTAGTGTAGTGGAGTGTAGTGGAATGTAGTGTAGTGTAGTGTAATGTAGTGTAGTGTAATTTAGTGTAGTGGAGTGTAGTGGAGTGTAGTGGAGTGTAGTTGTGTAGTTGTAGTTGTAGTTGTAGCGTAGTGGAGTGTAGTGTATGTAGTGTAGTGTAATGTAGTGTAGTGTAGTGGAAGGTAGCGTAGTGTAGTGTAATGTAGTGTAGTGGAGTGTAGTGTAGTGTAATGTAGTGTAGTGAAGCGTAATTTAGTGTGCTGGAGTGTAGTGGAGTGTAGTGTAATGTAGTGTAGTGGAGTGTAGTGTAGTGTACTGTAGTGTAATTTAGTGTAGTGGAGTATAGTGGAGTGTAATTTAGTGTAGTTGAGTGTAGTGCAGTGTAGTGCAGTGTAGTTGTGTAGTTGTGTAGCTGTGTAGTTGTGTAGTTGTGTAGTTGTGTAGTTGTGTAGTTGTAGTTGTGGTGTTGTGGAATGTAGTGTAATGTAATGTAGTGTAGTGGAGTGTAGTGTAGTGTAATGTAGTGTAGTGTAATGAAGCGAAGCGAAGCGAAGCGACATCTGAACCTCCAAAAGTGGTCCGAACCTGGTGTGTTTTGTACATTTTGACTTGGAAATGTGCTTCGCGCCACAACGGCGTGCACTTTTTCGACATCTCAACTTCCAAAAGTGGTCCGGAGCTGAAGTGTTTTGTACATTTTGACTTCGAAATGTGCTTCGCGCCACAACGGCGTGCACTTTTTCGACACTTTTTCGACATCCGAACCTCCAAAAGTGGTCCGAGCATGGTGTGCTTTGTACATTTTGACTTGGAAATGTGCTTCGCGCCACAACGGCGTGCACTTTTTCGACATCTCAACTTCCAAAAGTGGTCCGAGAATGGTGTGTTTTGTACATTTTGACTTGGAAATGTGCTTCGCGCCACAACGGGGTGCACTTTTTCGACATCTCAACTTCCAAAAGTGGTCCGAACCCCTGGTGTTTTGTACATTTTGACTTGGAAATGTGCTTCGCGCCACAACGGCGTGCACTTTTTCGACATCGCAACTTCCAAAAGTCGTCCGACGCTGAGGTGTTTTGTACCTTTTGACTTGGAAATGTGCTTCGCGCCACAACGGCGTGCACTTTTTCAACATCTTAACTTCCAAAAGGGGTCCGAGCATGGTGTGTTTTGTACATTTTGACTTGGAAATGTGCTTCGCGCCACAACGGCGTGCACTTTTTCATCTCTCATCTGGCCAGCTGGCTCCGCACCCGCCGCTTTAGCGAGCCTACTTTTCGACCCTCCGGAGCCCCAAATCATTGGAAAAACACAGTGTTTCGCGACTTTCCTACCTTTTCGCACATCTGCATCTTCTTTCTTCTTACTCTTTCTCTTCTGATCTTCTTTCTTCTAATCTTCCTCTTCTCTCTGCCTCTGCCCTGCTCTGCTTTTCATCTGTCCATATTGTCGGAAGTTTGACTTCTAAACTTCCTTCGATAACATCTCAAAGGTATGTTGCATCCTGCTTGCAAACCAGTCTCCAGCAACCCTGGTTAAACTCATCCAATGGCAGTTTCGACATCAAGGTTTGAACTTGCAATTCTCCAAAAGAACTGCCCGTTCTTTTTTGGATTCTGGACTATACTTACTACTTACTGTCCACTAAAGCTACTTCAAGACCAACATACTTGCGGATTTGCAGCATGCAAATAGGGTAGCCGGAAATTTCATTGCGCAGGAGGAAAAACACTTCCAATCTCTAGTATTTAGGGTAACCCCCCCTTTCAAACACACCAACGTACCCTACCTTTGTGTCCTTAAACAGGCTGGAAAATCCACCGTGATTTTGGACAGCATGATACATGGAGAGGCACCTGCACAACAGCACCAATCTGCCGCAATTTGAAACTCCTTTGAATTTCCTGCGAAGAAGTGGCGGCTGGCGACAGAGCCGAAAAGAACATGTGATCTAGCGTTGTTTCAGAATGTTTCAGATGTTTCAGTCATTCATCCCAAAAAATATCTCAAGGTATATTCAAAGTTTGACACCAACAACCAGCAAATCCGTGCGATTCGTTCCGCAACTTATTTGCCGTGGCATTCTCATGGAACTTCGGCATTGAAAACACGGTCGTTCCTTTGCCGCCATCAAAAGTCAGGTCATCGGTCCTTGAAAGTTGTGACGTACTTCTCCTTGGCGCAGGTGATTTTTTTTAGGCGCAGCTGGAGTGGGGGATCCCAGCGCTTAGTGACTTAGTGGCTGCCAAGACACCCCTTCGCCCATAACCACATGTTTTGAACATGATGTGCAGCTCTCTCTTGGATTGTCGATGATGTGAATCACCGCGTCCGCTTTGAACATCAGTTGCGGAAGGGCTTCCATCACCTGCCACTTCCGACTGGAATCTGATTCGCGCGTCATCACTTTCACTCTTCATGGTGCCCGTTCTTTTTCCGAAAACAATGCATGGTAACATGCAACTACAAAACTTAGAAATCAACAATAATATACAATAATTATATAGCATTGTTTTTTTTTAGTTTTACTGATTTTTTTCCACATGATTCATCAAAATGTCCGACTTTTGATGTTTTCACCAGTTCCTTTCGCAATCCCCGGCATCCCCGCCCGTTTCCTGCTGCACTGCGCGCGTGTCTTGCTCGGTCCATGGGTCTTGCTCTGGATACATGGGAGGTTGAGGCATGCTCAGGAAGTCCTGAGACCGCCGAAATGGATTTCTAGTGGATTTACCATGGATTTTCCATTGTTTTTACCATGGAGTACCTCAAAATGAAACTGAAAACAATGGAAAATCCATGAAAAATCCACTGGTGAATCACTATCTTCCCCATTGAAGAGCCACAACTGGGGGCACACTAAATGTGGCCCTTAAAGGGCCATTCGGATTTTTGTCCACCAAAAAAATGTCCCTTTTCTATGTTCTAAAAAAAAATAAGGACCACGTTCAATTCCCAACAAACGGACAGTAACGGACATCTCTAAGGCATGGCCGTTCACGAAGCAAAAAAAATAAAATCTATACCCGTTGAAATAAAGAGGGTGGGTACTTGGGATGAACCATTCTACATTGTAGAATGGGGAAAACCTGTAAAATGGATAGTTTTTGGCATTTTTTTTTTAAACTGTAGAATGGTTACCTGGAATGTCTTTAAAATGGCTAGTCAACCTCAAACCATAAAATGCAAAATGCCTCCCCACTGTAAAATTAATACACCAACATTTGAAAAATCAAGTAAACTATCCCAAATTTAACATCTTGTTTTTTTGGGTCACCCCTCTCCTGGTGTAAAATGGTAAATCAGGTCTTCCAATGGTATGCTCTGTAAAATGGAAATCCCAAGCCACCATCAACACAACTGTTGCTTAAATGCTGCAGGATTCTGCGCCGAATCAATATATTAGGCTGAGGCGGCGCGATTGCATGAGATAGTTCATGGTTTCAAATGGTTTTGCTTCATCTGCGTGGTATGTTGACGTATAAACATCCATAACGCTGTAACATGGATAATAATGGATAAACCCTATGAAACATATAAAATGGATACACGCCCGGAAACCATGTATATATATATATATACATGTCCTATAAAAGTGTTAAAGAGGTAAACAGCAGACAATTACTTTACTTCGCGTGGCATTTCAAAGCATTCTGTGCCCTAGTACGAACCCGCAGCTACAAGTCCCATTACCTGGCATATGTATCTGGCATATCTTCTGGCATTCTTTCTGGCATTCTATCTGCTATATCTTCGGGGATTCATTGCGGTTGAGGTCAGGCGGGGAACACTCTGCTCCGGAGCTTACGGTCGAGGTCCCGCCGGAAACACTTTCATGAGGAGCTCGCGGGGGAGGTACAGCGGGGAACACTCTGATCCTGAGCTTGCCGTGGAGGTCCGGCAGGGAACACTCTGATCTGGAGCTTGCTGTGGAGGTCCGGCGGGCAACACTTTGATGCAGAGGTTGCTTGCTGCTGGGGTCCGGCGGGGAACACTGCGATCTAGAGCTTGTAGTTGAGGTCAAGCGAGGAGCGGAGGAAGGAGGAAGGAGGAAGGAGGAAGGAGGAAGGAGGAAGGAGGAAGGAGGAAGGAGGAAGGAGGAAGGAGGGAGGCGGGCAGGCTGACATAAAATCTAACAACCCTCACCTGACAGGTCGGGAAAAGAATACGAAACAGATTGTAGAATGGAAAGCCGGGTTCTATCCAATAGAATGGTTATAATAGGTTTCACGATAGTAATTATGCTCAACCTCACACCCTTGTAAAATGGATATTCCAAAATAAACGTCACCTAACAAAGGAACTGTAGAATTGTTCTTTTGGGTTTATCAATCCACAAAACAGACTCAAAATAAGGCTCCTGTAAAATCCATACACTCGGCATATATTGGTCCGCCAATACCTTCAAAGGAAACTTAGTTAGAAACTTGCGAGCTACCAGCGATTGTCATGGTCAGCATGTCCACCATCGTGTCAGCCACATCAGCATGTTGGGACATGTAACAGTTCCGAAGCGTGTGAATTCACGGGTGAACACGCTCTCGGGCGCGAAACTCTTTCTTTTTTCCGGTAAAGTGGCTCCTGGAGTCACAGAAGTAGGGTCTGTGTTTCCGCGGTTCCCTGCCTAGCTGTGAAAGTCGTCGACAAAAAGTGCACAGGACTGTCGCGAGAGCTCGATTTGAAACATGTAAAAAAACTGACGACGCCGGAGTACTTCAAAATGTTAAAAAACTGAAGAGACGCCGGAGGGCTTTTGGAAGATGAGATCGGCAAAATTCGCAGCAGCGCGAGCTCAATTTCACATACAAATCTGTCTTGGAGCAGCCCCGGATTTGTGTGGTCGAGAACGCACTGTTTACTCTGCGCGAATGTTGGTCGATTTGGCGCGACGCTCCTGGCATGCGAGTTTGCAACCGGCTGTGACAAAACGGATTTGGCACGGCTACGCGCAGCAAAGCATGAGTGATTCTGCGACGCCCCGTGCAGCCTGGCAAGCGGGATTGCAGCTGGAGGTTGCAAAACCCATTGTAACAGCTGCAGAAGAGTAGCTAAAAGGCAGGTCAGAGCAGAAGTAGCCCAGATAAGAAAAGTGGCTGCTCAGAGAAGAAGTAGCTGAGAGACGAGAAGATGTTGCTCAGTGAAGAAGTAGCTCGCAAAGACAAGTAACTCACCCAGCCATCCATCACTCCTTCATTCATTTATTCGTTCATTCGTTCATTCACTGATTCATTGATGCAATGATTCATTGATCAGCTGATCATTGAGACATTGACACACTGATTCATTCATTCTTTGATTTTTGACGCATTGATTGATTGGTTGGTTGATTCACTGGTTCATGGGTTCATTGGTGGGCCGATTCACTGATTCGTTGATTCACAGAATCATTGGTTCACTGATTGTATGCACTGATTCGTTGGTTCATTGAATCATTGTTTCATTGATCCCTTGGGTCATTGATTCATTGCTTCGTTGCTTCATTGTTTCACTGATTCATTGAATCTTTGACTGAATGGTTCATCGTCTAGTTTATTGATTCATTGCTTCTTTCCTTCATCGAGTCACTGACTCATCGGTTCATTGGCTCATTGATTCATCGATTCACTGGTTCATTGATTCATTCAGCCAGTTGTGCATGGATTCTTTCATCTCCTTTTATTGGCATCTCAGCAACCATTTGCTCATTTGTTGGTGCACTTCACAAATTCAGCACTTCGTGGATTCTGCATCTCAAAAGCATTCCTATCGGCCATATTCTTCCTATAGTCATATATGTTTTTCGAAATTTCCTCCCCTGCGCGTGCTGGGCACTACTGGGCACTAATTATCATACGGTACCACTGAGATGCACTGGGTGTCAAACATATTTTGGCGACCAAACGCCACTGGAGGTCATAACAATTGACCCAATCCCCATGGAACCAACGACCTTCGGCTGTCCAGCACTTGACTCCCGTAAAAAAGGCATTTGAATTCGCAAGGAATCAATATGGTTTAGTCTAAAAATATGGTACCTGGTACCTGGTACCCCTAAATTTGAAGGTTCATTTTATCATTTCAACCAGTAAAATGGCCATGTTGATGTATACATCATCAATCCATCTGCTTGTCACCGCCCTGAGGATGGCACAATAAACACCAGCAGCCGCCCTTCAGCTCGAAGCTTCACTGCCTGTGCAAGTCTGGGCCAGGGGGGGTCATGTGATCGGATGGTTTGAAAAAGGTAAATGCAAACTGCATTCATAGGCGTATGCATATATATAGATATACATATACATATATACATACATGTATATATATATATTTATATGTATATATGTATATGTATATATATATGTGTGTGTGTATGTACCATTATAATCCATTATATTATATACACACATAAACACAAATATGCTCGAAGAAATAACGGACATGTGTGTGTGTGTGTGACACGTAGATTCAACTAAAAGAAAAAACAGTCAAAATTGGTACGTGCGCAGTGCGCCCTGGTCAAATATGCTGTACGGGGTATGCTCACCCATGCCAGAATGGGAATCCTTCTTTCATTGGCATATGACATCATTTGATTGGAGTCAATATGCCGATCAGACAAAAATCGAAGCCAAGTGACAACGGTCTTCACGGCACTGATGATCTCCCGCGCCTGCCATGGGTGGATATCATCGGCATATCTAGCCAGATCAACTGGAAACACATATAGCTGCTATAGCTCCTGAATGTAGGCTGTGTTTTTTTGCTTTCAATCACAAGCAACTCGGTTCTCAGTGCAAATGGGGAAACCGATCAACCTATTGATCATCCACTGAGTTGACCAAGTTCTGACCATGAATCCAACTCCGGTGAGTTCAACCCCGGTAGACATCACCAAATGACTCATGTGGTAAAGCCATATAAATATGTTATATTAGTTATATTATGTTATATGTTATATTGTAATATATTGTATAGATCCCCCATTGAACCAATTCAACCCGCTCCTGCCTTCACTCCTGTGGGGTCTGGATGCATCTGATGTGACCACGACTGCGAAACCACCACCAGAGAATCTCCCGCTTCTGGTTCCTCATGCATGCCACCTGAGTAGCTCGATAGTATCCGGTAGGCCCTAGGCACCACTGAAGAGCAATCCCCAAGTGATTTCAAACCTGTTCAAATCTCCTTTTGAGGTCACTATTGCCCCAAACTGATGGTATTGAAGCAGAGAAATTCGGCAAGGTGAGCAATTCTGAGAGACCCGCTCTGCACATTTTATGATATTGAAATGGATCTAAGTGGAGCAACAAGGGCACTTTCGTTTGTGGACCCCAAGACTGACTTGAAAAGTGTTGGGAATCAACCAAGAACCATATGAAATAGCAAGGTTCCAGCCTGTCTTTGGATTATGGGACCCTGTCCTCAGTCACCAACCGCACAATATCTTGGCTCGAACTTGGGGTGCCACCTCTTGGTCTTAAATCTTCAATTTGGAAGGCAACAGCCTTGATACGTCTTGCTGAATCAAATTAAGCCTATCAATGCGAATGCAGTGAGGGTTCCCAGTCTTCATAAAATCGTTCGGTATGGCAATATATGTATAATATAGGCTATAATATAGATTAAAAACATATGGGGCATATACATATAGACATATATGGGGATGGGTCAAAACCCTGTACCCCTGGTGAACATCAAAATAGCTGGTAAATGGATGTTCATCCCCCTAAAAATGGTAGTAATAGGTATTGATCCATACCCATATTAAAAACATATGGGGCAATAGACATATAGACATATATAGCATCATATATATTATATATATAACATATATATATATAACATATATATATATAACATATATATATATAACATATATATATGTTATATTATAACAAGCCCAGGTCATCACACATAGATTTTTCCGGGATGGCAATGGGTTGTCGCCATGTCCAGGCCACGGATGTCTTGACATCGGGGCCACGGGGTCTCCAGATTTTGCAGCGCCGGATACGGCAGGAGTCGGGCCTGGTGAAAAATGACATGGTGAAACCAGGTGGAAAAACTAGGTGAAAACCAGGTGAAAAACATGGTTTAAAAGTTTAAACAAAGTGAATTCCTGAATCTTTGGAGGTTCAAGAGTGGTCAAGCTTATATCTATTGAAAAAATAATGATCTAAGATCTGGAATCTCCTTGAGTCATATAGGGGTGCATTGATCATTCCGCACTTCTGACTTCTGGCTTTGTCCCCAAAGAAGATAACCCAAACCCCAGTGGTTGATCATCAGGTATTCCCCATGTCCAGACAGACAGCAAAAGCAACCGACCTCTGCCGGCAGGTTGATGTACGCATCCAGTGGCATGCCCAGCTCACATGGCCGCTACATGCCCTTTGGCATGCTAGGCCTCTGAATTTCAGCCTGCAAAAACATTTAGAAAACAGGTTTTGCTTGATAAATCTTAGTCACTGGGCTATTTTGAAAGACTATGGAGGGGAACTGCCTCTATTGCCACCCTAAAATATGGGTTGCATGTAAAACTCGCCGAAATCATACACCTTATGCTTGAACACATCTGATGCAACTTCCACCTGTTCATGGAGCTTTGACATTTCCGTGGGCGCACGGCGCACCGGCGACTTTCCACTACGCCCGGGCAGCACCCCCCTCCTTTGGAGGGTAGGACCTGCCCGTCTGGCACTCGCAAAGTGAACCAAAGATGGCTGAGTGCAGCAAAAACCGTGGACGTTTGGGATCTGCCCCACCACAAATGCGGGACACCTGATACTGCAGAGGTTTGATTTGTCTTCTGTATTGTCCAACCAACATGTTGGGAAACCTACTATACACTCACATACCCTAGTTATATGTATATTCAATATAATATGTATATTCAATATAAACAATTTTGTCCGAAAATGGTGGATGCCGATGCCCCAAAATATCGAATTGAATAGGGACAGTCATTATAACTTATTCATAGGATTCTGGGCTCCCTGATTCTGACAATTGCTGTGGTGATGGCAAACAAAACACAGACCGGTGAACAAACTGGCTGTGAAGCGACAAAATGAGAGATCATCCCAATCCGTACTCAATAATCCATAACACGGGAACGCCCCTGGAAGAAAAACTTGGAATCTTCCAGACTTCCAGAATCTTTGCAGATGTGTTGCAATCAGGAGCCAATCAAATTGGAGTGCTCGAAGTGTCTGCAGCAAAGGATGGTACAACACCTGCAAACAGTTCAACCATCGATGGACTCCCTGGATTTTATATGGAAGCCGACAAGTTCCAGATTTAGATATATGATATTTATATATATATAATATTTATATCATTTATATATATATAAATATAAATATATATATATATTAATATACATATAAATATATAAATATTTTAAATAAATATGTACGCATGTAATGCAATGTAATGTAATGTAATTTAATGTAATGTATGTAAGTAGGTATGTAGGATGTAGGTATGTAGGTATGTAGCAATAAAATCATCTTTAGACCCCAATTTTCAGGTTCCATGTTGAATTTGAGGGTGGTAGTAGAGAGCATCAAAAAGGTCTACCATGGCACATCTGATTGTACTCAAACTGGCTGTGGGTAACATGGGCACCCTTACAATGGAATGACCAGTCAAACAGGCGTGTTTCTTGGAGGGCCCATTGGTAAAATGATAATCCCCCCCAAAAAAGTGGTTGAATCGGAATCCCAAAAATTGACCAGCCACTTTGTGGTTCTGTCGGTCTCCCAGTTCTCCCTCCAGAGGTACGACATGTACCTTTTTTCTTCTTGAAACCCATGGATTTGCATACAAGGTGGCTCTCCCAGGTACAAGTTGGCTTGTAAACCCTATGACCCTATGAACTATAGATATCCATAGATAGAAGCTAGCTTAGGAATCCAAGGGCCCACATGGGCCCCACCTTGTATCTTTACACGTGATGAATCCAAGTGTCTGGGTCGTAGCAAACATCCGCAGCCAGGACCAAATCAAAGTGCGATGCCGCGGATCTGGCAGATCTAGCCTGGAGCAAATCAGTTCAGTTGAATTACAGTAACTATACATGTATATCATATGCATGTAAGTATATTTTATAAATTAATGTCAAGTGAGGATTAATAACCCCCCCAGATTAATCAACCACCACTGCCCCCCCAAAAAAAAGTAATTTAAAAACAGGTGGTCCAGGCGCTTAATAATAAACCGTTTGGCCTACCCCCGATTAATCAACCACCAGTGCTGAAATTATTTTTTTTTTATCCAGCAATGTTTATTTCCAATTCCTTTTATTTCCAATTCTTTTTTACTTTTTGTTTCATCATCATTGTTATACTTAAGGTTTAAGTTGATCATTGAAAATTTCAAAAAACAACTATTCCCCAAATGATCGATTTCTAATTAAAATCTTTATGAAAATCATCAGTTTGGATAGCTCCCAAAGGGTACCCCCCATGAGCCCATGTCCCCCATTAATAATAACCACGGTTTGCCCCTGACTAATCAACCCCCTTTCTGATCCATGAGATTTTAACAAATCCAATGGAATTCTATTAAGATCTAATCGACGTAAGCCATATCCAAAGTTTTATGGTTCAGAATTTTATGGTTCAGGGTGCGTTTATTTAGGGGTGGTCAAGAAAACTAGCCAGAAGGTACCTACCTACCTACCTACCTGGTGGGGGGGGGGGTTATTAATCCGGTGTTGGCATTAAATATAATCCACATTTCAGGATGCTGCGGTTAACATCAGTACAGTACACCATCAAAGTCCCCAACGTTTGATGGTCCAAGGCGCGGTAGGCATCGGCCGTTGGGCCGCTGAGGTGTCCCCAAGCGCTAGAGCTGCCGTTGCCTCACAGGGCCGTTGGCACAACTGGGGAACTGGGGCTACTACCATAACTGGTTGGTTAATCTATGATTAATCTATGGTTAATCTATGGTTAATCTATGATTAATCTAACTGGTTGGTGGTATACCTACCCCTCTGAAAAAAATATGAGTTCGTCAGTTGGGATGATGACATTCCCAATATATGGAAAGTCATAAAAGCCAGGTTCCAAACCACCAACCAGATAATGCCTACCTGCCATGGCTGTTGCTAAACGACAAAATGAGAGATCATCCCAATCTCGTCCAGGCCGAAATGCTACGTTGAGACCATTGGCGGCCACATTCGCCCGCGTCACAGCTAGGGCGATTGGTAAATCCGTTGCAACACCTGGACATTGTGGGCATGGCAACTTGGCTGAATCCAAATTCACCAAACAAAACCTACTTGAAATCAACAGATTTGATGTGTAAAACACCGTAAGTCATAGTAAGCCTCAAGTTGGAGACATGTTGAAATGCAGTGTGTTTGGATGATGCGGATGATGCCATCCTCAAAGAAATGCGCCAGGAGGCATTCGTGCCCAAGAAGGCTCAAACCTTGGAGGCATCAAGGGGAACTTTCATCCCAGTCTTTAGTATTAGTAGGACTGGACAAAAGGATGGCGATTTCAAACAACCCAAGATATTCAAACAGACCAAACCACCAGCCACATGATTTTTCGCCATATCACATAAGCTGGGCAGAGCTGTTCCAGCGCCAATTTCCAAACACCGAAGCGGATCTTGCAAACGCTGCTGCCAGTCCTTAGGGATTTGCTGAAATTTACTGGCAAGCACTTGGGCCTGATTGATCCCCACTTCGGATGGGTAAATATGGAATACTGGTTGGTGGTATACCTACCCCTCTGAAAAATGATGGAGTGAAAGTCAGTTGGGATGATGACATTCCCAATATATGGAAAGTATTGGAAAGTCATAAAAGCCATGTTCCAAACCACCAACCAGAATAATATGGAATATTGATCCCCATTTTGCAGGCCATAAGATGTTTGAGCCATGGCTGTATATAACTGGCATCACTCTGCGCCATGTCGCGGGACCAAGCGCCTTGGGTTGAGCTAGCACTTCAGCCTCCAGGGGTTGATGGAATTTCATGGGAAATCCACCATTTTTGTCCATGGATTTTCCTGGCCATGGGTGCTGAAGGGTGGGTTGCTAAACACATAACCACGGGCTCTATACATCTCTATACCATATACACACGAGTTTTGTGGAACAATGGCATGGGTGTGCTCAACAATGGGGAGACGATTGTGAGCAATACAAGAATCAATGGCATCAGAACACGCAGTCGAAGAATGGACCTGAAGTTCAGCGAGAAACAGAGTTCGACAACATTCGTGTCACATTCACATTCACTGCAGCAATTTCTCAAGTGCAATAGCCCTACATGCTCCACAAACCTCTTGAATAAAACTGTTTGCAGTTTGCCCTCTTGGCAGGCTCAAAAAACAGGAAGCACCCAAGACGTAATTACGAGGACAAGAACTGGGTCATCAGAAAGTTAACACATACCAAAGAAACACAAAGCACCTGACCGTCTAGAACCCCTCTCTATTGTTGGTCACACCCCCACTGTTCTCAGGGATATCTCTATGGCGACACTATAAAGCGACATGTTGTTGACAAAAGATCGTCCATATCCATATCTGGTTGGTGGTTTTAACCATCTTGAAAAATATTAGTCAATGGGAAGGATTATCCTATATATTATGGAAAATAAAATTCATGTTCCAAACCACCAACCAGATATATACTGTATCCATCAATGCCTAGATCCTGGGGGCCTAGATCCCCTTCAGATTCCCGGATTCCCATCAGCACCAGCAGACGTCCAGCAGGCCACAGCCGCCCGGCCACTCCAAAGAGTCCGGGCCCTGGTGCATTGCTACTGGCCTGGGTGGTGGACGACTTTAAGGAACACTTCCCATGCGATGCCTCTGAGTCTGGATGGTTGTTGGTAAACTAATATCATTAAATTGCGCTATTTCATGTGATATCATATATACGAAAGGGTCCACATCAAACAACCATTTCGAACCCTATCATTTATTCATTGGACTTATGATAACATGATAAGTTTGTCCGCGAATACTGGCACATGCGCATAATTCTTCGTATAGTAATTATACATGTTGGTCCATCTTCTTGGATGCAGTCGGTTTTGGCTTCAAACACGTTGCAATGAACAAATACGGATTTCTTCCCCGGGCACAAAGCCTCTGCCAAGCATTTCAAAGTGATATGAGAACCAGCACGCGGAATCACCAGCTTCCTTTCCTGCACGGAATAGCCAGAAAAATGCGAGTAACCTTCCTCCCTTTGTCTTTGACAGTTTCGACATGCTTCGACAAGATATCGTACATACTTGCGGAGTAATACCCCCATCAATCAATGGGATACCCTCAGAGACTTTCGCAAAAAATGTTACGCACAGACCCCGTGGTTTGCCCACGAACAGAATAGCATAAAAACCCATGATTTGTCACGAGCTCAAAGAAAAGAGATGAAATAGTGTTGACGAAGTTGAGCATGGCATTGTGGCTTGCAAGAGAAGTTTACCGCTATTAGGGTGCATTTGGGGTTTACATAACTATAAAACTGCCCACCTCCATATACCTCCATGGAACAATTAACCATACCGCAATCATCATCATGATCATCATCATCATCATCGTCGTCGTCGTCGTCGTCCTCCTCCTCAGCATCATCATCATCATCATCATCATCATCATCAATCATCATCATCATCATCATCATCCTCGTCATAATCATCATCGTCATCATCATCATTGTCATAATTATCATTGTCATAGTCATAATCATCAAAACCATGTCCAGTTCCGGGCAAACCATAGGGTCTTGCCGAAATGTTAGTTGACTTGACCATTGTGAACCACTTCCCTTTTCTTCCTGCTGGATCCTCCAAGTCAAGTTCCAGAAAACTATCAACAACTACTCGTCCTCCAAAACTGAGGGAGCTTCACACTTCTGAGAGGTTTCCTCAGCACTGCTATGGGGTCAACTTGTGGTCATCATTGATGACCGAATGATACCATTGTGCAGTTGTACATATCCATTTACAAATTATTCAGACACTGGGGTGTGGGGCCCTGCTTGATGCAATCTGAAGCTCGCCACTGCAGTCTGGATCACTGGCTTTCCGCTTTCTGCTGACCATGATCCATGGCTGCAGCCATCCAATGTAGCGTTGTTCACAACGCAGGGTGAGGGGTAGTCACAACTCGCCTACCATTTCCAAGCCGAAGATCTACAAATTGACCCTGGCAAAGTAGTGCAAGGCGGGAGCCGAAACTATTGCAATGTGGTAACCCAACAATAAATTCAATTGATCCCCAAAATCACCAAAAATCAGTGATATAAACCATCCCCAAATGGTAGCTTTATTAGGTTGCCCACATTTATGTAAAGTGTCTCCTATGACTTATGATCTGTATGCAAATATCATCCGAAGACTCGTTTGAGCCACCAATCCATTGTCCATGACCACATGCAGGGACCCACTGCAGCTGCTACAGACTACCTGTGGCCCTACATCGCCCGTCCCGCTTTGAGGATACCAATTTCGACCATCCGTACCATCCATGGATGGAATCTTTAGCAACTTCCGCATCACCAGCATTTTGGTTGATGGTAGCAAAAGCGGATAAAACATCGATGTTCATGATATACAAATATCATTATCATCAAATATCTGGGTGAATATCTCATACCTGGATAGGAATCCTTTCTCCACGTCGCCAGTTGCGGTCTTATGCCGCGCCAGTGCTGAACCACCTTGGATTGCCACTGGTGGCCAAGTGTCGATCCCTCCAGTGAACCAACAGTAATATTGTTTTCTAGATCATGTTCTGGGGGAAACAAATGGGTCATGCATGAAGATGCCATTGGAGTTTTCTAAGTGTGGGCCTATACGTATCTCCCCACTTGTAAAAACCATGGCCTTTGTTATCAACCCTATGCAGTGTCGTGTTGAGGTAATGACTGGCGAGCGTTTGCACTGCATTGTTTGGTTTTTGCTCCATAAAATTGCTGCAGGAAATCAAACATGCTGCTGGAATCTGCTGGAAAATTTTGGGTCATGACGCTTTCGACCCAGCAAGTAGGAAAGATATGGAAAGATGCTGACGAAACGGTATTTCCTAGGTGGTGATCATACAGGAATTCCAAGGCAAACCGATTGCATACGACTATTCTCATTCTTGATTTGGATATGGATATGACCATGATATTTTGGGGTACGGTATCCAAAAAAAAATACTGTAAACGACATGTCCCCAAAGTAGGGGTATGCTCCAAAAGTATGTTCACACTTTCTTAGAGGCTTAGGATAGTCATATACATATAATGATATTGCACGGTGTTTCGTTCGAATCAACTGATCAAGAAGGACCCTTGAAGGTAGAAAATTGGGGATTCTCATGACAGAACTGAGTCCCAAGCTTTAAAACTCCGTCGAGGCTGTAGACCTTGGGGCGCTTGCCAAGATTGACTGAAACATGCTGCAACCAAAAATATGATTCGATTGGTCCAAGTCCAAATATTGAGATTTAAGTGATTTGATCACTTTAAAGGTCATTAAATGAAATTGGGTCCGTAATGGTCCGTATATAATGCTTTGCATTACTTGTTGGTCCGTGTAGTCCTTGTTGCCTTGTTGCTTGATCCTTCCACCCACTGGACCCCCAAGCACCACAGCCATCCACGGTCTTTTTTCTGCGACCGCTCAGCTTGTTGGAATCTTCTGTACAGCTGTACGAAAGCTTCCAAGCAGGTCGCAGGGGGCCCCCACCAGACACCTGCATGTGCCCAGTTGGAACGATGGGTCCACGTATAGATCACCTTAGATATCCTGCGCATCTATTATCATTTATGAATATTTATGAACATTTTGCATTTATGACTACAAATCCATCCAATAGAAAACCAATGGATCCATTCATATCCATTCCCACCCCTTCAAGCCATCGCTCAGAGACGTCGTTTGCGTAAGGCTCCTCCACAGGACTTGGAGACTTTCCTCGGTGACATCCGACCGGTGGAGCCTTGACGTTTCCTCTGCCTCCACTGGCCACGGTCGAGGCTTTCCAGCGCTTGCTGCAGTTGCTCCACTGGCAGCCTGGCACGTAATGTGGCCTCAACTTCGCCACTTTGGCTTCCCAAGATCATGAACTTCTGCGGCTGCGGAGTTTTCACCTCCAACCAGAATTTGAACTTCACCTTCCCCGATTTTCGCAAAAACTGGGCCAGCTGCTGTCTCATCTCACCTCTCAAGCCTCTCAAATCATGGATGAAGGCTTCCATGGCTTCCTTTTCCACCCTTCCCAGCTGCAAAGAGGTGGACTTTTGCGGCAGCTTCTGGTAGGTCCTCACCATTTTTTCGGGAGGAAGCTGCACCTGGAAGGAGTGTGCTGGACTTTTTGGAACCTGAAAGAGATCCATAGCCTCCTGTTGGTCGTAGATGATACGCAGCTGCTGGAAGAGCGGCTTCTGCAGTGCTGCGCACATGGCGGTCAGTGGATCCCGTTTTTCCTTTTTTTCTTACCTGGTGGTTTAGCGACCCCAAAACATGTAGTCATTGGGGGACATCATCCAAAATCTCATTCAAAAGTCAAAAAAAAAGTAGAAAAAAAACAAGCAAACACACCCACACATAAATACACACACAAACAAACAAACAAACAACACATATGGGTTTGTCAGAAAAAATGGGGCATCCATGGGCATCCCAAATCCAGTGGTTGATCAGCATACGGTGAAAAATCAATCGCCAATCGCCAAACATTTTTATGGTATTCTGTACGCTGGCCAATTTCAGACATAAACCCATATGGGGATGGGTCAAAACCCTGGTACCCCTGTAGTTCACATCAAAATAGCTGGTAAATGGATGTTCATCCCCCTAAAAATGGTATTAATAGGTATTGATCCATAGCCATATCTGAAACTGCAATCCGCAGGTACCTTTGCAGGTCTCTATCTGCTCCATCTGCTCCACTTCCGCCTCAGCCTCGGGGTTCATCAGACTCTTGAACATCTGGGCCGAGAAGCCAGACATCAAAACCACACCGGCATCATTGGCCAAAGCGGGGGCACCAGACTGGTCAGCGGCCAGGTTCCAGAAGACCAACCTGGATCTGGTGGGTGTGCCATTTTTAGATAGATCGATAGATCGATAGATGGATGGATGGACGGATGGATCGATGGATGGATGGATGGATGGATGGATGGATAGATAGGTACATAGATAGAAAGAAAGATAGATAGATAGACAAATAGACAGATAGACAGATAGACAGATAAACAGATAGACAGAAACACAGATAGACAGATAGACAAATAGACAGATAGACAGATAGACAGATAAACAGATAGAAAGATAGACAGATAGACAGATAGACAGATAGACAGGTAGATAGATAGATAGGATATGATAGGATAAGATAGGATAAGATAGGATAAGACAGGATAAGACAGGATAAGACAGGATAAGACAGGATAAGACAGGATAAGACAGGATAAGACAGGATAAGATAGGATAAAATAGGATAAGATAGGATAAGATAGGATAGGATAGGATAAGATAGGATAAGATAGGATAAGATATGATAAGATAGGATAAGATAGGATAAGATAGGATAAGATAGGATAAGATAGAATAAGATAGGATAAGATAGGATAAGATAGGATAAAATAGGATAAGCTAGGATAAGATGGGATAAGATAGGATAATATAGGATAAGCTAAGATAAGATAGATAAGCACATAGATAGGTAAATAGATATTCATATATATATATATGTATACATATATATATATAATAGTTATATAGATTATAGATATAGATATTAGTATAGATGTATAAATATATATATATATACATATGTATGTATAGATATAGATATAGACATATGGGCCTGGGCCGTCTGGATATTCATTCTGTTGTGCACATATATATATATATATATTACCCATCATATACCGTATAATTAATGTATAATTACGGTACATGAAAAATAAACGCATCAACCTATCAACCAGCAACTCTGGCAATTCCAGCTTCAGCTTCTCGTAGTCTTTCTGCACTTTCCGCAGCACGGGTTCATCAAAGTGGTCCCCGCCGGCCTCCGCAAATTGCATGTCTGAGAAGACAAAGACCTGCTTGGGCAGCTTGGACTTTAAGAGCTCAAAGACCTGGCGAAACGCGCGGGCCATCGCAAAACAAGAGGCTTCTCAAAATGGTTTCCCCCAAAACCATTGGTTTCCCCATACCCATGACTTGGGTCATTTTGGTCTACCCAATTTAGGAAAGCAACTGGCAAACAGGAAATCACCGGCACTAGTGACTAGTGAATGATTATTATATACCTCCTCCGAGACAAGCGCAAAACAACCAGTGTCTCATTGCGATTTTCCAGTTTAAATCGGCTTTCTTCTTTAAACTGTTTTTTTCTTTTAGCCTCGAAACTAACTAGATCTAACCAGTTCATCTCAGAAGCCAATTATAATCCAACGTTCATCTCTTTTACTCTTAATGAAGCAATAGTAAACCATCTAAAAGTTTACCATAACTTGGTAATTATAAACCATCAATTTATATATGGCTGGTTTATGACATTGCTTTACTAACAACTAGCCCCTAGCAGTAGCATCTTTTCAGCCATTTTCAGCCTTGTGGAAGTTGGTGGTGTAGCCCCAGTCCAACCCTTGGACAAAGCGGTAGAGCTCCGTCAGGTCCTCCGTGTCCGGCAGCGTCACCAGCCGTGGCTCTTCTGAGAACGTGATCAGCTGATGCGGAGCCTCAGCCACCTGGGCCAGCAGCAACGACATGGCAATGGCCACATCCAGCAGGGACGTTCCACCTGTGTGGCCATGGGTTTTCCTGGGAAAAAATGAGGGAATGTGTTTGGGACACCAGGAGAAGCAAGGAAACATTTAAGTGTTTTTTTTGGTCTGACTTCACCCCCCGGGTTGGGGGATGCCCATCCCATGTGTTTTTTTGGCTGCCACCCATTCCATCAGTTAGTTTGAAAAACGCAACTAAATGTACTGTCACAAATTGAGGCACAGTTAATCACAGTTATATTGGTGGAAGCTATAGAGAAAGAACAAAAACTCATTACAGTAACAAAACACACAAGACTTTGTCCAGCATACTTGGTTCATATCATACGCCGTCCAATTCAAGCTGGGGATCATCTGATGGGCACTTTTTCAGTGGATGTATAAATGTGCCAAAAACATGTATACAAACAAATCACGGTGGCAAGGTTTCCTGAAGTTTACCCTCTGGTAATTTAACGTAGCTATTGAAAATGGCCATCTATAGTGGATTTTCCCATTAAAAAAGGTGATTTTCCATAGTTATGTTAGTTTACCAGAGGGTACCCATTGAACCCCCCAAGCTAAACTAAAGACTACCTGGGATCACCCCCACCTGAAGCTGCGCGGCAAAGCATTGATCCAGAGACATCACAGACTGCGATACAATTGGATAGACAGCCCGAAGAGCGCACCTGTGACCACTGCTGTCATTTGTTTCTGGTGAAATTTGGGATTACAAGAGGGGATTTGTGTATTAAATTAGTTAGTGTGTCTAAAAATGAGAGAACACCTTGAAATTGCAATACTAAAGGGAAATCAAATTCCAAGCTATGGGATTTTGGGAGTTCAAACATGTAAAGAGATTTAAAAACAGTCCATGTATAGTTTATTATAGTTTAATCCAGATTTAATCCCAAAGCACCAGGGTTGTTGGATTGGCCCTGACCTGGGTGACCAGGGATCGCCATTGTGCTTGCGCCAGCATCTTTTCCATGGAACTGGATGGCTTGATGGCTTTCTTTAACAACTCATGCGGCTGCAGGGCACCCACATTCACGGAGCCCTTGCGCTTCAGCAATTTCTGCAGAAAACTCTGGAAACGCTCAGGGTCGCGCTTCTCGAAGATCCGGGCATTTAGACTCAAGCAAGTTGCGTGCACCCTCCTGGTGAAGTCCCATAAAGGCCATTGAAACCTATGGAAATCTGTGGGGCACATAGTCAACACATTGGGGTGAAAAGTTGCGAACATTTTCAGGTAACACCTGCCAGCAACTTCAAGATGATCCTGGAAAACAGGATGGTCCTGAAAGCAAATGGCCGATGAAACCTAGCTACGAACCTCTTAAGCCCAATGGTGCCACTAATAAAGTAATTCCAACGATAAAAACTTGTTCTGGGTAGCAGTGGTATTCAAACAACTCTTGGGTGTGTTCGCCTCATGCAAAGGGTCAAGCAATCTCCTGTACTGGATCTCTGCCCAGCGGTTTTGGCACATCAGTCGCTCCGTGCACTTCCTTGTGGTGTCAAAATGCGTCAACCGAGCGGACAAAAAACAACTCACTTCAACCTCAAGTAAGGGGGAAAGTGTCACCCCAAATAAGTCCAAATTGTGCACGTATATTTCAAATCAACTGATCATATCTCAAATTGCGTTTGTTGATGGAAGGATCAGGAAGAGGTCCGGAACCGCTAGCCGCTAACTAGAACAAATGGATAAACACATGTACTCTATGGAGGACTGTTGTCATCTCTTAAAGTTTGAGCCAAACACACACACACACGAGTTTGTCTGAAAATTGGGTATCGGGTATCCCCATAATCATCATCATCCATATTCAAATGGCTCGGAATCGGGGAGTATCATATCTTCAAACACACCCAAATATCATGAAACAATTTGGCGGTTCATCGCCGTGAAAGTCGTGTGCATTATTGGTAGGCATAAACCACACTTTTTCCAGTGATGGTGGATTCGATCATGTCAAATCCCATGAAAATCCCAGATGTTTGGTCAGTTACCCTGAGGTAAACTAACATAGAGGTGGAAACCAGTAAACCCTTGGTTTCCCGTTCGAACATGATCTACTTTCACGTTTTTTTTTTTCCACATCTTTCTCTATGTTGGAGGGCAAAGTCCGCATTTTCACTTCAGTAAAACTCCATATAGGTTTTTCCACTTTCTTTCCCATTTTCTTGCAGCCATAAACCATCATAAACCATCATAAACCATCATAAACCATCATAAACCATCATAAACCATCATAAACCATCATAAACCATCATAAACCATCATAAACCATCATAAACCATCATAAACCATCATAAAGCCATCGATTTTCCAGGCCCAGCTTCATGTACTCCTTCAGTTCTCCCAGCACCTTCCTCAGCTGGTCGCGCGCCCGGAAGGCGTAGTGCCGCTCCGTGAGGCCCTGGCCAGGTCCATGGGTCCAAGGGGCTGAATCATGCGGAGAAATAGTGGGATGATAGTGGAAAAAGTTATATCATGTTATATCATATATCTCACTATAATACATATATATATAATCTAATATATAATAGTGGGTATCATATCTATGTAGTCCATGTAATGTCTATATGTATTGTCTATGTTCAATAACGTGTGGGTTATCTATATGTATTACCTATGTTCAGTCATGTGTGGCTTAGAGTACTCGGTGGTTTGCCAACCAACCACAACCACATTTTGAAGGGTTTGCTAACCATCTATTTATAACCATCTATTTATTGTGGGTCACTGACGTGGGGAGGGTTGGCTGAATACCTATAAAAAAAAACTATGCTCCATGCGTGGTATATCTACTTACCTTGGGTTGTGCCTGGGCTGCATGATGATAAATATACTGCCATACATGGAGCATATGGGATTGGGAGTGGAAAATGAAAAATGACACCTTTGTAAAAAAATAAGGATAAACAAAGGTTGTTCACCTTCAATCATGGTTGTTTCAACCTTGTTTCCTATACATTCAACCGGGGTAAGGCTACTGTTGTAGGCCCAGTGACTATCAAGGACAAACCCAATTTTTGCATAATTTATGGCTTAGTGTTGCCAAATTGCTAAATAGTTTTGCCTGCAAAAACCGTGCTTCCACTCCCAAAGATCATCATAATTTCATCAATTCAACTTGTACAGTAATTTTTGGGGTATCCAAAGGTATCCACTATTTCTGGTCCCCATAGTACCAAGGATATCCCCGAATTTTGATGGTTAAACCATGTTAAACCAGTTAAACCCAAATGAAAGTCCAAGGCTACCAAGACTCCGGAAACTCACTGGGCGGAAAGAGCCACCGAGCAATCGACTCGCAGATCAGGGTGCGACGATCGAAGGAGTGGTTCAACCAGGGGCACCACTTGGCACACAACGAGACCTGTTCACCTGTGCTGGGCCGTGACATGGATATCTTCCCACCAAGTGTGGTTACAGTTTGTCATGCCATGTCCCTTCCGGTTGTGATTGTCCTGTTGATTCATCTCTTGCCCCACGGAATGGAAAATTCTTCGCATTTGTCGTTGCTGCCCTGATACATTCCCATAATAGCCATTTAGGTTTTTTCAAACTTATTTTGGCTAAGGTTTGCCCATGGCCCGATTCTTACCAGTTTCATGTTCAACCCCTCCAGATCCGCCAAGTAGAACCTTCCAACAAACATGGCTTTCATACTTGAACATGCTGGTCGCCGGATTGGTTTTCCATGGTGTTCACACATTTCTCCCGGGTTCTTTCTGATAAATCCGTGCGAAGCACCACTGGTGGCATCCCGAAGCCCGTATGATTCATACAATGTAAGGCCCCCGTTCGATAGCTAAGTTGGTGAACATAACTCCAATAACTATGGTTTATGGTACTTACAGCTATAGTTACTGGGGCGAATCTAAACCAACTTATAAGTGGGGGGCCTCACATTGTATCACCAATTGAAACATTGTAAACCGTGCAGCCTACTATATGTTATATGATGTTATATGTCATAGAGTCATATATAAACTATATAGTTGTATATATATATATATGTTGTATGATTGTTGGATGGGAGAAATAATTACCCAACTATGATAAGAACATGTCAAATCCCGGTGGATCCAAGAACCTTCCGCGGCCCGGGGGGATGGTAGGAAAATTACTCGCCCAAACATACCCATGATTTTAATAAGAACAAAATTTGGAATGGGGAAGCGATGGAGAATTACAGTGCCCAAGAATTTGTGCAGTTATTTTCATCGACCCACTAATTAAGAACATTATTTGGAATCGGACAAGGGCGATTTAACATATTCATAACTTAATGACCGTACATCTTGGGTGTTTGATGTTGTTTAATATGAAACTTAATAACAAAGGGATTGGATTCTCCCACCAATCTCAACATTCATAGCACCAAAATCATGAATCTCCATGAAAAATCCCATTCATATTAATCATCCATTCCCTCCAAAACTGCATGGTTCCCCCAAACAAATCATGGCAAGATATGGCAACCAGATCTGATGATCAGTGGCCTCTCTTCATCTTTCCGAGGTCGTCACGCAGCTGCGCCGCAAAGAGCTGCCCAGTGCGTTCCAGCAGACAGCGGTAGAGCGGATCCGCCTCGTAGCGCTTCAGCGCCTCCTCGGCCAGCTCCAGGCGCGAGCCCGGACACCAGGAGAGGCCACGAGGACACGGAGGAGCTTGGCCCACCTGGGAACGTTGAGAACTACACAATCACAAAATGCCATGGGGATACTATGGCTATGGGTCAAATACCATGAAATACCATGAAATACCATGAAATACCATAGTTTTGGAGGATGAACATACCAGATTGAAATGATTTGAACATAATTGAACAGATGTATAATATATATATATATGTGTGTGTAGATACTTTACATAACTTGAAAGGTTTCCTTATTTTCCTATTAACTAAACATCAAAAGACCAAGAACCAACGTAGGTGGAATGTTAGACAATGACAATGCCCCTTCAAAAAAAACACGACTTGTCATAATTTTGGTTTCCCAACAGCGCCTTCTCTGCTGGCATTTCTGGCATTCTATGAGTTTAAAACAGTTTAACAATAAACATTAAAAGTACATGCATCTGTACTCCTAACCGCTCCTATCAAGACCCAAAATCCCCAACACCGGAAAACAGTTCTATACAGTTCTTGTCCCTGGAAGTCACCTCTTCAGGCTCTGCATCTGCCATGAGGATCTTTTTTGATTCTGCAGCATCGCCATTGCAACGCTCGAAGCGGTTCAGCAGCGCCCTGTCACGTTCCTTGCTGCGTTGGGGACCTTCACCTGGGCGTTTAAAATCAACCAAGAATGAGCTGAACAGCAATGTATAAACCATATGTTCATACTGTATTACCGTATATGTGCACATGTGTATATATATATATATATACGTATACTTATATATATATATATATATATGTATGCGTGTGCACCTGTTGATTTTTGATTCTTATAATCATAATCATGAGGACGTTAAAGTATTTTTCACGTCATGATATTGAAAAACTATGACATATTATTAATATCAATCCATTTGGTATGTAAATATTGCTCATAGTTTTTGGATATGCCTTCCAGTAATGTAACATGGCAGCGGGAAAAGATTGGAACAAGCGCATTGTCTGTTGCTTCCGTTCGGAAATTGCCTATATTTAATGGATAAAACTGGTTGCTTTGTCCATCGCCACGGAATCATCCGACCAACAAGTAGACATGGCATCTGCCGAAATCCAAGTCGCAAAGCCGAGCCAAGAACTCCAACAAGGCCTTCCAATAGTTACATTCAGGCACATGATGTAGATTTGCCAGCACAGTAGCAGGATCTTTCCACCAAAGCCACTGGAAGGCTTCATAGAAGGAGTGCCTATCTTGCTTGCCCTCCCTCGCGGAACCAATCAAGAAGATTTGCTTTAAGCAAACTTCAGGATTCTCCTCCCAGGCTTTTTCCAGCATTTCTTCCAGTGGAACTTTCCCGGATGGCCTGCCCCTTGAGGAAGGCATGGAAGGCACAGAATGAAAGAAGAGGTCAACATTGGCGGAACCGCTATCAGCAAACATCTTTCCACCAACAGCTGTGTCCACCAAGGGTCGCTCAGCATTCACGAAGGATAGAATATGCTGTGCCAAATCCCTCCTTCCCACCATGGCTTTCAACATCCCACCTCCCAATTTCTCATCAAAGAGTCTCAACTTCAATCTCAACATCTCCTCCATTGCCAGCTGAGCTGGCACTTTGGGTCTCTTCTGCTCCACTATCTGATCGATTTGCAAATATTTTCGCCTGCGTTGCAGGCCACTCAGCTCGCTGGGGCCGCACAACATCAGCGGCTCTGCGAGCGTCGCCTCGGTCAATGGACCCCGCGGGCAGCACATCTTCGGATCCAAGTCCCGATGGCACGGCGGCGCACGTCGCCGCGGTAGCTTCCCGAGCGACTTGGGCATTGGCGACGCGGAACACGATGCAGACCCGGAGACCGTCTCTGAGCGTTCAGTGGCTCGGGGTAAATAATGAGGCCCGGGAGAAGGATCTTGACATATCTTGACATGACAAATCATGACAAGTGAGAACTTTCAAATCCTGTGCTTCATGAATCTATGCCGGACCCCTTTGTGTCCAACCCCACAAACGGATACAATGGCACTTCCGCACTACTTCACTGCTTGCCACATCTTGAACTGCGCATGAGAACTGCCACTTAGACTCCGCACGGTCTTAAAGTTCGCCACCATGAACGAAGAGCTCCCCTGAGTTGACACTCGAGGAAGAGAATAGGTAAGCTAGTGATTGTCAGCCCTTCCCCCCAATCAAGAAATAGGACTGTAAAATATGCTGACATGGTATAAAGTAGCTTTGGTACTCCAAACTGGCCATCTTTCCGTTGCCATTGAATTGCCGGAGGGTAGCCAAAAAGAATCTACCGGCTATTGGTATTCAAATGTATTCAAAGACTTCCGGTACAGCCATTTATCTATACATTCAAATGGAGGAACAACTTGATTAGTGTAATTATACAACACCCACAACATACCATAGTAGCTAGCCACATAAATGTAACATGAATTATGTGACACTATGCGGGGGGCTGTGGATTTTGATACTCCACAACGCAACATATTTGATTTTTTTTTATTGGGAATCATAGTCCCGAAAGAGACCACAGTAATGTCGAACAACTTGGAAAACAAATGAAAAAAAACATGTTTTGGTTTCATGGATTTTCATTGCTATCCAGCTCAGAAATCAAAAAATCGGTGACGTTGACAGGATAAACACATATCAAATATAGAGCACAAAAGACATCAAAAGACTGCATACTGATTATAGGTAGGATAAAAATTAACTTTAGAATCTTTAGATAAGCAAATTTATAAACTTACTCAAACTGCAATGTTTCCAAAATATGTTCCAAGATCCCCGCTGGCCGACTCAGCAAAGTCCACCAGGGGTTGGACCTCGTCCAGTTGCCGGGTCACGACTTGTCGGAAGCGGGTGTGTTGTTTTTTTCTTTTTTAAGGCATGGATAAGCATAGTTTGATGATGTTTGATCTTAAACTGAACATCAATGAGATCCATATCATTCCAATTCATTCCAATTCATTCCATATGAAGCTCCTTCTGGAACTCATGTTCAAGTATGTTCACGCCACTTCCCTGGTTTCATATCATGTCATTACCCGGCCGTCCCAGGGTGGTTCTCCCAGCAGTCCCAGCAGTCCCAGCAGCGAATTCACCGACCACCCTGTGACCACCTTTCTTGGCATTGATCCACAGCAACTCACGCCTGGCACTGGGGGAGCTGCCAGGTCTTATTGACTTATCCCAGAGTTTCCTGTTCTCTGGGCTTTTAAATAGGTTTAATCATATTATTCAGGTATATAATGAGAGATATATATATATATTATATTATATTATATATGGGGTGGAAATAGGTTTAACCATATGATCATATTCAATCGACCCATGGCCACTGCCGGGTTTCTTGCAATTTGTCCGTGCTTTTTTTTAATCGAAAAACATATCACAGTTGGCAGGCCCAAGACTGGGTTTAGTTTTCAGAGAAACTTGAAAGGAAACCAACAGCCAAGATACAATCTAAATGTGTTGGGCATTGTCTTATTCCCCCTAGTCTCTCTGTTACACTATCAAGTTAATTCTATGCATATATCATTATCACATATATATATAAGTATATAGGTTGCTAGCTATATATCGTCGTGTGTTTGCAGAGAAAAGCCACAGAACCTCTGGATCCTCTGATAGAACATCCAATAGCATCCAACAGCCATGGTTTCTGAAATTGAGATTGATGTTCCCTGTCTGACAAAGCGCAACGCCACAACTCAAACTTGGGAGATCTTGGGAGCACCGTCTCATAGTGTCCCATCAACACAGCAGTTTTTTCAGAAACTGTCATGGCCCCTCACCCTTCATTTTGGAAATGCCGTTCTCATCGTTCTACTTGAGCAGCTTAAGACTGACCCCAGGAATCCCCAGGATACCTTGACTGCAACTGCCACCTGTTGCAACATGTTCCAACCACAGCCAGCGAGGCCCATCACTGGCCGCTTTGATCTTCTCACGTGTGGACGTAAAATCCAACACCTCCCCCACTAACCCGAAGACCCGTAGCACCTATGGGATCCCATGGGGGGAAAACATGGGAAAACTGAGTCATGTCATGCCTTGTCCAATCATGCCAAGTCGGTTCCAAAAGTAAAAACACTGGTCCCGGCTGCATGGTGAAGGCTGGAGGTACTGGACATGCGGAAATCTTGCTGCAGCATCAAAAGGTGAGAAAGGACTCAAGGATTCTTGGAACCTCATCATCCTCAACGAGGCCAACGATCACCTCAACTGCCATGTTGGAGGATCTTTTTTGAGTCGGAAGATGTCAAGGAACAAGGTCCATTCAATAGACCCTTTTCATCCCTTTTCCACAAAGAAACCGATGGATTCATTGCGCCCTAGGCCCCAAACTAAACCCAAACCATGGGATCGACACATCAAGCAGAAACATGACATGTTGGCGTGTCCACAGAAAGTGGAGTAATAAAGGCCCTGAAAGATCTCAAAGTCTCAGCTCCTTTTTTCTTGCAGCTGGCAGTTCGAAAGATCAGCCGTTGGAGCCATCTCCTCAGGCATGCTTCCCCAAATCGTACCCATGCCCTGTTCAAACATATTTAAACAATCTGGACGTGGCTTCAAGTGGTCCAACCCACGTTTTCGCGTATATGATTAAAAAAAAACACTTCATGTAAAACTTCAATGATCTATTGTTTTTTCATCATGGTCGTGCTATCTTTGACGCATGTGGCATGAGTTTGTAGTTTTTAGCGACCCCAACGGGATCGCAGGCTGTCCTCACAAGAATTCAGCTGCACTACTTTTGCGCCGGCGGAGCATCAGCAGTGACAACCAGGGAACCATCAGATCCTGGCTGTACAGGATTCAACCACGAGATGAGGGTTTGTTAGCCAGCTATTGGCGGGTTGGCTGATTTTACTCAGCAACATGAATGGGGATATAGCATGATATAGCCAAAAGTGCTGTGGGAGAATAAAGCTACATCCAGGATTTGAGGGCGTACGGCCGGGATTTGGACAACACAAACAGTGTAGCAAAACCGCTGAAGATGGAGACATGACATGACCCAAAAAAATCAAGACTTTTCAAGTAAACACCAAATGTATCCAAATGTGATCAAATCATCCCAAAATGCTGCCCAAATTTTCCGGGCCCTGCAGAGTCCTACGTTTGTTTTGGGATGCGGCACCAGCTCTTGAGGTTCCGAATCACCACGCAGTAGAATGACTGAACCCAATTAACTGCAGCCTTCCAACATTGAAACTGAAACTAATTGAAACTCATTGAAAATCACTGAAGTTTATCGGCATCTGCACCCGGTTTTCCTTAGCCTTTGCACATGGCTCCTCTGTTGGCAGTCTTTGCCAACCAGGAGTCTTCAGTTCCAAGCCGCAGGAGGTTCCCCCTGGGCCTTCCAAGTAGCGTGACCTGCGCCGTCTTCGGTCGAAGCCGCGTCTGCCTGGGCCGTCCGGGCCTGGACGTCGGCACCGCCTGGGGTAGCAATCCCAAGGCCTGAAGGCTCGAGCGCGCGGATCCTGTGGCGCCTTCCAGCTGCTCCTGGCGCTGCAGAGCTTCAGAGATGACCTGGAGAGCGGCTTCTTGGTGGTGAAAGGCAATGGAACCCAGAAGATGCACACCTTTCTGAAGCAATGGAGCCACTTTTACTAACTCCTGTGCGGTGAAATCTTGCAAGCAACGCCGTAGCTCGTCCAGAAGCACCAGGGATAAGTTGCTGCTGGGCTCACCATCCAGTAGCTTCGCATCAATGAAGCTGGAAAGTAAGGCCGTCTTTTCCAACCAACTTCTTAGAGGCTCTTGAGGGGACCTCACTGTTTTGTTTGCTGAAGCTGGCCGACGACTGGGATGTCCACTAGCTGGCCGCGCCACCGCATGGCCATGAGAAGTCTGGCTAGGGCCACGAGCCGCATAGAGTGTCAGCATGCAATCCACCAGGGCACTTTGGAGAGCACAGGAGGGGTCAACCAAACCATCTTCCATAAATCCGATCAGGACCCGAGCTGCTGCATTGGCTTCTAGCATGGACCTCCATCCGCCAGAGAGAAATTCACTGCACTGCTTCGCGACTGCACTTCTGAAACTCTGGCAATTTCCAGGGGAACTCACTGCAAGCCTGGGGGCCAGTCCTATAACAGACTCATGCAGTGTGGCAAAGCTGTCACAATTTCGGACCAGTTCCATCTGCTTCCGTGTGATGGGTGCCGTCACCGCCGGATGGAGTATCAGCCCAAGCGACTCACCCGGTAGCCCATAGCGATGCAACTCCCGGCCAAACTCGAAGCTAAAGTCCTTGCCTTGGCTGAATATGGCTGAAGGGGCTGCCAAAATTCAACATTCCCCGAACCAGTTGGAATTCCCCTGAATGAAAATGACGCGTCACAAGCTTACGCTCTGCCAATCTAAGATAGCTATGCAAAATGACCCATGAATAGATTTACCATTGGTTTACCTAAACAAAATGTGATTTTCCTGTTAAATGACCAGTTGGTACCAGCCAAGAGGCGGCAGTAGGGGCACTGCCGCTGCCTCAGCCGTTGCAGGCAATGGCGACACAAGGGGTGCCCGCAGGGTGTGCGCCGTCGGGTGCGGTGCAAACACACGCAGCAGTCTTCACGGGGCTCCAGTTCCTCCATGGCGCTGGAGCCAAAAAGGCCAAAACGGCGACAAGGAGATCCCAGGTCCGAAGATCCTAATGGCTTTGGGGGTAAGATTTTTATTGGAAATACTATAGTATCATATGAATCATATGACCATGTATCCATTTTTCCTGGGTTTCGAAATTAGTTTTCAAATGTTTTCAAGGAGTGCAAGGTTCATGTTTGATTGAGTTGTTCAGATTTGTCTTGCTGCTGGTCTCCGAGCTCAGGAGTTCATCCATCATCCATGGGAAACACTGGGAAGAACTGGAACAAAGTTGAACAAAGGAACGCATCACGTCCGCAACCGAACTAGAAAACACATTGCCACCCCGACCCAAGCCTTCCAAGCCATTACCACCTGGTGATTCAGTGTAAAAATGCAGAAAATCCTATGGGATGTAGAACTACATTACAATAGCAAGTCATTTTAAACAAGTGTTAACATCCCCTGAACGCGCTACCCTCCAGAAGGAAAACACGCGGAGCTGCCTGCGCCACCCCCAACACATTGTTCTGGTGACAATTGCAGTTGGGGTCCATGGCTGTTGTGTCTACCAGCTGCGAAGCGCACTGCCTGGTAGGAATCCTACCCCAGGAGAGCCATAGGATTTGGGATGAAAAATCCAGGGCTCTAGGGCTCTAGTTATGAAAACATCATGAGTCAAAATTCTGAAGTCCCAAGGCTATATCTTGGAGGCCCATATTTGTATCATCAGGAACTAGAGCCAAAGTGATGCAGGCAAGCCACAATTGCCCGTTGATTTTGCAGCAATAGTACCTTCTCTCCTTGATGACGTGCCCATCACACTGGAAGGACATGTATCCCCTGCCAAACAGGGCATCTGTCATCATATACCCTCTGGTAATTTAACATAGCTATTGAAAATGGCCATAGAAATAGTGGATTTTCCCATTAAAAATGGTGGATCTTTCCATAGCTATGTTAGTTTACCAGAGGGTATCATATGCAGCGAGTCCAGGTGCTGATTGATGTCATGTCATCCATCGGTCCATGGGTCGATGGCCTGCCTTCCCTGCACGGGCACGGTGCCAGTGGGACACAGCTCTGCATGGGCCTTGTGTCCATCACTCTCCTGCGGCAACATACTCAACTCAACTCGTTGAGCCAACATTTGGGCCTCGTGAACCCCAAAATCGGCAAATGAAGATCCAAAAAAACCTGCATCCCGGCAAGGTATATGAATATCCATTCATATCCCATTCATATTCCATTAACATATCATATATGAACCATCCATTGGTCCATTACCATTCCATTACCATCCTACTCACCACCGGTGGCCTTGCCGGTGTTCGTCCAGGTGATTAAGGTGCCACGATCGCCTCTGCAAACTGCTTGATTCACACGTTGCCAATCCTCGTCCTGCCATTTGGCAACTTCGGCATCTCGTGGCCATAGTTCTCCGCCAGCTCATGTCGGGAAAATGATGATTAACCATTGATTATACCCATAGGATCCATGTATGCTATACAGGGTAACATTTACCATCAATATACCCCAAATGTTACCATATATAGCATACATGGATCCTATGGGTTATATAACCAGTAGATTTGGGGCATGCCCATTTTTTTCGGCAACCCCACAAGGATGGCTGGGGCAGCGTTTTGTTCGTGACAAGATTTATCTGGATGAGATGCATTTTCGTCTCGTACACGGCACGCAAGAGAGTCAGAGAAGCCAGGCATAGAGAAGGCGTAGAGAAGGTGCAAATCTGCCTGTAAAATCTGTGCTTCTTTGCATCTACCGAACGAGATCATTCGGAATCCAGGAAATACTGTATAGATTGTATAGTGCATCAGTCAAACATAGTCAAACTGCTTCAACATGCTTCAACCCTTTATTTTGCCTCCTTTCAGACTACACCAACTCTGCGGATTCTGCGGTCCTTCTTCACAGCCTTGAAGCCCACCACTGAGGGCACCGTATCGCCCCGCCCAGCCGCTGCCAGGTCGTCTAAATCCTCCTGTCTTGCGTTGGCCTGTGGCCCACGCAGAAACCTCACGGCCGCGGTGGTTTCGGATGGATTTTTTCGGATTTTTTTGGGGAGTGGAAAGCCAGCATAGCGTACCATAGTTGCCTTGCCTATCCCCAGAAGATTTCAACATGCTGGACCCAAAGCGATGGGCCATGATGGGCCATGATGGGCCATGATGGGCCATAGGATCTTTACATGGCGCATATGCCCATAAGGTCACAGGTCGAGATACTTGATCTGCTGTGAATCCTCGTTGAAATTTGCCAGTGTGTCCCCGCAAAGCTCCTTCTTCCTGAGTGCTTTGCAGCGGCTGGTTCTTTTCCAATAGCGACATGTCACATTTTGGAGATGGGATCTGGCAAGATTGGATTACATTGTTACATCAAACGAGAACATTTCAAGGAGAACACTGAGACCACTATCAAAATTGTTCCAAAATGGTTCCAGCCTGCAGGACTATAGTTATTTTAATAATTCGATGCATTCAATGCCTTGCTGAGAATGAGCAGGACCCGGTTTTACCACTTGGGGATGTCAAAGATAGGGCCCCACACCCACTATCATCCACCAAATCATCTGCCAAGCGTCTTGGCGAATACGGTTGTACCATTGATGTCAACCCGAGGGTTCGTGCAACAGAACCTGCGCGTTGCGCAGGGACCAACTGGTTGCCCGCGGCCCGCGAATCAACCAACATAAACCAACTAAGGGGGGAGGATTTTAACCCATTTATATCCATTTATGGTTTATGATGATTTCTGATTGGTTAAAAATCATGTTGAACCAAAAGTCATTGGGGATGGTTTCTCACCATGATGAACCACATGAGTTGCCGCATCTCCCAGGACCAGTTCCATCCATTCCCACAACGCTGGGGCCGTGCACTTGGGCGACTCGGTGAAGAAATAGGAGCCTGCCGGGATTTGATGTCTGAAAAGTAGGCCATACTTGGGATACCCAAATTTCATGGATTGTATCATGGTTAATCATCAGTTGTCTCATTGAATGGGCCATTTTGGGGCACCGAAAAGATCTGCGAGACAGAAAAATAAGTAAAAGAGAGTCGGTTTGCCTCTGTTTTTTCATGCTAGAACCCCACCTTTTTCTTCTTTCTTGTCTCCTCGGGGGGCGCAATGCTATTTCTTTTCTTTGGGGGATGGTTAAACCCCGTTGGTGTTGATTAGCAACTTCCTATTCTCATGTCTTACCCTCTGGTACACCAGCAGTTTGCTATTGAAAATTGCCATAGAAATAGTTGATTTATCAAATAAAAATGGTGATTTTCCATTGTTTTTCTATGTTTACCAGAGGGTAACCATGGTACACCTCTTCTGTTGGACGCCTGCGTCGCATTGGAGGTGGCCGCCACTGGGACCAAAGCCACCGCCCACCAGGGCCGGAGCGTAGCACATGGAGAAGTGATCTGAACCATCGGATCCTGCAGGGACTTGTTCATACCAACCTCCCAAAAAAACAACAACCAAAAAAAGGGAGACGTGAACATTTGTGACAAATTATCATCTGGGGTGCTTTTAACATAATTAGGGGGGAATTGGATTCATAGGGATAGAATTGTAGCAGTTGGATGTATGACCAACTCAGGACCAACTGAAAATTAGCGCGGATCCTGACATGCACGACATGGGTTACAGCAAACCCTCAAAAAGATAGAACAGTTCGAAACCTGGAAAACATTGGAAACACATTCAATGTGTTTTTCTTTGCCGAGGCTTGCAATGGTTTGCCCGACAGCTAGAAACTCAATGGATGCTTCAAGGGAAACTTCACAGGACAATTTCCATTCAACAATTCTAGTCTGAAAAATGAGGAATTTGTCACCCAATTCCTAGTCATTCTAATGGGGAAACGCATGATGAAACATATGGTTTTGATACGGAAAAACGAATAGATTACAGTATACATGGTCATATTGTATACCAGCAACCTGTGGCATTCTCAATGCAGAGGGAATGATGCTGAATCACCAGTGGGTGAAATTAGGCACCCTATTCTTGGACAAAAACATATTAAGCAATGGCTTTATAGTTGGATGGTTTTGTGTGTGTTGGGATTGTATTCACAGTATGCTGAGTGTCTCAGCATGATATATGCTGATATCACAAACCATACGCTCCCCAGCCCATTATCAACAGGAGTATCTGGAAGCCGAATTACTTGTTTACCCTCTGGTAGCTGGCATAGCTATCCGCCATGGCTTCAGCAAAGTGTTAACTTGCCGGAGGGTATCTGGCAAGTGCTAAAGATGCAAACCAGCGGCCTTTGCTCCACAACATGTTGCCATCTGGCGAACCTCGGGAATCAGAAGACTGACCACTGAAAAACCTGGAAGTTGCCATGTCTACTGAGTCTACTGGACTCTCTGTGCATGGCATGCTGATATCTGTGAGGTATTCTGGGTCCAATGAACTGGGTGTCTGAGAAAGGAATTCACCAATCCCATCCAGTTCTTCGAGAATTTCACCAATGTTTACTCAGAAGTGACAAGGAACATGTGGAGTGTTCCTGCAACGCTTGCCCCGGCATTGTGGGCTGCACGACTATCTTGCGCACGGCATGGCCAGCGAACTTTGTCCAGCTTTCTGCGGTGCGACTTGAATCAGGGCTTTTCAATTTTATCACTTGCCAGTGCTGAGCTTGATGAGTATCTGATTCACCTTATTGGCATATTATGGGTGTATTATTGAAATTGCATACATGGAAGAGATATGAAGAGATATCGTGTGTGTTGTCCGTATGTGCCCCGCTACACTTGATGCCAGTCATTGGCCAGCTGTTGGACTACCAGGGCCTTCCTCTCTGCATGGCACAAACCAAAGCCGGCGGCCCGCAGCAACCGATTCGACTTCAATTGATCAACCAGAAACAATCCCAACCTCATGTGCATGTGGCAAAAAATGAACCAGAGTGAAAACCATGGCAAATCCTTTGAGCCATACCATATCACCCCCCAAAAAAATATGGCCAAGTAAAGTAATCATTGTCTAACATAGAAAAAAAGTACGATCATCACATATACAATCACTATGTTAGATCTATTTTCTAGATTTTAGCCGAACATCCAACAAATATCAACAACTGGTTTCCACAATAGACATCTTTTGGGGTTTTCCCATGGTTGACTTCTCCAGGCACCAGGGTCACCAGGCGCCCGGGCGCGGCCCTGTATCTTGGACAACAAGGCGTGCACCTGATCCTGGTCACCTCATGGGGTGTTGGGAATGGTTGGAATGGTTGGAATGTCCATGAGTTCATCCCCAAAATGGGTGTAGAAAAGGTGACATGATATGTATATATGTATATAACTATATATATATACTATATACATAATTAGAAACAATTATATATAATTAATTATAATATATATATATCATTATATATCTAATATGTATAACTATAACTATAACATTCTTAATATGAATGGGTCTTGACTCACAAAAATCTCTGATTCTTCTTGCGAAGGTTGCCAACTTGGAATTCTGAGGTGCTATTCCCCAAGGTCTGGTGGATCTCAAGCTGTCACACTGTGGCCACTACCCAATGAAGGAGCCACTAAACCAACTGCCTCGGTGCTGATCCGATTCAATGGCACTATATAGTTGTGTTGGAATAACACAGCCCATCACAGCCCCCAATCTCAGCCAAAACAACCCGCTTGGTCTGCTGCCACAATGTCGTCTAGCGCCGCCACCTGCCATATCTGCCATTGGCTTCACCAATGAAAAACTGGACAGGGGTCTCCGGCGGGCTGGGCCATTGGGCTCCAACACATTTATGCACTGGCTGGGAGACTTGCATTGCATACATTGTGAGCATCCAAAGATAAGGGCAAAACTCGCAATCCTTCAACTACTTCAAGGAAACGTCTGTTAGCTCAGTGAGGTCTTGCATTAATTGGTAAACTAACATCACTATTGGAAAATCACCATTCTATAATATTCTATAGCTGGGTAAATCAACAATTTCTATGGCCATTTTCAATAGCAAACTGTTAGTTTACCTTACCGGGTAAGATCATATGACACAGGAAGTTGCTCAAATGAACACCAATGGGTTTTAACCATCCAAAAAAATTGGGTTTTCACCATCCCAATGGCTTTACCATCCAGGGTAATATTGGGTGCCATATCATATGACATAGGATCCATGTATGGTATATAAACTAACATTTGGGGTATATTGATGGTAAATGTTACCATATATGGCATACATGGATCCTATGGGTATGACATCAGATGAATCAACTCACAGTTACCAGGCTCCCCTCCATAGCCTCTGCGGCCATCCGAGCCCCCCAGGATTTGCCCATCACCACCGCCTTCGGCCTGGAGAGAGTTCTAGGGGGCTTGGCGGCCAACATCGATATTTTTATACGTTCATTACATCCCACAAAACACATTAAAATTAAAATTATAATATATATATATATAAATGCCCCAATAGAAACCCTGGTTCAGATTTCAGATTGGATCTATTCATTTGGGGTTCCATATTGTAGGTATTACAGTAAATATGATGGGATTCAACGAACTTGATTGAACTCGTCAAGCAACAAAAGAATCACACTCTAACCATAAAGAAATGACGACGATTGGTGCTCTAGATTTAAAGCTCGATGAGCGTATTTGAGCCGGCTCCCCATGAGCAACCAGATGTAGGATGTTCCTAATTTAATGAGTATGGGGGGATTCAACAAATAATCGGAACTAGTGACAAATTGCCAGGCAAGAGATATGACTTCGGAAAATGCGGTGGGATGCGGTGGGAATATGAGGCAACCCACCCATGGCAACCCCGCAAATCTGCAGCCCTTTTATGGCGGCACTCTGCGCGGAAATCCGCTGTTCAAGCAACGAACGGCTCTCCGCGCGAAACTGAACTCAGCTTTTGCCATCTGTGCCATGGACAAAGAATGCCGTGATCCACCGTGAGAAACAATCAGGATACAGGTCAAAATTGGTGCGGAGAACTCCCCCGTGTCTACTGGCTGGACATGTAAGTCATGTTATCTTTCAACTACAAACTTCATTGCATTATGATCAATATATGTGAAATGAAATCATCTATAGTAGTTGGCATTATGGAGTCTTTGGATGTCTCTGGTAAGGGGCTCATGACTGACTCAATTTCGACCTGCCTCAGTGTTCTTAGGAGCATTCCACCTGCTGGTGTCGGTGTCGTCCAAACCCCGCTGCGTGGCTCAGGCTGTCACTCATGAATTGAGCTCCACAGAGTTCTTCATCACGCATTGCGCAGATTAACCTGGTGCTTGAGTGAAGATCCATTGAGGTCATCATCCAACTTTGAGAAAACAGAGCAAAAACGATAACATGATGGAAAGTTCCAACCAAACTCATAGGTTCAATCTCTATTCCCCATAACAACCCATACCAGAACCTCCTATATTTGATCCACCGTAGTTTCCTGTAAGTGTTTCCTTGGATTAAAGTGAATTTATGGCATGAACGCTAAAAAAATCTTCACAAATGTTCCCCTAATATTTGCTGGTCCAATCCGGACCCGCCATTTCTGCTAGCTAAATCATCCTAAATCCCAAAATACATAGTTGATGTCATTGATGTTGGTTACTGCACATATCAGGCACTAAGACATCCCTATCGCTCCCCATGGTTTGATGGTTCACCATCTTTGTGGTTTCATTCGCTTCGTTATTGAACCGTGACAGTTAATCATGGTCAATGTCACTTGTCAATTTATGGCTATATAGGCTATACACACATACATATATATATAATATACAATTGTGTATATATATTTATATAATGTGCAATGTGCATATATATATATTATACATGCATATATAATACAGTTATAGTTATACTACATATACACACTATCACATATTGATAACTCATATTGGGTTGATGGCTGCTGATGCCACCCCTTTTTGTCAATTGCAGAAAGCAACAGAGTCGTCACGATCACATCATAGACTCCCACGGCCATGTGTGAAACGATGAAGGCCAAGATCATCAGGGCGATGGCACAAGCCTGGTACGTCACCAAGGAATCTCGGAGCTCAAAAAAAGCCAGTCCTGTGGCAGGCGGAACCTAGGCTTAACATGGCTGGCTTAACTGCCATGTTTTTGGCATGAAGTTCTTTGGTTTCATTGTTGCTGCAAACATGTCTTAAAATGACAGGGATGGCTGTCCTGCCAGTGCTAGTGGCACACCCAAAGAGACCAGGAAACCCAAAGCCCAGGTGGTCAATGTATTCAAAGCCACCTGCGGAGCCGATAGGATTTGTTACAGACATGTATCATATATCTTTAAACAATTGGAAAAACCCGCATGAACTTCCAACATCACCATTTCATACCATTTCCAGATCTGAAGAATCATCTTCTAGATTCCGTTTCTTGAGGTAACATCTGCAAACATCATCCAAAAAATGCCAAACGGGATGAAGGCCAAATCATATGGAACATGCAATGATGATCAATGATGGCCCCTACTAGTACTTTTCATCAACGCGCTCCTCATCCAAGTACAGTAGCATGGTATTTTAGAATGATCGAACTGATCACGAATTTAGGGAACTACCTATATTACTGGAGTTTTGTTGATCCGCGACATTGTAGGTAGTTATATCTGGTAGCGCCCTATAGCCTATGCCCCATCATATCTACCAACCCTCACCTGAGCTGGATATTTTGCGAAGAGCTGAAAGGATTTGCAGCATGATGGGACGAAAGCTTCTCCGATCACTGCGATGTAGATGTAGGCGTACCTGTGAATCCCCCAACGGTCCAAAACGGTAGCGATGCATATACATATACTATATATATTTATGTACATACACCAACGTATCATTTTTGTTTCAGCAAAACAAAATATATCATACGTAGACTAATAAGTTGATGTTTGATACCTATGCATAGGCATCACTACGTTATGTAACCTTTACTGTTTACAGTACTTGCATGTATATACAAACAAACATACATACATCATATATATATATATAAGATTATATAAGATTATATTAGACTATATTAGTATGTGTGAAATATTATGCCGAAATATCATTAATTCAATTCTATACTATGTATATGGACAATGCACCTATGTATCGCATCCCAATCATCGTCCCAGCGACTGGGTGAGGTAGCGCAAACATCCGTAGAGCATGTTGATGCAGCACTTCGTGACGCATCGAATGGTTTTGGCCAAGAGGTTTTGGTCCGTCGCCTCCTGGAACATCCATGACCCAAATTCCCACTAATTCTGGGACAAGAAATGGACACAGAGACATTGCCACATATTGCCACCATAGGATACCATAGGGGTGTCCTTTTTGCAGTGACTGCATTACCTTGACAACACACCCAAGATCAGCCAAGCCCCTTTTCAGCAGATGCTGAAACGCGTCACCTCTCCACCCTCTCCTTGGTGTGCCTCTCTACGTACTCAAAGACCACACGGGCCACGGTGCACAGCATGAGAGCGAAGGACCCAAAGGCTAAGGATCCCAAATGGTAGCGGAAAATGTTGCCCAACGAAACCACCATCGGAGCACCAAAGCATCCTCCCACCGAGGGACACAAATGATGTTCTGCCAAATCACCCTGAAAATAGCTGTTGGACACGGTCAGCGCAATCGTGGTGTGATACAAGGCGATGTGGAAAAAGTAGATCCACAAGAAAACCAAAATCAAACCTGGTTCTTGGATGTTTTGGGCTGAGTTGCTTCCCCCTGAGCAATCTAAAAGTAACAGTTTCGGATCATCCCATCCACTTTTGAGGCATTGGAAAGTCATGTAAAATCATGTAAACATGTACATGAAACCATCAACCAGCAACACACCGCACTGATTTGTTGAAAGTGCTTCACATCTTCCACTCCGGTTGGTAGGTTGAATTTCTCCAAGGATGCTTGCAGTTGGTCTTGGGACGCTGTCGCCAAGCCTACTGAGGCCACAAAAAAGAGGCTGAAGAAGACTGCAAAGCTGGCCAACAGAAGCAAGGGTAAAGCCAACCTGAGGAGCCACCGGACAGTTGGGAGGAATTTCATTGAATCATCGGTTGTTGCTTGGGTCAATTATGAAAGAATGGCAGTCGTACAGGAAAATCATTAAAACAATCCACGATCTGGAATTAAGAGGTCTCTTATTGGTGAAGTCTGAGGACCGTCTTATCCGTCTCCGAGTACTGACACATTCAACTGAAAAACGTGTAGTTTCAAGCACCAGCCAGCAACAGAGAAGGCACACGTCGAATCATGTTCCCAGCTTCTTCCAGCAAGGCGATCAATATCTTGAACTGTCGAGACATAGACATCACTAGACAGGCCAGAACTGCAATCACGAGGGCCAAAGCAAAGGCCCCCAAAGCAAAAAGCTGAGTGGTTGACTGATCACTGGAATGCTGCAACAAATCTTCCGCTCCAGCTGGAACCGAGATGTCCAAACTCTTCAAGAAGTTGGTGAAACGTGCTCCGGTTCGTCCTGTGGCAATGTTGGCCTGGACGAAGAGGATGTAGTCAGCTGCAATGAGCATCAGGAACACCACCAACAACAGCACCACCAACAGCGGGGGTGCACAAACAGGGAACATCAGCATGATGGCTACGGAGAGCAGCGCAGCACCCCCCACACCTAACAGGGGCAGGGGTGGTGATGACATCAAAGGGTAGATCTTGTTCAACGACCATTTTTGGAGATAAGAATCGTCCAAATTCGCAGGTCATTGGTCATCTTTTCATATCTTTTCTCTTGGGCTAATACCGAACATATTTTTGCCCCAGGAAACTGATACGAGTACAGTGGGTTTTTCACATGTCGCTTTCTGCAGGATGTCAGCCCCTGCCTAGGCCCAGCACCAGTCCCAGATTCTCGGACACTGCATTGCCAAAGGAATAGGCTGGGCTGGTGACAGAAGTGAACAAGATATTGGCCACGCTGTCCTTGGAGAAACAAGGATACAGCCAGGCAGCCAGTGGGTTAAAGAGATCAAGATTTATGATTATCAGACTTGGGGGCCTTAGTTAGTTTTTTTGAAAGTAGGAACCCCAGCAACAATGGTTAATTAGCATTAATTAGCATTCTCTCGCTTTGAATTAAGATAATTAAAATGGGGTTTTCCCATGACGTTTCTCCATGTCCAAGTCTCATCCAGCGGCTTCACTGATACCTCCGCCTCCCGCTTGACCCTCTGCTGGCACGTGGTATTTGATGGCCAAGCACTACTTGCCATCGACACTCGCGATTGGATCAAGACATCTGAGGCCCCCTTGCAGCTCAGGATTGTTTTTCATGAGCACAATGCACATTCCATACAAATGCCAAACAAAATAAACACACATGGCAAATTAAGACATGTTTGGCGTTCACTTCTAATGGTCAACGGATGATATGGTAGTTTGAAGGCCTGCCTCCGCACGCCAGCCATCTGTGATGGAAGAATCAGGTTTCCTCGGTATCAAAAAACAATGTTGATAGGAGAGTCTGCTGAATCTTCTTCTGGACTGGAGCAACACATATCTGGAAGAACCGGCACGGAATGTGTACGCGCAAGTCGTGTGACTGCAACATAGTTCATGAAATGTAGGCACTTGGGTATAGAAGCATCTACCGCAAGCCTATCATGTGCACCTTACATCCAACTTCACCAGCTTTGCCCCAACTACCCCAGTCATGGTCCAGTCACTCTAGCAGCCAGTACTTGTCGGTGCCATCACGCTGCAAACCACAAACTTGTTCCGGCTTGAAGGGAACCCCTGAGGTGACTTCACCTGAGCCCCCCCCATGTCGGTTGTGAATCATGCGCTATGCGTAAAAATAGGCTATCGGTAAATGGGTGGTCCTGTATTGGTTGTGAAGGTTTTGATGCACATGTCCATGTCCCAAGTCCCAAGTCCGCTTCCTACAATAATTGTCTCCTCCTATGATTTTGTCGCTTCCTCATATCTGATTCTTATTATGAATATCACCTGATGGTGAAGTACCCATATGAATATGAGTGACAGCCCATTGCAAGCACCAAGCCACATGCTGGCTTCACACAGAGCTTAGTACTCGCTTTCACCGTGGGCTTTTGAAATGGCAAGCAGCGCTGGAAGACGGGAAAAGAGGGCTGAAGCACCAGCCACGAAGTCTGCCGGGCATGGCCATAATCTTCCACCACCTGTCCTTCCTGCGCGCATTCGGAGACACAGACTCCGTAACGTCCACCTGGGAGACGTTCTAAACGGCCAACGCGAAAAAATAATGGCACATCCCTTAAAAAGAAACACAAAGTTTGGATGAACATGGATTAAGCATAGCAAAAACAAAACGTCATCTTCAGATATCTTTAGCAAATCCATGCCACTGAGAGTGGGATCGTTTTTGAAGTCCGTGTCCAAGTCTGGGTAGAACAGGAAGGGTTTCTTTTCCATCTCCTTTAGGCCGCACAAGTTGCCATCATGATCACGTCCATGGTTGATGCGCCGCACATCACCGACTTGCCAAAGGACGCTGAGCAAAACACCAGTTGCCCCAAAGACTACCAGAAACAGCAGGCAGCAGATGGGATCCGTGCAATGACGATCGACCTTCGGCCCAGGGTTCCCGCGAAGGTGCAACAAATCTTCTGCGTCCGCAGAGGAACCGCAACATCTGGAACAGGAAGCCATGGCTGGGTGATGCACAGTGTCAAGGGATGCTGTTCCTTTGCTCTGCTGTGGCTGGTGCTATGGTTTTAGCAACTTTCTAACCGCAGGTTTGAAGATGGCTGAAACTGCGGCAGTTTCAATCAAAGTATACAGCTGGTGTTTAGACAACGCACAGCAACCAAGCAGTCATGTATGAAGTGACTTGTGGCGGAATCACCTTCAAAATCTGGCGCCCGCCTCACCACGGACTTGTATCTTGATGGAATCATGTGATTCCTGGAGCACAACCTCGACCATTAGAAGCAGCTGTGAGTGGGGCAAATTTTGATGCTAAAATCAGAAATAGACAAACCTGTGTGACATGTGGTGCCTTTTGGAGGTAATTCCCTTTTTATACTCAATTTCGAATGGTACAACGAAAATTGATGCGACCCCCCTGGGAAGCTCCACCCCAACTAACTGACTGAAAAAAACAAAATTGATGCGACTTAATGCCCTGACTGTAGGCCCCTTGTGGGGTACCTTACTAACCATCATCTACAGTGAGATTGTTGTGAGGTTGTTATGATTTGCTCAGATCAACTGCATTCTCTACACTCTACACATTCTGTACGGCAAGATGTTTCACAATATTCACGGCATGACATTTGGGTGTTTCTCAAAAAAAATGGCCGCCGTAACCCATTAAAGATTACAAACATTGGATAATTTTGGGGCACATCATTTGAGCGGTGGCGAAAACCCCTATGTCATTCTCTTCTAATCCTACTTGTCTTCCGCGCTGCTTCCGCGACCACAGTTTCAGGAAAGCGGATGCTTGGTAAGTTGATTCTGCTTCCGCGGAGCTTCCGCGATCAGACGATCAGCGTCTGCTTCCGCAAGGGCTTCCGCGGACATCCCCATATAACTTTCTTACTTGGAGGTTTTTGATGCTGCTCATTTAGCAAACCAGTTCTCACCTTGCAATAATAGCCGTTCAGAAGTTGATGGAATAACTCCTGATTTCAATTGTTTACATGCCTTCACCGTTCCCACTGTAGCTGGTCGAATTTCACCTCCCCATCCAGGATGTATTACCAAGTAATGCCTTATAGTAGGCTCTTCTCATATTCTACCCCTTATTCAATCTTGTTAGAGGATCACCATCTTCAATCTTTCCACCTCTGCCCGCTTGTCACAACTGGGCCCAACTTGGCTCCGACACGTGGGAAATAGCTCCCGCAACACCTGGCAGGCAGCTGGGAAACAGGGTGAAGTATGATAAATCCTAGTCACTAGTTCATATGGCAGTGCCTGGTGAACATCAAAATAGCTGGTAAATGGATGTTCATCCCACTAAAAATGGTATTAATAGGTATTGATCCATACCCATATCTATCAGATCTGTTCATAATAATCTTATACATATTCCTTCTACCTCCTCCATGGCTTTCCATGCCGTGCCGCTCTTCCCAACAGCCGCCTCACCACTGAGTCTTCCAGGTCTTAAGGCTAGGGGAGCCGAATGGAAATCTGGCACCTTGCTGACTTCGAGGTGAGCTCCATGGGAACAACCCGAGAGATCTCCGACATGTCCGTATACCCTCCAGTGAACGAACATAAATAGTTCAGAAAACAAACTGTCTCACTATTTATATATATATATCCATATTTATATATATATATATATTTATCTAGAGGCAACATTCCCATATTCAGAAAATCTTCGCATACCATGTTTTTATCGTACTCCAGACCTGGCATTTGGTTTGTAACTTTCGTAGGCATTTCAGCTCAATATAGAGGATACCGTTTGTCATGGCAAATGCCCCTCCACAGCTTGCGATTCCCTACGTGGTTCCATCTCCGCTGTGGACCCTTGATGAGTTGAAAGCTGCTCTGGTAAAGGAGTTCCCTGACTTAGCAACTGAAGAAGGACAGGGTTGTTAAAGATAATGTTTTTAAAGGTTGGCTTAGTAAAAATTAGCCAGTTTCTTCACCGGGGCCTCACCCAATTCCTTGCCAGGACGGAGGAGCAGGTCTGGTGACCTTTTGTGTTGTGAAGTCTTTTCCGGTAGAAGTGCCATCTACTGGGCGTATAGGTCTGAGGGCCTTCAGTGTGAAAGGTTCGATACCAGGGTGCACGACAGCCACAACATCCACGAGAAAGATGGGGTGTACATGGTGGCACGCATGATAGCGAGGGTGGATCCAAAAAATGGAGTTATTGTCCTAGAGCCAACCTGCGCTTCATGGACTTGGATTAACCGTGGAACAAGTCTTCGTTCGGTGGATCCTTTTACAAATTTAGTTGTGTTTATTGTTCAGATGGGTGTTTCCAAAAATCTGGTGTTGAGAGGCTTACATCTTATGGCCCCCAAAAGCCAGTAGGTGAAGTTGATAGTGTGTCAATTTGAAGGGTTTAAGGTCCAGGTCTCCTTTCACAAGGGATGATGTTTCGTTCTAAAGGGAGTACGATTCATAAAAAACATGGGTATGCGAAGATTTTCTGAATATGGGAATGTTGCCTCTAGATGTTTCTTCTCGGGTGATGGATGCTATATACCTTGCCGGTAGATATCCTCGTGATGCAAAAGCTTATTTCCAGTATCCAGATCAGCTCATGCAATGCCCAGGACATTCGCGGCAATCCTTCGCAGCTGTCAGTCATCGCTGGAAATGCGACAGCCGAGACGGTGGGAGAGCTTCTTCTACCTTTGTGTGTTTGGCTTCATGTGGATTATGTCCTGGAACAAGGGGACCACACCTCAGATGTCCATTTTCCTACATTCTGACATACCGAACTGGTTTTGTGCTTGGGTAACTGGTAACCATAAATTATTAGGCAGTGCCTGCTCCGGACCAGTTTAGTTGGAACGAATGTTTTTCCTGCTTTGCCAACTGCCAAGGAGTCGAGCCTCTTCTTCAAATGGCCGTCAGTGGAACCTTTTTTTTGGTTGCCAACCACTTAAAAGTGGTGCCTGCGCATGTTTGCCTTTGGGGCGGTCACCAACAAGCCGCTGTCTTGGCGTGGTAGCTGGAAAGGGTTGCGAATTCTCAGGACGGTTGGTCTAAGTTTCACAATTCAAACGGTTTGTAAGACCTTCCTCAGCTCAGTTAGGGTTTTTGATTCAATCAGCTTAGCAGAAGGTATTGGAAACCCAGGTCTGGAGTACGAAGATTTGGGAATAAGGAGTTAGAATACAGCCCCGGGACACAGGAGACTCTTTGAAAGAATTGTGGCTCTTGTGCCGCATCGAGCATCAGAAATTTCAGAGCTGAACACATTGGCCTCCAAAAAGACTGACACGTCGTCCCTTGGTGAAGTCATGTGGTAATATGTTTGTGTCACTACTATGACCATTCAACCGCGTTTGGTGTTGCAAAGAGTGGAACTCATACAAGTTTTGCATGGCACCTTAACATGATGTGTTAAAGTTTAGATATTTAATATATATTTTGTATTATATTGCCTTCTAATATATATATATATATATATACATATATATATATACATACGTATATATTCATGCATTGAGCTTGGCAGGCTTTGGGTGTGCATGTGTCATCTTTAAGAACATGTGCAGTCGACGACGTACGTGCCAGAAGAAAAGGAGTACTTGGCAAACCGTATGAAATACAAATTTAACCTGAAAAGGGGTCTTCGCCATTCCCTGAATATTTTCAGCTATTTTGGCTCAAGTTGCTCGAATCATTTTGGCTCAAGTTGGGATTTGACCCAAAAAGGCATTCATCATTTTGTTTTCCCCAACCCTCCCCACCCTAAGAGCCGACCTGCTGTGGAGTCGCCCGCCTAGGTTAGGGAGCCTGCTTTGCAGGCTCGTGCACAACTTCTCGATTGGGATACCTTTCTTGGGCTAACCAGGGAGGTGTGCTTGTTCCACTCTATGTGTGGGTGATTCCTGCGGATAGAGGTTCCAACCTGGGGTGACCAGGTTAACGACTGGTCAGTGGTTATACTGACCTGGGGTTGTCGTGCACGTGCCACTTCTGTGACATATCCAAGGCAAACCGGAGGAGAGCCTGTGGTGAAAGGAGATGACTGCTTTGGCAGAGATTTCGAAAAAGGAGTGGAATGCGAAGCGACCGGAATCATGTATGTAGCTTTGAGATGTATATATCTAGATATAAATATATATATATTTATTTAACTGTATATGTAAATACATATAAATATAATATATATATATATATATATATTTATTTATTTATATGTATTATATGTAATATATTATTTATATATACCCATATGACATACAAGAATAGTGTCTGTGTACATCGGTTGATGGCCTCAGGTGGGCCAACGGGGACAAGGAAGCGCTTTCCCTTAGCGCTGCCTACCCTCGTGCCTTTGGCCGTGCGTTTCTCTTTGCACATCGATGTCTGATGAACAAGTTGTCAGAGGGTGAGATTCAAACAGCTTGCATTGACTTTGCCCAACGCATAGTCAATGACCTACCACCTGTGGGGCAACAGGCTGATGAGGCCCGGTTTCATATCTCATCCACGTTATTGGTGCTGGATTAAATTGAAGCCGTACAAAAACATGTTCAAAATTCTTCTCATTCCCCACTTGCCAGGTGAGGGTCTCTGGATTTTCACAAAGACGCTCCTTCTTCTCTTCTCCTCCTTCACCTCCTCCTCTACCTCTTTGTTGTCTTCATCTCCTCTGCCATCTCTGGAGGCAGCTGGGCACGCCAGACCCGCAAACCATTCTGGAGTCGAACACATGCCAGAGAGAATGCCAGAAAAAAAAGAAAGAATGCCAGACCAAACAGAATAGGATGTCAAAATATATGTCAGATAAAATGCCAGATAGGATGTCAGAATATATGTCAAACGGAATGCCAGATAGAATGCAAGATAGGATGTCAGATAGAAAGCCCAAAACTATGTCAAACAGAATGCTAGATTGAACGCCAGATTACATGCCAGAAAGAAAGCCAAATGTTCGTATGTCCAACAGAATGCAAGATAAAATTCGAGATAGGATGTCAGCTAGAAAGCTAAGAGATATGCCA